CGATAAGGGTAGGTAAAGTATAGACCGCCTATTAGCGTTAATAGGTCTAAGTTAGTTAGATCTATTACGTCGCTATATTCGCCTAAAAGAAGGTCTTATTTTAGGCCTCTTCTTTTAAATCAGCTTCGCTCTCTGATTAACTGATTTCGTTGATTTCCTCTTGATTTAGTTCTTTAAGATCACCTGATTTAGGCTCAGGGTATTAAGGTGATAAATACCCTACCTTATTACACTTATAATAGCGTACTTCCTAATTAGGCTTTATAGCTGTAATAGCTATAGTTTTTTCAGTAGTCTTTTTTATGTAATTATTATTATAACGATTTTATATTCTTTACTCTCTGCGAGCTGATCTAAAGGTTCTAAAGCCGCTAGTTATAATAATAGACTCTTTTCTTCTTTAATTAGCTATTAGCTTTTCTTATTCGTGCGATTTTAGCGTAGCTTAATAAAATTCGTTAAATCTGTTAATAAAGTTTACTACGGGTTTTATAGTAGCTTTAAGATCAGAGTATAACTTTATATAGAAGTAGTCTTTTAAGCGATCCCTAGGCTTTCTAGCCTTATTAGCAAGGCGTAGGAATTTAGCTTTAAAATTACTAAAATCGTTAGTAGATAATATATATAAGCTATTATATTCGGCTTTATATATCGATATTTACTTTATAATAAAGATCTTACGTAAATCAGCTATTAGCTCTGTATAGTATATATAAGGATCCCCGCTATATGTATTATGCCTTATAAATAAGGCTTCTTGTGCTTTATCCTCTGTTATATTATATACGTAGGTTATTCGAGTAAATTCGTTATTAAAGTAGTTTTAATTTACTTTTAGCTTAGAAATAATCGATAATTCCTATCGCTTAAACGTAGGGTTTATACTGTCTATAAGCGGCTTTAAATTACGTATTTTTCCGGTCTTACGCCGCTTATTGTTATATCTAGGAAACCGGTTAAGGGCCCCTATGATAGTAGCTCTAATTATATCTCTAATAAAAGAGGAATTTACAGGAGAAATTAGAGGTAAAGACGCTCTAGGAAGCTCTCTTTGAATTTGAGTTATAAAGTAAATTGTAGCGTTCGCTTCTCTAATTAGTCGATTAAGCGATAGAGTTATAATACGCGTTATAAGTGTTTTTTCCTTATCTCTTTACCTACCTCTAGTATATTCTATAATATTTATTCTAAGTGTATTTTCACGAATATACCTTAAGGGGCTTTCGTCTCTTACTTGATTAAGGTTAGAGTTAGAGCTTTTTAGCTCTTATAGTTCTTACTGTAATAAGCGATTCTCTTTAGCTTACTCTTATATTATACTATATAGTTCAGCGATTTAGTCTACTAGACTCTTATTAGCTGAATCTCGCTATTATAAGCGAGACCTAGGTCTAGCTATAGAAGCTTCTTCTACCTCTGATTAATCTATATTACTAGCGCTGGGTATTTATACTCTAGCAGAGGTACCTTAAACTAAGAAGAATAACTCAGCTTTATTATTAACTCTTAATTAGTTCGATTTATCTTAATTTTCTATAGAAGTTATATTTCTACTCGGAGAGCTATTATTATAATTACCCCGAGTATTATATTAAGAACTTATAGTTCGTATTATTAATTAGCTACTAAAATCGCGGAAATCGATTAATATTTAACTAAGATATCGTTAAGTAATAATATAGGGTTTTTAAAAGGTAAGTCGATTATATAAATAACCCCTTTAGCGTATAAGCCTAATAAAAGCTCTTTTCACTATTATAACGTAGAATAGTAACTTTTATATTACGTACTAGCGTATCTTATCTTATTACAGAATAATAACTGTTGTAATAAGTACTAAAATAACTCTTTTTAGTGTTTTACACGTATAAGTTAAATATATATTTAAACTCGAGGATTTGATTAGTTCTTTTAGGGAGCTGCGCGTATTAAAGAATAGGAGCTATAAAAACGGTCTTTTCTACTACTACTAGGAGCACGCTAGTGGGCTCGCTTAGCTCTCTAAAGTAGCTCTTATTCGCTATCGTAACGTAATAACGTTTCTAAGAGAGATATTAGCTCTCGTAATAGCTAATAGCGAATAAGACACTAGTCCGAGTTAGGAGAGTTCTTGACAACTAGTACGACGCTTAGTGGTCGGATTATATAGCTAAGTCCCGTGACTTAGTTAGACGTTTAGGGTTAATATAAGAGTGTTAGGTAATAATAAGCACTTATCTGCTTTTAGCTAGCCTCGTAATTCTAACTAATAGTAAAGCTAGGCGATTCCAGCTTTCAAATAACACTAGGCTAAGCGTAGTCTTATAACTTCGTATAAGTGGTCTATCGTTATATAACTAATTGCGTAGCGCTAGTAAGGTAGCGACAATAAGAGTTGAAAAATAAAAGCTCGCTTAAGGTAACGAGTATAAGTCGTCAGGATATTATTACGCTATCACCGGTAGTATAATTTAAGCTTAATATAATATAATAGCACAGTTTAGCATTAGCTAGCACGTGAGCGAAATAACCACAGATCAGGTGATAACCTCTCTATTAGCGCGAATATTAAGCTGAGGAGCCCTTAATTCCGTAGAGGGCGCTCGAGCTTATATAGATAAATTCCCCGGGCTATTCCCGATTAGGCCTAATTACACTTAATATAAAACTTAACGTAAACTCCTATAGTACTGTAGAGCTATTTCCCTTTACGTATAACTAAGTAGGTAACTATTAGTAAACCCCTTCAGAGTTAACTGAGCTCTACCGAGTTTTACCGAGCTTTGCCGAGCTCTAGACTCTTCCTAATCGGGTATAGTAAAGAAGTAGTTACCACTACTTTTACAATAGCTAGCTACCTATAGAGTAGAACTATATAAATTAAACTTTATAAAGGCGTAAGTATAGAGTTTAGAGTCCCTACTAGAATCCCTTAAAGCTTACTACTATTACCTATCCTATATCTATTCTATAGTATAGACCTACTAGAGATAAGTCGTTTAAAAGAGCTAGTAATAGGCTATATTAATAACACTAGCTTTATAGTAGAAGGAGCTACTACCGAATCTATAGTACGGAAATTAGAACTCTTATACCTAAAGGTAGAGAAATAGGCTTAGTAATATACTTTAGTATTTATACTATAGAAGTATAAGCTTATATACTTCACTTATAAGAGTAATAGAAGGAAAATTATAATATAAGATAAATCGATCGACCTCGGAAATAGTATAGAGGTATAAGTAAAGACTTATACTTATTACCTAGGAATTATCCTAAATAGTAAACTAAATAGTATAAAATATATAAAATACATTAAAATATAAGTAGAGAAATCTATCTAAGCTATAAGAGTAATCTCTAGCTTAAAGTAAAGAGTATTAAGAGTAGATATACTAATACTAGTTAGAGTAATTATTACTCTATAGATATTCTATAGTTATTCTACTTAGTAGATCTTAAATCTTATTTATAGGAAAAAGATATATTAAGTAAAATAACTAAGAACACTAGATACTCTCTAAAAGAAAGCCCTTTATCTAGCTACTAGAGCCTTCTAATCTATAGCTATAATAGTACTTAACGCCGAGATAGAGATATTTAATACTAAAGTATAACTCACTTAGCTTAGCTTAATTACTATATATTAAATTAGAACCTCCCTAATATACTAAGAGATAAGGATACTAAGGGAGAGAAGTATAATAAGTAAGAAACACCTAAGGAGATCACTACTCTAAGAGCTAAAGAAGAGTATAAGATATATTATATTACTAGAGGTATTTAAAAGACTTAAATAATAAGTACTAGTAGTAGCTGAACTATAGTAGATTCCCTTAACTTATATTATTAAAGACGCCGAAATAGTAATAAAATCCTATAATAAGCTCTAGTAAGAGAACCTAATATCGTATATATAAATCTTTACTAATAGAAGTAATATTAAAGGATAGGTAAGAGTAGCTGCGTAGGACTTAAAACAAAGAAGGAAGTATTAACTAGATATTAGTTTATTCTCCTAATTTATAGTCTATAGCACTAAGCTATATAGTATCTAAATAGCGCTAGATATAGCCCTAAAGAATAATAATATAAGAAAACTTACTATCTTTATAGATAACTAAGCTATAATCTTATCCTTAGCACGCCCCTGGAAGTAGTCTAGCTAAATAATTCTATAGAAGATATACTACTTAGTAAACGTCCTTTAATATAGATAAGTACTAGTAATAATATACTAGATTCTAGTATATATTAGAGTCCCTAGGAATAAAGTAGCGGACTAACTCGTAAAAGAAGCTATAAGCTAGAGATACCACGAGGATAGGAGCTAGCTAATAAGGGGAATACACTTATTATAGCTCTCTTAATTAATCTCGTCGTATAAGAGATAGATTAAGGAGAAGGCGAGACACTAGTAAACTAAACACTAGAACTAAAGCGAGATATTACTCCTTTATAAAGAAACCTAGAAGAAGTTCTTCTAATATTATATTAACTAATATATTAATAAGCTCTACTAGGGCTTTATAAAGGCTAAGAGTTTAGTACTAATCTAGATAAGGACTAATAAGATCAGTCTCTGCGGCTACTTTTATATAATTAAACGATTAGATAACCTATAGTATAACTACGAATAAGCGTACTAAATAATTAAATATATTATTAAAAATTACGAATACTTAGATAAATTAAAGGATAAGCACTTTATAGAGGTCTATACTAATATAAAGGTATATCTGAATAACCTAGAGCTTATCCCTAAAATAGTAGCCTTTATACTTATTATAGGCCTTATAAACCCGAAGGCGATATTTATAAACTTACTACTAGAGTAGTAACTTACTTTATACTTTCCTAAGGGGCGGCTAAAGTAGTAAATTAGTAATAATACGATAAGGAAATTTGAACTCCTCGCTAGAGAGAGGCTATAATAATAGTAATATATATCAGAATAGAAGCGAAAGGCTTAGGAAATATATAAGATTATATAGAGTTATACAGGTTTTTAATATTATTTAGATTTCTTTTATTTATACTAGTTTCTTTTATACTCTGTTCAGCTCTAGATACGAGGCTAATTAGCCCGTGATTATATATATAACTAGTCTATAACAGTACATCTACATAGCGCTAGAGAGCAGCTAAATAGTCTATAGATTTAAAAAAAAAAAAAAAAAAAAGATATCCAAAACACCGAGCCGCCAAATGATGCTCTAGTTTTTCGTCGGCACAACGTGCTCGTGACGCTCCTCGATTGTATCATCCATGATTGCCAGCTTTTCCGATGCCCTAGCCTTCACATCCGCCTCCTCACCATCAAACAGGACCGAAATTTCTTCCAAGGCTTTCCCCTTCGTCTCTAAGAAGAATAGATAGGCAATGATACTCTCAATCAGCAGTATCACAACATATACAATGTAGTACTTCCAACCTGCATTTTGAAGTCCGATCGGGTTGACGTATTGGTTGACAAACACTGCAACTTTGGTGGAGAACACATATGTCGCCATGCCTTTTGCCCGGACAGAATAAGTCAGAATCTCGACAGAATATGCGACGGGTAAGGGCGAGAACGCGATGCAGTAGAAGAACTGGAAGATGAAAATGAAGACCAGGACTGCGATGGCGGCCGAGTTTGCACCTGTTTGCGCAAACAGGGCAGAGCAGATTGTCCATGTGGTGAAGATTATGAGCATGCCGACGGTTGAAATCCGGAAAAGAGGTCGTCTGCCAATGCGTTCGGTTAAGAAAGCTGATGTCAGAGCAATTCCAAAATTCCAGATGCTGAGAATGCCGTTGATGAGCGCTTGTGTGCCTTTATTGGTGATTCCGATGCTATCTAGAATCCTTGCCAGGTCTAAAGCCATCGATTAGGATCGTTTTCGCTGCACAGAATTCTGTACTTACAATACGATACGAGCCCGTTACCCGACCATTGTGAGAACGTGCCCATGCAAACGACGATGAACACACGATATCTGTTTCCTTTGCTGCTAATCATTGATTTCCAGGTCGTAGCCCCGGTTGCTAGTAGAATGTTAGCCAATGTGCTGGAGATGTCCTCACTAGGTCCAAGTACGTACATTTCTCTAGCTCAATTGCAGCGCAGATCTCAGCATATTCAAGTTGGACCAACTCAGTCTGCACTCCATCACCATGGTATTGAATCAGTGCTGCCATTGCCTCGTCACCCCTGTCGTTTGAAATAAGCCATCGAGGCGATTCAGGTAAGAACCAGATAGCTGAAAGTTGAATCAAACTGGGTACCATCTGCAAGAGCGAAGGGATTCTCCACGACCACTGTGAGATCTCGCAGTCAGTAACTGATGTTATTGAGAGATTGCGCACATTTATCTTACTGTGCTGGGAATGAGTCGGGTCCCGTATGTAATCCATGCGGCAAGAATACTTCCCAAGAACCAACAGGTATTGCATACAGCAGTAACAGCTACACGCTCTTTTGGGTGAGAAAGTTCGGTGACGAGACTAGGCGAAGCAGTGGTACAGAAAGAAAGTCCGAATCCTAGAATGAACCGTGCAACACAGAACGTTGCGAAGTTCTTGCTCTCGCACTGGATGATAGCACCGGCGATCATGATGATGCTCCCGACTGTAATGCCCATTCTCCGCCCATATTTATCAGCGACCCATGGAGCGAAAGGAGTCGAGCATATTGCGCCTAGCGCAATGACTGCAGATACAAGACCAAGTGTTGAGCCTCTGGGTCGTCCGAAGTAATCGTCCCAGTATGAAACTGTCTGAAGGGAGTTCATCATAGAGCCATCATAGCCACTTGTCATATAACTAACAATGGCTGCAGGAAAGAGGAGGCCATAGAGACGACGACGAGACGCGACCTTGTACCATGACGGAGCTTCTTTGGCGAGTTGGGATATCTTTGATGGTTCATAGGCTGCTGATGGCGCTGATGAAGTGCGAGCCTCTTTCTCAAGCAGAGATTGCCTTGGAGCAGGGAACCTTTGACGGAAGTTATCCATGATGAAATCTGTTTCAACGGTGAAGAAGAAGAATAAGAAGTTATTGATCGAAAACAGAAGTGCTGGCGAGCTCTGCTCAAAATTTGAAGGACGAGCTGTTCCTACTTATACATGAATGGTTGAATGTTGTCTATCGAGCTGGACAAAAAGGAAGCAAGCCACTAGGAGCCACGAGAGTGACCCGTAGGTACGGAAACAGGATGGGGAAAGTAGTTACACTCGCCCCGGACCTCCAAGAGTGGGCGGAGAACTACATACTGTCATACGATCGGTCTCACGGAAATGGGGAATATTCCCCAGAACCCAGAAGAGTTCATTGCAGTGATGGGGTTAGCGGGGCCTCCACAAACGAGGTTTTCTAGCCAAGGCGCACCAGGGCTCGCTTGGACGGGGCAAATCCGAATGCTTTCCCCGCTGGACGAAGCCATGACACTTGGTATCCGTAGGTAGAGATAACATGACTCGTAAAAAGTCTCCACTGGTCAAAGTCAACTCAGCTCCATCAAAGAAAACATGGAGTTCAGGAACCAAGATTGGCCCAGCCAATTATGTATCCCCACCCGGGGCAGCTATCACATTTTGCCCCGATCGAATAAACTGAGCTGTCCCAGATGTCCGGTTATCGAATTCCGTTTCATCCCCAGTTCTATGTTATGCTTCAGATAGGTATCAAGCAACCCACCCTTTACGGAGCCCAAGAGGCGAGCCAAGAGTATGTCCGTCATGAGTGGGGTTTGCCTTTTCTATTTACTCTTCCACTCGTCGCGCGTGTGTTCAGTATTTAAAGCTCCCGTTACAGCTATCTGTTTTCGTTTCATTTTCTTCCTCTGTTCCCATCCACAACGACTTGTTGATAATCTATGTTAATATTATTCCTCCTTTGACAGCCATCATGTCTACCGGAATGTTGAAAGTTGAGGGTTCGAGAGTTGTTGACGCAAATGGCCAAACAGTGGTCCTTCGTGGGGTAGGTTTTGCTTCTCGACTGTTGGAGATGATCACTCACACTGTCTCCAGACAGCCCTGGGAGGCTGGATGCTTATGGAAAACTTTATGAACGGATTTCCTGGTCGGGAATGTCAGATTCGCGGTGCTCTTCTCGAAGTCCTCGGACAAGAGAAGTGTGAGTACTTTTTCGACAAGTTTCTCGAGTACTTTTTCACTGAAAAGGATGCGCAATTTCTTGCGTCGTTGGGTTTTAACTCTCTCCGTTTACCTTTGAATTATCATCACTTCGAAGATGACATGAATCCAATGGTCATCAAAGAGGAAGGATTCAAGCATGTTGACAGGGTTGTTGAGCTCGTAAGCTTCCGTGTTCACTTTGGCAAGTATTGATTAGGCACTGACTTAATGCCGCAGTGCGCGAAATACAATATCTACACAATAATCGACCTGCATGCTGCACCTGGTGGTCAATCTCAAGATTGGCATTGCGATAATCCCACAGGATACGCCGCCTTTTGGGACCACAAACATTTCCAAGATCGGGTCGTCAACCTCTGGGAAGTGATCGCTGCTCGATATCGATCGAATGCTTGGGTCGCTGGATACAATCTTTTGAATGAGCCAGCCGACAAGCAATGGACACGCCTGTTGGCCTTTTACGACCGAATCATACCCGCTGTTAGAGCCATTGACCCAGATCACATCCTCTTCCTTGAGGGAAATACTTTCAGCATGGACTTTTCTGGGTTCGACAAAGTCTTCTCAAATAGCGTTTATGCCGTGCACGATTACTGCGGCTTTGGATTTCCCAACAGAATCGGCAGATACGTGGGTGAGAAAGATCAAGATGCTTACATCCGAAAAATGTATGACCGAAAAGTGGAGTTTATGAAGCAGCACAATGTCCCAATCTGGAATGGTACTTGACAGTCACCCCCTTAGTTAAACAAAGCTGACTGTTGTTAGGCGAATTCGGCCCAATATATGAGAAGGAGAGCAATCCCGAATGGAAAGTACAGAACGAAGAGAGGTATAACATGCTCGATAAGCAGATGGAGATCTATACTTCCGAGGAAATCGGTGAGCAAGATTCCGCTCGGCAACGGATTTTGACTAATTCATTGAATCAGCGTGGTCTATATGGGCCTACAAAGATATCAACATCATGGGCATGGTCTTTGTCAATCCAGACTCGGCATGGATGAAGCTCCTCGGTCCTATCTTAGAAAAGAAACGAGTCATGGCAGTCGACTCATGGGCATACGACGACGCACATCTGCAAGAAGGACTGTTTGGCCCCCTACACAAGTGGTTCGAAGACAACATTCCAGAAGAGCACAGCAAAAAATACCCATGGCAATGGCGTATGAATATGCACGTCTTCAGAGGAATCCGAGGAATCACTTTAGCCGAGTACCTCATCCCAGAATGGGCTGAGTACTTCCGTGGAAAGACTTTCGAGGAATTGGATGAGCTGGCTGCTAGCTGGAAGTTCGAGAACTGTGTCGGAAGGGAGAGATTGAATGACACCCTGAAACTTTTCAGTTCCATGAAGGCCGATGATGAGAGACTAGTTGGCAAGGTCATCCAGCCAGTGGCATTGACAAATGGGCAAAAAGAAGGCGTCTTTGAACTATCGCCTGCTGAAAAGGCAAGATTAAAGGCATCAATTAAAGAGATCAGAGTAAATGCATAGCTCCATAATTCTAATAAATTCTAATTTTATTACCCCCCGAATACTGGACAAGTCGTTTCGCTTAAGGTTGATAAAAGGACATATTTGTTCTGTTCCTCACTCAATTCCCAATGAAATTCGGTGGCAATACTTGAGTCCATTATTGGTAACCTTTAAATCGAGCTGGCTTCTAGTGTTCAGGCTTATCCCAGAGGTGATAAGAAACGGAAGCACTCGCATGGTCTACGTGAACTAAAGGCGAAGCGTTACTCGACTTTCCAACAGCCTAACTGTGAGGGCTACTTGAAACGTATATACTTAGAGTATACAGGAATGACACTGTTCGATCGGAATATGAATGTTGAATGCGCTGAACCCTACTTTCATGTCATGTGTCCACCTGTCATGTGCTGCCAAGGAGATGCCCGATTCTGCGATGACAATACTCGGCGGAGCGACTTTCTTAACTCTACTTACATCGATTACTCTCGAATTATTCACAATCTTTCTAGCCTAGTCAGCCCCATGTACCCAGCTCAAATCATCTCTCTAGTCGCAGGCTTTCAGCTTCATGAGTCAAGCATCAACCAACTCTACTCGAAATCCCTCGGCCCGCCGTCGAGCAGCCCAGTAGGTAGTCTTATTCTGGAAGGCCCCGTTCAACCAGAAGTATACGACTGTACCATTTAACCTTTGTTTTGATGATAAAATGTTCACAGAGGAGTGCTAACTTTGAGATCAGAGCTTGCGGGACTTGTCGTACGCGAAAAGTTCGCTGCGATGCAGGTTCCCCCAAATGTGGGCTGTGCGAGAGCTTAAACGTTGACTGCGTATATCTTGATCCAGAAGCTCAGAGACTAGACCCAAATACGCGCATCCTACTCGACAGGATTCAGAAATTGGAGGACCGAATCTTTACTTCTCCTCCCGGGTCGGTTCCTATCTGGTCGGGGTTTCAGCCCGCAAAGAATCCAGGTGGCCGCTCCATAGTCAGACCTCAGAGCAATCCGGTCCTCACGCCCGGGACTGGCGACGTTGAAGAGATAGGCGTTGGACAGTTAGGCGCTGACAGTGCTTCACAAGAGGAAGTTTTAACTCTTCCTACACTCCACAATGCCAACACTACCAATTTATACCAGTGGACTGTTGTTCAGGCTCTCCTATCGGAAGATCGCATGAACTGCGGTGAGCTACGCTTTCATAGATCAGTTCTACCGGAAGCAACCGATGTATTTCTTCTTTCAGACCTAAAAGAAGTGCCTGCAGTTGAGACACAGTCATGGCATCTATTCCGACATCCTAGCAGCGGTGATGCAAGTGAGGTGATTTGGGAAGATGATACGGAGAGTCTATTTTTAAAACGGTTTGAAGATATCAAAGAACTCATCCACGAATATTTCGTCAACGTTCATGTTTTTTACCCGATTCTGTCCCAGCCTGAAATCTATGACATGCTGCAGGTTGTTGTCGAGTCTGAACACGACAAACCATGTAATCCGAGAGCGCTGAGTACAACAAAATATTGCTTGCTGCTCATCGTGTTGTGTCTGGGGTCGATATCAAAAGAACGAGCAAATCTCATATACTCCAGCGGTTCTGGACATCCACCTATACCACTGGCCGATGGCAGATCGCCAGCGTACATCAGCGAAAGCTTACTTTGGGCAAAAGCCAAGCTTCTATTGGGAACAGTCTCCTTTGATGACAGTATTGAGGCCGCACAGTGCTTTGCGCTTTCCAGGTACGTTTGAGGATCCTTCAAGCACACTTCCTGGCTTCTGTATCTTTGTCCCTGATTGCGAGGCTGCGTTTATCTGTCTCGCTATGAACTTGAACAGTTCTTAACGTCTCACAGCATTTACCTCGGCTCGAAGGGAAGGACTCTTGAAAGCCATCAACAAGTTCACCTAGCAGCCAGAAAAGTTGTGATCTTAGCAAAACGGTATGATTCCTTGGCTACAAACTCGCGCTACAACTCTAATATTGATTATGATCATCCAGAATGGTGCTTCAATATCAAAGAATGCCCAAGTTTTCGGATTCGTTTTGTCGACTATTTTGGGTCATCTACGTCTATGAAAGTGACTTTGCGATGGAATTGTCCATAACACCCCCTTCAGGAATCACTCGATACGAAGAGATGGTCCAATATCCAACGTCTGAGCAAAGCAGTACCGAATACCACAGTCCCATGAGTATGGATACAAGCAGTCCGTCCGACTTTTCAGACCATGAGACGAGACTAAGACACTCGACTGACTCCAGCCTTGTCGCCTTCCAAATCAGCACTAACTCCGCAATCCGACGGTTTCTTAATCGCATAACTGCAGTGATCTACAATCCTCATGAGTCCTGGCGCAAGAAAGATCACACTTCTTACGTCAACTGGCTTCTGAAAATCAGCAACGAGCTTCAAAATCACCATGAAGCAATTCACGGGAATTTGCCACCGTTCCTTCTCTCCACAGATCCAAGGGCGTTGTGGGATGACAGTTCTGGCACGGGAATATCAGTAGCAGATCATCGGGAATTTTCAAACCACCTTTGGAACGTTTCGCGACTTCGCGGACGATATTGCGCCGGCCAATATTGTATGTACCTTTTCTCCCCTAATGTCCTCCAAAGATCTGTGATCTCGGATCAAAACCTTGTCTCAGGACCGGGAACCGAGATCTCGATCCTAGGAAATTTGGCATCTATAATGCTGATGTTGTTGAAGTGATATGTCGAGCCTCTTACGAATTCGTTCTCCTCAACCCAGAAGCTGCCACTAGTCACCCTCGCGGTCAAGAGATTATGGACAAATGCAGGTCTTGTATACAATCCTGTGTGGATTTCGTGAAGATATTCAGCGTCGAACCAGTCAACTCTATGACAAACCTTTTCGCAACAGGCATGGCGTGAGTACCAGATTCATCCTATCCGACTTCACTACCGCCTCTGACATTTTTGTTCTGACCAAATTATAGGACTTTCGCAATGGTGATAATCCTCATGATAACAACTTCATCACCACAATTCCAGCAAGTAATACCCGCCGACATCGAAGAGGTGATCATTGCAGGTCAGCAGAACCTCAAGCGGTTTAGTCTGAGTGTAAAAGAATTCGAGTGGCATCTCCAGGAGTTGCAGAAACTCGATCGGGCTCGAAAGGCGAGGAAGCCTGGGAAAGCTTCCGATATGCTTACTTCCGACTGATTGCGAAATTCTAAAAAGAAGGTTAAATCTGCGTCGTGCAACAAAAACTCCATTTGTTCTGATCTGAGCCTGTTGAAGAAGAGGGGGTTGAGGCTGAGCTGTTTCGGACCACTTGTGGGCAGCAAGCGAGATATCCGCCTTAAATCATTATTGCTTGAAACCCCGGCCGACTTAGGATTCTTGACTCGGGAAACACTAATGGGCGGACCAAAGAGGGTCAGAGCTTGTTGAAGGGGCATGGTCTTGCAGGAATACCAATCTTTATGTCCCATCAGCTCGAAGCACTGTATATGGAAGGTGGTTTTTCTGCAGCTGACTAGCCCTCGCTACCTTTTCCCTTTTCTCAAGTAGAATATATGACGATTTCAATATTTTGACGGGGCAAAGTTGTTTCGACATCAACGGAGTGGTCTAACAAAGGGGACAATTAGGGGAAGAGACCAGGGCTATTTTTATCTCGGCAAACTTCCTGTCCAGTCTGCTGGGTCGAAAGAAGCTTTGTGACTTGGGGTTGAGAACTTGAGACGAAACTTGAAAGGTGTGGGGTTGTGTAGGAGAGAAGTAAACTAGAGATATTTTTAGCGATGTTTCGGACGAGTGAGGTTATCTTGATGGCTCGGGAGATCATCGCCGCGTGAACGTTGAGTGGTGTTTTAGCAGATGTTTGTCAGAGGTGTTTTAGATGACTTGCCAGGGTATGGTGGCTCAAGGACGTCTTCAGGTCAAGCGAGGACCTTTCAGGTTGGCTGCCCTTGAAGACTCCCCATATCTAATCAGGACCATGCTTGGGGCAAATAATTCAGAAAAACCACCCTCACAAATTTCGTCCTTAGACCACGGCGGAGGATTTCCGTTGTATTGTCCCACTACCTGCCTCTTTGGCCTGACTATTTCTTTTTGCGTTCACGGACTTAGTGGTGCTGATCAAGGATCTCTGGCAAGGAACACGCAATCAATGCATATTTTGGTCAGCACAAGAGGGACCATGCTTGAAACTTACGATTTGCTTTTCGGATCCAATGCGAATACGCAAGTACCGGTGTCGTAGGTGAGTAGCGCTAGCTCTCCTCTCGAGCGTAGGATTTGTTTCCTTGTCTGGATGCCTAGGGTCAACCATTGAATATGTTCAAGCTGTGTTCAAATGATACATTGCTGGGAGTCTGTTACCAAAACTGGTTGTCGTCACCAAATGAGAGGGTGAAGGTCGCTGACCTCGTATGATTGGCTTCCACCACGAACGCTGATACAAATACTGATGACTAGCTTCCCTGCAGAATGGCCTGAGCCAGCTTCTGACTGAGAGGCGGCGTGTTTTGGGAGGCAGGGAGGCCAAGCACGCGTAAGCTCTATCTGATGAGCTTATTTTGACCTTGCTTGAGCATGCTGATGCGTGCAGCCAATAGCTCAAGATGTATTGCTCATCATGAACCATGAAGTCCCCGAAGACTACTCAAAGTACACTACTGGACGACTACTGGCGAGACTGGCAAGACACAGTATTGTAGGTGGAGGTGGTGGCGGAGGGTGGAGAGACATCAGAAGGCAAGGAATGGAAGTCAAGGGCACGCAGGTGTGCATTTGGCGTCTCTAGCTCCTCTCCTCTCCTCTCCTCTCCTCTCCTCTCCTCTCCTCTCCCCTCCCCCGGAAGGCTAACCTTAACCGCTCAGCTACCTTACTGCTACTGTACTGTGATTTACTTAATAAAGTAGCTGCTTCTGTCGCCGACCTGGAGCCGAGCCGAACAGTGCGGCAGGAAAAGCGCACCAGGTCGCCGGAATCGTGGCTCTCGATCCCGAATAAAGGAACGAATGCAGAGGAGAGGAGAGCATGAGCATGCATCAACTTCCACTCCGTTCTTTCCGTCCTTTCTGAAGTCAAGTGCTCGTCAGCTGAAAACAATCGCCTCGCCCCATTCGAGATCCAGCTCGCCTGAACGAACACACCCAGCCAGCACAACAAAGGCGCGGAAAAGGCCCAGATAAGACGCTGGTACCTACCTACTGTACTGTATTGTCCATCCACTGCGCCGGCAGGCCGGGTCCTGGATCTACTTCCAGAGAAGCGAAGCGGGAGAAGAGGACGAGGCTAAAGCAACAGTTGATCTTCTTTCAACGGGACTTGCCTAACCTACCTATTGGGATCCCGCTCGCTCTTTTCCACCTTCTGTTCTCGTGCCGCTGCCAAGGGGCCCACGATTATCACAATCTCCATCACTAGTACTATTTCTACCTACTGTACCGAGTCCTCGACATATTTTGGTGTTGTGCTTCCCCTCCTCCACTACCCCATCACCTCCATTCCTCCTCTCCCCATCCCACAGCTTGACATCGGCCCACCCAGATTCTGAGTTCCCAGCGCCTGCCCCCTGCCCCCGGGGACTGCGCTTCGCTTCACCCTACCTTAACTTACGGAGGTACAGCGGTCAAGTGTTGTTACAGCACTAGCAAGGGGGGAGATACACCTTAACCTAAAAGAGTAGTATCGCGTTAATGCATCTAACACGCTTTTGTATTGTATTTTATACGTAAGTTGATGATAATTACATCAATTAAATAATTTTATTTTAATAGACCTTTTATTCGCTTTTATTACGTATACAGCTCTAGTGCCTGCTCTTCTCGATCATGAGACTCCTCCTGTGGCCCTAAATAGGCCTATTCCTCACCCTCCGCTAAAGTATACAAAGAATCACGAGCTTACACGCGATTAACGACGCGATATTATCCTTCTTCACTTAATCAGCTAGTCTTATAATTAAATTAGTCGACACTTGCCTTTCAGCTGATAAAACAACAAATTTAATACGCTTATAATACTCGAGTTATACCGCAAAAGAAGAAAGGTCGCCCTCTAATTCTTACTTAAGGTTAAATCGAAGAATTAGTTAAGTTTGTCTGCGCGTCACAGTATAATTATCGATTATCGTTTACCTAACTCGCTGAGGTTCTCGATTTTAGAGTTAAAAAAGACGCTATACGTACTGCTCTTACTCGTGAAGGCTTCTACTATCGATTAGCTATATGAAAACCTCCGATATCTAAGACGAATCGACGATTACGTCTTACTTAGGCTATCGAATATAAGGAATAGACAATAGAGCAATAGTACTAGATCTTATAGACTAATAAGACTTGGATTACTAGAGGGAGACACACTCGAACCTAGGTTACACGTAGACCTAGAGAGGAGTAGGACGAGACGTGTATTATCGAAAGATATTAACGAAAAAAGGGTTAGATGTTCTAGGGATGTTTTCATAGATATACTAAAGGGCCTAGTATCTTCTAGGAAAAGGATTAGGGATCGATTAATTAAGAAAGCTACTATTAATATACGGTTCTGATTATCCACAGTTATTTGGAACTTATACGGCGTTAAGGAATATATCTCGTCCTTATATAAGATAGAGCTCTAGGCCACGTAGCTGCGGATACTAAATAAGAGCTTCGAGAGCGTGGAATCATCGTGATCTTCTAGCCTCCTTTCTCTCCTGATTTGAACCTAATCGAGAGAGTTTAGTATATCATAAAGAATTATATTCAAGATAATTACCCTGAGATCATATCTTACGATCGTTTACGTGAAGCAGTAAAAGATACGTGGGAAAAAGTAGGGGAAGACGAGTTTAGAGCTCTAATTAAGAGTATACTAGATCTGTCACGAACCAGGCTCAGTCTTGGTACAAGTCACGGGTTGGCACCATAATACTGATGGTACTACCAAGTGGATGGCACCAGTCGGTGTTTGGTACCAAAGGGTTGATGGTACCATTGAGAGAATGGCACCAACAAGAGAATGGTACGAATTAGCGAGTAGTACCATACTCCACGCTCGTTGTCATAATAATAGTTATGTTGATCACGGTGGACATGGGTCACGTGATGTGCTAGCTTGCTAGACGGGCTTGCGGGCTTGCGCGCCCTGCAAGACGTCTTGCACGGCTTGCACAGGAAGTCGGAAGTTCTATATAACGAGTAGGTAGTTTCCTAGATAGTAGAGCTTCGTGCTCAAATCAAATAGCAAGTTTACACCTAGTTTACCACTGCTTGTAACGTCTCAATTCCTATTGAGAATCGAGCGTCTTGTTACCTTACTTCATAGCTGATACCAACCGACGAGTCTGTACTCACGACACCGACCGAGTTAGAAACGTTACAAGATCGTTGTTTAGCTGTCGAGAAAGCAGAAGGTAGATTTACAAAATACTAAGTAAATATTCATCAACTTAATGATTTGTATACTTAAAATCGTATGGGAAGTGCATTGACGCGATGCTACCCTTCTAGGTTAAGCTGCACCCCCCTTGCTAGTGCTGTAACAACACTTGACCGCTGTACCTCCGTATTGCTTGGAACCGCCCCCGGTCTAGACGGTGCCTGCACCTGAAGATCATATCGCAGCCAACCGCAGGTCCTGAACGGCTCAAGTACAGTATTTAGAAGCTTCGTCTCACAACCAAATCATTCGGACGTCGTTCGCGAGAGCAAAATCACAGCTCGAGCTTTTGTCCATTCCTTCACTGGTGTTGTAGTTTGGAGAGATGTCGACATCTTCGGTATGTACGCCTCATTCTTCCCCTCCTTCCCTTCATCTCCACTTCGGGTATCCAGTGAACGGATGTCTTGGCTGTGAGCATTACTTGGCTCCAAATGACCAAACAATCATGGAACGAGCACATCATGCCAATACATTCTAATTCAGTCAAAGGAGAAGGCAAACCTCGCACGCATTCGCGACAACCAGAGACGAAGCCGGGCCCGGAGGAAAGAATATCTTCAGGAATTGGAGAGCAGGCTGCGGCAATGCGAACTCCAAGGTGTCGAAGCCTCGAGTGAGATTCAGTCAGCAGCGAGAAGAGTGGCAGAAGAGAACAAGAAATTACGGGCGCTATTGGCACAGCATGGCGTTAGGGACGAGAGTATCGAGGTGTATCTGCAAAGAACCTCAACGGCCGATACGGTAATGGGAGGTCAATACGGCAGCCATAGCGAGCCGGTACAGGTATTGGAACAATTGCTTTCAACGCCCAAAGCATGCTGTACGGATGGCAGCAACCCTTCGGGAGGAGGACAGTCCTGCGATAGAGATAGCTCGGGCAGTGTCACCACTACTCAATCAACCTGGGATCCATCCCAGACTGCGAACCCGCGACGTCGTTCTGGAATCCAGCAAGCTGGGAGGGTAGCATCCATGCAATACATGACCCCAAGTGGTAGCACGACGAGCAGCTCCCCGATGGGACATAGTTCAGCGAGTCACGCAATGTCGCAACATCAACGGCTTGTATCCGCGCAAATGGGGAGGCATATGAGCCCAGGCTCGAATGCACCGAGCCAGAATCACCAGGTTTACGACTATGATCAGCAGTTCTCTTTGTCGAACCGGTCGTATTCTTCCATCCAAAGCAACACCCCGAAACACCAATACCAGACCTTGCAGCAGTCATCATCGGTATACGTGCCTACGACATCCAGCTCGAATGTCAATAATTGTAATTACGCGGCGGAACTAATCACGACAATGGCAGGTGTGAGCGACTCATCGGCAGTTCGGGCAGATCTTGGTTGCTCGCCGGGCATGGATTGTGAGGTGGATAATCAACTGGTTTTTAATGTTATGGATCGATACTCTGGTGTTGGGTTATAACGACTACAGAGGTGTCTGGAGCCTGTGGGTGGCTTTTGACACTGGGGTAGAGATTCTAGGGAAGTAATGAAAATGGCCAATTGGCAGCATCAACACTGTTGGACTGAACGATTCATTTCTGGGATTCAATATATCAGCCAGCTCTTCGCACTAGCGTGTGAAGGCTCAACTGGGGCGAAGACTATCTGTTTGCATTCTACTGTCTCGGTTTACGTTCCAATTCAAGGCGATCCGCATCAAGTGATGGTTCAATCGTAAAGCTGATCGTTCTTCAGCAATTAGCCCCCTTATTTAGTGCGTTTGGTTTAATTTTTGAGAAAGAGACAGGTGCTGAGCAAGACGAAAACATTACTCCTGATTGTCTTCAGTTTTATGACAGAGGCGGGGTATCAGAGCCAGCTAGCAACCCGCATCTGGACAGCCCATTCCTCAAGCATACCAAGTTAACGCATACGGAAACACCCACGCAGTCTCCAATTCATGCGGGTGCGCTTCTTTGTTCCGATTGCGAGAGCCCTTTGTCCACTGAACATCACATTGTTATTTCATTTGCCCTCGTAAAGTCCCCTGTGCCTCAAGCTTCAGAATCGACAATCCAGAGAGGTAGTATCGTCGTCCTTATCTTATATTTTCAATCGTGGCATTAGTTAGCGATGGCTCAATCACGGCGGCGGCCTCCACCCTTCTATGATTTTTCTCCTTTTCAACATGCACCTGGTGTCGCAGCGCAGATTCGAAAATACGGGGCTCCACAGATAGTCGACATCCCTCAGACGACGATCCCCTCACCTTTGGCGCCCTGTCTTGCTCCAGACACTGTAGCGGGTTTGAAACGGCGCCTACTCGGCGATGGGTCTGGAAAAGCGGTTTTCAGAGAAGAGAGTGCAGGGGCGGAGGTTTGGGCCAGCTGGAAGAGAGCTTGGGATCTTTGGAACAACCATTACATTGAGGGACGGGTGTCTCCAGTGTGGATCAGAGAGGAGTATGAGAGATTGAAGAAGGAAATGGAAGATGCGAGAGATAAGCGACGACGAGAGCAGGAGATTGACAGATTCAGAAATCGAAATTTCCCGAAACGTCACAGCAAACCAACTGCTAGAGCGACGGTCTTCTCTAGAGAGAAACCCGAAGCAGCACCAGGAAAAGTCTATAAGCAGACGTCCGAAATACGACCAGCCAAAAATGCGATCGTCAAAAAGCTGCAGAGTCGACCCAAGCCAGGTAGTAAGAGAGTGTTCAAACGCAAAGGAGAGAAAGTTCCGGTCTATGGAGAGCGGGTTCTTACCGAAATCGTTCAGGTTGAACGAGTCGTACCCAGGGATCCAGCCACTATGAGTAACAGGTCAAATATCGCCGCAAACAACCGAGTCAAACTTCCTGTTCCCAAAGGAAATGCCGGACCGAAATCGCTGGATACTGTAATCGAGATCGCATTGGAAGAACGGCAAGTTATGGAATTCGGTCACGTCGATGTCTCCGAAGAAAAGATCTCACCTAACGCCATGTCCTCTGCGGATATGCCGAAGTACAGAAAGGAGAATAATACTTTACCTGGTACAGACGAGACACCAGACGAGACACCCAGGTTTGGCTCTCAGAGACCACAGATGTGGCATCCAGTTACGGAACCGTGCTTGGAGGGAGAGAGGACGTTGACTGTTGACGAAACGGTGCCTATAATCGAGTTTGAAGATCGATGGGTTGATGTCCTGGAAGAGGATGGCAAAGCAGTATTGATTGGGTGGGTTGAAGAAGATGAAGATGCTGTCATGGAAGATGTTGGTAATGATAGCGAGAATATCGACCTCGATCTCGATCTTGACGTAGACGATAATGGCCATCTCGCCAGAATGCCAATACCAGTGATTGACGAAGAGCCCGCGGTGTTCTATAAGCCGAGACACCTTGTCGAAAGGGACGACCACTTTAGCGGCGGATTCTTCCCTATGAAGAGTCTTGATCCATACCCAGAGCCTGATGATTCTGATGACAATGGCAACCGGGACTGGCTTGATGCTTTGCAGAATACTGTTTGGCGCCCACGTCATGTTGGCGAGAAGACTTTGCAGATTGAGATGGACGATTTGTTTGATGAAACTCCCGCAAAGACATGGCTCGAGGTTGATGGAGGTGTTGATTGTGGACGGAGTCCATACCCGGTACGTGTTGTGTGTCTTGTCAAGTATCATTTCTGACAGTAGGACAGGTCCTACGAAGCGTGACCGAATATGTCAAAATCCCAAAAGATCTTGGTGGGGGTCTCAACGGTGTGTTCCGCAAAAAGAAAATGTGGGATGGAGTCACTGGGACTATCTTCAATATGCCCACAAAGCCGCTTGAGCAGGATGAAACCGAGGACGAGAGGATGAGCCGCATGCATCTTCTATACGGCGATTTCTTTCGCGATAATCGTTACAAACACCGTCACGACTTCTTCCCGCTGGATATTCGTCGTGTGAAAAGAAGAAGCGACAGAAACTACCCTGGAAGACAAACCACAACGCCGATGTTGGAGAACAGGGAGACTCTGGTCCGGTATCCATGGCATATACCTGAAGATGAGGGTAAAGATCTGCCTGCCAACGACCCGTGGGCGGTAACTGCCGAGCAAAAGCGAAAGAAGAATGTCCCCGTCAGAAGACATCCTCCTGCCCACTGCTATCAAGACAAGAATCAATTACCCCTCTTGCCTGTCGATGACTTAATGTGGCGGGAAGAACTACAGGATGATGATTATGGACGTTGGAAATACTTCGTCACCAACCTCCATGGCGGAACCCTTCTCATCAACGGCCAAGAGATCAAGAAGAACCAGATTGCTGGACCACTTCCAGAGTTCGCTGTCATTGAATGCCCTGGCAAGCAAATTGCCTTTTGGTGGGGTCCAGGCGGCAGGAATTACTTGCAAGGACAGCCGGGGTACGACCATGAGAGCAGATGGGAGTCCTTAAGACGTAGCGATCCTGACTTAGCGAAGGTCGCTCTGACTTCTGGGCAAGAGTGGGATTACAAGATCAGAGTGCGAATTACGAAGGAATTCTCGGGGAATGAGTGGGAGGATGATGCGCAGTGGGATGAATGGAAGAAAGCTGTTGCGGCACCATCTGAACCGGATCTAAATTGTGACGCTGCGAAGCCTGCTTTAAGTGAGTTATGTCATAAATCATAATGAGAACAGAGCTGACTTTTGCTACCAAGCCGACAATACTCTAATCCGATTCAAGAAGTTCAACAAACTCGGCATGCCCACAGGTACCGACATCATACAGCCTGAGTGTTTCCCATCCGACAGAGACGAGCTCCGCTGGCTACACACCAAAGCCGAGCCCCTATCGGAGGTGATACAGTCCTCCCAGAAAGACAATTTCATCGACCCTCTCCAGGTCGGCATGCCTTTCTTCCCAGGATCCATCGCCCCAGAAGATGTAAAGGAAGTCCGGGCACAAAGAATGGCGAAGCGAGCCTACAACGCGAAGGAGCGGGAAATTATCAAGGAACAGATGAATTTGAACGTTGCGGTAGCGAAGATGAAAACTGCAAGACTTGAGCGCGAGAGAGAGGCTAGTATAGCGGTGGGAATGAAGCGGGAGGCTGAGTCGCAGCTGCAAGGCCCATTCCCGAAGAAGAACGCTTTGGCCAATACGAGGGGAGAGGCTGAGGAGGATCTCAAGAGATATGATGGTGCGGATACTGAGCCAGAGAGGTACAAAATGCCTCAAAATATGGAGTTCCTCGTCCGTGTGTTCGACAAGGATGTCAGGTCGGCTTTGGAAAGGAACATCAAGGAGTACGGGAAAAGAAAGACTGTCGCCCTTGCAGCTGGTCGCAGATTCACGGAAATCCTACCGACTCTGGATGTTGAGATTGAGCAATATCTCGACAAAAGGAGAGAGCGAGAGCAGGACGATCTTGGATCCCTAGAAATATTCAGAAGGAACAGACTCGCGGCAGGAATTCCAATGCCTCCAGAGACTTATATTCCTCCTGGGGTCGACGAGATTTACGCCGCCTGGAAAGCCGACCAAGCTGAGCTGGCTAGAGAAGCCGAGGAGGAAGAAACAATAGAAAGACAGGCGGAAGAACTTCGTCTTAAAATCAACCAAGCAGCTGAACAAGAGCGCTTAAGAAAAGCTAAAGCCGCCGAAGAAGCCGCGCTCAAGAGGTTCGAAATGCAGCAGACGATAGCGGATCAGAAAGCAGCTGCTGAGGTGAAGATGACGCTTGCTGAGATAGCGCAGCAGAAGAGACTCGCGAGCTGGAGAGCTATTCTCGCGAATAACAAGGCGAAGAAAGCCTTGGAAAGCAAGATGGCGAAGATGAATGCTGAGGATATGCCGCTGGAGCTGGACGGTTCTGAACTGCATGGGGCTTTCGAGTTTGAGCAACAGCCTGAGGACTATATTGATACGGGGAAGAGTGCTTATTCAACGGGGAGTCTGAAGAGCTTTGATGGGCAGGCTGAGATGCTTGTGGATGATCAGGGCCGGTTTGGCTGGGATGTGGATGGGGAGGTCGAGGGGAACAAGCCAACAGAGAGAAGAAGGATTCGGCAGGTGGAGGGAGAGGCAGAAGACTTTGAGATGGCGGCGGAGGAGTTGGAGAGGAGGGGCCCCGTGAAAGTGGATGTTTATAGGGAGACTGTGAGGAGGAGAGCCGGTGATAATGTGGAGGTCGGTCTTACGCTTTGAGCGTTTGCGAGTGTGGAGAAACTGGTAGTTGGTAGGTAGAGGGTTTTTGGTTTACTATCATGGAGTGAGATCGAAGTTAGTGTATTTGACAACTAGGGGTTCCCCAATTTCTCTTACTATCTTCATTTTTACTGTTGTGCGAACGGTACGTAGGTGGTAACCATGTGGCCAGGATCGGCACGCCACAAAAACATCGAAATGCAACAAAGATTATTAGTTCTCTATGCGAGTGAGATGTGGAGGCAAACTTTAGATGACATGTGTGACGTGGTGAAATTTAGTTTTAGGATAAATGCAGCGGTGTTTTAGTCGAATGGAGATAGCTGTGTGGCTTTACTCCTTGAGATATGCAGAATAGCCCTTAACAGTAGCACCAAGGCCATCGGCGTCAAATCATAAATAAAGTAATGTCCTCAAATGTTTATAGAACATTGAAACATTTCATTTGACGCTTTTTACATGGGAGGAACTGGCCAGTATAAAGTACCTGGGTACGTCTATGGAGTAGCTGGTGAATGGCATTCATATACGGACAAGTAGAGTGAATACTGTGTTTGGGTCTCTATTTGTACGTTTTGTTGGCGTTACTACAGTTCATTCTAACTTTCTCGTAATGAACGTGTGGTTAAAGTCTTCCGTATCTACTGTGATATGATGATGTGCCTCAATAGTGAGTATCCAAAAATATTATGGTATATGACGAAACAGAGACGATTTTGAGCTTTTAGCCCCTTTAAACTGGCCATCCTTCTGATTCTGGTTTCAAGTAAGTGGTTCCCACTACCTCACTCGTCTAGAAAGTCCATCATTTACGAGATGTAAATCAACTCCTCAATGTTTTCTCTACCTTTCCAACCCCTTTACTTTAGCGAGCTCGCTTACCGTTTCTTGAAACCAAATAGAGCTCATGGGAGAGGGGAGGGCCATAAATTAAATCGTCAAACGCAATCAAATCAAGCGAAGATAATCTTCAGAAATACCATCTGATGTTCCACACGAGAGTCCAAATTGGCATGACGTTGATGCAATCAATCCCTGATCCCACCTCGGGCGAATATAAATGTTATTCCGAGAAGATCTGATTGGCGCGCAAATATCAACTACAACTTCCCCGCGCTGAATGGTTGTCAACAGGGCTCGAATAGCGTCAAATTTGCATGACAATTCCGGCTGAATTGTACTTGCCTACCAAGTGCTTGTCTGGTCAACATCATTGCACCGAGAGATCGTCCGGGGGCGGGGATGCTCGGGGAAGGGAACAACTACCTAGTGCAGAAAGCCACCCGTTTACCCCGCGATTGCTTGAATTTCGCCGCACTAGGTATTACGGCATACGGCATACGGCACTACCGGACATCACACGTTATGTCTGTACCTGAACGAACTGCCAATTCAGGGCAAGATTGACAATAACTCCTCACTTTGTTCTGTCATCGGCCTCTCGTATCGCTGCATGTGCGTAAGGTATCTGAATCACATTTGTTGATGCCATAGCTTGCATGCATGGGATCACTCTTGATTTTTAAAATTTGCACAAGCGCCAATGAGTGTTAGAATGGCATGCATATAAGCCAGCCCAGTCCCTTTGCGATATCCAACATGCCCGTGCAAAGTTCCAAATCGGTTCTCTTACAATGAAGCTCCTTCGTACCATTACAGCTTTTGCCCTCGTGGCACAAGCTGCGGCTCTGTCAATCGGAGGGAAGAATATGAAAATTGAGAGAGACAGTGCTGGCCTCCAAGATATCGTAAGTACTCTCAAGCCTGCGTTTTACATGCATACATGCACAAACCCTGTGACTAAATGGACTAGGTCACATACGACGAACACTCCCTCAAGGTCTATGGTGAACGAATATTCGTGTTCAGTGGAGAATTCCATCCATTCCGACTACCAGTCCCTAGTCTCTGGCTCGATGTGTTCCAAAAAGTCAAAGCTTTGGGATTCAATTGCGTTTCATTCTACGTAGACTGGGCTCTTCTAGAAGGAAAGCCAGGGGTTTACACTGCTGAAGGAGTCTTCGCCTTCGAGCCATTCTTCGATGCCGCAAAAGAAGCGGGTATTTACCTCCTCGCTCGTCCAGGCCCGTATATCAACGCGGAAGTGTCTGGTGGTGGGTTCCCAGGCTGGTTGCAACGCATCAAAGGACAACTCAGAACCCGTGCTCCGGACTTCTTAGCTGCCACAGACACGTATATGGCGGGTATCGGCGCTGCTATCGCCAAAGCTCAGATCACGAATGGTGGTCCAGTCATCCTTGTGCAGCCCGAGAATGAATATACCAACGCCATTTCTGGCGTTACTGGAGGATTCCCAGATCCAGTCTATTTTGCTTATGTCAAGAAACAACTCCGAGATGCTGGGATTGTTGTGCCGCTGGTCAATAACGATGCTTGTAAGCTGTTATACTTTCAATACCCTTGGGTTTACCCTGACAATTCTTAGCGCCCAAAGGATATTTCGCGCCAGGGTACTCCATCGGAGGATCCACAGAGGGCAATGTTGATATCTATGGCCATGATAACTACCCACTGGGTTTTGACTGCGCTAATCCTCGTACCTGGCCTGCGGGTAGGTTGCCAACGAACTTCCATGCTCTGCACCAACAACAGAGCCCAAGTACGCCATACGCGCTCATTGAGTTCCAGGGCGGGTCGTTCGATCCCTGGGGTGGCCTGGTCAGTATCTCTAGCTGATTTCGTGAGGAGAAGTTACTAATGAGAGTAGGGTTTCGACCAATGCTCTGACCTGCTGAATATGGAGTTCGAAAGAGTCTTCTACAAGAATGACTTTGCATCTGGCGTTGCAATACTTAATCTGTACATGATCTGTCAGTTCTTCCTGTCTCTCTTGACCATGTACGGAGTTTGGTTACTGACATACATAGATGGTGGAACAAACTGGGGAAATCTTGGTCATCCTGGCGGATACACCTCTTACGATTACGGCGCGAACATTGGAGAGAATCGCGAGATCCATAGAGAAAAATACAGCGAGTTGAAGCTCCAAGGCAATCTCCTCAAAGTCTCACCTGCGTACCTCACTTCCAGGGTAGGGACTGGAACCACCGGAACCTATACTGATTCAAGTAGCATTTTCACTACGCCACTTTTCGGCAATGGCTCAGCAACAAACTTTTACATCATCAGGCATTCTGATTATCAGACTCTTAATTCTGCCACGTACAAGCTGACCGTCGCGACAAGCAAGGGAGCTTTGTCTATCCCACAACTTGGAGGGAGCTTGACTCTCAGTGGCAGAGACTCGAAATGGCACGTGACTGAGTACGATCTTGGCGGACTTACGCTACTGTACTCTTCGGCAGAGATCTTCACCTGGAAGAAATTCGGGGGAAAGACAGTCCTTGTTGTCTATGGTGGACCAGGAGAGCAACATGAACTTGCTGTTGTCTCTGGCAGCTCGGCGAAAATCGTTGAGGGTGCTGATGTTACCACTAAGAGCGTGAATGGCTCTGCTGTTCTCAACTGGAAGACTTCGCCGACTCGGCGTGTGGTTCAAATTGGAGCCCTTTTCGTCTACATCCTGGACAGAAACTCTGCTTACAACTACTGGGTTCCTGATTTCGTCCGAGACGATCAATGGGGAGCGTAGTAAGTCATTGTCCATTCCAATTTCGGTGCTTTTAAACTCATAAGTATTAGTTCTGCCAATATTGGCAACACAACCTCGGTCATTGTCCAAGCTGGCTATCTCGTCAGGAAAGTCTACATCAACAACAAGGCCCTTCACATCGACGGCGATCTTAACGCTACAGTCCCTATCAAAGTCCTTGGCGCACCTGCTGGCTTGAACTCTCTTCACTTCAACAGCGCAAAGCTGGATTACAAAGTCGACTCTGTTACTGGAGAGTGGTCATCTACTCTTCAGTACAACCAGCCCAAGGTCAATCTTCCAGATCTTTCATCTTTGAGCTGGAAATACCTTGATGATCTTCCTGAGGTTCAGTCAACGTATGATGATTCCGCCTGGACCAAAGCAGACCACACCACCTCAAACAACCCGTTCAAGTTGCAAACCCCTACATCACTATTCAGTAGCGACTACGGATACCACACCGGTGTGCTGCTCTACCGCGGCCACTTCGTCGCCACCGGAAGCGAAAGCACATTTTTGGTCCGCACCCAAGGAGGAAGCGCTTTTGGGTCCTCAGTCTGGCTGAACGCTACTTACCTCGGTTCTTGGCCAGGTATTGACAAAGCTTCAGAGAACAACAGCACCTACACACTTCCAAACCTTACCAAGGGAAAGACTTACGTCCTCACAATCGTCATCGATAACAATGGCTTGGATGAGAACTTTGTCGTTGGCCCTGACCAGATGAAAGCACCTCGTGGGATCCTGAGCTATAACCTCGCAGGCCACGATCAGAAGGATATCTCTTGGAAACTCACGGGTAATCTCGGTGGTGAGGACTACATTGACAAAACTCGTGGACCATTAAATGAAGGTGGTCTCTACGCCGAGAGGCAGGGCTTCACGCAGCCATATCCTCCCAATCGACAGTGGGCTGCTGGATCTCCGGTGACAGGAATTAGCACTGCTGGTGTAGCCTTCTACCAAGCGAGCTTCTCGCTTGATTTGCCAAACAACTACGACATACCGCTCAGCTTCAGCTTTGGGAACACGACCATCAATGGTGCCACTGCGAATTACAGAGCTCAACTTTGGATTAATGGGTATCAGTTTGGGAAATATGTGAACAATATTGGTCCACAATCTGAGTTCCCTGTGCCAGAGGGTAAGTAGCTCTTGAGATATTTGTAAAGTGTAGCTACTGACATTTGCCAGGCGTTTTGAACTACCACGGCCAGAACTGGCTTGCCATCGAGCTCTGGGCTCAACAAGCGTCTGGAGCTCACCTGTCGGACTTCGCCTTGAAATCTGGCACACCAGCCTGGACATCGAACGATCGTCCAGAGATGGTACCTCGACCTGCATACAGCAAGAGGCCAGGCGCATATTAAGCGAGAACAAAGAGAATAGTAATCTGAATGTCTAATATGACCGGGTATTCTTATTTTACAAATCTCCAAAACACAGATGTATATAATTCAGCCTAAGATGGCCGAATTAAGAGAGTGGCAATGATAGTAACGATCGCTGCTCCTGTAGCAGCACCTTCTAATGCAATCAGCGTAATATCCTGCTTTCGCATCTCTACCAACCTGTTACTAAACAAGTCTTGGAATGTGGCTTGGGCTTGGTAGGCCCAGCTTGAAGATCGTGCTCTGAGCTTCATGAGCTCGGTTGGTACGTGAATATCTTCTGGATCCACTGCAGCTTTCGCCTCTGGCTCCTGCTCGCCTTCTATGCAAGCTACTACCGCATTGACTGCTGGCTCTGAACTTTCTGTACCACTCTCTGCCTCTTCTTCCAGCTCTTGGATGCCGGCAGCTACCACGCTGTCCAAAGGCACATCTGCTACGTTTGCAGAATCATGACTTCTCGCCTGCGCAGCGAATTTCTCCTTCTCTAGTGCCTCTCTAACTTTCTCCTCAAAGCCGTGCACCAGCCTCCTCCTCCTCCATGGCTCAAAGCCAAACTGGAAGACCAAAAACAGTAACACGTTAACCCCCATCAGTCCCCATGTTCCCCACGTACTCATGCGCCGGATTTTATCACTCCAGATTTGCTCCTCATGGTACCTACTCAGGATACTACTGCTCAGCTTACTAGCAGCATGTTCTGCCTCCCTCTCCGAATCCGCCAGCTTGGTAGCAGACTCCTGCACCGCCTGCTCATTCGTGTGATCCATCCTATACAGTGCCGTGAACCTTTCCAAATCTGTCGGCGTCCAACTATCTTTTCTGGCTAACAGACCCGTTACTTCCCTCTGTGTGGCCGCCCGGTCCGCAACAGTGGTTTTGTAGGTGAGCCGTGATGAACGAACTGCTTCTTGTGCATCGGAGACACGCTTCTCGAGGAGTGTGATCCGCGACTTGAGGGCTTCGATACCCGAGTAGCCGGTCAGATCGTTGATACGTTGTGAGGCGATGAAAATATTGCCTTGCAGGTGGTCCATTAGGTGGGAGAAGCGTTTCGTGACTGCCAATCTACGACTTTCTTCTGCGGAGGGGAGGTCGGTGGGCTCATCTTCTGGAATAGGGCTTTTAGAAGCATTTTCTGGAGCCGAAGCTGTATCCGCTGTATCCAGAGAGGAAGCTGATGGTGTGTTGGATATCGGATTCGATTGCGAAGAGTTCGGTGGTGGTTTGGGAGAATCGGCAAAGTGCCGTACGTGTGTTCGGATTCTACATTGTAAACAGGTGGTTGGGCGCAGCGAGGACCGACTGGGAATTCGCAGCGATTGTCTGGTTGTTGAAGAGGCAATTGAGTCGAAGAAGAGCCTTGGGACGAATCGAGCCAGTGGCTGCATGGCCGGTGTCCCTTCTTCGAGTTGTGGTCGGGCAGGGAAAGGATGAGTGGTGTTGAACCTGGGCGAGCTTTTTTTGAGGTTGAAGCTCTGGCAATTCACGTTCCGACCCCCGAAAGCAACTCCAGGCCGCTTGTTCACCGCTAAGCCCCACTAAGGAGTCCACTACACTTCACCCCTCCATCGTATCCCACCCGTCTCTACTCAACCGTCTTTGATCTACACTCTCTATTTGGACTGAATTTTTTTTTTACATTGACAGATAGATCGTTGTCTTTCTCTTCATCCCATTTCATAAATTCATTGTTATCCTAGAGATTCCCCCTTTTGTCAAATTTAGAAGGTCAGTCACTTTGTCTCATCAGCTTCACTTGGGCTGGGCTTCGACGTCATCTGCAAGAAATATATTTCTGCCAGTACATGGCCCTCTGCGCCAAATACCCTATCTCCTTAGTCCTATAACAAAATACGTCCAGCTCTGAATACATATCCAGAGGATCAATCCAACAATAACATTTCCAGTTCCTACAATCAACAAACACACAATGGGCTCCACCACCATCCTCCCCGCCATGGCGACCTCCCCCAAATACATCTTCTTCACCGATTTCGACGGCACCATTACGCAGCGAGACTCCAATGACTTCCTCACAGACAACCTAGGCTACGGCCAGAAGCTCCGCAAGCAAGGCAACCAAGACGTGCTGCACGACCGTATGACCTTCCGCGCCTCGTTCCAAGAGATGATGGATTCCGTCAAGACGCCTTATGATCAATGCATCAAGACCCTTCTCGAGAATATCACATTGGATGTTGGGTTTAAAGAGTTCTTCGGGTGGGCGAGACAGAATAACATGCCAGTTGTGGTGCTGAGTAGTGGGATGGAGCCGATCATAAGGGCGCTCTTGACGCATCTGGTTGGCAGGGAGGCGGATGAGATTCAAATTGTTAGTAATGATGTTGCGCCGAGGGATGGGAAGAGCATAAATGAGGAGGGGGGGTGGCAGATTGTCTTCCATGATGAGAGGTGAGTGGCTTGCTCCTCGGAAGAGGGCTTGGTTGGGGCATGAAAATTGATATGGTGTAGTCATTTCGGACACGACAAATCCCTCGAAATCAGACCGTACGGCCAATTGCCTGATGGCGAACGCCCGGTAATGTTCTATGCCGGTGACGGAGTCTCAGATCTCTCCGCTGCAAAGGAAACGGATTTGCTCTTCGCGAAGAAGGGACATGGTTAGTCTCTAAATCCTTCCTGTCATCCCTTTTCATGCCCCAATGGAGGAAAGCATTCGACCCCGTAAACGAGACAACAAGCATTAACCATCTCCTCAAACAGATCTTATCACCTATTGCGTCCGTGAATCCGTCCCCTTCACCGTCTTCGAAGACTGGTCTACGATCCTATCCGACGTCAAGAAAGTCGTCGCAGGCGAGACGACCGTCCAAGAACTCTCCGCTTCGGGACTCGCCGAGTACACGAAAGCTGCGGCGAACTAGATCAAGATTTTTGTATAGAGTTTTTTAGGCTCGGTTGTTTATAGAATAGATCGTTCGTGGCTTTACACCACGTGTGTTGCATAGACAGATTGGATAGAACCAATAGATTGCATTGCATTGCCTTCCTTACATCGCCTGAGGTTCATGATTCTGGTAATTATTGAGCGCTGGAATCCCATAATTTAGAAATAGACGAGGAGAGTTTGGTACCGTGATCTACACAGAATGTGCGAGATCCACAGGTGGAAGTATCTTGACAATCCTGCTCGCGTAATGCTTAGATGACAGGGAATTAATTGCCACTGCCCCTGAACATGCGTCTGCTTCTCCAAGAAGAGATACCGTTGGAGAGTGCCTTGCCTTGATATATGTGCTATCAAAAGTAGACACTATCTGCCTGGGTCAACCATGTCCAGAAAAATAGGCGACGCTAAAGTCAACATGGTGAAGCGAAATTTCGTCTTCCAGTACGACACAAGCGAGAGGAAGAAAATACAAGCGAAACCGCAACACGTTTTCAATATTTGCATTCCTCTTATCCTGTCCTATCCTATCCTGTCAGGCAACCCTATCTATGAACTTCTACCGGAGTAACACACAAGGTAATAACATGTCTCTTTTCCTGCCCCCCCTCCCTCTATCGATTATCCACTCCCTCCAAACCTACATCTATCCACAATAGCATAATCCACCACACAATATAAACGTAGCCAATTCATCGTCTCAAAAAAGTGTGCCCATTCATTCAAGTTCCACCGCATCAACCAATCCAAACAAACTCAAAACAAGAAATGGGTATATAGAAAAAGAAAAGGGAGAAGAAAAAGGATATACTAGAGTAATAGTAGCAGGTACTCGCGACAAGTAGTACAGTGTCCAGTGAATCATCCAGTACTTAGGTATCAGACAAGGACGGTGGCGATCGATCTGTCGTGATGATGATATTAAACCGAAGGACCGTTATCTCAGACGGCTAATAAGCCGGAGTGCGTGTCGCTGATCGGTGGTATGATATGGAGTCATGCCAGTGTCGAAGCGGAAGACGCAAATGCTATGCAGAAGATAGGTCTAGGAATATAGTACGTGATAGGCGTGAGGGAGTGGAATGGATTTGTATCCGAAAAACATCAACGTGTTGAGGTGTTTGCCAAACGTTGATCGGCTGGTACCCGACATGTTATGTATGTAGTATGTGGTTTAGGTTGTGGTAGGCCAAGTCTGGAGGCGTAATGTGTGCTCATAAGAACAAGTCAGAAAAGCCGTGAGCCTCGAACGCCGAGTCCGGAACAGAATAACACCGTCGTGAAGCCATAGGAAAATCAGAAAGAGAAACGAGCATCGATTCATTGATTTAAGCCAGTAGGTGCGCTGGAACCGGTCTCTGTCGATCCATCGCCCTCTATCGTTTTCCTCCAGTGATCTGGTAGACAGACACATACCAAGGGGAATGCTTTGATCTCACCGCTTGCGGCTGGTGATTCGTCCCTCCGACCGGATGTGTTTGATACACCACTATCACGCTGAGCGTTCCTTTTCGCATCCCACTCGTCCGCTCGTTCATTGATCATGACACCAGTCGCCCAACCATCATCCCAGATACCTACCACTTTGAGCATGTCTCCTCGTTCCAGAGCAAACTCGTCGCTTGCTCTCGGTTGATATGCCCAAAGAGTTGCCACCTTGTCACCTGGATGAATTTCGTCTTGCGAATAGTAGTCCTTGAAGAATGGCAACTGCTCGGACTGTTGGCTGGCAACACCCTGGGGTGATGACATGTCTCCACCGCTTCCAGAAACTGGTGATTGGGGATCCTCCATGCCAAGAACAGAATTGCTCGATAATGATCCGGCCCGTCGTGAAGTTGGTGGTGGTCTCAATACACCACCACCTCCGTTTGAGTTAGATACTGGACTGTATTCATCTGAGGATGATTGGTCATGTCTTCTCCTTCCTGCTGCGTATCCAGCTGCGGCTCCAGCGGCTGCACCCCCAGCCCCAGCTGCTCCCAACTCTCCACGAGGGGGAGAGTCTCCTGAATGGCCTTCCAGGGCTGACATGCGTGCAATTCGTCCTCCAGGGAGAACTTCGTATCCCTCCGGCGTGGTAGTGCTTGCACCAACTGGATTGTAGGCCATTCCTGTAGTGTGTCCTCTCCTGGCTGGAGTTGGCTGGTTGAACACGCTGCCATTCTGACTCCCTCTGCGACGACGGAGACAAAGAATGAGCAGGAAGATTAGGCCTGCAAGGATGGCCGCTCCAACTATTGAACCAATGACGATTCCTGCAATAGCACCTCCAGACAGGCCATCGTTAGAACCAGATTCGGATGGTGCAGAGGTTGAGGTTGCAGGAGAACTGGCTGAGGAAGATGTTGCTGTGGCAGTAGGCAAGGTTGTTGCAAAGGTCATATAGCCGGTAATTGTTGGGAGTACAACTCCAGCACATACTTGCTCTGCCTTCGAATTATAACAGCATGTGTCGGTGCTGTTCTGTCCTCCCGATGAGCAGTATTGACACAATCCAATGGTGCTGTTACCGAATCCACAATTGTTGACCTCATTGGCTGCACCGTCGATGCAAGAACCGGTCAAAGATTCGGCAGGTAGAGCGCAATTAGTGAAGTCGGCTCGGATTTGAGTGTCTGCATTGGGGCCTGGGTTTGAACAGAGTTCGCTGTTGGCAATAATAATTGCCTCACTCTCTGCATTTTGGGCCTATTGACTGTTAGTGGTTGTAGTTGTATCAACACACATGTGAGACTTACACATGTGTTCGCGCAGACAGGCCGGGAGGCAACTGCAGAGAGTCCACACGGCGTTACGGAGTTCTGAATTATTGCATTACATATTACTGAGGTCGTGAATCGGGCATAAAGATCGGTGGTGTTTGTGAGATTAATGTTGCTACAGCCGAGAAGTGTCTGGTACCTGCATATTGCATTAGGCGTGTTGGGTGTGGATTTGCACGGGTGAGGAACATACTTCTGCTGGACGTAGCTTGTGGATAGATACGCGCTCAATTGCTCGTCGAATGTTGACGTGCTTGAGACGAATTGAAGGAATGGACTTTGGGACAATTGTCAGCAACGGTGGGAATTCAGACGAGTGCGATACATACAAAAATCCGACAAGAGTGCTGTCGGTCGAGATGGAGGCTGATTGGAACGCGGGACATTGCGTCGAGCCAGACAACGATATACAATTCTGAGCCATTGCGCCAGGCACCGCTGCCAGAGCTCCCAGGAGAATCGTCTTGGTGTTGAAGCCAGTTGATCGTTGTTTTCGTTTGCTGGGCCCTGTGCCCCGACCTTCTCTCGACGGCGCTGGCATTATGGGTCTTCCTCTTTGCGATTCTTCCAGCGACACCATTGACTCCTCCATTACATCGAACACTCCATTATTTGGCTGCGAGAGTTGGATGGTGCTATCGTTGCCTTTCTCCTCGATTCCCTCCCACATATTTCGGTCTCGCTGGTTGTGCGTCCCTGGTCACCACATCCACGCGCTTCCAATTGTCGGTCTCTGCGCTGGCCTTGTTGATCGTCAATATCTCCGCCTCGAACCGTAGCGTAAACAAAACTTCGGGTCCTTCCCTCAGCCTTTCCTAACCAAAAAAGCCCGGAGTGCACTCGATGGTGACGCTCTGGGAGACGAATTGAAGTGTAAACGAGTGACTTGGGGGGGTGGGGGGTTGGTGTGAAGGAGTGTCGTGGTCGGCGGTGGTGGTCGATAGTCGAGTCGTATCGAACGGACGCAGACTGGTTTGGGAGGAGATTGATTATTGCTTGGGCGGGCGGCGGGAGGTTCTCGGGGCAGGGCAGGTGCGGTGCGGTTGCGGTGCGGTGCAGTGCAGGGAAGTTGGAAGTCAGGGTACAGCAGAGACAAGACAGCGGACAGCGGACGCCAGCAGCACTGCAACAGTCGAGGAGGCTGGATCAGGCCGGGGTCTGGATGATTGCTGGGGAGGGCCTGTGGGCCCGTGCGCCAGTGGGCAGAGCACCAGGGCACCAGGGCACCAGGGCTGTTTGGCGGGCGAGCCGTCGCTGCTTTGGCTGAACACGAGCAAGAACCTGGCCTGAAGAGGGCAAGCTCAGTGCCGAAAGATGCTCGTTCAGGTGGTGCTTTGCTGTTCCTGGCCCGATGATGCGAAAAAGGCGCAGGCCCTTTTTTGTCTTTCTGTGCTTCTCTCCTCGTCTCCTCTTTTCTCCCTCCTCTCCTCTCCTCTCCTCTCCTCTCCTCTCAAACAAGTCTGAGCCGAGCTTTGCCCTCGATGCTTCACAAATTCCCACCACAGCACCCAGGGCGCCCGGTACGTCGATGCAGGGGATAGCCTGGTTTCCGATGCAGCGCAAGATTGCTACTGTACCGTACCGAGTAAATTTACCTTAGCTGCAAAGGCCAAGACCCGCCAGAACGAAGGTTTCGGGATCGCACCAGGAGGGCAGCTTGATTCGTCCGGGAAGCGTGCTGAGTGTAATTTTTAATCCTCTTCTGTTGTTGTTGTTGGCGGCATGCGAGATGATGCATACAGTAGCAGTCCGATGCAAGGCCCACATACACATACACATAAACTTCCAATTTTTCATTTCTCATTTCTCTTCAACCTCAATATTGCGAGCCTCTCCGTTCCACCGTGCAGTGCAGTGCAAGTAAATTTACTTCTGCAGGTAAGGTTACAGTATGCACCGCAATTGTTTGTCCATAATCTCGTATAAATCCGGATAATGGCGGACGAGATGCATAAGTCGCAGCATATGAGACCTTCGTTTCTCGCGCTTTTCGCTCACACGGCTGCTGTCCACCCGTTTTTCTGTATTTGTTTTCCTCCCGCCTCTCCTTGTCTCTCGCTATCCCCTGCTCCCGCGTGGTGTTGGATCCTGTCGGGACATTTCTCAACTTGCCATTGGTCTCACGTGGAATTGGCTGAGCTGCACGTTTTGGTCTCTTCTGTGACGTGCTGCCTCAAAAAGTCTAGCGTTGCAAGAGCTGCTGCTTATGGGAAATGAGTCGTGGAGTTTTGCTCGAGAGAGTGCAGAAACAGCTGCCAAACCCAGACGATATGCGGTAAGGTTGGAACCTAATTTATATTAGGTATCACCGCGCCAATCAGCCAATCAACCGACGAGAGAGGTGCTGACACTTGCTGTCATGGCTTGAGGTTAAGCAGTGAGGCTTGTGAACTGTTTGAACGGTTCCCTTCTTTCTGGATGCTGTGTGATGTTTGCATAATCGTCCGTCGGTTGCAGATGTCTATTGATCTATGTTTGGCATATTTATGCATCAAAGCTTCGCTCTGTCGTCGCCCCAAGTACCAACGTTTACCAGATTTGGTGTTGGTAAGTGATGTCCCACCACACCTGGTTCCTTCAACTCTTATTATGGACTTCAAGGAGTTTCCTCAGAACAGAACTTGTTGTGCTATGAAGCACTTCTTTTTTCAGGATACTGTGCCAACGGGTGACAGTAAGACGAAAAAAAATTACAAGTTCATCCCATGTCTGATGTCGACTTTTGAAGAGATTGTCCACCTTCCCAAGGGAATCCATTCCAGCTCAAACATATAAGACTTCAAATAACGAACATCATCTCTCAAGAGATGCCTAAGGTGGAGTAAGCTTCACACACAAACAATTCTTTTGCGCCTCATTGTTATGCCTACCACAAATCGTCAGATGGAAATTCGGTCAAGTTTCCATTCTTTATCATGGCATACAAACACAGCCATGCTCACGAGCCTCGCTAACATTCCCCTGATTCCTCCCAGCGACCAAGAGAGCCCCTATCATGCGTTGTTATGCCCTTTATGCTATTGCATGATTGCTCAATCCAGAGGCCTGTCAGTTCCGGCGTGCATTTTGTATGGCCTCTCGTTTTAGAAGTGCGGTCAAGCGAGCGACTTAGGATATCTTCCCCGCGTTCATCCAGGCACCGATGCAGGTCCCGAAACGAGAATAGCGAGACCGTCAAAAATAGCCTTTCAATGCTTCTTCTTTCCTTCTTCTCTTTTTATGTCAAGCAAAAAAATGCATAAACAAACTATCGAGATCGAGCCATGCTGATCCGTTCATCCCAACTTGCATTTTTCACCTCTAATCCTGTGCGTGTCGTCAACGAGAGACGCGTTCTTTTTGTGCTCGAGTGTTCCTGGCTGGACCAGGGTCTTCGGAGATGAGCATTCTACTAAGCAAGGGTTCACTTGGATCCTTCACCGGCGACCAGGCACACCCAGTCAATACTTCCCGTCTGATAAAAGTTTTGATTCGTTTGATCGCCGCGAGCCTCCGATTTCTACGATACGTGCGATATACCCCTCGTTGTTTTGACACTATTCAAGTCTGTACCAGACTCTTTCAAAGACGGCTTATCTTCAGATGTGTTTTATCAATGTGGACAAAGACTCGGGAACTTTTCGAGCTTTGATCACTGTTTGTGCGGAAATGCTCTCGATTTTCGTGTTTTTGTGAAACATTTGAGATTGGCCTTGAGGATCTGCGGAAACAGTTGCCCGCACGAAACGCACGGTCCTTATGTGAGATCTGAGCAATCAAACAAAACATACAGTCGATAGCGCGTAGGTGCGGGTTCGATTGGATGTTTGCGTCAGCAAGACAAGTGATATCCCAGGTTGTTGGGACGCTGGTTCCTGGAGTTGTGTAATGATGTTGCAATTTCGAGTGGTCGAGCGACTGGCCGTGGGATATTTTTATTGACTTTTCTCGCGTTTTTGTTTCTCCCAGCGGAGCGGCGATTGTATGGTCCTCCATATCCAATATTTGTGTTTCTTGTTGCTATCACCTCGCGAGCTGTCCTCATCATGCAGTCCTTCACAAAACTTTCGTCACGTCCATCATGAAATCTCCTGATTTCCTCCTCTGCCATATATACAGACAAATCTCAACCTCCCGCTTGATATTGCAGTTGCATTACGTGAATTGCCACGAGCCTATCTTGTCTCCTAAATATGCATCCCCATCGTTCACTACCCCCATCACACTGTAGCCAACATCTGCAAGTGCTAAATCTTCTAATCCCGAGCTATAGCATCCGCTTCATTTCATGCTCGTGTTGTTCTGTGCTCAAATACTTTAGCAAGCACAGAATTTGTGTGCCTATGCAGACGCAATTACAGTGAGTGAAGAACTAGAGGACGAAGACAACAACGTGCCCTTCCTTACACACCTCTCTGATAGTCTCAAAATCCACTTTTGGGGCGCTTCTTGGGATTATTAGGAGCTGGGTTTGCAATTCATGGTACTCATCACGAGGCCTGGAATACTTCTAGACTCACCTAAGGTGATGTTCGGGTGGGTGAAATGGCATACCATTGTTTGCTCAAGTGAACCATTGGCCTTGCACAGTACAACACACAGAATCGCCATACATTTAGGCGTCTTGCCAAGGATGCGAAGCGGCGACAACAATCATTATTATGTGCAGGTTTATGCACACTTTCATAGCTTCCAAATACCTGTCTGTCCTTCGTCAAACCTTCCCAGCAGCTGCTATCCTTTCACTTATCTCAAAATGAATCTCAGCAACATATATGACTCCTGGACTGGGGAGATCAGCATGACCTTTTGTATTGTCTGCTGTGGTGCTCTAGCAACTGTGCTCGTTTGCTGGGACGGCCACACCGCACCACAAGTCATACCGAGTTTCCCCCAACACGCTCGCATCTATCCTCGCTTCAGCAGCGAAGGTGTCTCTACTCATAGCTGCGGCCGCTGCAATAGATCATTGAATTTACAAGACAACAAATTGGGGAATGCTGCGTCTGCTATTGAACTATTCGATGATGCCAGTCGAGGCTCGATGGGAGCAATCACGCGGCTTCTCAGCGGCCGACGAGGACCGATCGTTGCTGGAATATGCACTCTCGTTATCATCACTTCGGTAGCTTTTGGGGCGTTTATTCAGCAGGCAATTTCGTACCCATTACAGCTCATTTCCAAGCCTTGTAATAAGGCTCAAATGCCGATTATCAGAGAATTTCACGAGCTTGTGACATCTTCCTTGGCCTCTCTCTCCTAAAACGGCGAAAAAAACGTTGCTGAGCTGTGCATTAGGCACTGGAATCGTGCCTGCAGTCACTCCTCAATGCCCAATTGGGAATTGCACCGGGAAACCGTACGCAACCTGAACTCTGTGTAGTGCCTGCACTGATGTCAGTAATTTCGTTGGCCAGCGCTACAGCTGTGACCTGGACGTCGGCGAGGATGGCATTCATGATATTCACGATGATTCTCCTCTCATATGTAGGTGCAGCTTGACGGACGGCGGAAATAGAGCCTGGGCCAGCACTTTTCGTAACTGCCCGTCATTGCAATCTGTGCGACTAGGATCGAATGAAACAACCTTGGGCTTTGCAAATAGGACATTTTCGAACATGCCATTTCCACTGTACGCGATGGAAGTGATATGGACCATCTGAGAATACAACAAACCACCCCAAGCTCTTGAGTGTGCCATCACCTTCTGTCTAAGCACCTATTCCCACCCTTGTCATTGACGGCCTCTTGAATTCAACACTGATATCGACCGAATACCCTCCCGTAACATTTGATTCTCAACTTGGCATTGGGACCTATCAGCTGGACGCGAGCTTCCTAGTGAAACTCATCAAAAGAGTGTCAGCAAGACATCGTGTCCGAAGTATTTTTGGAAAGAAATATGGACAAGATTCTCGGATTCTTTCTAGGGATTTGGGGTCCTGAGCCTAACTCCACGGTACCTGGCTCATTTTTCCATGTAGCTTGGTCTTTTCTGGGAATGGTCTTTGTTGCCCTGACAGTTTTCGAGAGGAGATCTCGGTTGTTGATAATTTGGAAAATATCGAGTGTGGCGCTGTCCTACCATGGTTTGGATGTTTTGCCTAGCGATGTTCGTTCAATGGATGTCGTCAGTGCTATGGAGAAGAGAGCTGATGGGACGGTTGTGAGGTTAGGGAGGGGCAGTTGATAGCAACTGGAGAATGCGCAGTGCTTAATTGACGAAAGGTTATACTGCGCCCGTAAGCCAGTAATTGAATTAACCTCTGCAACTCATGCTTGGATTTAGGCACCACATAACAGAGAGCGCAAGATGTGGACAGTTGAGTGGGTCATTGCCCGGTTACGGCTACAGCTGCCATAAACCTGCAGAACCTCGCCCACAACTTCGTACTTATTTTGTACACCGGAGTTTTAACGGCGACGTTTCCAATTCTACGATCTAACTAACAATCCAGCCTCCAGCCCGCTCACTCTGAACGCCAGAAATCAAAATCAGGGTATCCAAAACGCGAGAGACTTGCGTTTACAAGGCTTGGTACCTAAGCCAGGCTTTCTCGCTTATCTATGATTTACCTTTGAATCCCAAGAGCCAACCGCTTACTATTTATTCTATTCCATCTCAATGGTTCCAGGAGGCTTGCTGGTCAAGTCGTACTCGACACGGCAGACACCATCAACCTCATTGACAATTCGCGTGGATACCCGCTCCAAGAAGTCCCAATCAAAACGGAAGATATTCGCCGTCATGAAATCGGTGGTGCAGACCGCGCGAAGAGCAACAACTTGCTGGTGCACTCGCTTATCACCCATAACACCCACTGCCTTGACGGGCAAGAGAGCAGCAAAAGCCTGACTGATTTGATCATAGAGACCAGCCTTCCTGATCTCTTCGATGAAGATGTGATCAGCTTTGCGGGCAATGGCAACTTGCTCGCGGGTGACTTCACCAAGGACTCGGATGGCAATTCCTGGGCCGGGGAAGGGGTGGCGCATGACGAGGTCGTGTGGGATACCGAGCTGTCTTCCTAATTCGCGAACTTCATCTTTGAACAGTTCGCGTAGAGGCTCGATGAGCTTGAGGCCTTGACCATTCATCATGCGCTCTGGGAGACCGCCGACGTTGTGGTGGGTCTTGATGGTTTGAGAGGGGCCCTTGAAGGAGATGGATTCGATGACGTCTGGGTAGAGAGTGCCCTGCAAGAAGAACTTGATTGGACCAGCTTTTGGAGAGTTTTTGGCTGCTTCTTCGATTTTAAGAGCTTCGGCTTCGAAGACATCGATGAAGGTACCTCCAATGAATTTACGCTTGGCCTCTGGGTTGTCGTGGATACCCTTCAGGCCATCAAGGAACAGATCTGAGGCATCGACAACGGTGAGATTAATACCGAGGTGCTCGGTCAAAGTCTTCTTGACCTGCTCACACTCGTTGAGACGCATGCAACCATTGTCAACGAGAACAGCGTGGAAGCGATCTCCAATAGCCTCGTGCATAAGCTTGGCAGCGACGGTGGAGTCGACACCTCCGCTAACAGCACCGAGAACTTGCCCTTTCTCTCCGACCAAAGCTCTGATTCTTGCAATCTCTTTATCCACGAATGTAGCCATTGTCCAATTTTGCTTTGCGCCGCAAATTCCAACAGCAAAGTTCTCCAATAACTTGGTTCCTCGAGGTGTATGTGTAACTTCGGGGTGGAACTGGATGCCATAGATTGGTTTCGTTTCATGCGCAATACCCGCGTATGGGGAATTCTTGGTTGTCGCAATGATGTGGAACTGAGGAGGAAGTGCTCCCAGCTTGTCACCATGAGACATCCACACCTTCACATCGTCCTCCAAGTCCTTGAACAGCTTATCCACTCGCCCATCTTCTCTATTCGCTTTGACATCTGCGTGTCCATACTCTCTTTCCGTTCCGGCGATCACATTCTTCCCATGATGCCATGCTATCTCTTGTAATCCATAGCATATTCCGAGGATTGGAACTCCGAGTTCGAAAATCGCGGGGTCGACGTGGGGGGCATCTGCTTCGTAGACGGAGTACGGCCCTCCTGAAAGAATAATCCCTTTTGGTTTCCAGGAGAGATCTGCCAGCTTTTGAGTGCACGGGAGCATCTCAGAGTAGACATTAAGTTCTCGTAAACGACGGGTGATAAGATGAGTATACTGCGAACTGGAAGAACGTTAGAATAAGAAAAGTATGACCTGATGCAATTAGTTTACCCAAAATCAAGAGTGAGAATGGTATCGAAGAGCTTGTGAGGCTCATCTGGGAGTTCTCCGTTGGAAGCCATTTCTGCGAATTTTGTGGTTGTGACTCTGAATGTCCGAAAAAGGAGGGGGAAATTTGGAGGGGTTTAATTTAGGAATTTTCGATAGCGCACTAAGATAAGATCACATGGAGATAGCGCCGATATTGAAGAAATTATTCTGGCCATCCTGCTTCTGCTTCTTGACAGGCACCTTCAACAAAACAGCAAAGATGGTCAAAAAGAGGAATAGAGATCCAGAAGTTCTCCCAGAGGCACCTTCAGCACAAGGAGGTGATAATGATAGTGGCAGTGACGATGTAAGGTACCCCGCATATGATTTCCGCACCAACACTAACTCCTCCATAGGATGTGGATATGGTCAATGTTGAATTCGAATGGTTCAATTTCAAGCCAGAGGTCGACTTCCATGGTCTCAAAAGTCTTCTAAGACAGTTGCTTGATGTCGATTCTCAGCTGTTCGATCTTTCTGCTCTCGCCGACCTCATCCTGTCACAGCCTACGGTCGGATCAACTGTTAAGGTTGATGGAGATGAGACTGATGCATATGCATTTCTTACGATTCTCAATCTTCACGAGCATCGAGAGAAGAAGGTAATAAAAGACCTTATTGAGTACCTTGTTGAGAAGTCTAAGTCGAGCCCATCCTTGGCACCACTCGGTAGTCTTCTCACATCTTCCTGTCAAGTCGGTCTCGTTCTTGGTGAACGCTTGATAAACGTCCCTGCGGAGATTGCGCCGCCGATGTACACTATGCTCATCGACGAGATCGAAGCAGCTGTTGAGGACAGAGAGCCATACGAGTTTACCCACTACCTGATTCTATCCAAGACTTATAACGAGATTTCCTCGAGCTTAGATCAGGAGGATGCACCACGGACGAAGAAGAACAAAGCAGTCAAGGCTAGCCGAGAGGTGTTCTACTTCCACCCCGAGGACGAGGTACTTCAAAAGCATGCTTTGGTATCGGGCTCGTTTGAGTACACCAAGGATGAGGGTGAGGGCATGGCGGATAGCAAGCGGGCGTTCTCTGAAATGGGTATCAAGCCACAAGGATCGATAATTGTGATTGAGGCAAGCAAGTTTGAGGGAGCTTCAAAAGCGATCGGCGAGTATCTCAATGGTGGTCAATAATATACTGCCAGTGGCCTCCTCTCACTCCAGCCGCTGCATTAAGTACTCAACCTCCACTTCCTTGGTAAGTGGTATGACAAAGTCCTTGTACATCGCAACAACGGCGTCCACATTAATCTTTCCTTGTCCATCAGCACCTATACTGGGATCTGTGCCATACGTCCTAGCCTTCAGACCTAGCCGCTCCAGAACCTTTTTCTCCACGGCCTCATTTGTGATAGCAGCTCCAATTCCTTCGCGGTCTCCAGCTTGTATTAACTTTGTGAACTTTTCCTTCTCCGACTGGAACTTTGACTCTGCCACAAACTTGCCAAAATGAATTCGTCGTGACAGCGCCTGTAGGCAAGCGATATCGGCTGTCGCAGATGAACCGTAATTCTCCTCAGTCTCACCCCGATCTTCCCGGCCAAAATCAGCACAGGCTGCTGGGAGAAAATGCTCGATATAGCTCTGCTTTATTTTCTCGTTCACGTTGACATCGTTCTTGTGAAGTATCTTGGGATAGTGAAGAGGTTGTAGGATAGGCTTTTGTAGACTTTCTTTGAAGAAGGGGTATTCGTCTGGCGATTCGAATCTTCTGATTAGGGAGTCTAGCTTCTCTCGTTCGCGTAGTGTCCAATCGAGAAAGCTGAGGTCGCTGTTGGGAATCTTGAGGGCGCCGGGCTTATAGATTGTGCCATTGAAGGGGAACTGTACTCTCTCGATGAGATGAAATGTGATGGTATCTTCCAACCGACTGCCAAAGCCAAACAAATTAATTTTCTTCTGACCATGGGTAAAGTCTGTACCTCTTACATGAGCTGGAATCGAATATTGGAAAGATCCAAGGCCTTGGAGACATCGGAAAGGTCGATGGCAGTGTCCATATTTAGTTCAAGTGGGGTAGCAAAGCACTCTCAGAGCAACAGGTTTTGGAGCTGAGTGTTGGAAAAGGGCTGAAGGTTTACCAAGAGTTGATGTTGACCTTAGAGGAACGAGACAGCCCGGAGATAACAAGGCAATTAATTGTCGTCGTTTTGTCTGCTCACGGAGTATTTAGTAGAAGACAAGCAAACTCTCTGAGTTGGAAGTCAGAGCCCAGGGTCGCGCGGCCGCTTGCCGATATTCAGCCACTCGATGGCTTGACAGCTTCAACCTTGGAAGCCATCATCGAGGGAGAAAGAGCACGAGCACGAGCACGAGTACCTAGACCAACGAATATACTCAACTTCGGCCATCACCATTCTAACACGCCCTTTGGCTACCCAACTCTGCTCAGTGATCAGATAGCAACATACCGCGTATGTGCTGGCGCATAGCGTAGGACAGCACGCATGGCGAGCTCTAGCCGCAATGGCGCTTCAATGGATGGGGACGATGATGCCCTCATATCCGTGAGTTTTCCAGCCCTCAGTGACTCTATCTGCTAATATACGCCAGACGCGAGGTTTAGAAGCTTTCGGGAGGAAAGTAACCACGACAGCCGGACACCTGATGGGACCGTTAGACCCGACATCCTCTACCCACTACCAAAATGCAATGAGCGACTTACAGAAGCAATTGAGACGGCCGAATTTGCAGAGAAGTGTGTTCTCGTTTGCCAAAACATCGCCTACGGATCTCGTCCGCTCGAAGCTTTCGACCTCGGAGATCCAGTATCGCGCCCTGACATACTTACCTGACGAACTTCTGGCCAATATTCCTGATAACGATAATGCATACTCTTTGTTCCAAGGTTTCCAGGCCACATTGCCAGAGAGCAGTCCAGATGGCAAAAAGCACAAGAGGCGAATATCGAGAGGTAGAAAGCTGCTCGAGGATGATAAGTCCGACTCAGACAGTCCGCCATCTATTGCGAAGCTCAGAAAGGAACAGAACTCTCTTAATCATCGCCTCGAGATGATGGGAATTCGAAAGAATATGGCAAGTAGTGAGATAAGGGAGATAGATAACAAGATATCTAATCTCAATTATATGAGGAAGATAGTTTTGGATAGGTTGGCGGGGCTGGAGCAAGAAGAGGCCATGTTAGAACATGACAGTTAGTGGAAGCTCTTTTGTTTCCGGGACATTTACTCACTTTCAATAGTTTTGGACGTTGAAAACCGGTTAGACGACGCACAAGAACAATTAGACGATGCTGCAGCGTTCGCTGAAGCTGCAAAGTCAGAGGAGGACCAGGATCTGAATTTGGAAAATCCAAGTACGGATACTGAGTTCATGTCCGAGTCAATATATGAGAAACTTCCGGCGGAGAACACAACTCCTACCCGCGCAAAACGCCATAAAACCATAAGGCGAAAGTCGATGCCAATTCTACACGAGCACTTTGAGCCTGGGTCCAAGATTCGAGAGCTTCGTGCCCATAACGATTCAATAACAGCCTTGGACTTCGATGTCCCATTTGGTACCATGGTTACTTCTGCTCTAGATGATACCGTACGGGTGTGGGACCTGAACGCGGGACGCTGTATAGGACTATTGGAAGGACACACTGCATCTGTCAGAACTCTTCAAGTCGAGGACAACATTGTGGCAACAGGATCGATGGACGCAACTATTCGACTTTGGGACCTGAGCAAAGCACGTTACGATCCTCAAGACAACCGGATTAATAAGGATGGTGAAGATGATGAGGATCATTTGGCATTCGGTAATCCTGAGGACGAGGAACCTGAGCCACCCCCGGGAACCATGGGAGACTGTCCACTCTTCACTTTAGAGGCCCATGTTGATGAGATAACCGCGTTGCATTTCAAAGGAGACACTCTCATATCCGGGTCAGCTGACAAGACATTACGGCAGTGGGATCTTGAGAAGGGACGTTGTGTACAAACCCTGGACGTGATGTGGGCAGCAGCACAAGCCTCAGCAACTATGGGGTCTAGTGAGGGAGCATGGCGCCAGACTGGCAAAGTGCCTGATGGCTCAGCTGACTTTGTTGGAGCTGTCCAAGTTTTTGATGCTGCTCTGGCATGTGGAACAGCGGATGGCATGGTTCGCCTTTGGGACTTGCGGAGTGGACAGGTTCATCGAAGTTTGGTTGGCCACACGGGTCCTGTCACTTGTCTGCAATTCGATGATGTACATTTGATTACAGGTAGCTTAGATCGCAGCGTGAGAGTAAGCACCTATCTTTACGTCCAGAGTTTCGAATATGTGCTGACACAAGTTTTAGATTTGGGATCTCAGGACAGGAGCAATTTTCGATGCGTATGCATATGATGCGCCTATCACTAGCATGATGTTTGATAACCGCAGAATTGTAACAGCAGCAGGCGAAGACGTAGTTAAGGTGTACGATAAAAGCGATGGCCGCCACTGGGATTGTGGAGCAGGTGTGACTGCCGAGGAAGATGGAAAGACACCTGCAATTGTAGAAAAGGTTAGAATCAAGGATGGCTACTTAACCGAAGGGCGGAAGGACGGCATCGTGGGCATTTGGACATGTTAGATCGGTTTGGAATATATATAGGAAGCGAGGTCAGCGGGGGCCTGGCGGGGTAGCATGGTTTGTGGAGTTTGGGAGGCAGGTGGTGGCTGGGTGATGTCGTCGGATATCTTGTAGATATATTGTAACAAGCGGAGATACCACAAATATATCCAGTGCTCTCCACCCATTCAATATGCTTTTTTGGAGCCACGCAAACCTGCCAAATTGGAATTCCGCTTTGAATACTTGTGTCTCTCTTAAAATACATAGATTGATGGTCAAGGTCGTTCAGACTGTCTGTCCATATCGTGTAGGAGGAGTGTAGCTCATTACCATCCGAAGATATCAGGTGGATAGTCCTGGTCAAGAAGTTCGTGCTGAACTGTGGCTTAGCTCCTCATCATTTGTGGCTATGACTTCGCGGAGTCCTATTGAGGGTTGGCCGAGGCGAGATTACAGCAAGAGTTGGGTGTTCAAGAAGTGAAAAGTTGCAGCCCTGTCCAGGAGCACAATCGCTTGCATTTGTTAATTCTCAGCCTCAGCCAAATTTAACGTCTTTGGAAATTCTCCCTCGCTTACAGTATAGACAAAGAAAGGGAAACGAAGGGCAAAAAAGTACAAAGATTGAAATGGGCTCTCTCGGTCATATCTGCTCTATCAGACAAAATTAATTCTTACTGCTGGACAGCTCATACACCTCTTCTGCCGCGACACTCCTGGATCATTACTTTCATCGATAAGCATGTTTGCTGATTTGATTTTGGAGCCCTTCCCCCCCACCTCTGAATCGTTTAGGTGCTTGGTGGCTCGAAGTTGGCACTGTTGAAACGCCTCTCTTACAAACTCTCACCGCGACGCGTCCCTTTCCCGATGCATCTCCACGAACCTCCTGAGCCCACCTCCAACCCACCCAGTTTCCTTCCCCTTGTGGAACGTGATCCAACAAGGCCTCACTTTCGGCGTAACGTGCTCTTGTACAACAGGCCAAAGGTCAAAGTCGGTCTTAAACAAGTAATTGTCGGTGAGAATTTGGTAGTTGCGACACCACGCGAGCTCCTCTGGGCTGAGATCTTGACAATGAGGGGTAGTGATAAAGATAATTGCTCGACGATGGTGATGGTCTTCGATTATTTGTGTGAATTCTCCAATGGACGTGATTATGGGCATTGTCCATGGTGATGTTGTGGTTGGGTGTGAGGGCTTTGGGGTCGAGCTTTTAAATGATGGGAAATGCATGGTTGTGATGTGCGAGATATCAGGTAGGTTTCAAAATAAACTCGTCGTTCGGAAACTGCACTGCAGTTCTTATTGTAGTACCGTACGGGTGATTTTCTAACCGTTCAGCCGGCGAGTGTGAGATCATACTTCCTTAGTCAGCTTCGTGCATATTTATTTTGCGTGGCAAAATAAAGGATAATATATTCGTCCACGTGGATCGAGGACATTATCATCAAACATCATTCTATCCAATCGCTCAAAATGGTGGAGTTCACTTATCAGGAAATAAGTACCATGTGGCGTGAATGTAATCTTTGTTGTTGTTATGATGAGCTGTAAGCGAGGCTTGGCGAACCGATATATGACATGAAGAAGAGAGTCCACCGCTGATAACACCCTTACGCCGCAATCAGGCAACGGTCAATTGTTGGCTATGACGCCTATCCGTTTTTGTCCCTCGGAGAGCCATATCTTACCCAGCTCTTCGGGGTCTTCTTCCCGGTTTGTAGACTATCTCTTAGAGCCGTAAAATCACTTGGTAGCATTCGATCGGAACAAAAAGGAGATCTCGCAGCCACAACTCTTTTGGGTAGTTACTAGCTTACTTTTCAGTGGTTTAATCTCGTATATGTACACGTCGCTCCATATTTTTGGTTTTTGTTGCATCTTGTTTGCGGTTAGTCTTGCTAGTTTGTAGCTATCAGCCCTGTCAAGCCTTTGCAAAGTTTGCGGCGCACTTCATTCCCGGGCCAAGGGCCGGGGGGCTTTGCAATATTTTTTTGCGATCTTGTCTCGCGGTACTAGGTAGCAGAGCCACAACCTGGGGGACAGTTTTTCTAGGCGTTGTGTTAGCTGGGCTGTGACACGTAGATGTTGATGTAAAGTTGTGGCTGCGAGACTGATGGAACGATAGTAAAAAGCTTTATTTGGGTACATGAGAGTCGCTGAGGAGGTCTCGGGTCAAAACAAATAGGCGAAGGTTCCAAAAATAATCTAAGCGATTTCAACACACGCACCTCTTTGAGGATCAGGAGATGTGACTTCCTTTTCTTGTCCGTTGGCTTTACGGCTGCCGATTCACGTTCCTCCGAATTGTTTTTTAATTACTGTAAGCTGTGGATACTTGCGATCGTTGGTTGACTCGCACGAGTCACATCCCGTAGGTCGTCCAGCCGTCTACCGTCATCCCGTTGCGCTACGATTGCTTGTGCTTCATGAACTAGTTGAGGCTGCCCTCCTTTTATAGAAAACTGGCCTGAGGGTTTCGAAACAAAGGATCACAAAAAGGGGTACAAAGTTGATGTGGGTAATTACTAACGACAATTTTTACTATTGCTATCTTCAGTTAGTGTAAATGTATCATTACAGGACGTAGAGTTTGTGCGTTTGTAAATCAGAAGGAAAAGCTATAAATGAGAAGACGACGGCTTCAAAAGTGACTCGCGAAAACTTATGAATGATCTCCATCAACTAACTTCCAACCTCCCAAGATTTCATCAAAACGAACTTCCCCTGCCTCTATACACGATACCAATTTCCACCTATAATCTCCGATTTTTCGGGCAGTACCGTCCTTCATATCCCCTCATGCACTTAGTAGATCACGTTCAGCTTCCACCCAACTTTTAACACCCTGGCGCCGATGAGACATAGAGCAGCGCCAAGGTAGGAGGCAGCAGCAAAAACGATCAGTCCCGTGTAGTCTCCATCCATCAAAGTAAGGATCTTTCCGCCAATTGGAAGAGCAGTAAGCGTGCCAAAGGCTACGAACATCCAGCAAGTTGCGAAGTAGCGACCGTAGTGCTCGGTCTTGCATAGCTGTCCGACACAGACAGGACTGAGACTTAGATTACTGCCGCTCACGAATCCGAGGATGATGGCAAAGACGATAAGCATCGCGCTGGAATTTCCTGCTGGAAGCCATAGTGCGAGACAAGCAATGATACAGAGCCCAATGCTGAGAATGAGTGTGTTCATCCTTCCGATCATGTCGGCGACCAATCCAGCGAAGAACCGTCCAAAGAAGGATCCTGCATTCAATATGGCAATGATCTGAAATCCAAAGGATGAGCTCTGTCCATGAGACGTGGCATATGAAGTAATGTACGTCAATGGAACGAAAATTCCCCATTCCATCAAAAAAATCCCAAACGACACAAGTGCAAACGGCATGTCTTTATAAAAGAGACTAAATTCTGGCGACACGCTCTTGAAGCTCACCATTGGTTTCCGAGGAAGTCTGCTTCGAACCAGCAAATTTGCCAGTAGGAGGAGGAAGACGAGAATGAATCCAAGAATCCGAGTGGCCCAAGCGAAGCCAACCCTTGGAAATAGCCGTTGTAACATCAATGGGAAGATGATACCGCCAATTGATCCAGCTGTCATGGCTATACCCGTGGCATTGCCACGCTTGACGAGGAAGAAATGACCAATTGAGGCGATACAAGGGGTGTTGATTAGACAACCACCAATGCCGTTCAGGACACTATAGACCATGATGAAGTGCCAATATTCTAATCTCGGTTAGTAATTGAGGTAAAGTGAGATCTAGATACTACTCACCAGTGCAGAGTCCAAGTAGGAACATAGAAGCTACCAAGAGGACGCTCCCGCAGAATATCAAGGCTCTTGGTCCGTACGAGTCAAAGATAGGTCCAATAGGAGCACCGCAGAAGAAAGTCAAGAAGAGAGCAAGTCCGAAGATCCATCCGATCTGACTCTCATCATTTTCTTGTAGCTGATGATGACTAAAGTACTCGAGCAAGACAGCAGTGCTGTTAATTATTCCAAAGACCGAAAACGAGCCACAGAAGGATCCCAAGACAACGAGCCAACTAAATCAAAGTCAGCTTTGATTGACAAAATAAGTTGAAGTGAGATGCAGCTTGTCGGTTGTCATATTGTCGACGATGAATGCTTCCAAAATGCACCAGGCAATGTCAAAGAGTGGGGTCGCTTACGCTCGTAACCCGCCTTCAGGGAAATCATCTTTCTCTTCGTCGGTATTTGACGAACTATCGGTATCGGGTGCCTTGGTCTTTTCAGGTATACCGGAGCCATTGACGGCTGGAGTCGAAGCTGCCTCAATCAACGGCGGGCCTGTGATAAAGGGGTCGGCATCCTTCACTCCCGTCTTGTCAACAGTGCGGAGTGGGGACTTGGCAGATGGGAATTCATTGTTGGAGGGTTGGTATTTTTTCGAGCAGCTGGCCTCTGCTAAATGTTTTCCCTCGCCTTGCATTCGCTACACCAAAATATATAAAGAGACTCACAATAATGTTTTGAGCGCTGAAAGAGACAAACAAGGATGAGTTATGGAGAAAAAAAGTTGGAGTAAGAGCGGGGGAAAAGTATTTATCTTGGATCCATTTTTCGGCGGCCTCCTAGCTCCGCCTACTAACAGACCTTTTGGACTTTCAGAGAGACACGTGACTCGGCCGAATCCTAGACTCGCCCTTGCGGGCTTTCGGTAGGTAGGTACGAGTTGCCCGAAATGTTTTCAAAGATATTTTGAACACTTATATGACATGTGGACAAGGAGTTTGAAGCGATGTAGAAAGCAAAAGGAACACCCTTGCCCACATGTCATACAAGCGTTCAAAAAACCTTTCGAGTGAGAGGGGGAGCTTTGACTTGGCCTCGGGTTTTTGCTTTGTTTATTCTAGAATCCTCGGATCCGGGAATCGGGACAATCGAGCCGAAGAAAGAGGACCAGTTGAGAGCTGACAGAAGCGATGTCTTGATAGCATGCGATTGCTCTGCTCAGCTTTCCCGATTGCTCGGTTTCGGAGAGCATGCGTACTGCTCTCTCGTCAGTACCTTAAAGAATCGACATGCTCAGTGGGGATCTGTACCTCTCGAGCGCTTATCCTGCATGTCCCTTGCCGAACCTTGTGATCGGTATAACAAATGCAGAATTACAAAAATTTCCGCTTTGGAATTAGCCTTACCGTTGATGACCATTACACATCGACAGCTGAAGAGTACCTAGGTACGCAGCGTAAATGTCGGATTTAAGGTCATGATGTGGGGCAGCACAGACGACAGTGCATCCAGTCCAGGAAGTGGCATCACTGAGACACGAGAAAGAACACCCGAAGAACTCTATTTGCCTCCTCTGTCCAATCAGAGAAGCTGGAATGTTAAGTTTCTCAAGGCCGTTCACACGTACCTGGAGCTCCCAAACGACGATGCAAGTGTCGGGACTTCGGCGGAGTTAGAGAGTGGTATGGATAGTCTTCAGTAAGTGAGGGGTGGCTTTGGTTCGCCTATGAGATCATGAAATTCCTATAAGTACTGTTCCAGCCCCGGCGTCTGTGGTTGAACTCATACCCTCTTATCTTCTTTAGCTTACATCAAGAACCAACTGACACCAAATTCCCATACAAACGTATCTCGTCTCAACATATTCATCTATCAATATGGCATTTGCAGCCCCACCACCACCAAAAACAGCCCTTGGCTACTATCGGATGCTCTCGCCAACTGCTTCGATTCGTGTTAGCCCATTGTGCCTCGGGGCCATGAACTTTGGAGACGCCTGGTAACCTTCAAGTCGCCATGCCAGTGTCGTAGTACTACTAACAATTCCTAGGAAAGATTTCATGGGGGAGTGCGATCAAAAGACCTCCGAGGAGATTCTGGATTTCTTCTACGAGTCTGGAGGAAACTTTATCGACACTGCCAATAATTATCAGGTTAGAGATACTTCCAACATATGATCCTCTGACCAGTCTGACCATCAAGTAGAAAGAGGAGTCGGAGATGTGGATCGGAGAGTGGATGAAGAAGCGAGGCAATAGAGACCAACTGGTTATTGCTACCAAGTTCACGACTTGCTTTAGAACCGGTTATGGTGGTGGAAAGGAGATCATCGTCAACACTGCTGGGAACGGAACCAAGTCACTGCACTTATCCGTCGAAGCTAGCTTGAAGAAGTTGCAGACAAGTTACATCGATCTTGTAAGAACGGATCGATAGTTCATCTGCTCTGAGTATTTCTAATCAGTGCACAGCTCTATGTTCACTGGTGGGATTTCACTTGCTCTATCCCCGAGCTTATGCAATCTTTGAACCATCTCGTCGCTGCGGGCAAAGTCCTCTATCTTGGAATCTCAGATACCCCAGCGTGGATTGTTTCCAAAGCCAACGAGTACGCCCGTCAGAACCATCTCCGTCAATTCTCCGTCTATCAGGGACGTTGGAGTGCAGAGCACCGTGACTTCGAGCGCGATATCATTCCCATGTGTCGTGACGAAGGTATGGGTTTGGCTCCATGGGGAGCCCTCGGAGGCGGGAACTTCAAGTCCGATGATCAGCGCAAGAGCCAGGAGGGTCGTAAGATGGGACAGGCGAGTGAGGCTGCCATTAAAATCAGCAGAGTACTTGAGAAGATCGCCACTGCCAAGAAGACGCAAATCACGAGTGTCGCTTTGGCCTATGTGATGCAGAAGACGCCATATGTCTTTCCCATTATCGGGGGACGCAAAATTGATCACCTGAAGGGTAATATTGAAGGGTTGAGTTTGACATTGACAGAAGAAGATATCAATGCTATCGAGGAAGCAAATGCGTTCGATATTGGCTTCCCACACAACTTCTTGGGTGGACCAAAGGGTGTCCACAGCCCTAGTGATGTCTGGTTGATGTCACACGCTGGGCAGCAACAACACGTTGAGTGGCAGAAGGTACATTCCTGTTAAGAGATTCAACTGGATAAGTCTGCTAACGATTCATAGCCCATCGCCCCTGTCACGAAGGAATAGAAATTAGCTATTGCACATGAAGATGAGAATGAACCGTACACATTATATGCAAGCTGGTAGTGAATTCAATTTGAAATGCACGAGATTTCTCACTCTTTTTTCTGTCCCTTTCTTCTCTTTCATATTTCAGCTCGCAATGCATTGAATTGTTTACAAAATCTCGCCCCTTCCCCTTTCTATGCTTACGTTTAAGCGAAGGTGTGGAAGCACGTCACTGTATCACGAATAGGTAGTGCATATGAGAATCACAGTCTTTGAGCTGGGCTCGGAATATGATTACCAACACCACGGCCAAACATGGAACGAAACTTCTGGTAATTGAGTGGATGTGGATTATTGCGCTACGTATCTTTGACAGGAGGCCTTTGCTAGAAATACGTCCTGAGCGACCGTAACGCCGATGAAAGATACCCACGAGCATAAGGGTGCGGTAGAATTTTAGGATAAGACGCACTGGGCAAGGTTCTGGACAGAAAATTCCAGATATCTAGCAAGGCAGAGGAACGATTGCAGCCAGCAGCGTCGAAGAGTGCTTAGGTTAAGAACAGAGCTCGTGGAGGAGTCCTGCGATGTCTTGTCAAGGTAGAGTGGAAGCGGTGAAGGTGAGGTTAGCACTTCATAGTCGTATTTAACTATTTGATCCTTGAATTTCAGGTCATTGAAGTGATGCTGAAGTGTATTTGAGGGACTTAAGCTGTCACTCATCTTCTTGTAGCTATTTTGAAGCTTGTATTTTGGGGACTTTTAACCAGATTTGTGTATTTAATGTAGTTTCGCTGATGCGTTGTACCTAATTCCACTTGGAAGCTGTGGCTAGCTGAGACATAACTGCAATAGGACCATAGGTCCCTAGAGATGTTTCGTGGGAAGGCATGTCATTTTTTTGTTGAAATGAAATCATATCTGTTTCCCAAACCTTCATTTGAGCACTTGCAGGGATAGCTTTTTAGCGCTGGTTTAGCGCGGTTTCAGCTTCTACAGCCTGTTGGCAAGGCTGTGGTACCTAGGGAGGGGCCTTACTTCGTTAATGCTATTGCCGCTTGAGTTTACCTACGATTGGGCCTCCTATTGTTGACCACCATGCCGACCACAAGCAATGGATCAATTGATACCATCTAACGAGATATCTTCTACTAATCTAAACTTCTCGCAACAAATGCGCCTCTTGACTCTTCCTCCTTTCTTCAACCTCGATCTCTACAGGTGTGATACCAGCGACTGTTGCCTGTTCAACAAGAACCCTCCACTCATATCAACTCACCTCTAATCAACCGAATCTCTTGTCATTTGAGGTATAGCTGGCTCAAAGTTGAGACAGTTAAGATGGATACGCTATTCAAACTCAAAGACACCTTCGTTCACTTCCTTTCCCCAGCTGCGAAGCGCCGTCGCACAATTGGTCCTGGCACTCCCTCCACTTCAAAAGACCATGAGTACCTTGCCCCTCTCTCCGAGCCTCGAGGCAGAAAGGCACAAGCAGCTACCTTTGATCACCTCAATTCAAAGTACCCGACCACACCACAACCCAAGAACCCCAGAAAGCGCGTTCGTGAGGATGACGAGGAGGGGATTGTCATTTCGCCAGGCGACTCGGTCTCTCAAGTTTCGACCGCTGGTACCGAAGGAAGTTTAACCAGCTCAGCGATCAATAGCGAGGAATTGGAAGAAAATTCCGAGGAGGAGGGTCAGCATGACATCGAGTTCGATGCAGAAGATGAAGGCGGAGAAGGGGATGCGGAGGAGGGTAGCGACGCGGTGATGGAAGAGGAGGAATACTCCGAGGAGGAAGATGAGGTTGACTTGGAGGCTCAAGAAGCTGCAGCATCTGAGGCGAAGGTCCAGGAATACTTGGCAAGACAAAAGGAGTTTGAGACAATTCAGGAGAATATTTTGAAGGCCAAATCCGATGCTAGCTGGCACCCAGATGCTCTCTTCCTGTACGAGAGATTGGCCCTTCGCAGTTTCGAGCCACTCATTCCCAGTGATTGGCGGATCGACTTTCCAACTCTCCCCGAGGTTCTGTTCACTGATGAAGAGGAGAACACTTTTGTCAACTCCAATTGTCTCCCCAGCTACCGAGGTAAATAATATCCAGAAATGAGTACTTGCAGTGCTAAAAGCAGAACAGGAATCAAAGCTCTTCAAGCACTTATCACCCTTGGAATTCGTGTCCGCGACAAGCTCAGTGTTGGCGGCTATCCAGAGAAGATGGTAGCAAAGGAGATTCAGAATTACATCAAATGGGCCGAGAGAGATGGTGGCTATCAAAAGAAGCGCTTCATCCCTGTTCACACAGTTTTGGCAGCTCGTTCGTCCCAAACCGCTGGTTTCATTGGCGTAGCTCTTGCCAGCCAGATGAAATTCCTTGCCGAGCAACACATGGTCAACCTCAAGATCTCAGATGATGATTCTGGAGGGGTAGCAAAATATTCTAGATCGTTGCCACTTCTCTATGGCTTGGTCGTCGCTCAAACCAAGGTCATCCTCGTCACTCACAATTCCGCTGAGCCTGATTCCGAATCCAAGGTTCTTGCAACTCTTGATTTGACCAATAAAGACATGGATGTTTGGAATGGGTTCGCTATCGCATTCATGATCATTGCCTCGAGGAATTACATAATGTCGATGAAAGATGAGCTGGAACCAGACAACACGATGACCGACGATGAAGATGCCTGATCAGCCCAGTAATTGCCAATTGGTTTTGGTCACATTCTGGCTGGGAGATTATATATGAAGTAGGGGATACTGCATATGTGATTTACTGATCGATTTGGATTGCTTTATGAAGGAGCAGGCGCACGGCTGGTTTTGCAAACAGAGGAGCCTTTATTTGTACAGGCGAAATACCCCTTGAGTTGCAGCTTTTTTGGCTCAAACTATGTACCAGCTTCATATCCGTATTGTTCGATACCCCTACACCAACCATGGTTCGCCCTTCAGAATTGAGTGCTTTATAAATCTGTTTGTACTGTTGGGTTGTGCTGAGAGATCCGGTATCTCTGATACAGCTCTGCAAAATATACATTTATGATTCATTGTAATCCCTTCATTATGAAGCCATCTTGATGACCTCGAACTATATTCATACAACGTATCTTCATATGGTTCATGTCACTCAGAACAATCCATGAGCCGCCAAGACGTCTTCACTAGTGAGTCGCAAGCTACACAGCCAAGCAGTGAGTAAATAGAGGTATCAACACAAACCAAGGCTCTTGGAGACACATACGTATTACAAAAATTATCCTCCCACATCATTCAGATGTCCATCTAATGCTCCACCGCACTCTCCTCTAGTGCTTGAACCGCGTGATCCAACTCCCTGATTCGGTTCCCGATCCTGGACTTGATCTCCTCCGCGTCGCTCCCTTGCAGCGCCTTCTCATACATCCCCTTCAGCTTATCAAGTTCTTCCCTAGCAGCTTCTCGATCAGCCTGTGCATACACGCTCTTCTTCTCCGTCTCTTCAGTGCTGATCTCGAATTCGTCCCTCGCGACAGCGTATTGATCTTGGATCTCCTCAATTATGGAGTCCGCAGAGGACTTGGCAGAGTAGTGGCGCTGAGAGGTGAGGGGAGCGGATATGTTTCTGTAGATTGAAGAGGGGTTCGAGATCCTAGATGGAGCTGTTTGCTGGGTGTTTTGGATGTGGTTGCGGAGGAGGGAGAACGATTTCGTTGATGTGGATATGAGGAAGGTTTTGGAGATGGAGTTCCGAGCTCCTCGAGCTGGTAGAGATCGTAAAGAGATCATTTAATGTGGTTTGAAGAGCCTTGGACGAAGTTGGGCGGAAGGAGCTCTGACTGAGAGTGGTGTTGATGACGGATCTTGAAGACGGATCTTGAAGCTGGACCCCGGTTTAATGGATGCATTAGCGTTGTCTGGCTATTGATGGCTTGGAGCTTTGAAGGGTATCTTTGGGCCACTTATGGACAGAAAACAAACAATTTAGGATCCCTAGACTGATTCTGGAAAATTGTAGACTGAATCTTTTCGCTCCAGCATGGTCAAGAATGTTATATTCATGTAGAATTGCGGTAGCATTTTTATTCCAGTGTGGTTACTACCCCATGGCTGGGCAAGCAGCCTTGCATGGATCGCGTCGTCTGGAGCTCGGATCTGCTCTAAATCACTCCCCTTCAGCCATTGATTGCATATCTTCAACTTCAACTCTTCATCGATTTGTGTTTTGATATGCAGTGCTGAAGGCTCGCTATGGCCACCGAAAGCAGTCCGCCAGTGCGGTACGTCTCCTATCCTCGACAAGCAAAAGACCTGGCAATGGGCGTGCATCCTCTCTCTAGATACGTGCCCCCTCTGCTGCTGCTCGCAGATGCGTTTCTCACGAGTTTGATCATTTACAAAGTCTCCTGTGAGTTCTTGTTCTAGAAGCCCAAGAGTACAGCATTGATTGATGGCATTAACAGACACGGAAATTGATTGGAAAGCATACATGGAGCAAGTTGAACAATATGTGAATGGTGAGCGCGACTACACGAAGATCAAAGGCGGTACGGGTCCACTGGTGTACCCAGCTGTGCATGTCTATATTTACTTGATTCTGTATCATTTTACGGATAAGGGAAGAAATATTCTAGTCGCGCAGAGGATCTTTGGAGTGCTTTATTTGGCGACTTTGGCTGTTGTGATGGCTTGTTACAGGAGGGCAAAGGTATGAATTGCAGAATTAAGAAGGGAATGTCAGCTTTGGCCTTTGCGTGTTACTGACTGGGCCATCGAATAGGCACCGCTCTATATCTTCCCGATGCTGGTTATGTCGAAACGGCTACATAGTATCTTCGTTCTCCGACTGTTTAACGACTGCTTCGCCGTCTTCTTCCTCTGGGTGGCTATCTACATGTTCCAACGACGCATATGGACAATCGGGGGCCTATTATACAGCCTGGGAATTGGAGTCAAGATGTCTTTATTGCTGTCCCTCCCAGCTGTGGGAGTTGTACTCTTCCTGGGGAGAGGTCTCCAAGGAAGTCTCAAGCAAGCCTACCTTATGGCACAACTACAGTTTGTTATAGCTTTCCCATTCTTGCCGGAAAATCCAATGGGGTATCTTGGCAGAGCTTTCGAGTTCTCAAGGGTTTTCTTGTTCAGATGGACCGTCAATTGGAGATTCCTCGGAGAAGAGACATTTTTGAGCAAGGAGTTCTCATACTCGCTGCTAGTGGGACATGCCAGTACGCTACTGCTGTTCGTAACAACGAGATGGCTCAAGCCTGCAGAAAAGCCATGGTCGGAACTGATTAGAAATGCTCTGAAATTCCAGGAGCCATGCGGAAAATTGCAGCATGCTGTTTCCATTCGAGTCTCTCCGAACTACATCTTGACGACAATTCTTACAGCCAATGCTATTGGCATGTTATTTGCTCGGTCCCTTCATTACCAGTTCTATGCCTATATCGCATTGGCTACCCCATTTCTGCTCTGGCGCAGTGGCATGCACCCAATATTCCAGTATGGTTTATGGGCAGCTCAAGAATGGGCCTGGAATGTCTACCCAAGTACAGATGTGAGCTCAAAGGTTGTGGTTGGTGTACTAGCTGCCACTGTGATGCGAATGTGGTGGGGCACTCGGACGGATTTCGTGAGCCCGAAAGGCGAAGGAGCTGCGAGTAAGAAGTTCGCTTGATCTTGCTCAAGTATCGTCCAACCTATTCGTACTCATCCTCCGGGTCGGAAGGAGGCATCTTTCCGACAGTCGATTCCTCATCGTCTGAATCTTCAGCATATGCAGAAGACTTCGGGAACTCCTTGGGCCTAGATAATAGGTCAGCGAATACGCGCCAACAGTCATGTACATATGCGAGAAGCTCACCAATAAGGTTCTTTCCTCCACAGATGCTCGTCGCGAACTACATTTATGATCTCACCATCAATTTTGTTCTGGCGTACATCGGCCTCCTTGGTATCAACGAGAACATAGCCCCCACGTTTCAGCCAGATGGTATTCCGAAACCGAGATGGGAGTTCAACGAGAATGGTCTTCTGATTGGGCAACGAGCATGAGTACAAGCTGTTTCCTTCGGCTTTGATTACCCGTGCGATCGACTGGGTAGTTGTCACCTCAGAAGGTGGGGTAGACGTCTCCTCTGCAGTTGCAACGATGTTGCGCTTTGGCTTTGCCATTCTGATTCCCTGGTATGGAAAGTATGCCGCAAAGCTCTGGAAGGCAAATGGTCAGTTTTGTTCGTAATCGGAGACGCGTCTGGCAGCTGAGCGAATTTCAAACCGTGTTGATTTCGAGCTCTGGAGAATAAATTTTGGATCTGCAAATGGGGCTAGGATAAATGATTCACCTTATCCGGCGGGGGAAAAGGAAAGGGCGAGTCTCCAGGCCCGCCGCCCCCCCCTCGAGCCAGGATCAAAGAATGCAGGTTTGCCGAACGAATGAATCAAGTCAACTACCTAGGAGCTCCAAAATAATCCCTAACGTTGATTTTTCAGCAATCGCCCTAATGCAATGGAATTCCTCCACGCAAGAGCTTGTCCGAACCAACACAATGCAAGGCATGAACCACATTGCGCCGTCAGCAGTCCTCTGCATTACAATCGGGCCGTCAATTAAAAGCTCCAATTCACAGGTCTGGTAACCTAAGCTGATGGTGTCAGGGTGTGTGACCATCCACCGATCGCTGCTGGGCAGTTTCTCCACTCGTGGGTTAAGGGTTCAATTTTCTCCCCACCAGTTCCTTATCGTGGTGTATTTCCAATTCTCTATTATCCCAATCCCTTTTCGATTCTACATCTTCATCTTGCTGCTTTATCTGCTAGTCCATCGCCTGCATATTCTTTGAAAGCTGCTAGCAAATATTCGTCTACCGTTATCAGGGTATTGACCAGTATGAGTTCTCATTCTTTCGGTGCTTTCATTGATATCGAGCAATCCTCAAGCAAGGACGTAGCTCCTACAGCTCCTGCTGCCCCCGCCAAAGCATTCCCTCGAGTCTACCACTCTATTCCGGATCCCATCGAGCTCGAAAATCTACAATGTGGTAGCAGGCTTCATGGCACCTCCCAGCCTGGTTCTGGGACCCAAACACCAAGAGAGCCGAACGACCTGGAGATGAGTGGTCCGCCAACTCCAGTCAATGAGCATGAGGTGGACGCGCTGCAGAGCTTCTCCTACCCGCCAATGAACAGATTTCGAATGCTGTCTGTCTGTCTGCTTAACTTTGGGAATGGCTTGTCTGACTCAGCACCCGGAGCTTTAATTCCTTACATGGAAACGTATGTTTCTCTTTCTGTTAGCTAATGCCACTCTTCTGACGTACCTTAGACATTACAATATCGGATATGCTGTCGTTTCTCTCATCTTCGTCACAAATGCCATCGGCTTCATCTCAGCTGCATTTTTTGTCGATGTCCTTCGAGCCCGCCTTGGACGAGCCAGGACCCTCATTGTTGCGCAGACTTTTATGATTTGCGGATACATCCCGATTGTTTGCACACCACCGTGGCCCGTGGTCGTCGTTTGCTTCTTTCTTCTGGGATTCGGAATGGCAATAAATCTGGCTATGGGAAATGTATTTGCCGCTAACCTACACAATGGCACTAAGATGCTGGGAGCAATGCATGGATCATACGGAGTTGGAGGGATAATTGGTCCGTTAATAGCTACGGCTTTGGTCACTAAAGGAAGTTTGCCCTGGAGCAGGTACTATTTTCTCCCGCTCTCCATTGCCCTATTCAATGGAGTCCTCGGTGCATGGTCATTCTGGCACTATGAGGCTGAAGCTGGAATGTCTCTCCTCACTCCATTGGAAATCATTGCGTCGCGGCGACAGGAAATTGGAGGCCTTGCTCCAGCGCCAAAGGCTCAGATCAAAGAGCAACTAGTCAATATGTTGCAATCCTTCAAATCCAAGACTGTCATTCTTGGTGCACTGTTTATCTTCGCCTATCAAGGAGCAGAAGTATCGATCTCTGGCTGGGTTATTTCTTTCCTGATCACGGCTCGCCACGGGGATCCTGCATCAGTGGGATATGTTACGTCCGGTTTCTGGGCGGGTATTACACTCGGACGGTTCTTCCTCTCCCACCCCGCCCACAAGATCGGAGAAAAGCTCTTCGTTTACGGAATGGTCGTTGGAGCGGTAATTTTTGAGCTTCTGGTCTGGTTGGTCCCCAACGTCATAGGCAATGCCGTGGCAGTTTCTATCGTCGGCTTGTTGCTGGGACCAGTATATCCTTGCGCAACAGTCATCTTCTCGAGAGCCATTGGTCGCAAGGAGCAGGTTAGCAGTTTGAGTGTTATAAGTGCCTTTGGTTCTTCTGGCGGGGCTGTGGCTCCATTCACAACAGGTATCTTGGCCCAAGCTGCTGGAACGTTCGTCTTGCACCCAATCGCTATTGGTCTTTTCACTGTCATGCTTGGGTGCTGGTTCGTTTTGCCTACACCTAAGAAGCGCAGTACCGAGTAAAGAACTTCGGTGGGATTTTCTGCAACGTTTTCTTCAGAATTAGATGCTCCTCGACTTCTGAGTATCCGTTCTGTGGTTAGTTGCGAGTGCGCGGGAGTAGATACTATGGTGGCTCGGCATAGTCACGAATTTCTTTTCAATTTCGGCATTGAGTTTTGAGTATTTACAAGCGGAGGCGCTGTGGCGTTCAAGCTCTGATAAACGCAGGGGTTTGAACGTTGGGACATGGCTTGCGGCGTTGCGGATGCTTTCATGGCGTTAGAATACCCGTCTGACATGATGTTTGGGTTTGATTTCTCGCTTGAGACTTGGACTTAGTGTTTATTAGGGAAGCAAATACCAGCTTGAAGAGCCAACCAGCCAGTGGGTAAAAATATGTTGGCTCTCTGGATTCTGCACCGTGTTGTCTATCTTTACAGAAAAATAAATTACACTCCTTACTAAAAAGAAACGATCATAAACAAGTGAGCTCAACCGTCAGAGACTAGATGACATCTACACTTCTAAGAGACAGAACTTCACCATCAATAATACTTCGGCATAGAGTTTCGGTCAGGTCCTGTTTCCCGAATTTTCATAAAACACAAGAGCCGATATGGAGCTGATAATACTCTACCCCGGACGGATACGTTGGGTTCAAGGGCTGCCCTGGTTGGGCATTCCTTGCCGAGGTGTCCAGCCTCGGATGTCTCAAGCACTTCCATTTCTTAAGCCGAACGTCACGAGCCGCGGAGCAACATCTAATGCATCTGCATTCTTCATAGTTCTCACCCGTCACTTTTCGGAACCGTTTCTTTGCTTCTCAGAAGACAGTCCAACCCCTCATACTCCATTACTCTAGATTCTTCAGTATGGCTTCAATTGCAAAGATACTACGGCCCGTGGTCCAAAGGGCAGCTTCTACTGCTCGCCCAGCTCTCAGACCTGCTCGAGCAAGCAGGATATATCAACAGTATATCTTACCGGATTCCGAACCTTTAATTCATACATATTCTGACTGATGTTGTAGGGCCAGACCTCTATCATCCACCACAAGAAGGCGCAATGAAGCAGTCGACCTCACAGAGATTCCTCCTACACCCATTACCCACATGTCCGAAATAGAAACTGCCATGGCGGACTCAGTGTCAAAGTTCGCAAATGATGTCATTGCACCTAAAGTCCGCGAGATGGATGAAAACGAATCCATGGACCCCTCAGTCGTTGAGCAGCTGTTCGAACAAGGGTTGATGGGCGTGGAAATTCCAGAGGAATACGGTGGCGCGGGCATGAACTTCACAGCGGCTATTGTTGGCATTGAGGAGCTGGCTAGGGTCGATCCGAGTGTCAGCGTTATGGTGGACGTGCATAATACGCTGGTTAATACCGCGGTATTGAAGTATGGAAGTACAGAATTGAAGAAGAAGTGGCTTCCAAAATTGGCTACAAATACTGTCGGTATGGAGCACTTACTTCAGTTCACAAGACGTTTGCTAACCAGCTAGGTTCTTTCTGTCTTTCTGAGCCAGTGTCTGGATCTGATGCTTTTGCACTTGCCACGAAGGCTACCAAGACCGAATCTGGATACAAAATCTCAGGAAACAAGATGTGGATTACCAACTCGATGGAAGCCGAATTCTTCATTGTCTTCGCAAACCTGGACCCAAGCAAAGGATATAAGGGAATTACTGCATTTATTGTCGAGAAGGACACGAAAGGATTCTCTATAGCCAAGAAGGAGAAAAAGCTCGGTATCAAGGCTAGCAGTACTTGTGTGCTTAACTTCGACGATGTTGAGATACCAGCAGGAAATCTGCTTGGTAAGGAAGGTGATGGATACAAATATGCCATCGCTCTGCTCAACGAAGGACGAATCGGTATAGCCGCCCAAATGACCGGACTTGCACTTGGAGCGTTTGAGAATGCTGCGAAGTAAGCAGAACCTATGCTCACAAATTCCGAATTTGCTCAACTGATGATTCTTAGGTACGTCTGGAACGACCGTAAGCAGTTCGGTACGCTTGTCGGTGATTTCCAGGGTATGCAGCACCAGATTGCGCAAGCGTACACGGAGATTGCTGCTGCGAGAGCACTAGTATATAACGCTGCTCGGAAAAAGGAATCTGGCGAGAACTTTGTCCAAGATGCGGCTATGGCGAAGTTGTATGCCTCGCAAATTGCGCAAAGAGTCAGTGGACAGGCCATTGAGTGGATGGGTGGTATGGGATTTGTGAGAGAGGGGATTGCCGAGAAGATGTGGAGAGATAGTAAGATTGGTGCTATTTATGAGGGCACTAGCAATATCCAACTTACAACTATTGGTATGTTGCCTTTCCACTTCCCTTCACTTTGTCCCTATGGCAATGAGTAATCTTTGTACGACGCTTGTGCTAACAGAATACCTTGTAGCGAAACTCTTGAAGTCCCAGTACACGAGCTAGAGGCAAAGGATCATGAAATGGCGGGTTTCAATGCTGACTTTGGCGAGGAAATGGAATTGGCTAGTGGACTTTCCAGGCACACCGAAATAGAACCATTGTTCAGAGGGACTATTTAGGGCAAAACTTGTCTTCTAAGGGCGGATGGCTACAGGTTCCTGAACCATACGAAGTCAAATGTAGTAGTTGTCACGCTTGGTCTAGACGACGGGCTCATTAGCTCCCAGTGTTTGATCTGGCCAGAAGCAAAAGTTGAGGATTTGAATAGTGGCAGGCAACTGAAACTGTAATGTTCTCCTTGTGTCTTCTCAGTTGAATTGCAATTGTGTCCACCATAATCTCCAGGCCTGCTTCCAGCAGTTGATCCGGCTCGTAGTCAGCTCAATCCATCCTCAAAGTGGAAGTGGCCTCGATCCTGGTATGTGGTACCGTGTAGTGTACTGTTTAAGAATGTTCGACTTTCTTTGTTGATGTCATGCTTGCTGTATTTTGATTGATGCCGGATCAAAGTTCACATCCCTGTTCAAGATGACGACGGTGCCAGACATCCAGCACCGGCACCAGCACAGCACAGACGACCCCGGAAGCACAGCCTGATCCTCCGTTTGTGTGGAGGGGAGGCAAGGGAGCAAGTCAACCGCACCAGTATGGTGAAGTCCCGGGCCCCTCCTTTAATCGAGCCCTACCAGGAATCTCCCCTCCATGCTCACCCACCTCACCCACCTCACCTCACCTCACCTCCACAGAATTCCAACGGCCCAGGTCATGGCACTCAATCAACATACCGTCCTGTAACGCTGGATGCCCTCCCAAAGCACTGCCCAACTGCCACTTCACCTTGTTCCGTTCTTAAGCTTCCACTTTATCCACCTTGCCTTTCTGGCGTCGTCTTGTGTTACTACAGTACCTATCCGATATCAAAACTCGCCTCTAGGTACGGAAGTGAGCACTAGACCCCCATCACATAACCAGGCCATCAATTTGTCACGCCGGCTCTTCCAGCATCCATCTTCGGCTTTTGCTCATGGGAGTCACATACCCTGCCTTGCCTTCAACAGTACGTCGCATTCGGTCTTTTTCTACTCAACACCTGCCGCCGCCCTCACCACGTCGCCGCCACCGCCTTTGAAGCGATCCAGCTAGCTGCGCGTGGCTGAGTACGTAGATAAACTTCTAGTGCAGAGCAGACGACCTATTCCTCACGTGGGCAAGCTAGACGGGAAACATTTCGAAACACAACACGAGCGATCTTCCGCACGCAGATACGACGAGCTTGCTACACATAGTTGACGGTGCTGACCATCGTCGCGACATTGGCTCCTACTGCTCTGCCAAGAACCTTGAAAACAAGTCCACCCCACTCACTCCGGAACTGCAACCTCTCGCCAGAGCACTGAGCAGTGGTGTAGCCCCTCCTCAACTCAACTTCGACCAGATAAACAACAATCGCCCGTGTCTCTCAACAACCTCGCAGCGTAGGAAAACGCGCGCCATCAGCCATCATGAACAACGACGACGATGCCCTCACCTCGGTGTACAAGAAGATCGAGCGTGAGAAAGCTCTCATCCAAGCTGCGAACCAGATGCGGCAACAAACCCAGAATGAGCAGGTTAGATCTCGACTGGACTCACAGATGAGAGAAGGTCGCCGCAATATTCAGTATCTGGAGGAACGCATGCAGGAACTTCAGATGCGGAGAATGGGACAAGGCATGGACAATATGAATTTGGGCTCTTCATCCACTGGACCAGCGCGCCCTCAGAGCTCCGGGTTTCGCAGCGACAGAGATGGCCCGCCTACGCCGCCTCCAAAGGACTCAAGAGGAGGATATACCGACGCTGGTTCGGAACGAGGTGACTATGGCACACAAGATTACTCGCAGACGGGCATGATGCCACCACGACACCCGTATGCACCTCTGGCTCCCGGGCAGGGCATCCCCAAATCACGTCCGAACTTTACAAAGCTTGGTAAGTTATTTCATTGTAATGGGTACGTTGTTACTAATTGTTGCTTGCAGATTTGATCAAGTACGATACACCATACCTCGGCCCCCGAATCCAACTCATGTTGTCGCAACTAGAATTCAAACTTAATGTGGAGAAGCAGTATCTTAAAGGTATCGAAAAGATGGTCCAACTGTACCAAATGGAGGGAGATAGAAAGAGTCGCGCAGATGCTGCAGGCCGTAGAGTTGAGAGCACACAGAAGATTCAGCTGCTGAAGCAAGCTCTGAAGAGATATGAGGATCTCCACATTGACATGGAAAGCACTGCAGATGCGCCAGATGGTAAGTCCATCTTTGCCCTGACGGAGAGTCAAAACTAATATGCGCCGTGAAGATGACAGCATAAATACCCCTAACATGCGGAAACCACTGACTGGACAGCTTTCGATTAGAATACAAGCTGTGAAGGACGTGGATCATGCAGCAACTGGTCGTTTTGCTCGCGGACCTGAGACTTTTGTTGCGATTAAGGTCGAAGACAATGTTGTGGCGCGCACAAGAACCTCCAGAACCGATAAGTGGGATGCCGAATACCACAATTTGAACGTTGACAAGGCAAACGAGATTGAATTGACGGTGTATGACAAGCCCGGTGACCACCCTTTGCCGATAGGCTTACTCTGGATCCGGATCTCTGATATAGTAGAGGAAATGAGAAGAAAGAAGATTGAGGCTGAAATTAGCAGCTCTGGATGGGTTTCTGCGGACCGAATGGCCAATGGCTCTCTACCTGGTGCCCCACCTCCACAATTCAATATGAATCCTCCGGCTCCTCAGTTTGGTCCTCCTCCTGGGAGTGCTGGAGCTGCAGCCCCAGCTTCAATGGGGGCTGGAATGCCTGCTGCGGGTGCAATTCCTCCGCAGCCAGTCGATGCTTGGTTCGCACTCGAGCCCACTGGAGCAGTTCACTTGACGATCGGTTTTACCAAACAGGCCAAAGATCGAAGACCATTCGACCTCGGGCTCAATCGTAAGGGAGCGATTCGACAACGTAAGGAAGAAGTCCACGAGATGTACGGCCACAAGTTTGTCTCCCAACAATTCTACAACGTCATGCGCTGTGCCCTTTGCGGGGACTTTCTCAAGTATTCTGCCGGTATGCAGTGCGAGGACTGCAAATATACTTGCCACACAAAGTGCTACACAAGCGTTGTCACCAAATGCATCAGCAAATCCAATGCAGAGACAGACCCGGACGAGGAGAAGATCAATCATCGCATTCCTCATCGTTTCGAGAAGTTTGCAAATATGAGCGCAAATTGGTGTTGCCACTGCGGGTATATCTTACCGTTCGGTAAGAAGAACTGTAGGAAGTGTAGTGGTATGTTGAACTCTTCGAATTTCTGTAATTTTGTAGCTAACATGTTCAAGAATGTGGTCTCACGTGTCACGCCGGATGCGTCCACCTTGTGCCTGACTTCTGTGGCATGTCTATGGCGGTTGCTAATGTCATTCTTGATGGTATTCGCAATCAAAAGCGTCGACAGACAACTCAGACACCCCTCTCTGGCCGTACATTAAGGCCGCAAAACAATAAGCCTGTCGCAGCAGTAGAGCCAGGTCCATCAGATCCTCGCACGTCTTATGGCCAATCCGATCCAGGTCGACCTCCGAGGGCTCAGTCTTACGGAGCACCATCTTCGTCGATGGAAGCAACTGAAGCAGCAAAGGCGATGTATTCCCAAGGTCAGACATCACCTACACAGCAACGACCACCAGGACCTGACAGAACTGGTTCGTCGTCTGCAGCTGCTGCAGCTGCAGCCGCTATGGCTGGCCCGAAGAGCCCTACTCAACAGAGAGATCCGTACCAGCGCTCATCAACGGACTATGCAGGCCGCGGCGGCTCTTCTGCTCCTGGATATGCTAATCGTATGGATTCTCACTCTGAAGATGGCAGCTATGGTTCACCTCCAAAGCCCCAAGCTCCCTCTCAGCCAAGTTATAATCCCGCAGCATATGCCCAAGTAAGCGGTTACGGCTCACAGCCACCGCCACAACAGATCCAGCCTCCTCAGCAGTCGCCGACAAATGCTTTGTATGGCCACTCTGCTCAACCTCAAATCCCTGAAGCTGCACAACAGCCTAGCGCTGTCATTCCACGGAAAGCAGCTCCTCCTGCGAGTGAGCCTGGTACCGGTCGCCGCATTGGTCTGGATCACTTCAACTTCCTTGCGGTCCTTGGCAAAGGTAATTTTGGTAAAGTCATGCTTGCGGAGACCAAGGCGACCAAGCAGTTGTATGCAATCAAAGTGTTGAAGAAAGAATTCATCATCGAGAACGACGAAGTGGAGAGTACACGATCAGAGAAGAGAGTGTTCTTGATTGCTAACAAGGAACGTCACCCTTTCCTACTCAATCTTCACGCTTGTTTCCAAACAGAGACAAGAGTATATTTTGTTATGGAATATATTAGTGGTGGTGATCTGATGTTGCACATTCAGAGAGGCCAGTTTGGAACAAAGCGTGCACAGTAAGTTGATTATATCAGCCTTGATTGGAACGGTGCTAATATTTGGTAGATTCTATGCCGCCGAGGTCTGCTTGGCACTGAAATACTTCCATGAAAATGGTGTTATTTACCGCGATTTGAAGTTGGACAACATCATGTTGACTTTGGATGGTCACATCAAGGTTGCGGATTATGGTCTTTGCAAGGAAGATATGTGGTATGGATCAACGACCAGCACATTCTGTGGTACTCCTGAATTCATGGCTCCCGAGGTACGTCTCTCTACCTGCTCCGAATTACCTCTAACATCCTGTAGATCTTGCTGGACAAGAAATACGGCCGCGCAGTCGATTGGTGGGCATTTGGCGTTCTCATATACCAGATGCTTCTTCAACAATCTCCCTTCCGTGGTGAGGATGAGGACGAAATCTACGACGCCATTCTTGCCGACGAACCCTTGTACCCAATTCATATGCCTCGCGATTCTGTCTCGATCCTCCAGAAGCTTCTTACCAGGGAACCAGATCAACGGCTCGGGAGTGGACCTACTGATGCTCAGGAAATCATGAGCCAGCCGTTCTTTAGAAATATCAACTGGGACGATGTTTACCATAAGAGAATTCAGCCACCATTCCAGCCCCAAATTACAAGTGCTACTGATACCAGCAACTTTGATTCTGAATTCACGAGCGTTACCCCAGTTCTCACACCAGTACAATCTGGTAAGTTTCTACTCCCTTCTTATAGACTGAACAAGTTGCTGATAGTTGCCACAGTACTTTCTCAGGCAATGCAAGAGGAGTTCCGTGGATTTTCATATTCAGCCGACTTTGTTTGAGCGGTTTCGCGTCAATCTTTTAGCGTTCAGAGAGGCCTCTTGACTTCCCAACCTTTATACAGTCAAAAGCATCTGCCGCATTGGTCCGGAGTCTCGGTCTATTGTTCACATCATGCTTTGTAGGGATATCCCTGAGAGAAATCGGGATGTGCGATGAAGAACAGACAGGTACGAATACGGGATAGGGTATATGAAGGTGATGAAGCGAGAAAGGCATCGCTAGGATGAATGGGTGGATTATGGGTGGATGGATGGCCTTTCACTGAATACAGATAGGCCATGACGCGAAAAAGTCATGAATATCCTCTTTCGCTTCTTTTAGACGGACGGCATCTTGGGTGGGTGGGTGGTTGGTCGTCTCTGCCTTTACGTTAGCAGCCGATGGCCCTTCTAATACATCGCTTGATACAGTTTTCATGCCACGTTGGATTCATATTCTTGGACTCGCTGGTGACTTATTTCAGAGGACTGGACTGGTAGGAGACGGTGCACGGGTGCTACTGGTTGTTTCACGCCTTCGAAATCTGACTCTGGCGTATCTTCGTAACGTCTTGAAGGACTAGCAAGCAAAACATAATCCAGTTTGTCCTTACATCACTGATTCCAAGAAAGATGCCCCTCGTAGGTTCTCATGATGATCATCAAGTCGCGCGTTCCTCGCCCGTTGCCACCCGGCCCAGCCATCGTCTGCACCTACAGCTAGCAAAACTTTTTCCTCAACTCCAACCATTCAGCATCATTGTCAGAGCAAGAAGATAACTAGTAACTCCGACCAAACATGCACCACTTCTCAGCGAAAGCCTCGCACTCTGGATTCAAGCACTTGGTCTCTCCCTTGACAATGCCCTCTGGCTGCTCAGAAGGAATACACAAGCTCTTCATTCCCATGCTCGGAGCCTTCAGCTGCTCTGGGCCTTCTTGCTCCTCTGGCTTGCCGGTGGTTAAGTCCTTGATCTTATCCTCGCACTTCTCTGCCAGGCAGTGAGGAATCAAGACTACGTTCTTGGCGTCCAGAGCTGGAACAACCTCCTCCCATTTGGTGATGTTGATGCGGTGCTCACGGAAGGCAGCGTCGGCTTTCTTGTACATGTCGCTCTGAATGGTCTCGAGGAGCTTGGAAATCTCGGTGGCGAGGTCTGCGATCGCGATTGTGCCCTTTTCACCGGTGTCACGACGAGCGAATGATACAACAGACTTGGCCGCGTCCTTGGGACCGTACTCGAGACGGAGAGGAACACCCTTGAGCTCCCAGTCATTGAACTTCCAGGCTGGAGTGTAACCGTCGCGGATATCATAGTCAGCTCTGATTCCGGCCTTCTTGAGAGTCTCCTTTAACTCTTGCAATTGGTCGTAGTGCTTGGCTTTATCTTCTGGGGTAGTAGACTTGTTGATGCCGACGGGGATGATGATGGCCTGCAGTCTGGAAATACGAGGTGGGAGAACGAGACCTTTGTCGTCACCGTGAATCATAACCATGACACCGATGACACGGGTGGACAGACCCCATGAGTTTTGCCAGACGTGCAAGTGCTTGGCTTTGTCGCCGACCTTTGGAGCAGGATCCTCGACGGTGATATCAAACATCTTGCTGAAATTTTGACCTAAGCAATGAGATGTAGCACCTTGAATACCACGGCCATTGGATGGAATGTAACCCTCAACGGTTGTAGTGTAATATCCTCCGGCGAACTTCTCCTTCTCTGTCTTACGACCTCTTACGACTGGAACAGCCAGCAACTGCTCGTAGACTCCAGCATAAAGCTCAAGAATCTGCAAGACTTCCTCACCAGCTAGCTCCTCAGTCAAATGTGCGGTATGTCCCTCCTGCCATAGGAATTCTCTTGCGCGCAAGAAAGGGGTTGTCTGCTTGGCTTCCCATCTGACGACACTGTTCCATTGGTTGAGGCGGAGGGGAAGATCACGATGACTTCTGATCCACTTCGAGTAGTATGGGTACATGACAGCTTCTGAAGTAGGACGGACTGCGACTGGGACTTCGAGGTCTTTATCCCCACTACATCGAGTCAGTCTCAATCGCGCGTTAGGGAGGGGTAACAAACGCCTTTGTCACCCAAGCAAGTTCGGGAGCGAAACCCTCGACATGGTCCTTTTCCTTCTCTAGAGACTTTGACGACAAGAACATAGGGAAACTTGCTTCCTCGACATCTATAGCCTCGATGCGCTCCTGGAACCACTTGCGAATGACACTCCAAATGAACATGGAGGCAGGACGCAGGATGTAGAAGCCACTAATCTCTGTGTAATAATCCACAAGCTCCGCCTTGAGGACTACCTCCTGATACCAAGCTGAAAAGTTCTCTGACTTCGAGACTGTCATCCCAATGATATCGCTGCCTGCATCTGTCTTCTTGCCGCCGACCACCGCAATGGTTGCTTGTTTGGCCAACTTTGCAGCTTTTTCGGCTTGCATTTTTGCTTGCTTTTCTGCCTTTTTAAGGGCAGACTTAGAGGGCTCTGCTGGAGAAGTAGCGTCCGCCATGATGTGCTCTGGTGTTGTTGTTTTGATGTTGTAGGAAGAATCTGTGACTTGTGTTGACAAGTGTGACCCATCAACAGATTTCCCCTCTTAGTGGGGTTAAATCTAAGCGGGTTCAGCCTCGCGCTAGGAACGCCTTGACCAAGTGGCTCATGGACTGTGACTAGTGGGTAATCACCTCGCCCCCTTCAATTTTCAAACAGCGAAGTCCACCAGCGCTTTTGTGACATTTGGATGCATATATTTGCTATTCAGGAAAAGCTTAAACAAAGATATGATCATCTATCTTATAACTGGATCCAAAACTCTCGGAGATGTCGTAGTTCGAAGAGTGAGATGTCCTCAAGCTCTTTGCTGATTTTTACAGTCACGAAGGGCCAAGTCCGATGCTGGTCAGCCTGCACTCATAAGTTGCCTTGCCTTTTCCCTTGTCTGTTCCCTTGCCTTTCGTAATCTACTATTCCAAGTTACTACGTAGAGAATAGTTCGTGATCTTATGGGACACGATGAAGGCAAGATCAGAAAGTAAGCACCAAGCCATTCTCTGATTTTGCTTGCCTAGGATCAACCGTGAGTGTGGTTAGGCTGTGGGTTACTGAGCTATCCCAAAATCGCCTTTGGATGCTGTGAGCTGACTGGAATCTACAATGATGATACAAACGAGGACCACGGAAAACTGTCTGTCGCCCATGGAGTTCTGCTAACTTAAATCAATCAAATTGGATCAAAGTCAACAAACAGAGTGGGTTCGCTTACTAAGCAGGAGAAGGTCCACAATCACCAAGCTCACGTCCACGCTAGCGCCTTTCGTCGCGAGTGCAAGAAATAATTCATAAACGCGAACTATACAGTCGTCGTGAACAGCTCCACCTCTCCGCCACAACCACCTCACCAAATATCATCCCCACCGACAGCTGACTCCCAAACCTCTTCCAAGACTAAAACTCGTCATGGGATCGCTCTTCGAACAGCCTCGGAACGCTGGGACTCTGTGTAAGATTTGAAAACCTTCAGTCGATGGCACTCCCAAGCCATCTTCTGGTTGCCTCATACGGAACGATATTTGAACTAACAGTATGCAGTCCTCGGCGGCACAAAGGTCTCTGGGCAAGATATACGCGAAGCAAATGGTGAGGAACAGAAAAGGACTGGAGTTTGTGTATGCAGGCGAGCTAACAGCTTCTACAGTCCTTGCAACTCAGGCTATTGCAAATGTCGTCAAGAGCTCCTTCGGACCTTCAGGGTTGGACAAGATGATGGTTGACGGTTTGTAAAGCTTCGGATACGAGGGAGTACATGCTAACTTCATGTCAGATATTGGCGATGTTACCGTGACGAATGATGGCGCAACTATTCTCAGTCTCCTAGATGTCGAGCACCCTGCAGGAAAGATCCTGGTCGATTTAGCACAACAACAAGATAAGGAGGTTGGTGATGGAACAACATCTGTGGTTATAATCGCAGCAGAGCTTCTCCGGAGAGCGAATGAATTGATGAAGAACCGGATCCACCCAACAACTATCATCACCGGCTATCGGTTAGCACTCCGCGAAGCAGTAAAGTACATGCACGAGAATATCAGTGTCAAAGTTGACCAGTTGGGCCGTGAATCTCTGATTAGTATTGCCAAAACCTCCATGTCTAGCAAGATTATTGGATCAGACTCGGAATTCTTCGCCAACATGGTTGTGGATGCAATGCAAGCAGTCAAGTCAACAAACAACAGACAGGAAGTCAAATACCCAGTCAAGGCGGTTAACATTCTCAAGGCACATGGAAAGGGTGCTCTGGAGTCTATCCTGGTCAAGGGCTACGCATTAAACTGCACAGTCGCGTCTCAAGCGATGAAGACCCGAATTGTTGATGCCAAGATTGCCGTTCTCGACATGAACCTGCAGAAAGAGAGAATGAAGCTCGGAGTTCACATCACAATCGACGACCCTCAACAGTTGGAGGAGATTCGCAAGCGGGAAGCTGGTATTGTCATGGATCGTGTGGAGATGATCCTGAAGTCTGGAGCAAATGTTGTTTTCACAACCAAGGGCATCGATGATTTGTGCCTGAAACTGTTCATTGAGAAGGGAGCTATGGGAGTACGGAGATGCAAGAAAGAGGATCTTCGCAGAATTGCCAAGGCAACTGGTGCCACACTGATCAGCTCCTTGTCGGACCTCAATGGGGACGAGAAGTTCGATGCTTCGTCTTTGGGTCACGCCGAAGAAGTTTCTCAAGAAAGGATCTCAGACGATGAGTGCATTTTGGTAAAGGGTACCAAGGTTCACACATCAGCTTCCATCATTCTCCGAGGATCCAATGATTACCAACTCGATGAGATGGAGAGGTCTGTACATGACTCACTTTGTGCTGTCAAGCGAACTCTTGAAAGTGGTAGCATTGTCCCAGGTGGCGGTGCTGTGGAGACAGCTCTTCACATCTACTTGGAGGAATTCGCTGGAACCGTCGGCTCAAGGGAGCAACTTGCCATTGGCGAGTTTGCTCAAGCTCTCCTGGTCATCCCAAAAACACTCGCTGTCAACGCTGCCAAAGACTCTTCCGAGCTTGTCGCACAACTCCGTTCCAGACACGCACTCTCCCAGCGAATCCAGGACGGAGATGCCAATGAGGACGAGAAGACTATCGCCAAGAAGAAGAACTACAAGAACTATGGTTTGGACCTTACGAAGGGCAAGGTGGTGGATGAGATCAAAGCTGGTGTTTTGGAACCGAGCATGAGCAAGATTAGGCAGTTGAAATCTGCCGTAGAAGCCTGCATATCGATCATGCGAATTGATACGCTTATTAAATTAGATAAACCTGAAGCAGGTGGTGATGATGATGGACATGGTCACTGAGAGCTGTTTTGAGCGATGCTTGTAATATAATGAGACTAGATCGTGGAGCTGTCAGTAGCACGAAATAGAAGCCTTCCAAAACATTCTCTCGCGGTTTAAATGTTATCAAAGATGCCCAAGACATGTACCCAGCAAAGGAGACATGTCACCATCTATCCTGAGTATTTCATTATCCATACGGGATTGAGATTGCTCTGAGAGCATCATTGTTTTGACACTTGATCGCCTAAGCGGTTGGCATCGTGACTTCCTCACGAAGTAAGCGAGTTCCTCATCTCACATGCGGTAAAGCGCCCAGTGTAAGAGCTTAGAGCAGTCCCAAGCTAAGCCTGCAGCTGGGTTCTGCGAATTCATGAACGAATATTTAGCTTTCTTGTCATCGCCTATACCAAATGCTCGCAGTCGTAAGATCCTCGTCATGAAAGGCTTTGCAAGGAGGTATGTCACACCTTATATGTTCGGATAATTTCCCCATAATCATTTTCGAACCAGAAAGAAACCGCTGAGCACACCTCAATGAAGGGTAGTCACTTAGAAAGCTTCAGGTATCACAAATTCAACATCCTGTAGTTTGTCGTCAATATCATATAGATGCATTACTGACCACCACAGAAAGTTCCGAAAATTAAATCAGAGCGGACTTTCTATCTACAGCCCTAATCTCCGTCACTGGGGTCTACAAAGCTCCAAGCCCAGAGTGTGCCTCTGTCGGATTTTGAGAGCCGAGCGTGTTCCTGGGGCTACATTTCATCGCGAGACGGAGGATTTACATCACGTAGCCCAAACCAACTAATCGATGTTTGCAAAATGTTTCGATGATTCTTTTGTACAACGGCATCGACCTCTTCTACAAAGCCGCACAGTCTCTCTCTCTCTCGTCCCTTCTAAGCCCCTCCCATCTAACAAATGAAACTCCATTATACACATCCCCTTAACCAATGACAAGCGCATTCTCATCGGCGAAGTCGTATTCTGGGATCTCAAGATTTAGTGGCGCTGGACCTCTGCGAATACGGCCGGAAATATCGTAGTGAGAACCATGGCAAGGGCAGAACCATCCTCCAAAATCACCGGCCTCGCCGATGGGTACGCATCCAAGATGTGTGCAGACACCTACTTCTTATTAGCATCAATGCATACACTGATATTCAGTTCACCAGCAACTCACCAACCATGATCAACCACTCGGGCTTTTTAACACGGTCCTCGTCCTTCTGAGGATCCCGCAATGTCTCGACCTTGACACTCTCGGCCTCCTTGATCTCATCTGCTGTTCGGTGGCGAATGAAAACCGGCTTTCCTCGCCATTTAACAATAACCTTTATCCGTCAGCAATCATTCTTAGTCCAATTGAGTCGTGGAACCTACGTTCTTGCCCTCAGGAATGGATGCAAGATCGACCTCAACCTTGGCCATAGCAAGAACATCTGCGGATGCGGACATGTTGACCAAGAAATCTATAGATATATCAATCATCAGTACTATATCCCAATTGACATGATTTCTTCCACCCGTAGCCCTTTCAACTCTTCCCAAGATGTCCGGTCCAGTTCGCCTCTTGTAGCAACATACCTTGCACCGTAGCCTTTGCACCGGCAGCCGTCAAAGCACCCATCGTCCCGACCATAAAGTATTGGAACAATAAGTTAGAGTTCGAATTCGACTTGCTCCGGTAGTGACTGAAGTCGGGAATCTTGGTGCCGGCGTCGTTGCCCATGCCACGGAAAGGCGAGTCGAATGAGCTCGTAGGGGCATCACGCTTTGCGGCGGAGGTGGAGAGGGCGCGGACAGCGAGAGAATTACTGCGCGGGATGGTCCGCAGCAGCGTGCGCGAGGTGTGTGAGAGAGAGGCCATTGCTGCGTGTGGTGGGCGTTGAGATGTGTTGATAGTCGTGATGGTCTGAGGTAGGTTTTTGGATGGGTCCGGCTCGAGCTTTGAGTATTAGTTTGCCCGGCTTGTGATTGGTCGGCTGTGGAGCTTGAATGCTTCTCTCGTGTAAAATCGGGAACTCGACCACATTCTCTAAAATGCAACAATATCTCTATCTCGAAGCACTTCTTCAGAGGCGGAGGCCGAAAATTGGAAAGCAGTCAATTCTCAGGGCTGCAATGGGAAATGAAGTTATTTACTGACTCTTGGTCTTGTCATTGGTTCCGCTCCACGTCACATCCATTTCACTCAAGGGGACGCTAAGTGCATATTGTTCTATTTTCTTCGCTTTATTATCTCTTGGAAACTCTCAGGCGTTGACTGCTTGGTGGTTTGTTCGTTCTTGTGAATCATAGACATGTGAATGCTTACCAGACCTGCCTAGTTGCCCCGATCGACATTTGGGAACTGGCAACATTTTGAGTGTAATTTGATATTGATACCTCCAAACCAGTATGGCTGCAAGAAGCTACGTTTGGTCTTGTCATTCCGCAATAGTTGATATTAACCATGTTCTTACTGCAATCCTTCAGTTGCTGGTAGTACTGTACTGTTACGCAGTCAGGCCGCATATATCCATTCACCGACAAGCAGTACAGTGCAGTTTACTTGAGAGAATAGATCCATCGTACGCAGAACTATAATCTTTGTCTAATTATATAAAGTCTTAACTCTGTTCAATTCGATTAAAGAAGATGTCCAGGGCTATTCCATTTAGATCAAGACATGGAAGATATTCAGAGCAGGAATTGACTGACAACGGAAGTGACCGGTCAGACTTCTTCCATAATTACCGAAATACTTCTAATAGAGACTCGAAAGGGTTCTCAGTAATAAGGAGAGTCAAGCACCTGGGAGATAGATTTCATACTGACATTGGTGCCGGTGAAAATCAGTTACGTATGTCATGTGACGAATGTGAGAGAGCAACTTCGCCACTTAGAATACACTGTTTACACAATATTTGGCAGATAATCCTAGAATAGAGAAAGCCACCTGTACTAGAAGCCAGGAAATTAAGGCAGGCAAGAGAATTAAATGGTGGATAACGCGATGCGATCGAGCTGCAGCTCTAAGGCCATGACGTATCGCGGGCCCTTGACCCGACTAACATAGTAGCGTCAATATGTCATACCTACACTTGTGAGTTGCCTGAAAAGATCACATTTTCTTTTCTCTTTCAGCAGCACTGAATCCATTTCTCCTCTATTCATATAACAGACAGCTACTCACAAATACCCCAAAATCGCATTCAAAATGAGCGGAACTTCAAACGTCGGAAACTCTCAGGTCTACGAAGACGGGGATCAGAAGAACGTGTCCAAATCTGAGGTAGAACAAGAGAAGCAGGACAAGAGATTCCATGAGGGCAAAGAGAATAGTCACAAAGCCAATGACTCTAGTAAGTTGTATGGATTCGTCTCAAAAGAGGCTACGTGCTGACATTCTTCTTCAAGAGGATCAAAGAACTATCGCCAACAAGCTCGCTCGCGAGGAAAAGGTATATACTATCAACGGGATTCTAAGATAGATCATCCCGTGCCAAACGAATAGCCATACTAACAGGAATGCAGCGTGAGAACGAAGACGAGGAAGAGAGCGAAGAAACAAAAGCGCTGAAAAAAGATCCAACATTGCCTGTAAGCAACGAAAAGGGTTGAAACTCTACAACCTTGCGTGTTTGTTGGGGTCGAGCCAAAGTCTAACTTTTGATAGGCAAAAATGCACGGCAACGAGCCCAGCAGAGGTGCAAAGATTGATGCTCAGATTCAAGCTGAGGAAGAGGAAGAGCTGAGAAGAAAGGGCAAGGCTTAAATCAAGAAATATGCGTATCTGTAAGTAATGGTGCAATGACTTTAGTGGAACGAGTCAGGGCCATGGAAGGTGAAAGGCATATTCTGGCAATTTTGTTTAGCCAGGCGCTTTATGTTTGCAATGTATCTTGCAAAATTACCTTGAAATAAAATGAGTGTTTAGTGAGCGATAATGTATTGAATATTGGTGCAGAACCTTGACCCTTTGTAATTGATTATATGGGGGCGGGAGCCATGCAATTGGGGAAGGTTGGCAGCTGATGCATTTACTGTATGTTGTTGCCTCATTGGCTGAGTTTGGGTTGCCGTACAAGTAGGCAAGGCCGCGGCAGGACGCTGGTGGCTTCAACGCCTCACCAACGAGCGCAGCATGAACAAACTGTGAGCAATGCTTCTTGCCAACAAAATCACCATCAAATCGCGGCACAGAGCATTACTGCAGCTTGTGCATATTTAAACATGTCCTGAGCTCAAACCCGTTAATGACTTTGCCCAGATGACATTCCAGGCTCCACAACCATGGGACAAGGCTTCTCCCTCACGACGCTCAATGCGGGCTCTGCGGGCATTGATGTCCCCGAGCTCTCGGATTTGACCTATGAAAAGTCTATGGGAGGTTCACGGTTCATGAAGAGCATACGGGCACGGCATCAAGATGGGTTGGTTCTGGTGAAAGTGGTAGTCAAGCCATATGCCATGAGGCTCGAGAAATACAAGCGGAAAATCATCCGTCAGTACAGCGATCCAAGATCAGCTCAAATGCTAATATATCTGTACAGAAGAAAGAAAGGCGCTGGCGGATGTTCCGAATGCGCTTGCCTATCAGCGAGTCGTTGAGACCGAAACTGGAGGATTTCTCGTTCGACAATACCTCTATAGCTCTATTTACGACCGCATGAGCACTCGACCTTTCCTCGAAGACATCGAGAAGAAATGGCTTGCTTTCCAATTATTGTGCGGGGTTCGCGACTGCCACGCTCGGGACATTTACCATGGGGATATCAAGACGGAAAACACCTTGGTCACATCCTGGAATTGGCTGTACTTGTCGGACTTCTCTTCTTCATTCAAGCCTACGACTCTTCCAGAGGACAACCCAGCGGACTTTTCATATTTCTTCGATACTGCCGGAAGAAGGACGTGCTACCTTGCTCCTGAGCGCTTTCTAGCAGCTGGTGAAATTCCGGACCCGAAGGCACAGATTACATGGGCTATGGACGTTTTTAGTGCTGGGTGTGTGATTGCCGAACTATTCTTGGAATCGCCCATTTTCAGTTTGAGCCAGCTGTACAAATATAAAAAGGGGGAGTTCGATCCAGTGACAGCTCAGTTGGGCAGGATCGCCGACAAGGACGTCCGGGAAATGATTGCCCATATGATTAACGTTGACCCCGAGTCCAGGTATACAGCAGAGCAGTATCTTGAGTTCTGGAGAAAGAAGGTCTTTCCAGATTATTTCTACAGTTTCTTACACCAATATATGGGATTGATCACAGATCCATCATCAGGAAGAACGCCGATCTCAGGGGCTACAGCTAACTTAGGGGAAGCCGACGAGCGGATAGACCGTATCTACTACGATTTCGACAAGATAACATATTTTCTAGGCTATGAGAATGAGAGAAAAGCAATCAAAAAGGTTTCATACGCGGCCAGTGGCTTGAAAGTCTTGCCGGTACATCTGAACATACCAAACAATGAGCACCAATCATCCATCGTTGAGGCGAGGCCGACGGATGATGGGACTCTCATATTCCTTGCCTTGGTTGTGTCGTCCATTCGAAATACTGCACGCGCCACAGCCAAAATCCGGGCCTGCGATATCCTTTTAGCCTTTTCGGAACGCCTGACTGATGAAGCAAAGCTCGATAGAGTGCTACCGTACCTGGTTGCATTGCTTAATGATAAAGTGGACATTGTCAAGGTAGCCGCAATACGGACACTAACTCAACTTATGGCCCTAGTGACTGTGGTGTCACCTGTCAATGCTCATGTATTCCCGGAGTATATCTTGCCTCGCATGCAAATATTCCTCCCTGGATCCTCTTCTGAGCCTGGGCCGATAGTTCGAGCAACCTATGCAGCTTGTTTAGGTAGTCTTGCGACTTCTGCTTCCCGATTCCTTGACATGGTTGCCACCTTGAAAGCGGACGGTTCTTTACCTACCGCAGATCCAGAAGCAGAAGATGGTGGTCCTGCAGGTGCAGAGACTCAGGGTCTTTTTGACAATTCCAGAGCCGAACTCATTGAGCTGTTCGAGATGCATACCAAGGCACTCATCACGGATGGCGATTCCGCCGTCCGACGCGCTTTCCTTGGCTCCGTGCCGGAATTGTGCATGTTCTTCGGAACAGCAGACTCAAATGATATTATCTTGAGTCACTTGAACACGTACCTCAATGATCGAAACTGGATGCTTAAGTGCGCCTTTTTTGAGACCATTGTAGGGGTCGCAACATTTCTGGGAGGTACTAGTCTAGAAGAATTTATCCTGCCATTGATGGTACAAGCATTGACGGACCCGGAAGAGTTTGTTGTTTCCAGTGTCCTTCGATCACTTGCTAGCATGGCAGAGTTAGGCCTCTTCCAGAGATCGAAAACTTGGGAGCTTGTTGAGATAGTGGCCCGGTTCACCATGCATCCCAACATTTGGATACGAGAGGCAGCAGCTATGTTTCTATCATCAGCCACAATCTTTCTTTCCGTCGCGGACACACAATGCATCGTTCATCCTTTGATAAGGCCATTTCTGAAAACAGCTGCTAATGATTTCTCCGAGCTTGGTCTGCTTGACAATCTAAAGAAGCCAATGTCGCGAGCCATTCTGGATCTCTCGGTAACTTGGGCCACTAAGGTTGATCGGGGTATATTTTGGAAACCAGTTCCTCAACTGCGAACTTTCGCGCTCGACTCTACCAATTTTGGCATCATGTCGTCCTATAGCAAGGATTCTGGCCATCATGCTCTCCAGAGAATACCAAAGAATGAAGAGGATGAACAGTGGTTAGCGAAACTCAGGAACATGGGGCTTGGGACCGATGATGACTTCAAGCTGCTTGCGCTGAGAGTATATATTTGGCGACTTGCTATGTCCAAGGCTCGAGAGACCACACAGCACCCGGCATATCTCAACAGCGTGATCAATCTCCGCAATATTGGAATAACTCCACAGACAGTCATGTTTGATGAGCAGCAGCCTTTGGATGAACCACTTCGAAGGCTAAACAGTGGATCCGATGGCAGTGACCGGGCCCCTCATACTATCGCTGATGCCCTGCTTGATGCTTCGATGACAATTGATGATTCCATTGCGCGGAGGAGGCGTTCCGCCTTCAATACTCACAAAGCTCGAGTTAGCAGCCATGTCGGCTCATTATCAACAGTGGCAACTGGGCGTGGTGGTCAGTCTCCTGTTTCTCCATCCTCGGTCACTTCGTCGTCTCCTAAGGATATAGAGCCTTTATCTTTGGATCAAACATCTCGTCGCACGTCCATTCCAGTCAAGGTGCCAAACGGGAAGGGCAGCGAAGATGAGGGTGATTCTGTGCCAGATACAGGCTCGAGTGTGAATTCGAGAGATAGGGAACTACGCCATGGCATCCGTCACAAATCCAGTGCGATCAACTTGATGAACCGAAAAGATTCGACGAAATCATTCCCTGAGATTGGTATGACTTCTGCGAACGTTTTTGGCAGAGTAGAAGGACCATTTCCCCACAACAGAGGGGATTCGTCTGCATTAGCATTGGCGAAAGAGAAAGAGAAACACGGCCAGGATCAGATTCGCTTCCGAGGAGCTCATACCTATGCTGGCAATGACCCTAGTATACTGAAAATGTTGGATGCCATGTATGTGGACAATTACCCGAACGATATTGCTGAGTTTGGTCCCATGATTGCAACTTCGAGCAGGCGAAAGAACATCAACAAAGGATCGGCCCAGACTCCAGATCGACCTTGGAAGCCCGAAGGTACCCTAGTGGCCACATTTTCAGAGCACATTGGGCCCGTGCATCACATTGCCGTTGCTCCTGATAATTTGTTCTTCCTCACAGGAGGAGACGATGGCTGTATTAAAGTCTGGGATACTGGACGACTTGAACGCAACATTGCATATCGCTCCAGACAAACTCACAAACATGCTAATGATGCTCAAATTACTGCTCTGTGTTTTGTTGAGAACACTCACTCGTTCATTAGTTGTGGTAGTGATGGAAGCATCAACGTAGTCAGAGTTGAATGTGTTCAGGCTAATGGCACAGTGAGATACAGCAAGCTTCGAATTTTGCGCGAGTATCAGCTTCCTGAAGGAGAAATGGCCATGTGGTCAGATCATTTCAAAATAGAGACAAACTCGACTTTACTCGTTGCCACTAATCGATCACGAGTCGTTGCTATCGATCTTCGGACAATGGAAATTCTCTATACTTTAGAAAATCCTGTTCATCACGGAACACCAACTTGTTTTATCGTTGATAAAAGACGGCAGTGGCTACTTTTAGGGACTTCTCATGGAGTCTTGGATCTATGGGATCTGCGATTCAAAGTTCGTCTTAGAGCTTGGGGAGTCCCAGGAGCTACCTCTATTTACAGGATGTGTTTACATCCCACAAAAGGACGCGGTAGATGGGTTTGCGTCGCAGGTGGCAGTGGTCACGGAGAAATGACTGTATGGGACGTTGAAAAGGTTCAATGTCGAGAGGTCTATCGGGCAGGTGGTAGCAGAGACGGACCTAAAGGGTATGAGCCGTGGCCTGTTGATGAAGACCGACCTGAGGGCATGCTTGGGCGATTTGCAACTGCACTAGAACCAAATGGGTCCAGCAATTCTGATCGAGGTATGCGAGCTATGGTAGCGGGAACAGACTCCTACGATGATAACCGAGAGACGAAATATGGCTTCATCATTACAGGAGGATCTGACAAGAAGATTCGTTTCTGGGACGTCTCTCGCATGGAAAATTCTATGGTTGTCAGTGGGCTTGATGTTGAAGAGCTAAAGCCAAGCTTCACCTCTACACATCCAACAGCTTCATTAACGCTCAACGCGGAGCGAATTCCGAGGCCAGGACCAACGGCCCCTAATGCAGGGGTTAGTTCTCGGACTTCCAATGCAAGCAAGACATCAAGCGGGCGACCGCCGAGATCAACAGTGATCTCTCTCCAGCAGCAGCAGCTTCTGAGATCTCACCTCGACTCGATTCTCAACATTGCATTACTAGAATCTCCGTATGGAATGATGGTGTCGGTGGACAGGTCTGGCGTTGTATTTGTATTTCAGTAGTAGGCAACATGTTTTTCAGCATTCAATAGGCGTTTGGGTCATCAGGAGGAGCATGGAGCGGCGCTAGAATTCGGGATATAAGAAGCGGAGAAGATTCAGACGTAACATGCGCTAGTGAACAACACCACAATAGACTACGCAAACCATAGTTACATTATCTCGATTGTATCACATATACATACCTTACAGGAAAATGCAGGTTCCGGCCCATCGTGGGAGGTGCACTTTCCTAGCATAATAATCATTTTACTGTTACAAAATTTCGGTGACTATCAATTAACAGTCAATGGAGAGTGATAAGAGATTCTTGACAGTTGAGAGGTCGTTATTTCAAGAAATTGCACCTCTCACGGTGGGCAGAACCTGCTTTTTCCTGTAAGGTATACACTCGATTGAAAACCTGATACTCTGCGATACATTCCCCTCTTGCTCACAGCCCAATTAGGTTTAGCCTCGCTAATTTTAAAAGTCGAGAATTGGGTGGAGGGGAACAGCCTCAGCCTTGTCAACAATCACCACCAAGCGCTACACAGCACGATTCCCTGCAGCTGAACCATTTTCCTTTCCTCTACATCTACGAAAACAACAGGTAAATCGACACAATGCGTCTCACGGCAGACCTGATCCAATCTTCCCTCTCCTACCTCAACCCACTCAAAGAGCGGGAGCTTGATCTTCGAGGTGCGTACCTGAAAAGAACATGATACTACACTTTGAGGCGAGCTGAGTTGATATCGAATTTTTGTACTTCTGCAGGCCATAAGATCCCCGCCATAGAGAACCTCGGTGTCGCCGGTGTAAGTTCTCCTTGCCCCCCCGCGCTCTGCCTCGCGAGACAAAGCTCTTTGCGTTACGAAGGCATTGATACTGACGAAATGTAATAGCCCCACGATGCGATCGACTTTACAGACAACGATATCCAAGTCCTAGGCAATTTCCCTCTATCAGCACGGTTACGAACACTGCTGTTGGCGCGCAACAGAATCACAGGCATCCAACCCTCACTCGCCAACTCGATACCAAATCTCACGACATTGGTGTTGACGGCCAATAACTTTGCGGAGCTGGCAGATTTGGATGTTCTTGCTACATTTCACCACCTTACACATCTAGTCTTGTTGGAGAATCCCGTTACGAGAAAAGAGGTACGATTTCGGAGCTTCAGGAAGACAGGTACGAGCTGGCTAATTGGTCTTTAGAACTACCGGTACTGGGTTATCTGGAGATGTCCAACTGTCAGATTTTTTGATTACAAAAAGGTTAAGGATGTAGAGCGTGAGAAGGCGAAGAAGCTTTTTGGTACTTCTGCTGAGCCATCTGCGCTGGCTTCGAAGGTATGTCCGGTGATGCAAGCTTCTGACCAATCGCTGATGCACCGGCAGATTATGGGCGTTAAGTCCAAGACCTTCGATATCCCTTCAGCGAACGGTTCAGCAGCTGTCTCAACATCGAAGAATTACCGCGTCAAGTTGACCGACAAGGAACGAAAGAAGGTGGAGGAGCTGATTAGGAACGCCAAGAGCTTGCAGGATATCATTCGCTTGGAGCAGGAACTAAATGAGGGGCGTGTGCCGGCAGCTGCTCAGGGTGTAGATGATATGGAGGAATGAGCGAACTAGCTTGAAATACATAGAACGGGTAAAATGTGGCTGGCTTTGATTCTGCATATCAGACGGCGTTATGGTCTGGGAGATACGAAAAGTATTGGCGTTTTCTGGATACCGAGCTGCTGTTGACATAGAGAAAACATGGCAGTTCTCATATGAGACTTGATATATTTAGACACATGGTCGCCACAACATATCCGCTACTGTAATTGATGAAAAATTCGTGGTAATAAATGGCGGCTCTATATAAGAGAACTACCAGCGAATTCATACGCATAATACCTATGTCGACCTGTCGTTTCTTTATAGTACAATAGTCATGACTCATTCGTGAACGCTGCTTGAAATAAGCCAGGTCAATTCATCTCAACATCTTGGCCCTGGTTCTGACTTTCAGAGATGGTAGACCCCGTGCTCAATCGAACGCGGCGACTCTCCTTCTCCAGCTGCGCATTAGGATCATCAGCCTCGTCATCATCTAATGAGGTATCATGGGCTCCAAATCCATTAGTGCCGTTCGCAGTAGGCTTCAATATATCGAGAGTGGTTTGGCCGACCTCGACGGAACTCTCGCCATTCGTTTTGCTGGGCCCTGATGCGATCTTCTTGGCTTCCTTGTAAGGGATTGTCTTTGGGACAATATCAACAAGGAACTCCAGATTATCATGGTGAGCCACAGCATTTGCTGAAAAGTATTAGCTAGCTTGGGATACATTGTAGGAAATCACGTACCAAGATCTCGGTATTGAATGTTTCTGCGAGGCTTCTTCTCCGAGCGGACGACATTATGTGCCTGTTCAGAAAGGTACTGAATGAACATCTCCTGTTGACTTTGTCAGACATTTATCAACGAAATCGCGTTAAACTGACCGTAGCAACCGTTATGACGAAAGCAGCAGAGTTGGAACAGGCATGAATATCCGAATCAACTTGTATCATCTTCTTTACACGGGAAACTGGAAGCGATGAGTGATTGTTCGTATGCTGAGAAGGCTGTGTATCTTACGTGGTAGTTGGGTAGTACCAGTGGCCTCCTTCCGGGGAGGGATAGGAGCAGTGTTGTAGGGCATGATTATTTTAGCCTATAGGAGATTCAGATGAGCTACCAGTGTCTGAATTTGCAGACAGGTTTGAATCAAGCGGCTTTTCAGCTGCGCAAACTGAAAGACACCCTTGAGGTCTGCCAGAAATAGAAAGCAGCTTTTACAAATCAGCGAAAGTCCTCGCTCGAATTTAGAGAGTGCTTGGTAGCCCATCAGAGAAAGCTTTGGGGAGAAAGGGGGCCGGCCCTCTTGGCTTGACGAGCTCGAGAGTCAATTGCAGCAAACAGACACAGTCATATGGCGTGCAGCTCAAGCGCTCAGAGCCAGGAAGTAGCGACAGAAGCAGGTCCAAATGAGAGCGATCCAGATGGAGAAGGTATTCTCGTACCTGCGCTATAATTTTGGTCTTGACCTTGTAGGCTTGCTAAAGCTGGTAAGTCACGCTTCGCAGGTGAGTGTCAGCAATAAGAAGCGCTCTGTAGTCCTGTGTGCTGCGGTTAGCAACCTTGTCCTTTGCGGGGAGGGACTGTACTTGCTCTCTCCTGCGATAGCCACACAACACCTCCAAACTTCCAGACTTCCGAGGTCAATCAACAGTACGTGGATAGTTGACAGGCGAGAAGATCGAGACGCGTCCAAGTCCTGGACGCGGTGAAGTCGGCCGCATTGCCGCTCAGAAAGCGAGTGCCTCATAAGTGCCGACAATCACCGAGGAGACTTTCCACTCCAACATATCCAACCTTGGCCCAAGAAGCTTTCACATCACTAGTCAAGATAGAAGATTTTATAATTTTACGGTCGTAAAGATATATAGTTGCGCAGTATAATATTCTCTCCCCAAGATACTGGAAGGACACGGCCAGCATCTTACAGCCACAACTCCCTGGGCGAGCTGAGGGCTGTGCATCCTACCAAGATGAGGCACAAGTCTTGGTTCTAGGAGCTGGGCGGGCTTGGTCGCCATGTGTCAGCCTGTGCTGCTACGACTATTTCCCAAGTCAGATCCCTTGATTGATCTTCATTCTTACACCAGGCTGTCAGCACATCACTGAATTGATCAGACAAAATGACCCAAGCGCTCATCTCTGGTATCAGCGGTTCGATAGAGAATGCATGGAAGGTATGTTGAAATCCTAAGATACATTGGTCGGGATCACTATTGACTCGAAGATAGAGATATCGAGTCGTATCACAGGCCCCTACTCGGCTCAAGCCACTTTCTGATGCACTACTGTCCATGGAGCCATGATCAGTGTGCTACGCTTGACACTCGATATTAGTCAGGAGTGTCGACTTTCAGCGACGGACAAGTGGGTCATCAACACCCAAAATGAGCTTGCAGCCAGGTATTCGAGCAACTAGATGGGTTCATCTATGGTCTCAGATCCCGTCAAGTAAGCTCTGATGCAGTGACTGCTTTGAGAGACAAGATTCTCGACCAAGTTGCTCGGCTATCTTCGTTTCTCGAAGCCCTTCAAATGTAGGTAAGACTTCAAGCATTTCATTGCTTATTACGTGCTTGAATTATGTTTATGCCGCCGCAGAATACATTTGAAAACAACAAAATTGTGAAATTAGAACCCCGTTCCGAAGTTTGTTGTTGGACCATGGAAGATAGCTTGCGGCGGTGTTCAGGCTAGAACCAGGATTTATTCTCACAGCAGCGTTGCTTTATGATATTGCGAGATACGTGTGAACATCATTTTCCTATTGGCATAGATATTAAAATCTTGTTTGCGCAGCTTTGCAATAGCTGATATCAAACAAGTTCGCTCAGACAGAAAATCACAACTGCGTTGAGCAACTTTCCAGACATTGAAGCTGTTGCCGGAAACTGGGATGATTTACGAGCAGAACTTCAGAAATTTGATATTTAAGAAAACTTGGTTCAGGACAACTTCTTTTTCATCGACAATTGGCTTAAGGACAATATCACGGGGGCCGGCGACGTGACCGAACAATTCCATAATGCGGGAGGTGTGAAAAGTGAGTTGCCTGGAGAAGAATCCAATACCAATAATGAGGGTGAAGAGCTGCCGGCTATACACCTGGGGCCAAGCGCGGTACCATTAGGGAAAAGGTGCAATGTTTGGAACACACTTCGATGGTCATGAGCCATAATGAGCAAATCGAATTAATGGCCACAACGTCCAAGGCGCCACCTGCCTATACCTTCGAAGAGGGACACGATGAAAAGGTAGACCAGGATTTCAACACGTATATTCAGAGGGCCGTAGATGCTGAAGCTAGTCGAAGGACCATTGAACGAATTCAGAACCCTGATGCTGGACCTCGACCATATTCTTGGCTCCCCAAAGACATGCACGCGCAATACAAAAGCCGAGGAGATGTCTCATCTCTACTGGAACCAAACTCATTCTCTACCATGGCTCATGAGACTGCGCCAAAATGTAACGACGACATTGAGAGACTTATGAGTCTGTTACGAGTAACCTTCGAGCATAAAAATCTCTCGCAGAGTGTGGGCGTCGTCAACGATGCTTTCAAGTGTTTGGATTCCATGTCGAAAGCCGTGTCTAAGTTCATGTTACTCCAAGATCAGCATTCTCAAGTCTCTGAAGCTTTCAGCGACATGGATGCTTTGGACTTCGAATATGATACTGCGGCTGGTATCGATGACAGTCACCAATTCCCAAGACAAGAATTTGAGTTCTGCCAGAAGAGCTACTACCGGCTTCTGACATACATCATGAGCATGCTCGAAGCTTTCTCCTACATCTTTCAGGGTCGGACGTACATCAGCAGGTCGCGTCATGAACTGGAATTCCTCTGGAAGGATAAGAAGATGGTGCGCTTTCCCTGACATTCCCTTCATTCATATCGTTTCAGATCCCGCATCGTACCCTTATTCTATATTGGCGTCTCCCGGCTGCTCTGAAACTTTCGCAGATATCAATTTCTTCTCCTTAAATACCAGTACTGACTCTGAGACTTTCTAGAATGTACGAAGTGCCTGGATTGACAAGCAATTAGCTGCTTGGGATGAGGTCGAGAATGCAGTTCTATATGTTCGAGACTGGCGTGCTGTTCGGCCCTTAATTCGAGATGAAGCCTTGAGAGCGCTTGAAGAATGGCATACTGCAGAAAGGATACTGTCAGGCTCGGAAGTGGACGATGTCATCGAGATGACAATCATGTCAGCCACAGGTCTCCCAAAATCAACGTTTGGAAAGCCAAGTTTATTCGTGAAATTAGTACTATTCGTTGCAGCCCGTGTGGGGCAGATGAGGGTCATGGAACTCAAGACCGACGTTTTCCCAAAGTCACAGGATCCGATATGGAACAAGACATTTGAGGTTACCCTACCGAAGAATTCGAAGTGGATCGATGTCGAGATATATGATCGTGTTGCAGGGATGGAGAGCCATATCGGCAGAGTTCGTCTACCGTTTTCGTTCGTTCCAGGAGTTGAGGCAAGTTTTGCCAACAAGAGCCTGGTGTATGGATTGGATGGTACGTAAACACTGCCAGTTATCGATATATCTCCTAATTGGATCAATAGAAGAGCTAGAGTTTCCTATAACTTTGATACGTAAAGGCAAGCAAATACAGTCACCCATGATCAAGCTCGGGTTGAGGTGGGCGGGCCGTCAGGCAAGATTGGAAGAGGCGAACATCAGTTCTATTCCTCCAGGGAAGATGTTTAAGCCAAGTCTCACCGGTATACCAATGTCACAGGAAGAAAGGTATGGGATAACTTCAGCTGTTGAGTCTATTCCCATAGCAAGTGGTTTGAGTAATAGGAGCGAAGGGGGTTGGAGACACTTAGAGAGAGTTGGCTTGTATCCTTAACATCCGTTGCTCTAAACGATTTCGTACGCGTCTTCGAATGGTCACTAGTGCATTTGGTACCAGGTTAAATATTCGGAGGCGTACCTTCCCTCCTTCATGTCAAGGATGTATCGGATATCCGTGCTATTGAACCCTTGACAGGTTCGGATCGATGGCATTTGCAGATCGAGAGAAAACACTCTGATCGTTTAGATTCTCGGAATAAATATGTCGATCACTTCACGCGGAGCCCTAAATGCTACAAGTTTATGATAGGTATCGGCGGCAGATACGATTTTGAAATCGGTGCCAACGCTTGTGGCGGGTCAGATACATCGGACTGGTTGGTATTATTTACAGCTGGAGCTGGTACTTAGATAATTGTGTTGGTAATGAGTATATGCCATATTGGCCATTGAATTTGGATGTTTCTTAGTATCAGATTAGGGACTTTGAATATGCTTCAAATGACAACTTTACTGAGGTATGTCAATCAAACAAAATAGCAGAATGACTATCAACAAACTCGCTTATGAATGCTCGCCCCAAAATCAATTATATGTTTAAGTTTCGCAACTCCCATGTGTGTATACCGTAAAACATTACTATTGCAAACATTTCATGAATGATGTTTACACCTTCATTCAATCAAAGCAACCTGATAGAGAGGCCTAAGAGCTGACATCACAAACATGGACCAAAAGCCTCAAAGTTTAAGAATTCTCAAGTTTGCAATTTGAAATTTAGATTTTTTATACGTCAATACCTGCAACGGCCTGCCTGGAACTTATCTCAGTCGGTAAAGTACCATCACTTAAATTATCTCATGTGCCTTAGCCGTACGGGGTAATCGCCCGGCATCGACCATCACTGAACAACCACAACCGCCGCCCAGCCCAGCCTCATCAGATCAGCTTGGCCCCGCTAGCGGCCGCGTCAACGATCGACCTGCAGCAGGACTCCATCCATCATTGAGGATTTGTATCAAAAATCCTGGTATTTGACAGCTCAGGAACATGAATCTGGCCCGGAAGAGGCCATGAACTCCCGATCATCCTCCGTTTCACTGCCTGCTCCGCGTCAACGTCCAACTGTAACTTCACGACTGTCCTCCGCGATATCGAATGCTGAGCATGGCGAGGCTGCGAACGCGCCAACGAATGCCGAACACCAAATAGAAGAGGAGATTGCGAAGATCAAGAGATATGAGGTATGTGGGCAAGGTGGAACTTCCACAGGTGTTATGATGATGCTAATTGAGGCTTAGGATTTTACCACAATAGGTACTTCAGCTATTTGAATGCGACGGCACGAGTTAACAGGCTACCAACAGATTGGGTACAAGATGCTGCGAAAGAACAACTACGGCGAAAAGTACGGCGGAAAGAGACAGCTGGGTTTTTCGAGAGAGGGGGCCATGCGGGCTGGAGATACAAGCTTGGAGAGTCATATGAGGCAGCTCAAGGGTGGATAGTGGTTACGTTGATAGGTAGCTACGGGGCTCTTAGCTGGAGGAAACTGCTGACCCACGACAGGTGCGGCCATTGGTGTGAATGCAGCTTTCTTGAATATCATCACTGAGTGGCTTTCGGATGTGAAACTGGGGTACTGCGAGACGGCCTTCTACCTCAATGAGAGCTTCTGCTGTTGGGGAGAGGACAATGGTAGGGGCAGTTTGAAGCCAAAGAGTCTTCTCGCTGATAGAAAACAGGTTGCGATGATTGGCATCGATGGAGCTCACTATCTCTAGTCAACTATGTGTTATATATTATGTTTGCTGTAGAGACTCCCTTGACTGCTTCGTGTTCCATTTACTAACGACAGCAGACAATATTCGCTTTGACTTCAGCAAGTCTAGTCAGATCCTTCGCACCCTATGCAGCGGGATCAGGGATATCGGAGATCAAGTGTATCATAGCTGGATTCGTCATGAAAGGTTTCCTTGGATTCTGGACTCTGGTCATCAAGTCCGTAGCATTACCTCTCGCTATTGCATCTGGTCTGTCCGTTGGCAAGGAAGGTCCGAGTGTACATTATGCTGTCTGCACCGGAAATGTTATCTCAAGGCTGTTCGACAAGTACAAAAGAAGCGCATCGAAAACTCGAGAGATTCTAAGCGCATGTGCTGCCGCCGGTGTAGCCGTCGCATTTGGAAGTCCCATTGGAGGCGTCCTGTTTTCCCTCGAGGAGATGTCTTCTTACTTTCCACTGAAGACGATGTGGAGGAGTTACTTTTGCGCTTTAGTTGCCACGGCCGTGCTGTCGGCAATGAACCCTTTTAGGACGGGTCAGCTTGTTATGTTCCAAGTCCACTACGATCGGTCATGGCACTTTTTCGAGGTCGTATTTTACATCATCATTGGAATTTTTGGGGGCTTGTATGGCGCATTTGTTATCAAGTGGAATTTGAGAGCGCAGGCTTTCCGCAAAAAGTATCTCACCAAATACGCTATCCTCGAAGCGACGTTACTGGCAACTGGGACCGCAATCATTTGCTATCCCAACATGTTTTTACGAATCGACATGACCGAGAGTATGGAGATTCTGTTTTTAGAGTGCGAGGGGGCTGAGGATTATAACGGTCTATGCGATCGAGAGAATAGGTGGAGAATGGTGGCTTCTCTTACCATAGCAACAATCCTTCGGATATTCCTCGTCATCATTTCGTACGGCTGTAAGGTCCCCGCTGGTATTTTCGTACCGTCTATGGCCATCGGAGCCTCTTTTGGAAGAACAGTGGGGATTTTGGTGCAAGCTCTCCACGAAGCTTACCCAACATCTGTATTCTTCTCAGCGTGCCAGCCGGATGTCCCCTGCATCACGCCTGGAACATACGCATTTCTTGGAGCGGCTGCTGCTTTGAGCGGTATCATGCACATCACAGTATCTGTGGTAGTCATCATGTTTGAGCTTACCGGAGCTTTAACCTATATTTTACCAACAATGGTTGTGGTTGGCGTAACCAAAGCAGTCAGCGAGCTCTTCGGGAAAGGAGGAATTGCCGATAGGATGATCTATTTCAGCGGCTTCCCATTCTTGGACAATAAGGAAGAACACATTTTTGATGTCCCAGTCTCACAAGTTATGACTGGCGATGTTATCGCATTACCCACGACTGGATTGGCGATGAAGCACCTGGAGCAATTGCTACGTGAGGACAAATACCAAGGGTTTCCAATAGTTGAGGATAGAGCCTCAAAGATCCTCGTTGGATACATTGGGCGGACCGAGTTACGATATGCTATTGACCGTGTCAAGAAAGACCGGTCGATCAGCTCAACAGCGAAGTGCTACTTCGGCTTGAATACTTCACGGCGAGACTCGATACCAGCGACGCCAGCGATCTCCGGCCATCCACCAACGACCTTTGATGCAATGGCATCATCATCCGTCGACTTCAGCCGCTTTATAGATCCTACCCCAGTCACTGTGCACCCAAGGCTACCGCTGGAGACAGTCATGGAATTATTCCGCAAGATTGGCCCACGAGTGATTCTCATTGAATACCATGGGAAGCTCACTGGTCTGGTGACCGTGAAAGATTGCCTGAAGTATCAATTCAAGGTAGAAGCCAGCGAGAATCCCAGGGATGACAGGCATCTAGTCGAGAGCCAGGAGCGGCTTTGGGGAGTGATCAAGAGAGGTGCGGGCTGGTTATCGGATCAGGTGCATCATGTTTCGAGAGGGAAGATCAGATTAGGTGGAAGCGTCGATTTAGCGAGGTCGCCACCTCGTGGTCATACAGGTCCAACGTCTTACATGATGGATGGAACCGAGGACGACGTGGATGCCGACCAAGGTGTAGAATTAGAAGACCGGTAGCGCCTCTGTTTGAATATCGATTTAGACCTTTGATCCAATATCCAATATATGTTTGGTCTATCTTGTTCAAGTCAGTGTCCAAGGCCTCCCAACTACTTTCGGCTCTTGACATGTCCTCATTCTAGCTGCAGTAAATCCAAAACAAACAACACTATTCAACATCTCACTCATCCCAAATGACGCTCGTGATCTCCCCACCGACATCAACCGACGCCACGAAATCCCCAAACTCCCCACTAGCCACGTCCCTCTGCAAGATCACCACCCTACTATCACTCTGCAAGCCCACCGCTGCCAGAGTCCCCGCCTTGTTAAGCGAGAACTGTCTTGGAACTCTTCCTCCCGCAGGAGCAAGCTGCGTGAATGACAGCTCTCCCGTGGCATCGTCAATAGCCCAGGTTTGGAGAGTGTCGGATGCGATCTTGGTGCTGTTGTTGGGATCGAAATTGTCGATATCGAAGAGTGGTGCATTGCGGGAGGAGGTGACGAGGAATCTGTGGTCAGGCTATTTGGTTTTTGTCAGTCTATACAGATCTGTTAAAAGGGGTAGACGAGCTGCTCACGCTTATAAGAGCTTCAGCAGCAGAAGCTCCGGCTGGTGTCTCCATGGGCCCGTATGTCCCGCTCACAAACACTTCCTCGAAACTCAAACTCTTGTCGCCATATGTGACTTTGTAGCTCGCAATGGTGTTCGACAATTCCGAAATCAAGAAGAAATAGGTATTTCCACATTCCGCTTTCAAGAATGCGCCGTGTCGTGGACCAGAGCCAGCGGGTGTGGAGAATGCCGTCGACTCCGTGAGGAGACTGGTGGTTTGGTCGATGCTGAAGACGCGGACGAGATCCGCGCCCAGGTCGGGCACGACAATGAAGCTGTCTGTTGGGTCGACGATCACTTCGTGTGGATGAGGGGCGTCTTGCCGTGCTGGGTTGGTGCCAGGTGCGGTGAGTTTGAAGGTAAGGGCTTGCAGGGGGTCAAGAGTCCCATTTGCGCGGATGGACCAGCTTGTTACTGCTGAACCTGAACTATACTTGTGTTAATCGTTGGCAAATAAAGATTTTTGTAAGTGACGTACTAGTGTGCCAAAGCTAGACCCTTTCCACCATTGTAAACAACGGAGCTGACAGGTCCACCAACAGATATAGAGCGGCCCAATAGAGTCAATTCTCCAGATTCAGATGCCGAGTAAGCAGATACCGAGCCATTTGGTCCAAAGAACCCCTCATCAGTTGAATATATGATTCCGTTCAGTTCATCCTTCGTCAACCATGACGGACTAGTTTGAGCAACTGTGTTGACCGAAACAGTCTTCAACGAGAATCCCCCAATGGCTTCTGGGCTCAAAAGCAGCGTCGTGATATTTCCAGAGTAAGAAGATACAAAAAGATTGGTAGCAGCAACAGTAGATGTCACAAGGCCGCCGAGAGTGATCTGAGAGAAACGCATATTGTCTACTACACAGGTACTCTGATCCTGACAAGCGAGCGAGCTGTGGATTCCGAGAGAGCGAAGGAAGGGGGGGAGGAGAGACAGTCTTGAGAGGGAGATGGGCAGCTGCCACATTTTGAAGGGGAGGCAAGCTTTAGGTTTTAAGACGTGATATGAAAGGCAAGATGGGTTCAAAGAAGATCTTGGCAGCAAGGTTAGGCCTAAAACTAAGCTTATGCCAAATGCGAATGCGGAGGATGAAGAGCGATGTACCGGGCAGCCCTTGTTGAGATCGAGTCAGATGAGGCTGGGCAATATGCAGCTGCCGGCTTGGGGGTGCTCGGGGGGGGTAGATGTGAGTGGTGGAGAGGTGGATGGGGGGGGGGGGGGGGGGGGGGGGGGGGGGGAAGGTGGTCTGGGATGAGATGGATGATGAGGATGGCGAGGATGGAGGATGGGTGGATGCTTGAGTTTATGAGAAGCGGCTTTGCAATTTAGCTGCAGGCGACCCTGGACACTACAGTACTCAAGACTGCAACAGAAGGGATTATTGGCCCTTGACATTGCAAGTAGCTTCCCACCAATTGCTTTTCTCCTCAGCCACTTGGCGGCGGGAATGGCTGATATCTTTCCGAGAGTGCACTGGGAAGGTAAATTATTTGGAGGCGCCGAGATACAATTCGACATACTTTTACCCCTGAAATTGTCGGCATATTCTCGGTTCCGAATGGGCGTTTCCGCGATCCTGACCCGGGGAAGCGAAAGCCGCCGCCACTCTGTGGGGGTTAGGGGGTGGGTGGGGTGAGGGGTGCGAGGGTGGGTAACGTGGGTTAAGCTGGCTGGCTGGCTGGTTTGCCGATGACAGCTACTTAAGTACTCGTAGGACACGAGCACGAGACAGCTTCCTAGCTCGAGGAGTTCTGCACCGAGAAGTCCGACCGGGCCATGATCACCAGATCAGATTGGTACCACTCCTCGCACCCACTCTCGCCACTGTACCCAAATTGACAGGAGATTCAGGATCTCCATCTCCTTATTTATATTTATATTACCAACAGTTTCATTCGAGATGATCCTTCGAGAAACCATCTTGCGTTGATGGGGGTGTGTCAACTCTAGTAACATTATTGCCTTGTAAGGTTCGGAGCATGGTCCCGGAATGGCTCCTGAGTCCTGCTTGGAAGCTGAGCCCCTCGTCTCATCTTCTCCCCACATATCGCGGTTTCTCGCTCTTCCAGCGGAGCTCCGAAATAAAATCTACCAGTACGCAGTCTCTTGGCCGACCTTCTCAGCAAAGACATGTTGTGAAAACATGGAGCAGAACTGTCGTGGAAAGGGATGCCAGGATCCATTGGCATGGGTATGCAGAGTATATTCTTTCTGGCTGGAAAGCCCTGTTGTATTGGACCTTGGGATTCATTCCCCTCCTCTTGCTTCTAGGTCTAAACTTTCTCTACCAGACTTCGATGCTAAGTTCATATGCAGAGCATTGTTTCCGAGACACACTTCGCCCGGCTGAGCGCTCTGCCTTTCCTCCTCGTCAACCGACAAACAAGCTATGAAGCGCTCTCTATTCTATACCAAACGCCCTTTTCGATCAACTCTGCACTGATATGCTATCTCCACCTTGGACGAACAAAAATTCAAGAGCTCATCAGCGATGTGACCCTACGACGGATGAGATTCGTAACGTTCGATATCGAGTTAGATTACGCGCAATGGGTCTATGCTGGAGACTGGTTAATCACCATAGAATATCTAATACACGTATGGGACGTGAACTCTGCTCTGGAGAGGGTCGTTATTGATATAAAGTATGTGGAGCCAACTAAAAGGATGGGATGGACAGTTAATCAGGCAATTTTTCACCAAAACTGTGGAAGAATCTTCGAGAAGGCGGGTCTCACTGGCAGGCTCTTGAAGGCAGATCTTTGAATGTTTGACTGATTTAATCTAGCTGAGAGGACTTCCTGAACGGGTCAATGTGGTATTTGTAGAAGCACTTCCAGGATCAAAGTGTTGAACAGCTGGGCTATGAACAGCCATGAGAAGCGAGGAATCAGATTGGTGGCGAACCGAGTTCTACCTTTCTATATTGTGGCAGCAGACTTTGCAAAGACCTTGTTTGTCTTTGGGAGAGGCTGTATTGCGCTTAATCGTACGTTGCTCAAGTCAGACTGAATTGTTGTTTTTTGACATAAAATTCCCAGTCATTTCGCTTCCGAAGCGAGGGAGACTGGGGAGAATAGCCGGAGCAGGATTTGGTGGTCAAGTAGCCTACTAAGCTGAGGCCCAAGTACGACGATATTTACAAAAAAACAATATCACCGAATGGCAATTACTACATATCTATGGGTGTACTTCTAAGGAAACTGTGTACCAGCAAAGGTGTCTCGGCTGCCCCAAAGTGGCTTTATCATCACATTTGCTTCAAATACTTGGGGCTGGGCAATACATTGGCGATCCTTTCAGCTCAATTAAGAAATCTAGAACAGAGACATTTTTCACGAAGATTACACTCGTCAGTTACGATGAAATTCAACGTACAATCCATCCAAAAATCGTTCTCTGCTTCCTTCCGACGGGACGGTACTAAATGGCGATATCGTCATTGCTGCCCCGCACAAACTCATCAATCTTTATCCGCTGCACAGTACTTGAGACTCTTGACGTCCATTCTACTTGAACAAATAACGCTATAACACGAAACTTTCAAATCTCAAAATGACGAAGATCTTCATGCAAGTCTATGAGGCAAATGGTATATGGACACATCACTAATGTTGAATGTAGTACTGGCACCACTGGATACGTTGGAGGAGATGCCTTCTACGCCCTCGAAAAAGCACATCCAGAATATGAATACACAGCACTCGTCCGAGATTCCGACAAAGGCGCGCAAGTTGCATCCGTCTTCCCTCGTGTGCGTCTTGTCTACGGCACCTTAGACGACTCCTCACTCCTTGAAGAAGAGAGTTCCAGAGCAGATATTGTCATTCGTGAGTAGCTCCAGCACCTTTTCCCACTGAAAGTCGAGACTAAGAAAAGAAAATAGATACCGCCGATTCATCCGATCATGTGGGAGCATCCAAAGCCATCGCCAAGGGAATCGCCGCCGGCCACAGTAAAGGAAAGCCCGGATTCTGGCTGCATCTCTCTGGCACCGGGATTCTCTGCTGGAAAGATATGGAGACTGAGACTTACGGCGAAGCACCTTCGCAGCAGCCATACGATGATCTTGACAGAGTCTCGGATCTAACATCTCTTCCTGACTCTGCATTCCATCGAGCGGTCGACAAGATTGTCCTGGATGCATCATCTGATATCGTCAAGACTGCCATCATATGCCCACCAACTATCTACGGCCCTGGTCGCGGTCCTGGAAACCAGCGAAGCAGACAGGTCTACAACCTCGTCAAGACGACCCTGGAGCAAGGCCAAGCGCCACAACTCGGCAAGGGTCTCACCGAATGGGACAACCTGAATGTCCACGATCTCAGTGACCTGTTCGTTTTACTAACCGAGGCTGCGGTTGAGAATAAACCAGATCTGGACAGCAAACTCTGGGGCAAAGAAGGATATTTCCTAGCAGAGAATGGCCATCACGTCTGGGGAGAAGTCTCTAAATTAGTTGGAGAATCGGGTTTTGAGAAGGGGTATATCAAAGAGAAGAGCACGAAGACTATGAGTCCGGACGAAGCGAAAGAGGTTGCTGGGTTCGAGGCATTGTCTTGGGGCTTGAATTCGAAGGGTTTTGCGAAGAGGGCAAGGAAGTACTTAGGTTGGAAGCCCAAGGGAAGAAGCTTGGAGGATGAGATTCCGTTCATTGTTGATTCGGAGGCGGAGCTGCTAGGGATTAAGAAGGGACATGCTGAGAAGGTTTCCGGGGGAACGTAGTCTGAGAGTGGCAGACGTAGCTTATAACCCCAAAGACAATGTGAAAAGTGTGATGGTTATAAGAACGAGTATTCGCGACTGGAACAGAGTCTCATGAGCATCTCAGTTGAGCTGGTGGCCTCTTCACCTGAACTATTGGGAATCAATACCCTGTAAAGCGGAGGACGCTTAATAGTGAGTAAGTCTGGTCTAGTACCACTACTAGGTCAAAACCAATCAAGGTCTCGATGTTGAGGCTTCATGAGTCCTGATGCTGCGTTAAAATTTTCAGAATTCCGCTAGTTGTTTCACACAAACATGTGGGCCTCTGCAGTGATCACATTTTCGGGCGTGGATATCTTCTAAGGAATTCAGAAGAGAAGAGCACCAGATTGAGACTAATGACCGCATTGACAAGACCCCGTTGTAGCCGGAACTCTTACATGTGTAGATTCGTGGTGGTCCGTTGGTCAGATTAAAATCGCCATACCTCAACATCGTCTGCCAGTGATTGTCTGAATCATTCGGCTTCCAGGTAATCACCTTCAATGACACTTGAAAGGCGTGGTCATATGCAGACATACAAACTCGATGCCGAGGATTGATGTTCGATATCAAGATGTGGTGTATGTAGGAGGAAGGGAAGTCGTCTTGTCGGGAAGACATGGCCCGCTAGCGCAGAGTCATTTCAGGGATTGGAAGGCGCTGAAGACAATACTACGCTACGGAGTATGTGCCTTAAATGCCGCCACTGCCCCTCTCCCTCGCATTCATCCATCTCCTTGCATGCACTTTCTCGGATTCATTGCCCTGGTCAGCAAAGCAATGAGAAAGCGATCTGAAATCAGAGATCGACGAATGATGATCCACGTCACTTAACTGCTGAGACGCCCTTCTTAGGCATTCCAGGCACAGCCAAGGATCTCAGGCGGGAAGAGTGACATCGACCAGAACTTTTGAACATTCACACTTGGGCTACAAAGCTGACCAAGTATCTCTCATCAATAAAAATTATTACTCATCTTCACTTAATATCTATTGACTGAATTTCCTGACCCAGAACACATATTCTATCATGACAAGCTCGCTCAAGAACCCCTCCTGCTTTCTCTACAGCCCAGGAGTAGCAAAGATCGAAGAGGCTCCATATCCAACCATTGAAGACCAACATGAAGTCGTCATTCGAATTGCCTATGTTGGTGTTTGTGGAAGTGATGTCTGTATCTCATCCAACTGAAAATATACAATTGCTGACGCTATTCCAGGTGCATTTCTGGAACCATGGGGGAATAATCAACAAAGTTGACCCTTCTCACCCACTCATCATGGGCCATGAAGCATCAGGAACTATCCACGAAATTGGTACAGCTGTGACTTCTCTCAAGATTGGCGACAAGGTGGCAATTGAACCTGGCCACCCTTGCCGTCGTTGTAAATCATGCAGAGCAGGCAGATACAACCTATGCCTAAAAATTAAGTTCGCGGCAGCTCCTCCTGACAACCATGGCGCGCTTACAAAGTACTTCAAGCTGCCGGAAGATTTTTGTTACAAGCTGCCAGACTTCATGGGTCTGGATGAAGGTGTCTTGGTGGAGCCACTTGCCGTTGCAGTGCACGCGTCTCGGCAAGCAGATATCAAGGCTGGTCAGACAGTTGTGGTTTTTGGTGCTGGGACTGTTGGCCTACTTTGCGCTGCTGTTGCTAAAGCTATGGGAGCCCTCAAGGTTATTTCTGTGGATGTGAACGACTCCCGGCTAGAGTTTGCGCATACATTTGCGGATGCTGGCACTTATCACCCTTTGGTCGAGGATCCGGCCGAGGATACTGCGAGAAAGATCATAGACGCGAACCAGCTTGACGAAGGAGCAGATGTTGTGCTCGAAGCTACTGGTGTTGCTAGCTGTATCGAGGCTGGCATCTCAGTGACAAAGCGTGGAGGCACCTATATTCAAGTTGGCTTAGGGAAGTCAAAGGTCGAATTTCCAATCGTGAAGCTATCCGAGAAGGAGATCAACATGAAAGGATGTTTTCGATACAATGCCGGCGATTATGATTTGGCATTACACTTCTTGGAGTCAAAGAAAATTTCTGTCAAGGAGCTGATCACTGGTGTCGAGCCATTCGAGCGGGCAACTCATGCCTGGGAGAGAACTAAGAAGGGAGACGGCATCAAGAACTTGATTGAGGGGCCGCTGTAACATTACTCAGCACACTTTTTCGCCGATTGATCTAATTTCGGTTTACATTTCCCCGACTAGCCAGCTCTTTCAACCAAAAACATATCATAGTCTTCTTTGTGTTTATGCCTGCCGACGTCTCTATCACTCCTACCAATTTGACTTGAGTTTTGCCATTCTTACTCTTCACCCCCTGTTTGGTCCGCGAACAAAATTTCCAGCGAATTGAAGATTACAAGTGCAGCTTTAGGAAATCACAATCCATTTTGGAGAAAATCACACTCTCCCCATTAATCATATCATCATCTAAAGAAAATCAAAGGTTCTCACTTCCTCATTTTGGCAATCACTGCCGAAGTGATCCTGTCAGGTTTGTAGTTTCAACAATACAAAGTAAGGGCTGGAACTATGCTTGATACGTAAAAGATGCTGTTTTTGAGGTCTCTGGTGAGTATGGCACAGGCACACCACACTTCTGAGGCCTGAGGCGAAACACAGCTGCCCTGGTGTGCATCTCAGCTTGGAAGTGAGTTCTTCCATTGTTGATCTGTCTCGGCCTGTGAGGCTAAAATTGGTGCACCTAGGGAATCTTCGATAATAGCGCCATCTACACGTTGCCTCCTGGATACAAACCAGTGTTTTCTTCTGATAATACTATTCTAAACGCACGAATTCCTCCTTCATAAGTACTGTCGATCCTCACAGGTGCCTACCGGCCTTATTCCACACGTTTAAACCCCATTCTTGACCCCGTCCGTCACCAGTCGGAGGGTGTGGGAGTGCGTGGTAAGGAAGGATTACGAAAATGATGAAAACCGATTTCTGGACTTCGAGCTCGACGATGTCTATGGTCCCCATGAACCTCAAAACAGCGCCCTTCGCTATCCACGCCTCCGCCAGCAGTGCAAGTACAGTAACTGCTCATGGAGAATAAATTAGTATTAACTTTGTAAGTAGGAGGTTTGGAAACAAGGAGGACAAGATGCTACTTACGGAGTTCCGAGTGCAAGACAGCCTTTTCGCATGATAAGCTTCCTCTTGGAACCGCTAGGCTGGACAAGAATATCACCATCCATTACTGGCTTTGGTTCTTGTTTTTTGCATTCGTGGCAGTGAGCATGAAGAGACCCATAATACTCTGTTTGCGTCGCAATGAAGTTCATCTTAGGTTTCACCTTCTTATACCTCTTTTTGAACCTTTTTCTAGGGGTTGTTTGTTCTATTGATGCCTGTTCACTTTGGAGGGTGGTTTCGCTTTGATTCTCTCCCTCACTTATACTGGCTTTTCCCTCGTGGCTCTGCTGCTTGTACCTCTTCCTATGTACTCTCTTCCACTTTCGTGTGGAAGTCTCTGCGTTACAGAGCGTTTCACTCTGTCTTTCCCCCTCAGTTATATCGCAGGTGGCTTTCTCATCGTGGCTCTGCGCCCGGGAGGTGCTGGTGTAATCTGGAGTCATTTCTGCCAAACTCCGGGGGTGGGGGGAAGGGGGGAGAGATGATATGATGTAGTGGTATTTATCGACGTCTGTCCGCCCGTTCCTCTGGATTTTGCGTTCGTTCGTAGCACAATTAATTAGCGCGGTTGGTTGTTGCCTTCTTGCTGGAAGACAGGTCTGAGGGGAAGAGAGCAGAGCTTGGGAACAGATTAAATTCTAGGACGACCGAGCTGTCCAGTCCAATTCATGAGACTGCGCGAGTGCGTGCTAGCCTTTGGCCGGCAGTTTAGTGCGGCCTCGTAAAGCTCCGTTTTATACACCTTCCACTGTTCTGACCGATGAACCCGTCCGTTCCTTCGGATACTACTTACTTTAGTATTGCGACGGCTGAAACTTGTTGGGCTGCACGAACCCCATGACATGCGAATTCGTTGCAACATCTAATTGTTCACAGGCATGGGGCTTTGCTTTCAACCTACATCTACCAAGACTCTTAAGCCATACTTTGAACGGAAAACAAGCAAGATCGGAAATGCAGCTGCCACAGAAGTCTTTGGTCAGAAGTCACAGAAACTGGTTTTGTCAACCACAAAGGCTACTACTATGCAAGAGAGGCTAGCGAGTGCATATCTTCGGCTCCTCCAAGCGACGGTATCGGTCTGTCTTGAGTTGGAGAGAAAACGTCTTACTCAAGCTTGACACTCGAAAATGATAACATTGAGGAACCGTATGTCTCTTGCTCGTACAGTTGTCCATAGACGTACAAGATGACGCTTGAGAAAGGTAAGTACTACCCGAGCCGAATCATTTGTTGGAGGACATTTTCTTGAAGAGAGAGAAAGAAGGAGGGAGAGAAAGAAGTAGCGATCTGAAAGGAAATCGCTAAGAACGGCAGACAGAGTCTGAATATTAACTCGAGTCAGGGGGAACCCTTCAAAACCAGGGAAAATTTAATGAAAATCAGAGAATCTAGCTTGAAAATAAAAGCAGACAATTGTCTAAATTACAGACAGAAAGCAATTAGAAAACGCCTGTTTTACACATAGTACCTCTCTGTAGAAAGTGCAGTCTGTGTCTGCTAAAAATTACCTCGTAGTGATAAATGATGATAGCGAGAAAGAAAACTATTTCACAAAGGTAAGGCCGATTACAGCCAACGGACACGACCTCGAAAAACAGGGATATGAGATGTTGACAATATCATAGGTTTCTCTCGATGAGCATGAGGAAAAGGCACAACACGACAAATTTGAATCCACGTTGTCTATTCACGAAGCAGTAGGCGATTTTAGCCCAAACCCCATCCCATAGGGATCCTTCACGGGCTTTCCCATCTCTCATTACTACATCTGCAAATTCTACCACCTGTCTCATGATCTCCTTGAACCTGCTGATTTCTTTGCGAAGTTGGCAGAATTGTACACCAAAGGGGAATCCCCAAAGGTAGATTCGGACATCATATTGTGACATACACTGGAAATGTTGCCCAAGAAACAAATATACTGCAACCTGCGAATAGTCCTTTGCCAGTGGATTGAAGAGTGTTGTGGATCTCAATATAGAGCGAGGCGGCCCCTGAAAAGGTATGGACGTGCTGAAGAATGCGTTGGAGAAGGTCATTCCACGTCTACTTCAACGCATGGAAACGAACGGTAGTTCTATCAAGCCTTGCCTCGTTTATGGAGATCTCTGGGCTGGCAATGCCGATACACAGACTGGACATCCATTGGTCTTTGATTCCGCTCATGTCTAGACACATAAATAATCTGAGACTTATACACTCTCTAATTCCAGCTTGTTAGTAGGTATTAGACGAGTTTGGCAACGTGTGGCAGGAACGAAACAGGTTTAATTCAATACTTACCACTCATATATTCCTAATTCCTTCCCCTCAGAGGTCTAAGATGACGGGACTGCGCTCTATGCTGTGTAAGAAAATAGAATGAGCACAACTTTGCCGACTCATATGGAGTAGGAGATTTATTGCACAAGCAGCTGTTGGTTTTCATATGTCAAAAGTTTGAACGGGGTACGAAACGAAGGTTTGGACGCAGGACTACTTTGCTGACTTCACTCGTCACGAATGAAATGGAGAAACTCGTTGTTAAATATCCCGATGCGTACGAGGTCTATAATACTCCATTCACTAGGGTCGAATAAGTAGTCAGAGTTGAAATGTTCAAGGGAGGTAGAGGTAGGTACAGGGACAGTACGGAGACGCTCAAATTAAAAATACAATCGAACCTGTGAAATGACAAATCAGGTCCCTGAATTGCATTCGCTCCTTTTATATGGCTTGTTCTTTAAAACGAGGAGTCTAAGACATGTCATGGCGTACTTTGTGATGCACTCTCAAACTATGACCTATTAACAGTCCGGTCCGCATTGAACCACCATCGTCCCTACATAAAGTAGTACGTACGGCCACCCTTGAATACTGATAAGAACATACCTCCACCCTACCATAACAATGGATTCCACACCATACCAGATCCCAACTCAAGAGCTGTTCAGTATGAAAGATCGTACAATTCTAGGTAAGTGTTGGCAATCAAATGCGGGGTACCCCACAGACATCACTTGCTCAACAGTCACCAGTTACAGGAGGTATAGGAGCAGTCGGCTCGCAAGTGATCTACTCGATCCTCGAATCAGGCGGAGATGTAATCTGTCTTGACCTACCCAAAGATCCTCCTGATCTTGGTACTCTCCATTTACTCCTTTCCTATCGACAAGGAGCTAATCACATGACAGACCGTTTCTATAACCTGGCATCCAGAACATCAACACAGTTCTCTTACTATTCAGTCAATGTCTCATCGGCTACTGACGTATCTTCCATTTTCGAAATTGCTGTAAACTCGCTCCGCTCTCCTCTTCGAGGGGTGGTCACTGCGGCAGGCATTTCTGGCGAGGTTGATGCAGTGGACTATACACCCGATGACTTCAGACGACTGCTAGATGTCAATGTGATGGGAACATTCTTGGTAGTTCAAGCTGCTGCCAAGGTCATATTGAGACAGGGGTTCGGAGGCAGTGTTGTTTTGATTGCGAGTATGAGTGGGAGTGTTGCCAATAAGGTTCGTTGTCTTCTACCTATGTCTCGCTTCTGGACCTATGTAGAAAAACAATATAAAAAAGTAACAGCAGATTTTGATATTTATACTTTCTTATGCAAAATCACAGGGAGTCCATACCTCCGCCTATAACAGCTCCAAAGCAGCTGTTCAACAACTCGCTCGTTCGCTTGCCTCAGAATGGGGCACCAATTCATCTAATCGTCCACCAATCCGTGTCAACTCCATCAGTCCCGGATATATCCAAACACCACTGACAGAAGTGGCACTTGCAAATCCAGAAGTGAAAAAGATCTGGCTGGATGGAAACATGCTCAGTCGCATATCTCATCCCGAAGAGTATCGCGCACCGATTCTGTTTCTGCTGGGTGATGGGAGCAGTTTCATGACAGGAGCGGATTTGAGGGTTGATGGAGGGCATACGGCTTGGTGAAAGGATGGACTAAAGCTTCCACTGAAAGTGGAAGACTGATGATCGGTCCTTTCCTATTCTTACTAGGCCTAATTTTCATACAAACAAGCTTCCAGACTTGCGACTTCTCGATATGTTGGTCCCGGGCCGCCCCCAAAGCTGAAGTTGCTCAGTAAACCTTTTGTTGGTTCTGGTCAGGGCGGTATGTATTGGCGCGCTCTCCATGCCAGCGCTTAGCATCCAACCTTAAAGGTTCCTATGAACAGGTTCAAACAATAGGCACAATTAATTCTTTGTTTGTTATTTGGTACTTTGGTCCCGGAGGCTTCTCGGCTACAAGGCCAAGGGACATAAACAACGCTGACACACAACGCTGAACAGCGGAAATCTATCCTTAATATACTCATTTGGCTTCGATCGGTTCCCAATTCTCCAGTACGAAAGTTCTCTCTCGACGCCTCCTAAAAGTCTTGCTAAACATGTGCCCCAGTTATCCAGACAGCAAGAACAACAGACGCAACAACGACAGCAACAGTATGCGGATCCGGTTTTATGGTGCCCCAGTTGTGCGTTCTCTGGGTCTTTTGAAGATCTTCGCAATGGCTCATACCAGTGAGGCAGCTACCATCAACTATACCATCGGCATTCATTTCGGCCATACTGAGCTGTACGGTTACTCAACTCTACTCCTAAATCCGTGCCATACACTTCTGAACATGAGCCTGACCGTTAACGATGAATTTAGATCTTCGGCCTACTATGACTCAAACTCTCAGATACACATCGTTACCAGTATCCAAAGCAGTTTCAAATGGCAGGAATACTTTCTCGCAACTATGGAGGACCCTCGAAACCACGTGTAATTGATACCACTTACTCTTTCAGCCCTGCCATCTACTCCTACCTCTAAATCCGTTTTAATAAACAGTCCTTTTTCGGTATGCTTATCTATCCAGTGGTTACTTTGACCTGGAAAACATGGCCATGTTCAACGAAACCCTCGAATCGATCGTCACCGCAACAGCATCTACCCTCGGACAAAGTCCCGATCGGCTGAACATCAGCGCTTTCTCAGTTCCCCAACATTTTTACGACATCTCATCCTTCACGAACATGGTGGAAACAGCTTCGCGGGCGGGATACATCCATCGAACTGGCCAAGTGATCACACACTTCAACAGTGCACGGCTGGCTTACGATCTCGACACTTGTGCAGCTGCAGGCCTCGCGCCCGGTTGTAACCTCGATGAGGAGGAGAATTATGTCTTTGTTGTTGATTATGGGAAGGCATACCTTTCCCTCGGGTTTGCTGCAGTCGGCAAGAAGCTGTATGCTCAGAGTGGCGAGAGGGATTGGATTGAAGGAGAAGTTGTGAGTGAAGATCCTGAATCTACGCGGTTCAGTACCCCCCGACTAATCTGCTAACATGCGTTCAGGTGGATGAAACGGAAGACAATAGATATATACTGCCACCCTTCACACTGGAAAAGATTCAGGACTTCCTCGGCAGTCAGTTGGCTAGACGTGAATGGGACGCGCCCATCCTCCCTTCACGAATACTTGCTGTCATCCTTACGGGTGAGGCATCGAACGATTCAATGTCTGCGATGAAAGCCCTTCTGGAGGAGGCTCTTCCAGCTTTCAAACACAAGTTTAGGACGTCGATAGTGCCTAGGTTGGTCGGTGTACTGGGAGCAGCTCACAGAGCACGGCAAATGGTCATTGATGATATTTTCCAAGGGCCAGAGCGTTTGAGTGATCATGCGCTGACCGAGGAGGAACGGAATCCACGAAAGCCCAAGAGTCATGATGAATTGTAAGAGTGAGGTGTGCTGAGAGTCCGGAGTGGAATGTGGTGATTTTCTAAGAGAACATTCGAATACCATGGTACTAAAAATCGATTTGATTGATGACACAAGTGCTTTGCAGGCTTAGTGTTCTTGTGTAGACCATGACTTACGATATCTGACAATGTTTTGCTACTTAAGCGAGAAGATAGTTCGTGGACGAATTCTACTCTTTTCGTCCCCGCCCAACCGCAACCCTGACTCTCACTCGACCTTGAAATTGAGGCTCTCTGGGATGAATATCGATTCGAACAATAAGCAATTCTATGCTGGTCTACATTACCTGATCTGCAAACAGAGAGCCTTATCCTGCCAGAGCCTTTAAAAATATGACCATGTAGATATTTCCCCGACTCCTGATGCTTTCATCCTTTGTAACTATGCGAACAGAATCTTATCATGCTACCTAGTGTCTACTGGAAGAGGTACAATGGCAATCCCACGGAAATATGGACCTGTGGGGCTAAAATCGCACAAGAACAAGCGATCCTGAGACAAGAACACCATTCCCCTCGTTAAGAATATTGTATTTACTACTTTGCCACACCTATAACGAGAACTTCTTCTATGCTTCACCGACGGAGGATAAATAGTCAATAACCAACTGCCACTCTACTGTCGTCACCTCTGATACGGGCAATACTAGTCGACTTAACCTACAACAATTTTGTTTGCTTCTAATAGTGCAGGGGGGTATTCTCCATGGCTTCATGATCCTTCTCTGAACAGGACTTCGTTCTCTTGAACTTTTCATAACTTGAGCCAAGGTGCAAGAGGCATGCAAAGTTGTCTCAGGGACTCGCGGGGTGAATAGACCCTAGGTAGACTCTCGATGGTCGTTAGATCCTGGTGTTGGATAGTTGGGTTGAGTAAAGGAAATTGGCTTTTGCACCGAGGGGATCGTGGAAATCATGCTTCAGAAAGTGATACCTTCTTTCAATCTTCCACCGTATTGACATAGGCAGTCTCGCGCAGCCACCTCGAAATAACAATATTTTGTCTTTACAGTCATGGTGATCAGGCACCTGCGAATCCTCAGGAGCAAGACACTTGAATTTCTTGTTAACGGGGGCTTACTCCTGACTCTTCCTCAGAGAGAACTCTCTAATGTGAGTGTCTCAAAGTCTGACGTGGACCAAAGGTAAAAATAATATTTTGAGGCTGTATCTAAGATTCATCAAACGAGTGTCACTGGAAATTCGACATAGAGCTGGTCTAGGAGATATCGAATTTATCTTTTGTCTAAACCAATTATTACGAAAGTTTTGGACAACAGTTTATGAATGTACACCATCCGACGGCGAGGTCAAAAGGAAAGTCTTTCGTCTCATGCAAAGCAAAGAGTGAAGATATCCTAGGTAAGCATACCCCATTACCCCCAAGCATAACTTCATTTCAATCATACACACCCGGCAATCTACTGCGTCTCCCGAACCACCTTATCAACAGCTTTCGCAAAGTAGTCGATATTCTTGGTGTTCAGTCCAGCCATACTGATACGTCCGTTCTTCGTCATGTAGACATGTGCCACATCTCTCAAGGTCAAGACCTGCTTCTCGCTCAATCCTGTGAAAGAGAACATGCCGATCTGATCTGTGATGTGGTTCCATGTGCCAGGGGTCTTCATCTCCTCAAGCTTCTCCCTCAAAGCCTTACGCATGGTAATGATTCTACCAGCCATTGTGCGTAAGTTCTCTTCCCACTCTTTGAACAGCGCCTCATCGTTCAGCACCAGACTGGCAATTCGCGCGCCATATGCTGGAGGATTTGAGATCTCGGATCTTTGCAGGATAGCTAACTGTGACGAGATTCTGCCGATTGTCTTTTGTGCGTCTGCTCCTGGTCCAGTGACGAAGTGGAAGCATCCCGCACGCTCACCATACAATCCGAAGTTCTTGGCGAAGGATTGTGCAATACAGAGCTCGAAGCCTTGCTCAATGAAGTGGTGGACAGCCCAGGCATCCTTTGCCAGATCACCGGATGCGAAACCTTGGTATGCGCAATCGAAGAATGGGAAGTGCGACTTCTCCTTCAATAGGACTGCCAATTCTTTCCATTGCTCTTTTGTAGGGTCTACACCGGTGGGGTTGTGTGCACAGGCGTGGAGGAGAATGATGCTGTTATTTGGAGCGTCACCAATCGCCTTTTTCATGCCAGAAAAGTCGAGACCTTTGGTTTCTTTCGAGAAGTAGGGGTAAGTTGCGATTGGAAGGGCGACATTGGAGAAGATCTGATTGTGGTTGGCCCAGGTGGGATTGCTGAAGTAGACGGTGGGGTTGCCTGGGTAGAAGCGTTTGAGGAAGAGAGCTCCAAGATGGACAGCTCCTGTGCCAGAAATGGTTTGTACGGAGCAAGTGCGCTTATCTGCGAGAGCTGGAGAGTTGGAGCCCAGAATAAGCTTTGCAGCGGCAGTTGTGAAGGTTGCAAGACCAGCAATGGGAAGGTATTCGTGATTCAAGGCGGGGTCATTTCGGAGGAGCTCATCTGCCTTGAACAAACAGTTAGTGAAGCTCTAGGAATTTTGCAGAGTAATTAATGACTTGCCTTCTTGACAACTGGTAGAACCCATGGCTTAGCATCGTCGTCTCTATAGGCGCCAATTCCAAGATCAACTTTCTTGTCGAAGGTGTCAGCTCTGTAAGCTGCCATCAACCCGAAGAGGGGGTCCTCTGGAGCTTGAGGCACAGCCTCTGCTGGGAAACTGGTGGATGTGAAGGAAGACATGTGGCCGGTGATGCTCTGCAATCTCTGGTTCGGGGGTGAGGAGGAGGACGAAGAGTGGTTTAATGACTGTGAGGTGTTTTTGGAAGTCATTCTGGGGTAGCGGGTGGAACGAGTAGCGCGGGATGTCGCTTGATGTACGCCTTTTCTGGGGTGACTCGGATGATTATTTTAGGCCTTCTCCAACTCGCCAGGCTTTTGTTCCAGGGGTGAACACAGCTTGAGTGGGTTTGATTTCAGCGGGCAAGCGGGCTCCATTTTCTGGGGGATGACAGCCTCTTTAACTTCCTATGAGCCGAGGTATACCACTTCTTTCTCGACGACACTACCTAGGTAGGTCCCGTACAGCCCCGTACAGCCCAGGCGTATGCCAATAGTCGTGATGAGATGATCTACCTTGTTATGTGGACAACCAAAAAAAATGGAGCATGTGCTATTCACTTACCATCACGAGGATAAATTTCCGTCTTGCATATTGCATGCATACCCGCTGTCCAAGCGGAAGAGGTTTCACATCTCACATGTCAAAAGAAGCTGTTTTGGAAAGGTTGAGTGCTTTTGAAACTTCCGATGCTGGCTGACTATTATTGGTATCTTAGATCTCAGATGACTAAATCCCATACGACCAAGAAGAAACTCAGTCCACAGGAGGCATAGAACACGTATTTTGCAGTGCTCTTTCGCTCCGTTGCTTTCTTCAACTGTTTATTTCCACCTCCGACATTCTCCGCTGTGACGAACGAGTTACTGACCAGCTGGTCTATGTGTGCTGACTGCGTTGCTAAATTGTTGACAAGTTGCGTTTGCAACTCCGATATCTCTATGAGAGATTTCTCTGCGGTCCTATACGAATTATTAGCGCTTCCACAAATGCCCGGATAAGTTGTGTTACACACCTCACTTGGTCCAGAGTACTCTCGTAGTGCTTCAACATATCCTGGTTCTCCTGCTCGAACATCTGGATTTGCTCTGGTGTCAAATCCTCGTCCGTATACTGTTCTTTCGTCTCCAGATGTGCTACAGATGATGGCTGTGAAGTTGACGGTGGCATTGGCGCATTCTCAAATCCTCCCAACTCAGGGCCTGCCATTCGTGACATTGATATCATGTTCTTGTTCTTTTCGATTTGTCGCATAATCCTCTTTTCCATCATTGAGGCCTGAAACTGTCCGCAATCCTGCAATTTTTCACGTAAATACCATAGGACGCTTTCGCGGTGCACCTTGATCTCATTGGCTTTCGCCTCATCCAGCTCTTCATCCATCGTTTTCGTCTGCCCAACTCCGCCCGCTGCCCATTTTCCGAGTGTTCCCAGACCCAGCCGTCCGAATTTCTTTCGCCGGATTGTCTCTTCAGTATTTTGCCTCACTTGCTCCGCGTCTGCCAGCATCCGGATGCGAGCATTGAGTTCTCGTAATAGTCTTTTCGTCTGAGCATCAATCTCATCCCGTTGACGGTCTGTTAAATGCTTCCATTCTTTGCCCTTCTGTGATACTGCTGAGCGCCTCGGGGGTGGTGCGGTAGAAAGGTAGGACTGTCGTATGCCTCGCAGTTCCCTGCTTAGGGATACGATACCAGCATTCTGGGAGCAAGATGAGTGAGTATGTGAGCTAGGGGGTTTGCGTGGAGGAGCTCACTATTTCGTATGCTTCTCTAAGAAAACTGTCGATATTGCGGAGCGACAATGATGGGTCCGTGGTAGGTGGTGCATCGTGGCTCTTGAGGAGCTCATTGAGAATTGGAGTGAGATCCGTCATTATAGCGAGTACTTTGAGCGGAAAGCGAACTGCTTAGCAGTGACAAGATTGCCTATTCCGGATGACGTACATCAGGCCGTTCGAGGCAGGGTCTGGTTGGGGTCGAGATGGGACAACAGTTGAAGCTGAGTGTTGTCGCAGGAGTTTGGATGTTGTTGTTGTCCGTTGTCCTGTCCTTTTCCTGAACATTGGACTGGACTGCATCCACATTGGCATTATTGATCGGGTTCGGCCGCTTGAGCTTACCTACCTACGAGCTAAGCTACAAGTAGTGTAGTTGACAGGGATGCTGATGCTCCAGCGCTTTTGCCCTGGCTGCCTGGTTTCTGGAAGCTGCGGGCTGGGGCCACTGGCCAGTGGCCACCACTTTTAGGCTCGTTTTGTTCCCGTCTTGTCTCGTCTGAGTCGTCTCGCTTGCCTTGCCTCTGTCGCCTTGTCGGCCAACGTCATCAACCGCCGATTCCAGATGGCCATGACCATGACCATGACCATGAACCCATGGCCTCCACTGCTTCCCCCCGCGCCCTACCCGACCTCAACCTTGTCTGCTTTTGTACTTTCGTACTGTAATTTACCTACCCTCGCCTCGCTCCTCGTACCTTACGAGTACGGTACCTACCTACGAGTACCTACCTACTTACCCTCTACTTTAGCAGTTACCTTACTATTAGGTACCAACATCCTTCATCATGCAACGACCTCCAGCTAAGTTAACGCCACCTTCCTGTTCCGTCTCTCCCCCTCCCCCTCCCCTCCCCCTCCCCCACCTCTGCGGACTGTTCCTACCTACTCGTACCCTCTCTACCCTACCTTCGCCATTCCACGCCCCTCTTACGAATCAAATCGCTTGCACGGCTTTACTCCGTTGCGTTGCGTTGCGTTGCCTTCTGGCCCAGCCCCAATTCCCGCGGCCAGCGCTTGTTGTCTAATCTGAGCGTAGGAAGTCCGATTATTTCTGTTGTGATGGGGCGTGCGATAACGGCCTACGGCATTTCCATGCCGAGAATAGTCCTGCTCCTGGCCAATTATGCCACTGCCTTTGAAAATATTTGAGAAAACCCTCCCCGTATTAAGGGTAATCGGTGTGGATCGCCGGTGCTAACCATTTCGATGGCAATGATATATATGGTAAGTGACCGCCACGGTAAGTTATCCTCCATTCTTACCAACAGCATAACCGCTGTTGCCATTTTCTTCAATTGAAATGTTCTTTTGTCTTTCTTGTTATGGCTCAAGATGATCGCCTTGTAGAGGCAGAAAAAAGTGAAGCAATTGGAGCAAGCTCTCAGAGCACCATTATCCAGGGACCTGGACAAATATCCTCGACATCATTACCCCACACTTCTCGAACCACTTCTCCAGTGCCGTACGAGACGCAAGCCGCCCAGCATGACGCTCAAGACCTTGAAGCACTGGCAATTGTCAGAACTGGTCCAGTCTATTCTGCTTTTGGAAAGTGGAAGAAGCGATACATTGTTATAATGGTTACCTTTGCCGCGTTCATCTCTCCCACGTCTGCGAACATGTATTTTCCAGCATTAAACCCTCTCCAAGAGGAGCTTAATGTATCCACCACTCTGATCAATCTGACTCTGACGTCCTACATGATTTTCCAAGGACTGGCTCCCACGATCTTCGGAGACTTGGCAGATATGGCAGGGCGCCGACCAGCTTACATCATTGCTTTCATTATCTACCTTGGGGCCAATATTGGACTGGCCTTACAGAACAGCTATGCTGCCCTCTTTATCCTCCGTTGTCTACAGAGTACAGGAAGTAGTGGAGCAATTGCATTGGGCTTTGGCGTTGTTGCAGATGTCTCCACGAGTGCTGAGCGAGGGAAGTATATTGGTCTGCTTGGAGCTGGAACTATGATGGGCCCAGCAATTGGTCCGGTTATAGGAGGTGTTCTTGCCCAGTTCTTGGGCTGGCGGTCTATCTTTTGGTTTTTGGTCATCCTCTCAGGATGTTTCCTGGTTCCATACGCTCTTACCGTCCCAGAGACTGGCCGAAATGTGGTTGGGAATGGATCTGTGCCACCTCAAGGATGGAACCTAACCGTACTCGAATGGTATCAGCATCGTAAGGAAGAAAGATCTTTGGAAGGCCTATCACGCTCCGAAACAGCTGAGGGACGACGTCTCGCGCAGGAAGAATTGGCGCGTGGCCGAAAGCTTCGTTGGCCAAACCCCCTCAAGACAGTACGCATCATAATGGAAAAAGATATGGCTGTCGTCCTGATTTACAACTCTCTGATCTACACCGCATTCTACGATATAGTTGCTTCGATCCCTCAACTATTCTCGGAAATTTATCATTATAATGACTTGCAAATTGGACTTTGCTACATCCCATTCGGTTGTGGATGTGCTCTTGCAAGCTTCATTAATGGCAAATTGCTGGATGGAAATTACAAAAGAGTTGCAAGAAAGATCGGTTTTACCATTGACCGCAAGCATGGCGACGATCTACGACATTTCCCCATTGAACGAGCTAGACTCGAGATCATCTGGCCTATCTTGTACTTCGGCCTTGCTTGCAACTTATGCTATGGTTGGGTTCTCGAGAAGGAGGCAATCCTCGCCGCACCTCTCATTCTACAATTCTTCATGGGCTTGTGCATAAACGGGGCTTTCAACATTTTGAGTACGCTGATCGTCGATCTCTATCCACAAAGTCCGTCGACTGCGACAGCAGCGAACAATCTCGTCCGGTGCTTTGTCGGAGCTGGAGGTACTGCTATCATCAATATCATGATCATTCGAATGGGCCGAGGCTGGTGCTTTACATTTATAGCACTCGTCTGCATTGCTGCGTCACCCATGCTCTGGGTAGAGATGAAATGGGGACCGAAGTGGAGAGAGGAGAGACTTGTAAGGATGGACAAGCAACAAGCGGAGCTAGACAGAGCTAGGGAGATTGAAAGGTTGGATACGCGTACAGTGGATAATGGTGAGATTGGCGCACATGCATCGAGGAGTGAAAAGCGGGAGCAAGGTGGCGTTTGAGTTGTTCATTTTCAGGTGTTTTGCATCATACCCGGCTGGTTTGTTGTTATGCTACCTGTATTGCAACTAGAGTATTTTACATGTGTATACAAAGGACGTTCAAATATCCAGAAGCAGCTATGGTCTCATCGATGACATATTGGAGGTCTTTTATATTGACTTCCATCACAAACCTCGTAATCGTCTTAAATCACAATAGGCCAGCGCTTTATCAGAGATATACATGAAAAGTTGTCAGCCGGTACTTTCCACATAACTGTGGCACATTAGAGTTGGTTATAGTGTATAATAAAACAAACCCTGTATGGTACCGACAATCGATAATGCTGACATCTGACACGACTGATCGTGATCCCAGCATTTCTCACTTCTACGTCTGCTCTCTCTGGCCTCAGCTGAGTTTGACACCGATGATAATCCGTCTTTGAATGACAGTGATGAAGGCCATACCGTTCGTCGATGATAAGTTGTGGTGAGATTTCAGTTTGTCAGTTTAATCCTTCGTTAGGAAAGATGGCTTCACAGAATCCATATGACATAGCATTTGCAATGGCAGTCTACCGAGATTCTTGCAAGAGTTTCAATGCGCAGCTCGAATGGGAGGACTTTTGCTAGGTTTGAAGGACATGTATACCTCGAGCATTGTAGCCCGGCCGGCATATGTACTGCTGTGGCGCCCCTTCAAGGACCATATGGTTTGGACAGTAGGGATATTACTACCGGCTGAATGGATGTCTCATGACATCTATCCCCTCGACTGCCGAAACACACTTTTCCAGGGCACGGCGCTGAAGCGAGGTGCTAAGGCTGCCTAGACGACAACGAAATTCAGCGTTCTTAGCTTAATTACAGGGTCTCGCTACAGGTGTGTTTGACACGGCAGTTGAGGGGATAGCTCCAGGACGAGAAGTTCAAAGCTCCACAAGTTCTCTAGGGTGAAGTGTATAGAACGGTACCCAAAGTGATCGATTCTTTCCACGCTCATGTTGGAGGGTGTAATGTTGTAAAATTATATGTCTTATTCACCTGGCAAACAGAAGCAGTGAAAACTTTTAGTCTGGGCATCGAATCTTTCAGTGTATAATTGCACATACTCAGGTGAGGTAGCTTGCCAGTCCTCTGCATACGTTGTACATTGGGGCTTTATGGTGGGGCAGCTCGTTCCAAAAAGTTTAAGTAACTTGCCTACCTACAAAAATAACCATGATCTCCGATGTGAATCCGTCCAAACTTGTCAGATTAGTGAATACCTAAACAACAGGCAACCGCCATCTAATGTCTAAATGCATTTATCATTACTTCCAATCCCGTCCCAGTCTCTCAGCATTATCTTCCATCAGTTCATATGCTGGTTTGAAAACCTTACTCTCTTTCGTGCCAGTATCTCCGTCCGCCTTCAATGCTGGATTTGGATGGGTATCTGTTGTGCCTCCCAGCGACGTATATCCTTGATCGTATAACGGACAGTAAGGAATCTGCATTTGCCGAATGAACTGCCACTGTTAATAGACGTGCTGGTTTGGGGAGCATCAGAGAAACGTACGGCCCATATTTCAGCATAGTGCCAGTCAATGACAGGATGTATCCTCATGAAAGCTGGCCACCCCGAATCCGTCTCGTCAAAATGCGTCAAGCTCTGCCCGTGAGGATCCGTCCGCCTCGTCCCTACGAGAATAGCCTTCACCCTCTTGTTCTCTTCCAAGTATCTTTGGAACGCCTGCTTCATCGGCATAGCATATCGTGCTAGATCTAGCCTGTATGTGGTAACGGAATCGTCCACGAATGCATCGACTTCGGCAAACGGGTGCGGGGATATAATGTACACGGTAGCGAGGGCTTTGGGGAGTGGACCTTTCGTGTAGTTTGCTAGGCCGCAAAGGAGGAGAATGAGGAGGACGAGGCAGTCTTTGCCGCCATTGTATGAAAGTGATATCTCTTCTAGGCTGAATTATAGGACACGAGTCAGCACTCACGTCCTTCAATATTTCAATTTCTAGTACCAGTGAGGGCTCAAAACAATTTCAAGGGGATTCAGTACCTGTATCTATCCAACGCCGTGCTGATAACCCCCAGTGCGACTCTGGTTTGCTCCTGGACAGCTTTCAATAGCGGGGTCGGAGCCTCGGTCTCTAGGAAGATGTTCAATCGCGCCGCGAGTCTCGCGCAAACAGGCAGGATGGTCTCATCGTGGCCATTAACGGTGGGCGCTTTGTCACCGGTATCCTCTGGTGCACGCAGTGGCATCTCGTTCACTGCAATCCATGTGTCTTGCTACATAGAAGGAGAGCAGTGAAGGTTGAGGGTCGTCAGCAAAGATGAAGGTGAGGCCCGGTTCTGCTCGGTGGCCAATTCTTAGCGCGGCATAGCCGAATGTGGGGTTTTCGGGATGGAGGGGCAGCAGCCTGGCAGCACAGGAGAGTGCTGGGTCCTTCAGGGACAGGACGGGATCGGAACAATGGCGTTCCAGTGCCGGGTAGATAGGAAGGTACATTAATTTCAAGTTAACAATGCAGCAAAGTAAGCCGACAACATTAGGCATTAGGTAGCCTATAGACCCGAAAAGGCAACAGAAATGCTATTCCTGTCTGAAAAGCCTTGGAGAATTCGTGCATCAACTGGGAACTTCAGCATGTATTTCAGGCTCTTGTCTGATAATTGGTACGGGCAATGGTAGAAGGGGACAGGGCAAAAGTAAAGGGTATCATAGTTTCATTGGTAATTGCCTGGAAGCAATCATTTGAGAAGACCAGCAGCAAGAGTCTCCAAGTCCTCCAGGGTCTCTGGCTCATCATCTGCTTCAATAATGCGGCCTTTCCGCTTGGCCACCTTCTTGTCTTCTTCAGAATCATCCTCGAACCATTTCTTTGGACGCTTCGCAGGTCGCTCCTCTTCATCTTCGACTTCATCGCCCAAGGGGAGCGATGCTAATAGAGCCATTGGATCCTGATCATCTCCAACATTAATCAGTTCGGGAGCCTCGTCGGCATCCGATCCTTCTCTCTCTGCTGCTTCTCTGGCCTTGCGTTTCTCTCGCTTTTCTCTCTTCTTTTGCTTCGCCAGCTGCTTATCATCAAGATCAGCCTCACGAACTCTCGCCGATTCGTCTTCCAAGAACTTCGCTCTCTGCTCCTCGGCGGTTCCACGTTTGCTGAAGTCAGCTTCGTCTTCGAGTTCGTACAGTTGATGAGCAACTCCATCATCATCGAAAACCATCTTGGTCCCTTTCTCTTTGAGCTTCAGCATTTGCTTCTTGGAAGTCAACATCTTCTCTCTTCGTTTTGAGTCGATCACGATCGGCTCCTTGCTGATGCCCTCAATTACTCGTGCTGCAGGACCCGCGGCCGCAACACTCTCATCATCCGACTCCGCATCATCGTCCACAGGAACAACTCTCTTGACTGACAAGAAGTCATTGTCCTCATCGGCATCACGAAGGCCATCGTCATCTTCGTCAAGATTCTCCTCTGCAATCATTTTTGAGTAATGGCCAGACAGAACATCCTGGTTACGACGTTCGAACATGCGGTCGTATTTCGTCCTAACCTCTTCCTTGATCGGCTTCTTCGTTGACTCTTCAGCATCGCTATCATCATCACTCGAAATGGCTCCTCTTGGTGCGTTTTTGAGATTTTTCGTATCGTTACCCTTCTGAAATTTGATCTTCGGAGCTCCCGGGAGGCCCATGCTATTCGCAAAACCTTCGAGGTCGTACTCGTTTATTTTGAAGACTTCCTTGTCCTTCTGCAGATAGACCGACTTGGCATAGCTAGTAAAGGCCTTTTGACCGAGATACTTGAGTTCGGGGTACTTGAAGCACATATCTTGCAACTGATTCCGGATACTTTGCTGTAACTTTTGCCGAGGCTTTGTCTTCTGTATCGGTACCTTCTTATGCTCGAGACGTTTCAGCATTCCTTCCTCTTCACTAGGATCTAAGAATAGCACAGCCTTTCCAGCTCTCTCGTACCGAGCTGTCCGACCGACTCGATGAATGTAGGTGTCCGCATCCTCAGGACAATCTAACTGAATAACCCAATCCACAGCTGGAAAGTCTAGACCTCTTGCCACCACGTCAGTCGCAAAAATACACGAGTTCTTCGAAGACGAAAACTTTGAGGTAATATCGAGTCTCGCAGATTGTTTTTGGCGGCCGTGAAGATGGAGAAGAGGAATACCGGGTTGTAAATGTCGGAAACTCTCGTAGACGAACCGAACTTGCTTGCCAGATGACAGAAATACAATGATCTTGGCCTTCAAGTTATTTCTGATGAAACTGAAAAGGGTGTTGAGTTTTTCTGCTAGTGGCGTTATCACAACGTACTGCTGTAAAGTAGTTGGAGTAGCACTCGACGCTGCCTCGTGAACAGCGACATATTCAGGGTCGCGTAGACTGAGTCTTGCCAGATCCGAGACTTTCTTCGTCTGGGTCGCACTGAAAAGCATAGTCTGTCTCTGTTTTGGCAGATGCTCAACAATAGCGTCCACAGATGCTTGAAATCCCATGTCCATAATCCGATCCGCTTCGTCCAGTACCAGCATCTGCAAATTGCTCACATCGAAGTCGGCTGTTTGATCCATGTGCTGCAACATTCTTCCTGGAGTACACACAAGAATGTTCATCCTTCCCAGACGTTCCCGCTCCTCTTGTAGACTTCGTCCTCCTATGATCAACCCAGCTGAAAAGGAATGGTTCCGTCCAACTTTGCGCAACACCTGGAAGATCTGAGTTGCAAGCTCTCGAGTGGGCGATATAATGAGCGCGCCCAGCCCATCCAGTTCAGTCCATTTTTGCCTGTAAAGATTTTCCAAGACTGGAAGCAAAAATGCCAAAGTCTTTCCGCTTCCAGTTTTTGCAGCACCCAAAATATCTTTTCCCTTCAGAGCAAGCGGCACAGCTTTCGATTGGATATCTGTAAGGGTCTTGAAATGCGATGCTTCGAGTCCAGAAGCCGTCAATTGTGACAAAGGTAGGTCGGAAAAGTCCTTTACTTCAGCTTTTGGATCCTAGAGCCATCAGTACTGCGCTGGTGGGGAAGTCGAAATACTTACTAGCTCTTCAATGGCCTTTTGCAGAGTGTCGTGGTCGTCGACATCTCGTTTACGTTTGAGTGACCGAGATATGTTCTTTGCCCGCTTTGGGGGTTTGGACTTTCGCCCATCTGGTTGAGAAGCCATGGTATGTTCAAGTTTCCTTGCAAATATTAGCATCCAGCAACATATCCAGCGAAACTTTTGGGCAGGAAATTTGCGCTAGCGGCCGGCTGAACTAAGCCGTTTTGGGGTTAATAATGCCCCCTCTATCCACATAATTGTCAATAAAACACCTACCTGGCTAGGCACGTCTAGCAGCCCATTGCGACTTTATAGAAAGTCACTAATCCGAGTTCCAGACTTCGCGTTACATCGAAAAATGAAGAGTGCGGAAATCTTAGTTATTCTTGATTCAAAATTGGTCGTTTTCTAGGGCAGCGGAGTGTGGCAATTGTCTGTCCGCCCAGCCCAAGCCTTGAATTTGAGCTACAGGACTGTATGTAGCAGTGCTGACCTACAAAGTTACGTGATCTTTGAGTATCTTTACGCAGCCATCTTCTATCTTAAGCTGTGTCATACCTTAGTCAGCGCTATTATAAATTTTCCAGGTCATATATAATTCCTACCTTCAGCTGCAGGTCTGAACGATGGTTTCAAGTCATCCTAAAGAACAGAGGTAAAAGGTTTAGCTGGCGACTTGAGAGACTTTAAATTAGCACTATCTAAAACGATCTAATTCATGCAAATTTCGGTAGCAAGGTAGATGTGTCATAAGCCGGATTATACACTGCATTCTCCTTGTTCAAGTCAAACTTTTACTCGCATCGCTTAAATGCCAATAGTAAACATAACTCAATGGTTAAACTTAACTAATCTATTTAGTTTAACAAAAGCGAACTTGCCTATATTCTTTATTGCAATGAAGATGATAATTAGTGAAGGTTTACTGCGTGTGATACATTGTTCAATCACAAGGAGTGAATCACAAGGAGAATACATTCCAGATTAACGTAGATGTGCATTGCGCTTAAGAAGATGTGATACAATGCTCGCCAGGCGATGATGCGGCACGGAGCACTCTCCAATCTCAAGGGAGACAAGTCAAAAGCCCGCCTAGTTTCTTCAGTACTATCTCTTGAGTCATTGCGTCCGCATCCAGTTTATTCGAGTCCCCAACACTGATGCTTACAAAACATCCTTCTGTTCCCACAACCTTCCTCTCCAAAGATAAACGATCATCGCCGCAAGTCTCGACGTCATCAGGCTCGAAAAACGGAATTGCGGGAAATATTCTACTCAAAACGAACTTAAAATCACCGACACTCGAGCAGGATGTCGCTGATGAGGCTGGGAAGTTGACATTGAGCCAAGTACCTTCAGGAAGATATGGCTTTCCAGAATTGAGGATTGTTGCTGTCAAATTTGTTGCAAGCTGAGCGTACACAATAGAGTAGCCTGGAGTGGGTGCCGTCCATGCTGTTTGAGAGCCGCTGCGTCCACTGAAGGCAATGGCTGGAATGCCGGTCTTGATTGCTTCAATCGCTGCACCAACTGTGCCAGAGAAAGGAACTTGAACGTCGAGATTTGCTAGGTTTTGTCAGTAGAGTAATAGCTCAAATCAGGAACGGTCACACACAGCCAACATTAGGTCCTGTAACTGCAAAGTCTGGTGGTCCTTGGAAGAATTTGGGAGACAATGTAGAAATTCCATATGCCATCGAGGTCACCGGAAACGAGTTCACGTAATTCAGGCGTGGATCGGAGCTATTGAGTCCAACCGCGGGGCTTCCAGGGGGGCAACTCTCAAATTCGCATCCGTCCTTGACTTCATCTGCCTCCCCATCAAGAGATCCTACTGGAAGTCAGATCATTGAGCAAGGGTAATTGATTCAGAACCACAATCTACCTGTTCCTGACTTATTCTCTGCCGGAGCCGACACGACGGGTGACTCTCCTGCGCTACTCAAAGTATCATAAAAAGTTCGAAGATTGATTTCCGCCCATCCGTCATCATTGGACATGATAATGTTCGATCCATGAGCAAGGATTGGGAGTACGACTGTTGTGGTGAATAAGAAACGCATTCTGGCTGACGACGTAATGATGGATGTGACAGGATTAACACCGAGAAAGGCGCTAGAATAATGGAGATGATCTGAAGGAATAAAGACTCACACTTGACTTGAGCATTATTTAACTCATGCCCTGCTACCATGTATGGAAAGAACGAAGCAAATAACTGCCATCTGAAGCAAACTTGGCAAGCGCCCATTGTCGTGAGTGCTGGACCGATAGCGAGCCCTGATAGGTGGACGAAAAGTTCCGCGTCTTGACTGCTTCTAATCCCCTTGGCAAGAGTACAGATAAAGCGATGATAGGATAGTTGATATGGAAATGAGCCCCTGAGCAGCTATTGTTGCGGATAGCTCAATAGGAGCCAATACACTGGCAACCACTCAAGAGCAGGAGACGCGGGGAACGTGGCGATGAATTTCAAGGCAGAATTAGCCGAAGTTTTGGGCCCCTTTCATTAAATCTTGGCAAATGGAAGTATTAGAAAAGATGCCACTTACTATGCTTTTACTTGAGAAATTGAATGCGCTATTGATGAAGAAATTTGATGTTCTGCCTGGAACCTTCTGTACTGGAAAACTGGGAGGACGAGCCAAGTCCTTTGGAGGTGAAGATTGAGATGCCCAGCGCTACAGTCAGTCTCTGGTGATTCGGGCCAAGGTCTGATATAAGTTATTCTTAGATGAAGCAAGAATTACCATGATCCGCACTCAGCTTTTCCCCAGCCCTCTCCTTGTTGATGTCCCGGTTGAGGCCTTGTTAGTAGGACTACTGTTGACCTGCCTCACTTGAACGATCATCACGGGTTGGATGAGAACATTATGATAAATCTCCCACCGGATGATGAAGACCTTGGAATTTTCGCAGATATGACGAGGTGGGGCTAGAGCGGCGATGCAAGGTTTTGTCAGAACGACATACAGGTACCGTACAGTCCGAGCGGAATCTTGTCAACTGCCCAATGCTCAAGTTTTGTGTTGATTTCTCGTAAGAAGTGAGAGCTGACGCTACATGAGGAAGCAAGAACTGGCCAAATCGCAGTCTCTTCTCAGCAGTACCAAAAAAACCGAACCTCAAATTCCTTGACAAGAATCCATATCGATGTTCAGCCTCAAGACGCTCCGTCTCCTCAGATCCTGTATTCGAACTCTCTCATTTTCATCCAACGCATCAACTCAGGAGAGCCCAAACCACGACCAGTATCTGTATTATCAAACTCTGGACCATTCTTGAGTCGTTGAATTTCTGCAGGCCCGAAAGCACGAGTGTGGCGCTTCACACCTCGTAAGCAGCGGTACGAATCACCTGGTCTTTTACATGGTGATTCATCATCCCTGCGGTCTTTTGACAGTACTGAGAGACAACTTAGTATAAAATGGGAAGAAGTTGGGCGGATAGCAAATATCGTGGACAAGGAAACCTACAGTTGAACACGCCTCGTTCGTTGAAGAGGTTGGACAGACGTAATTTCGACAGGTTTGGTAATTGAGCAATGTGTTTGATTACACGCTCCCAACTTCCAGATGTCAGATTCATTTCGTCGATAGTGAGATCTGAGATTGTTTGATGGTTATCGATAAATTTCGCCAACGACTGCTCAGATGCAGGCAGACCGCGGAAGAAGACCTGTGTCAACAAAGGCAGTTTCACCTCATTCGCGATATGGTCCATAACTTTGTGATAGACAGCGGATGTGCCGCGCAGCGTGTTAGTCATGTGAAGATCAAACGCGTCGAGTCGGGGCATATGGCCGAGCATGCGGGCCACACCAGGAAAGTTATCTTCCATAGTGGCTTCGACATTCTCGTTTGAGTATTGACCAGCGTCAGATCCCTATGTAATAATAGTTCGAGTCAGCAAGGAAAAGGAATCAGTCAGAGGTGGGTAATGAGGCAGCAATCACCATCAAATTGTGGTACGCTGCATCTGCACCCTCGAGTCCGTCCCTTGCTGCTTCAATCTTCGAGAGATCAGTTTGAACCCTGGTAGAGAAGCTGAGTGCAAAGTTCTCGACTGAATTAAAAGCCGATCTGAAGCCGAGTGAAGCCTCGAGTTTTGCCATGTGGGAGGTCACGTCGAAAGATGGAACACTGCACCGGGGCGTTTCGCGGTATACGAGTAGCGTTTTCAGCGACAGCTCACTTTGTGCAATTGCAGACGTCGTGATCTGGTAAACTTCGGATGCACGGATGAATACTGGATGCCACTCTCCAGCCTGAGCAGCAGAGACCTGCAGATAACGGCCTTTTGTAACGCATGCGTCCAGGTCGATCATGTCTAAGGTCCCAAATAGGCGTAAGACCGCGGCCAAAGCATCAATACTTTCAGGTATCGTCTGAGTGCGCTGATGGATCTGTTGAGCGTGCATCCATACTAGATCTGATTCGGCTTGAGCAAGTTCATCATCTGTAAGTGCTGGTTCTGTCATGGAAGTAAAGGGCCCGTTCACCTCCACGATCCGACGTCTCTTGGTTTTAACCATACGGTCAAGCTCTGAGGTGTCAAAAGCCGTAGCCATCACAACCATTGTCTCCACAGCTGAGCGCAGCTGGGGATGTGATGCCAGCTCCCGAAGCTTGTTTAGACTTTCGGTGCTGAGATCTGTGGTCTGATGGGCGACGAAGGTCTTGAAACGGGGACCAATAATAGCAAGATACCTGCAGGACAGCCTGGTATTCTTGATATCCACCAGTTGCAGATTCTCGAGAATTATTCCAAGGATATTCAGTGGCATAGAACTCAGAGCAGATGATTGCTTGGCCATGGTGAATGCTTTTTTACCACTTGTGCTCAGAACTTGAGGCACGATCTGTACCTTCTACTAAGAGCTTTTTTTGAGGGGGGGAGGGGGGTTTCAAAGATGACTTTGATAGCATTGTTGAATCTTGTTGAAGCGAAAGCTGCGACATATAAGGACCCGACCAGGGTTGCGGCGCAGCAGATGGTTGCCTTAGACCACGTGCCTTTGATCTACCCAAGGTAAGGGACGTAGGTAACGACTTAGGTAGACGTGCTTGTTCCACCTGCAAGTGATTCATTGCTAATGAACAGGCATGACACAGAGCGGAAGAAGGATGTTCTTGTTGCTAACATGGGGGTTTGATTCATGCCCATAAGAATAGCGGTTCTGTTACTCCACGACATGTTGATCGCCCCTTCCAATACCGCATCTCGGCAGTCGAATATGCCAGTTCAGACTACCACACTCTCATTCCGTGGCTTGTCTTTGAGCATGATTCTGCCTCCAGTCCAAATGAATGTCGTGATAGCACAAACGCCACTCAGTATCGCCATGGACCAACCCATTGTACCCCAGCCTGCATTTTCCACTGTGAATCCAGCCCACAAGGGACCGATCAGTGTGCCCACAGCAAAAGCAAAATTGAAGAGCCCAAATCCTTGGGCTGCAGCTCCCTTCTTTCCCATGCTGCCAGGCTTTTTCTTCTCCTCAAGTGCCACTGCGTGATCGATTTCGGCCATGAGAGGTGCCATGACAAGAGTCAAGAAAGCTCCGATGAGCACGAGGAGAGCACAGAGAAGCACCTTTTGACCAATTGAATTGTACGTCACGAAACGCATGAGCACCCAGCACGGAGCAGAGCCCAGTAGGCCTGCTGTTGTGATGAACCTGGAGCCATATTTATCGGAGAAGCCACCAACAAGAGGAGAGGCCATGTGTGGGACAACCAAACAGATGAAAATCAAACCCGCGCCAGTAGAGTTCCAATCAAAGACATCATTGACGTAAAGAGGAAGTACAGAGTCGAATGAAGCAAGAAAGGTCGAGTAGACAAAGCACCCGAACAACGCCACCAACAGCCGTGGGACCAGAAGTAAAGCGAGGAGAGGGGGAAGATGCTTAGTCGCCATTGGTAGAGTTCTCGTTGCTGTCCTTCCGGGTGCTGCCTTTTCCGATGTAGAATATTCATCCAGAGCTGGTGCAGACTGTATCTCCATTCCCACAGTATGCTGAGGGGACATCTCCTCGCCGTTCGATGGGATCCTGGGCAACCACTGTTGAGCGGCACTTTTCTCGATCATAAAGAGACGCAGAAGGATATCTAGACCAATTATGGCAAAGCCAATTGCGAATACAGAATAGTATCCGGAATGAGCATATACTACACCACCAAGAAGAGGACCAGTAAGGGAGCCTAAACTAGTCGCAGCCGCCATATAACCCATGGCCTGACCAATGTCTTCTTTCGGAACAGTATCTGATAAAAGTGCCAGACCGACCGTCCAGACAACGCTTGCCGAAAGCCCTTGTAGAAGCCTTCCTGTGATAAGAACAGCTAGTGAAGACCCTGCACAAAGCATTGCCGTTGAACCTCCAAGAGCCAATAGACCCAGCAACAGTGGCACGCGGCGGGAAGTTGACCTGTCAGCAAACCAGCCGAACAGGGGGCTTCCAACTGCAAGAGCTGCACCGTACACACTCAAAAATATGGAAGTCCAACGTTGGACATCCTCTTCCTTAACACCAGCTCTGACGGTCAGAGCAAACGGCAAAACAGGTACAACAACCGAATAGAGGAAGATATCCTACTTGGTAAGCGATATCAGATGACGACATCAGATGTAGAGCTTACAGTGAAGACAGCAATTGCAACAGTACATGTAATGAAGGCCTTTGAGGAACGAACTTTCAAGAAAGGTGGTGGCCCAGCATTCCCAACTCTGGTGCCGTAAACAAAAGTACTGAAGCCATCTGCTGTAAGCATTGTGCAAGATACTTCAGAAATCAAAGCGGGGATAAACTGGATATAATCGTCGCATCGAGCAGGTTTCGAGGTGGGATACCGAGAAGCTTTATTCCAGACCCAACCCCCACTTCTCCAGAGCCTTAGGCTCACCGATAGACTGTTGATGATCAAGTGCCAATGCCAGAACGTAGACTGGGGATTTACGGGTCCCGTAATCCCCGAATCTCGGCTCGAGGCCCAGAACTGGAACAAACATCATCAAGCCATCAGGAGCACAAAGCGGGCAATAACGACTGCCTCCTCTGATTCATGTTTCAGTTTCAGTATTAGTTGGTAGGTAATTAATAATCTTGCCTGTAGAGGAGGAAAATTGTGAAAGAAGACTTCGGCCGAGTCAAGTCCACCAAGCCCACGTCAAGTCAGCCTGTCAGCCTGTCAGCCTCGTCAGCCACATTTCCGCTGGTGTGGCTGAAACTTCGACTGCTGCTAGCGGCCGCTGGTGGGGGAAATGTTATGGGAAAAAATGCTTCCAGGAAAGCACGATAACGGCTTGACTTGCCCGCCACGAACTGAAGCAATCAGCTTTCAACAAGATGCCTCACCGTGCGTCTTCCCCTGCGGCGTCAGAAAATGAGTTCGATATCACCAAATCTCTGTTCCAAGACGATGTCAACGGCGACGATGAAGACTTTGTGCTCCCAAGCAGCAAAGATTTAGGAGTTCTCGATGCTGGTGGGATTTTGGATTTGGAGAGCGATGGAGAAGGAGATGAAGCTTTTATTGCGGCTAAGCAGGCTGCTTCAAATCGAAAGGCATCCAATGTAAAAGGAAGAAGTGTCAAGAAAGGTGGTGGATTTCAGGCAATGGGTAAAACAGCTTCATCTTTCACCTAGAAAACCTCTCTAATTTTGTACAGGTCTCAATTCACATCTGTTGAAGGCAATTAGTCGAAAAGGATTCTCAGTGCCTACTCCGATTCAGCGAAAGACTATTCCCCTGGTTCTCGATCACCAAGATGTCGTGGGTATGGCAAGAACTGGTTCTGGAAAGACTGCCGCTTTCGTCATTCCGATGATTGAGCGATTAAAGTCGCACAGTGCCCGAGTAGGAGCGAGGGCATTAATTCTGTCACCATCTCGAGAATTGGCGCTACAAACATTGAAGGTTGTAAAGGAGTTTGGACGTGGGACGGATTTAAAGTGCGTTCTCCTTGTTGGTGGAGACAGTCTGGAAGAGCAGTTCGGTTTCATGGCAGGAAACCCTGACATTGTAATTGCAACGCCAGGTCGTTTCCTGCATTTGAAGGTTGAGATGTCTCTAGATCTCTCATCCGTCAAGTACGTGGTATTTGACGAAGCAGATCGCCTTTTCGAGATGGGTTTTGCTGCCCAACTTGCCGAGATTCTGGTGGCTTTGCCAACCTCGAGGCAGACACTTCTTTTCTCCGCAACGCTTCCAAAGTCGTTGGTGGAGTTTGCCAGGGCTGGTCTACAGGAGCCTAGTCTTGTCCGTCTGGATGCCGAAAGCAAGGTATCGCCTGACCTCGAAAGCGCATTTTTCAGCGTCAAGAGTGCAGAGAAAGAAGGAGCTTTACTTCACATCTTGAATGATCTAATAAAGATGCCTACCGGCCTACCCGAGGCTGCTGTCAAAGCGGCTGCAGATGGAAACAGCAAGAAGCGCAAAAGAGAATCCGGTGGACCCAATCCTAGACAAAAGCCAACTGAGCACTCAACAATCATATTTGCAGCTACTAAACATCATGTCGATTACATTGCGTCACTTCTCCGCCTCTCCGGATTTGCAGTCTCACACGCTTACGGATCCCTGGATCAGGCAGCACGAAACGAGCAAGTTGAAAATTTCCGCACAGGGAAATCTAATATCTTAGTGGTTACGGATGTCGCTGCCAGAGGTATCGATATTCCAGTTCTTGCCAATGTGATCAACTACGATTTCCCTCCACAACCAAAGATCTTTGTCCATCGGGTTGGTCGTACAGCAAGAGCCGGAAAACGTGGTTGGAGTTACAGTCTTGTCAGAGATACAGATGCACCATATTTGTTAGATCTACAGCTCTTTCTCGGCAAGAGATTACTACTGGGAAGAGAAAGTGGGGACTCGCCAAATTATGCAGAGGATGTTATTGTTGGTGCGCTGTTCCGAGACAAGCTCGAGGCAAACTCGGAATGGATCACGAAACTGCTAGGGGATGATGATGATCTAAGCGCTCTTCGAGGTGTTGCCGCGAAGGGAGAGAAGCTGTACATCAGGACTAGAAATTCAGCCTCCAGCGAAAGCGCAAATAGAGCCAAGGAGGTAGTGGCATCGAAAGGATGGATGCAATTACACCCTCTGTTTAACGATGCAACAACCTCGACTGAACAGGCCCGAATCGACATGCTTGCACGTATCAGCGGTTTCCGCCCACAAGAAACCGTCTTCGAGATTGGAACAAGAGGAAAGGCCGGTCACGGCGAAGCTGCCGAGATGATGCGAGCCCGAAGAGAGAAGATCATTCCAAGAAGGCAAAAAGAGGAAGACGAGAAAGCAGCTGTAAAAGCTGAAGCAGCCATTGCCACTGCCGACATCGATATGGACGCATCTCCCTTCGACGATGAAGAAAATGAAGTCGAGCTTGAAGCAGCTGATGACGATGATGATGACGAGATGGACGTCACCGTGACGGGTGGCAATAACGACAACATGTCAGAAGCATCCTCCGCAGACCTCGAACTAACTTTCTCGAAATCCTCCCAAAAAGGCAAAGGCCGTAGCCTCTCTTACAAAGATTCTGAGAATTTCATGTCGTACACACCGAAGAACCTCAATGTAGCCGAAGAGCGCGGCTATGGCGTGCATTCTGGCTCTTACAATACCGCATCTCAGAACTCAAATTTCGTGGAGGCCGCAAGAGGCGTGACGATGGATCTGACCAACGACGATGGCGCCAAGAGTTTTGCCGAGCCTGCGCGAGCGAAGGGCATGCGATGGGACAAAAAGAACAGTAAATATGTGGCACGAGCCAATGACGAAGATGGTTCGAAAGGAAAGAAGATGATCCGCGGTGAGAGCGGACAGAAAATCGCAGCCAGTTTCCAGAGCGGGCGGTTTGATAGATGGCGTAAGGCGCATAAGGTTGATCGACTGCCGAGGACGGGCGAGGCGGAGCGAGAGGGTGCTGGTGTCACAGGTGGTGTTGGGAGAGGCTTTGGCACGAGATACAAGCATAAGCAGGAGAAAGCACCAAAGGATGCCGATAGATACCGTGACGATTTCCATGTCAGAAAGAAGAGGGTGGAAGAGGCTAAGGAGAAGAGGATTGGTAAATGGAAGGATGGGTCTGGCAAGCAGGAGATCAAGAGTGTGGGCGATATCCATAAGGAAAGACAACTGCAAGAGCAGAAGAGGGCGAAGAATGCTAGACCGGCGAAGAGGAGTAAGAGGTAGATATTGTTAGGGAGGTCTGTGATTTGACAGTAGTCTTGCATTCAGATACCCCTAGCCCTGGCAATGTTACTGCATTGGTACAAATTTTGAAATGACCGAAAGAAATTCTAGGCCCCTCGGGTAGACCCAGGAAGCACAGGTTCAACTATGCAATGCATTCAAACGGGGCGAGCGCAAGGAGCGGCCTTGAAAATGTCAAAATAGCAAATCGCCCGGCCAAATAGAGTCTTGTGGTCCCCTCCATATTTGCATCTGCAAGACGGCGCATTACAAGTCAAATCCAATCGAACGCCCTACATACGATCCAGCCTACCGTATGCCCTTACAGCCCTAACGCCAGGGTATAACCAGTAGTACACAAGTGACCTTTTCATCAAACAATGCTCCCAAACTCTCAAAGACTTCAAGGAATTAAAGCAAGCATAGCTTAGTAAGTCAAGAAGACTGGACCTCATGCCAGCTTCCCTGTCCACCACCCCTTCGATCTTGACCGAAATCTCGATCACGTCGCTGGCCATGGCGGTTCTTGGGAGATGATTCTCTTCTCTTCTCCCTTCTGGCCCTCTTCCGTCTCTTTTCGTCCTCTGTCAATTTTGCCAGTTCTTCTTCCATTTTGTCATCATACTCTCGCTCCCTCTTCAAGTCCGGTATATCCTCGGCTAGCAATTCTTTGCGCTGTTCGGCTGAGATTTGCGCAGCAGGACTCCAGGCTTCTTGGTCTCGGGTATACCGGTGAATCGAATTGGATGTGTGTAGTGGCTTGGCATGTTGATGATGTTGATATTCATGTCCGTCATTGGCAGCGGGAAATCCATAGTCGTTTGGTGGCGTAGGGACAGTTGGGGGTGGCTGATAGTCGGGATTTGAGGTACCGTAAGGGTCAGATTGACTTCGACTGTGCATGTGAGGCGACTGAGACTTGTGCGGCTGCTCTTCGTAGTTGAAATCGTCAGCAGAGTCATCTCGCCATGAATCGTATAGAAGAGAATCTGTCCCAGGATGGGGTACTGCTGGGTAAGCATGCTGACCAGGATGAGGACTCGCCAAAGGGGGGTTCGATGGGCCTGCTTCACCCGAGGGAGGACTTGGTGATGACCAGCGATTGAGAGGCGAGTTGCTGATGGTGACAGAAGTTAGAAAGCGTGATTTCTGGTGATATTTGGTAGCTTCATGGTAAAAGCCATTCACAAACTAACCTTGTTGGTAGTGGAGATCCCCACACTGCTTGAGTAGAATAGTTATCGTCTTGCATGGTTTCCCCTCCGGCCTCACTGGTACTCGCTTCTGTTTGGCCTAATGTGGTTCCGCTCCTGAGACGCATCCGGGAACAAAGTTTAACTAACTGGTCAACAGAATCCAATACCTAGTTGATGATACATGCCATCGTTTGAGCATGGTGAGGAAGTGAGAGGCTAAAAGCAAGACTATATACCATGGCCATCATTCGCTCGTAGTAGCTCACTGGATCCACACCCTGTCTGAGTACGAAAGGTACCGGCGATTGCCTGACACAGCAAGATACATGCTGTGCTTAATACTGGATGCGAATTGCTTCACCGAGAGGGAAGAGCCGTTTGCCTTCAGTGGCGCCCGGTATCCAGCTCAACAAGGCCACACAAGGGCACCGGGTGAGAAGCCGCTCGATCCCGACCCCGGTCCCTGATGCGCCATATTGCAAGGCAATTATCTGACAAAGAGAAATATAATTGCAGTGTTAAAAGTGAAGGAATTAGTCGCCACTGCTGCCCATTTCGAGATATGCGAGGCAATGTTGAGCTGGAAAAGTTGTGGTTGACAGGGATTTCGGTAAGGTCAGATATCAAGAGTACTGCTGTTAGTGTCAACTATAAGGCTGTAGCTGCTAGAAGTTCGATGAGTACAGTGGCTGAGCCGAGTCGACGATGGGATTCGGGACGATCCGGTGCGAGAAAGTCGATATCGTGATGGGGATCTCGGCCCCCATAAGGCGGATAACCACATCCAGTCACATTTCTTGCCAGACTGTGCCATTCCACGAATTGAACATGTTTCGTTAAACTATAACGTTGCTTCTGCCAGTTGGAATTAAGTTGAAAATTGCCGCGTAGTGCGAAGCATAAATGCGAGCATTTCTGTGAGAACAAACACAGCCTCGAGTGTGACCTTTCTGAGCACGTTAGATGCGCCTTGCAGCCTAACGGCAGCGAGTGAAGTCCCAAGATTTTCGGCGCCGCTGTTGGAGGCTCGTTTTTAAAACAGATCAGTTTTCACTCGTCTTAAAGGGCCCTGCATTTGCATTAATGTGTGTTTTGCGGCGGCCGGCACCATAATTACGACATTTCTGCCATTTTTTTTTTCTGGCGACACCGGGGATATGCATATTTCCTTCCTGATCCCACGTCGCTAGCTGAAGATGAATCATATTTTAGCACCTTCCATCATTGAGCAGAGTCGCTCTAGCTTTCAGCACTTGAAAGGTACAGCCAGCACTAGCTGATCGCAACAAGGAAGAGTAGACAAAGGTTTCGCATGGTGATCGTGAGCCAAACGGATCAATCCCATTTAAAGTTTGGAATTGAAATGCACGCGAGGGATGAAAGAGACGAAGTGCAGTACTGACAGAATCAAATAAAAGCATAGAAAATCCGGACCACAGAGCAAACTTCTGCTCACCGTCCCCGAGCTACCACGGGGAATGACTTAGGTGGCGGCAGACGAGAGCAGCCCAGTTACGGGATTGTACGTTGGTTTCTTCAATCAGATACAGTTGACAAGTACGCGCAAATGATCAGAAATTTGGGGCTGCAATTGATGCCATGATGATTCGGGTTCAAATAATTGATATGACAAGGCTTCGGATGATAGAGAAAACACAAATGCAAGAGCAAAAAACAGAGCTTTCCATACACGCCGGACGAATTGAGATAGTTCTGTATTGTCGGAAAAAGTCATGAGGTATATATGGTGCAGGACAATTTGGGCAGCTCAGTTGAAGAGGATAGAGCATAAAGAATTGAAGAGCTGACTTTCATGAGTGAGAACCTTGGCGGCCACAGTCTTCATAAAGCAGAATGGACGACTCGGTGGGTACGAGACACTGGACTGTCCCGAAATGAAGTGGCAACGCTAGGACGATTTCGAGACTTACATTCGGTTTAAAGTATGTCCTGTCCACGGAGAAGGCTTTTTTTGGTGGTGGTGGCGCAGCCTCACATCATAGCAAGACCGCTCCGGTGACTGTTCCAACCCCTGAATCGTTGTTCATCTTCTGAGTAAGCTTGCAAGGCACCATTTCAGTGAGTTTATGCTTAATTGTATTTTGCAAAAGTCGACAAAGCATCAATTGGCCGACATCTTAACCATGGTTATGCTCCTCGATTGCAGATGCCTCCAGATTTGGTATCATTTTTGCCCATTCCTTACTCCAACAAATGCCTTTCCTATCCAGAAACGGTACTCAATGCTCGGTTGATGTTCAGTCAAGATTTTCTCTCTTCTCCTTTCGCTCCTTTCTCTTGTAGACCAGGAATCGGCCAAGATTGAGGATTGCTTCGTCTGCTCTAGAGCGCAACTCGCCAAACTTTCGCTTGTCGATTGACTTTGCGAGCTTCTTCGCCTGGGGCTGAATATCCTCGAGATGCTTGGAGAAGTTATCACCCCAGAAGACGGTTTCGTCGAATGCATAAGACTTGTCAGCGTAAATGTCGAAAAGCTGGTTCAGAGCTTCGACGGTATCGGCAGCTGGAACATCTGGTAGAGCAGACAAGGTGGTGAGGAGGAATATACCGATTTCACGATTGAGTTCAACAGGCGCAGGATCCATGGCGAGACTTCCAAGAACACCAATACACTTTACACCTAGTCCCTGGAATGCGTCGGTGTCGTCTTCTGCCTTTGACTGTCCACTTGAAGCGCCATCCAAGCTCTTCGATGCTTGGTAGAGGGCCATAAACTTTCTCTGCTCTTCTGACTTGAGTTTGATCGCGCCTTTCACACTGCGAGCAACAGCCCATGCAAGACTGGTGATCGATGAAGCGAGCTCAATGTCAGCGGTATTCGAAGCCAGTACAGGACCAATGATTTCATTCCAGATATTTTGAGCGACAGCGGTCCAAGATTTTTGAAGACTTTTCAGATGGCCTGTTGAGAAATCTATAGTCGAGATAGTCCAAGCAATGTTGTTCAAAGCAGACAGTGCGTGCTCCTGGAGAGGACTGTTTGCAACTTGTATTTGGCGCACCAAAGATAGCAGCTGCGGGGCCACAAGTCGTACCAGAAGACCAAGGGTTGCCTCCTCGCTGGGCTTGTCTTCCTCATTAGAATCATCGCCTAGGACCATCTCCATTTCGGCATCGATCTCATCCTGATTCATCTCATCTCCAGACCCCTCGTCCTTAAATTCCTCTTCTTCATCGATGTCCTTAATATCTAAGTCCTCGATCTCGCCATTGACAGATTCATCAAAGCCCTCGAACTCTGCTTCATTTTTGCTTCCGTGCTCCAAAGCTTCTTGAAGGCTTGTGGCAATTGATGCGGTGATTTCTAAAGCCAGCTGAAGAACCTGGTCAGGGCTGGATGACGGGGCGTGGCCGTTTGTACCGTTGTTCTCAGGGTGAGAATGGGCCATATATTTAACCAATGTTGGGATCAACGTTGCATCTGACGCTCCTTCAACCGGCGTATTGTGGTCGAACCACTTCATGGTAACGAATACATTATGGAGGACCCCGCATGCAGCAATCGAATCAATGGCCTCAGCGTCTTTGATCTGGAGAAGCCTCTTCAACCAGTCTCCTTCCACCACTTGTTGATCAAGTAAATGGTTATCTTCCGTCAGTACTGTCAAACATGCAAGGACCTCGTTCTGGACATGGCTGGGTGTAGAGAAGACAAGTAAACCGAAGAGGAAAGTGATGATGGTAGAATTCTTCGAAATGGCCTCAGCAATTTCTTCTTGGGCTTCAGAGAGAGAAGTAACAAGAGTGATGATTGAGCTTGTAAGGTTCCAAAGGATTTCTTGCTGAGCAGCAGGGAGTTTTGCAAATGGGACGTCTGGAGACTCAATAGTCTGGACGATCTGTAACTGTCAGCGTTCGAGACATTACACAAAGGACTAGCCATGCAGCATACCGTCTTCATAACTCCATCAATGGCAGTCAACACATCTTGTCTATACAAGTGTATGCAGAAGTCTGGTTCCTCCTCGACGGTCAAGTTTCGTAGAATTCCCCAACCATCTGTTCTTGTTTCCAAATTCGAGTCTGTCAGGGTTTGTTCAAATAATATTCGCACAATCTGTTCCCTCAACAACAGCTTCCTAGACTTCTGATCCTCCACAAGGTTTGTAATAGCACGCGCTGCCGCCGACCGAGCTTTCAGATCTGGGCTCTGCAAGTCTTTGAGGACGGGAAGAATGCGCTGGTCACGAATGGCAGCGAGTTCTGGATCTGCGATGGGTTTGGCTGTTGGGTTCGCGCGGCTCTTTGTACGGTTTCTGGGCTTTGATTTGCCCATCTTGACAGGTTCAGACGTATATCGTTAATGGTGGGAGAAAGTTGGTTCTCGAACCTCGAATTCTGCCAAAACTTTTTGTGCTGCCAGCACCCAAAATGTTTATCGGCGGGGTGCCGATAAGGTGAATAGACCGTGCGCTTATCGCACAACCCCTTCAAACGCCGCTCTGCACGACTGCTCGGGTCTCACATGGAGCACCCATGTGTATGTACTATGTTGTGACTGCTCGTATAGCTGCTGGAGAAGAACATTTCCTGGATGAATCCTCTGACGGGCCTTTACATGGTCATGCTGAAGGACACTTGGTGAGTTCCTGCATGAGGGAGTATCAGGAGGGCAGGAGGGGTACAGGAATTGCTAGAGCCACTCTTCCCGTACCTTGAGCAACCCCGCTAAAATAGGGGCAGCTCGCTGGTCGCGTCTGCTTTGTCCAAGCGCGAGGTATTTTTGTCCCCTTGCGGCATTTCTTCCCACACATAAGACCTGGAGCCCCCTCTTCACAATGTCTGCAACTACTACAATCACTCAGGCTGAGCCCATTACGGCCCAGAGCATTCTGCGTCTGTTCCCCGACATCGATACAAGCTCCGCAGAGTTGGATGGCCATGATGCAGAGCAGATTAGATTGATGGACGAGGTGTGCATTGTTCTCGACGAAAATGACAAGCCTATTGGAAACTTCAGCAAGAAGATCTGTGAGTTGGTAATAGAACAGTCATGTTACTGAGACTAATGAGTTTAGGCCATCTTATGACCAATATCGAAAAGGGACTTCTTCACCGCGCATTCTCTGTCTTCCTGTTCAATTCCGACAATGAGCTGCTCCTTCAGCAGCGCGCGACCGAGAAGATTACCTTCCCAGATATGTGGACAAATACCTGCTGCTCGCATCCGCTTGGAATCCCAGGAGAAGGAGGTGTCGAACTGGAAGAGGCTGTCGCAGGTGTAAAGAGGGCCGCCATCCGCAAATTGGACCACGAACTCGGTATTCCCGCTGCACAAGTTCCCTTCGAAGAATTCAAGTTCTTGACAAGAATCCACTACAAGGCGCCTAGTGATGGCAAATGGGGCGAGCACGAGAGTGAGTAGGGGGATATCCATTCAGAGTAGAGAGGCCCAGGCACCTCAGATACTAATAGCTACAACCACTAGTTGATTATATCCTCTTCATCAAAGCCAATGTCGATCTCAAACCCAACTTGAACGAAGTCCAAGATACGAATTATGTTACTGCGGACGGATTGAAAAAGATGTTCGAGGACCCCACCTTGAAATTCACTCCATGGTTCAAGCTTATCTGCAACTCCTTGCTTTTTGAGTGGTGGGAGCACCTGGACAGCGGATTGGAGAAGTACATGAACGAACAGGAAATCCGGAGAATGTGATGAAGCTGCAGGAGACCATGTTTGGTGCATTGATGGCGTTGGCATACATGCGGGGCTTGCTCTTGGAATGATTATGAGTGGGAGAGTCAACCTCATTTCAAGCCTTGCAGGAGAAGTATTGGCCCACAACTATTGACGAGGACAGGTGATATACCCTTGCAGACAGACTCAATACATTGAGCATTGCATGCACTTTCAGCAATACGCTCACTGGGCAGGATGCTCCTCACGGAGCGGTCAAAAGATTCAAGTCTTGGTTGCAGGGCCTAAAAACAGGTAGGTGGGGATTGTCATGCTGCTCTGTGCCAAATTCCTCCTCTTCATCTTGATACGAAGTTGAGATCAACAGATCCAACAAGGGTAGTCCAGTCGATGTCTTTTCCCTATCAATTCCAGGTTGTTGTCTCTCCCACGTACAGTTACTCCAGGCTTTGCCCCCTAGACTTATTCTGTGCTTGATTTCTCGCCTTAGGTTTCGAAGGGTCCATGCCGCTAGCTGAAAGCAGGAGGGCCAGCCGAGCCTCCAAACGACGGCCGAGACCGAGATAATGGAATGTAGTGCTCTGTTATCAATTCCAGCCAAATTTCTCTGTTCCCAGAGAAAGCTTTAAAAGATTTGTGATTCAATTCTGAAGTCAGATTTCATCGGATTGGCCGTCCAAGATTATGTGACATCTCGAATCCAGGGCACAACCACAAACCGAATCTGTTCAACAATGGCTATCAGCGGATGGCCGGGATTCTGTGGTTGGACGCCATTTCACGAAGGCTTCCCTAGTGTTAGTGGGGGAAGCGGGCATCCTTGGACAGGCGTCTCAGGCGACTTCCTAGGGTCGAGAAACAATTATAATAACCCTGGCCCATCGCTGACTCTCATCGTTCTCTCACCAGTTACGCCTCACTCTGATCATTCTGAATCTATCAAACAGTGAAAATTGCCTGTGCCTCCTCAAGATTTCGATCAGACTCCAAATATTCGCTACCCGACTCGCCCATCATTCAACGGCACTGAAATAGCTGTTTCCGATATACCCGCTCTCTCAAATCCCAGATTCGGCATACATATTAAAAATCTACAGCCGCTGGTCAAAGCAGTCCGACCATCTATCCCAGCTTCCCTACCCGAGATCTCAGAAACTCAACATTGATGTCGGTTGACATACGCCAAAGTCTCAACTGTCTGCGTTTCCCATCTCGATACGAAACCGTGTCGAGAACGCAGCTTTCTAAACAACATACAGGTGATTCAACAAGACCAGCAGAACCATGTGGGTTTTCCCTGTTACTATATTGTGCCAAATCTGATCGCTGAAAGAAACCCCACACCCAAAGAACAGTCAACCCAAACCGCAATCATGGCGGCGCAAACTAATAGCAATGATAATGCCACGACCATTACTCTTGAGAAGAACCGTAGTCTCTCTCCTTCAACGGGTGAGGAAGTCCGCCTTCTCGATATTTCGGAGTATGAGCAGGCCGCTCAGTGCCTTGCTGAGGCCTTCGCCGTTGATGAAGTTGCGAGATACTTCATTGATACCGATGACATGGTCAGCTACACAGAAGAGTATAAGTACAAGATGCACTGTGATATCTTGCGCTACATCACTGCAGCTCATTGCTACAAAGGCATTGTGACGACGATTGGGCCGAATTATGATGCTGTTGCCCTTTGGTAAGCATTTCAGACTTTTACATACCAACTAGCTTTGGGAGGATTCAAGCGGTATGCACCAACTAATGCAACACCAACAGGATGCCGCCAGGAAAGAACATGGACGATCTGTGGACCATCTTCCGATCCGGCATGTGGAGACTCTGGTACAAGCTCTCCTCGGAAGGCAAGACACGGTTCTACGACGAGTTCCTGCCACTCCTTCACGAGACCAAGCACAGCATCATGGGTGGCCGTGACGACGACTCCTACTATCTCGTCTACATCGGTTCGAAACCTAGCGCACGCGGCAAAGGCTACGCTAGGAAGTTGATCGAGCACATCACTGCCAGGGTAAGCTTGGTATCCTTTTTACCAATGATGACCCACTCCTTGCCTATGCGAGATCTTGTGTGCATACTAACGATATCATGACAGGCCGATTTCGAAGGCAGAGCAACCTATCTCGAATCCAGCGCTGCGAGCAACTTGCCCTACTACAGCAAGTACGGCTTCGAGCACATCACTGATATTGAGCTAAAGCGTGGCGAGGAGCCAATCAAGTTGCATATCATGGTGAGAGAGCCGCAGAGCATGGCTGAGAGCTCGAAAGGGACATTGAAGGTTTAGGTTCAGGGTGACGATGTATGATGATGGGTTGTAACATCATCTTATGAATTATGATTATGCTTGGGATTTTTGGTTCTTTTGGTATTTGGGTTCACGAAGCATCAGATTGGATACGAGAATGCACTTTGTTGTGGTTCTATTGAGTGCATTTGAGACTTTACGTTACTTTCGGCATAGGCAATACAGTCTTCTATAATATTATACCTCACAACGGCCATACCTTGAACTTCAAGAGCTCCAGTACAGAGCGATGTGTTACTGTAGGTGGCATGTGCGCGTGTCGCAGTTATCATAATTATGCTTCCTTCACAGGATTTTGCAAGCATCTAACCATAAACCTCTGCAATGCCTACCCAGGTCCGCCAAACGCCATTTCATCATGACTCAACTCCTTCTAAATTTCCAAAACAGCCCATGTCTCGTCATCCACCGTAGTATAGACAGCTCCTATGCCCAGCAACTCATCCCCAGCCTTGAATATCTCAGTCGCTGGAATTCCCATTGTCTGAGCAATCATATGAACATGCAGGCCCTCATTATTCTGAGGCGAGTTCTTCATAAACTCCCACACCTTCCTCGCAGTCACTGACAGATTTGCATTTTTAACCTTCGACGATATAGACTCGGTTCCAGCACTGTAATGATTCTGCTCTACAAACAGTCCGCCACCCTCACTCTTAACAGCTCCGTTCGTACCAGTCGGCGACTCTGGAGGGCCGCGCACGAAGTATAGATGAACGGCCGTGGCTTCTAGGAGGTGGTAGCCGACTTCGTTAAAGTCTTTAACAGGGCGAATCATATGTGCTCCGACGTGTCGCTTGTTATTGAATGCCTTCAGACGACCCCAGACGCGAAGGTATTCGCCTTCTCTAGGGAGGTCTTTGGCAGCATCCGGATCTGCGTCGCTGTCTACCCATTGCTTGACCTCGATTAAGGCTGTGCCATCGTCGAGTTTGAAGGTTGTGTTGGTGGCTTGCGAGGAGACTTGGTTGATTTGACCGATGAAGGTGAGCTGGATAGATCAGCGCCTTCCGTCGACGAATAAAAGTATAAGAACATACCTGGGTAACTGGAGAGCCATCAATGGTGAATTCGGCGTCAGGGTGTGGTTGATTGCTGTTCCACCATTAGTATGAGGCAAAGCTTTTCTTGAGAGGGCTTTCTCACGCATCAATGATCTGCTTGATTGTGACTGGTCTCAGGGAATCCTTCCCATATGTCTTCGCATATTAGCGAGTTACACCAACTGCAGAGGTCTGCAGCGTACCTTGTTGCCTCCTGGACTATCCTGACTTCCTTGTTGTGATCCTCCCATAAATCCCCCTCCATCTGCCCCGCCTTGCGCTCCGTATGAGGTTGTTTGGTATCCACCGCCATATCCGTAGTTTGCTATTGACTATTAGTACTTGCAGCAAGATTGAAGAGACTCAAAGCATACCCATGCTTGCGGATGCAGGTGTTGGACTGTGATAATATGAGGGGTGTTTACTTGAGTTGCAGGAGAAACGCGTCGAAGACGTCGCGAACGCGTTAAGTGGCACTAAGCAATCACCTGACTACATCACACCTCGACATTGGATTATTTTTATATTGCAGTACTAAGAGTTGAAATGGGATGTGCTTCTACCAAGTTCCAGTCTTCTTGTCTTTGTATACTTTCTACAACTGGCCTTCGTACGATACCTGCTTGCTAATCTCTACCAGAACATGCCTTACAGGAAAAGGTACTTACGTACGCCCTCACCATGAGAGGGGCACCTGAGAAGGGCACTTTCCGAGAATGATAAAGCTCGTAACCGTCAACAAATTCCAATCGCTATCAAATGTCCGTTTATCCCAGTACTTTCATTACACCTCTAGCGATTCCCAAGACCCAGCCTTTACCTGCAACGTATTGAGCTCCAGGGCTACATTACATGACCAGCATTTGTCAGAATGACTTCAGATATTCAAACACCAAAATGTCTTTCTACGACAGCGACTCCCAAAGGCCCAGCGGAGCGACAACTCGCAATCGACACTGTCAATTGGAGTAGAACCGAAGATGCCCTCTTGACATATTTCTCAGAGCGGAAATCATTTCTTTAGTCATATATCCGCTGATCGCGGCAACAGTTGACCAAGATCTAATAAGACTTGAGGAACTAATAGCCTAGGGTTTGAATGAAAAGGGTGTAGGATAATTCGGAGCCTGTGGGTTCTAGTTTCGAGAGCTGCTAGCTGGCAAAAACGGTAATCTCGCTATTAATATCCAGGATTGTGTTACCAGCCAAGGTGGCGACTCAGAAGTTGACAGCAATGGAAACGACATCGATGGGTGGCATCGCCTACGACAAGACATTTGACCAAGACTTCACGGTGTTTTAGACTGCGTCTTGAGGCGAGAGAATGTATTTAGCAAGCGGGCTTGTAGTCTCCGTAAAGTTCCCAATCTAAATGAACCTCATGTTCCTTTGCCTTCTTGTTCTGCATTGACATGGACTGGCTGACCCTTGACAGATCTCTTGCAATGTCCGCTTTGCCTTCAGACTGGCAGACCTTGTTCATTACCTCTAGATCAAAGGAAGTTTAAATCGATCAAAAAATAATACAAATATACGACCCTCAAGTGATGTCAGTCTGTCAGGGGCTTCGCAAAACGTACTCGCCAAGCGTTGTTGGTTTGACTATGTGCAGGTGACGGGAATAAAAGGGAAAGATGAAAGCAACGTATGATATAACTTCTCTCATTCGATTTTGGGAAATGTTGGCTGTCTGCACCCTGCTTTACCGGCTGAAGACCTGGATGAATTCCCAAGGTCCGTGGCTTTTATCCCGAGCCTTCCATCTTGTGGTACTGCGCACAGTAGCCATGTTGCATTTGTTTTGAATTGATCTCAACCCGACTTGAAACTCGATCGTGACTCTCAACAGATATTTCTGGGAGGGCTATTGTCGTCCAATTCGGCTGAGCGTCAAGTACCAGCCATATTCCATGCTTTTTTTTTTTTGAACCGAATCCCTGTAATTCTCTTTCAATCTGGTTAAAGATGCGTCCTCATCTATTTTTCTGTTGGAACTTGAAAAGTTCGGAGGAAGACAATGCCTGCCAATGCCTGCCAACACACTCCAAGTGGTTTCGGCATGACCTCCCAATGTTCGTCTCCTTCTCAATCAGTTCTGCTATAAGAAGGAGCTCCTCTCTCCAAATTGTACTTTTTTCTGAAAACTGCCCATCCCCTCCTACAATAGTTCCAGCGACAATCAGACTCGGTATAGCTACCACCATGGCTTTCAAGAACCTCCTTCGAATGGTCACTGCCCTGATCGCCATTCAGATCGCTGGCTGCTACGTTGTCCCTGCCTCGTCCGCTCCTGAAGTTCCGTCGCTTCTTTCGCCAGGTGAGGAAGCTATCCCAACCTTCCTATTGAGTCCCGCATACAAGGTATCTGGCTAACTTCTTGTCGTTCATAGCACGTAAGTGTTGTCGTGAAGTATCGGAATGCCCTCGGTCAGCGGGCTACCCATACATGCGTTGCTGCAGGCGAGCGTCTAGCACAGCTTGTAGCGACGGAAGCCCGTTCAATACATTGGGGGAGTGTGTTCAATCCAAGACAGATTTCAAATGCTAGGAAGGGAGAAGTAATGCCGTAAAATGTAGCCTGAGGAAGGACTGGGGAAACCAATAGCAAAGGGAGGGCGGTTGCTACTTTGTCTCGAGAACTTGCGGCGTCCTAGCTAGATCAAGCCCTGAGAAAATCGGAACACAATCAAGGTGCTCCATTTTACTAAGCACCATACGATTCGCTTTCACCAGATTTACTTTCCATACTGTAGTCATGGATGTCACTTTGAGTTGCCATAGTACATCATCTCCAAAGTAAGACAAGCTTATTTTCTGCCGTCCGATAGTGGTGCTGATCTCAGACTAAAAATCTGCACTGGGCCGAGGTCAAAGTTCTCCCAGAAATTCAAACGTATGCTCTATGTACCATTTGTCTACATTCAGGGGTTCCTTCGCGCTTGCTTACCACTTCTAGCGAAAACATTGTTCTAATTCATCTTCTAAAGACTCGTTGTGGAGCAGCACAAAGTAGCTTAGGGAACAATCGCCGAGAGCACCTGTATCAGTGATACAACTCGTTGAACATCAACCCCATGCCCAAGAACATCAAGCTTTCCCAGTACCGTGAGGCGCTGCCTCGGCATTCCACTAGGGAAAGCTTCTCCAGAAAATGGTTCGTTCTCACTGGTCGGCCTTCGACAGAAGGTGCAGCCACCATCTCAGCTCCGTGTCAAATTCCATCACGCCGTCACCAGCGGGAAGCGATAGCCTTTATTTAAGCATTCGGATCTGCGTGGTTGCAGTAGCTAGCTAGGTCCAGAATGGAATGTGGTCATGATAGGTGCTGTCTTCTGCCGACGTTTAGGAACCTTCCTTCCTAGTCACCTATGAGGAACAAGCCTACCACCGCCTCTGACGACTTCGTCGCTTCCATCGTGGTGATCTGCTTTCCTAGGCATGCCCCTATCTGGATTTGGACGCGGGGTTAGAGCAGTGGTAGATGTTGATGTTATCGTCTGCTTTTAGCAAACAGATATAAAAGCTTGGAAATTCTCTCATAATGTGATATGCATTGACGCTTCCAACAACATTATCACTACTATGCATTTCTTCCAAGTCGCTCTTCTAGGTGCTTTTGTTGCACAGGCTGCAGCTGTCCCATTCTCATCGAGCAATCTTGTCCATGAACGTCGGGACACTGTTCCCAATTCATGGATTAAGAGAAGTAGGGTGGACGCCAATGTTGAGCTTCCCGTACGAATCGGAATGACCCAAAGTAACCTTGACAAGGGGCATGACCTGTTGATGGACGTGTAAGTTATTCTCACCTAAGCTACCCTTTGTAGATGCATATTTTGACTTTGCTCGCCAGTTCTCATCCTGGTTCCAAGAAGTATGGTCAACATTACTCTGCGGAAGAGGTTGCCGATATCTTCGCGCCATCACAGGATACTGTGGACGCCGTTCGTGGCTGGCTTGTCTCAGCCGGCATTGCCTCTGAGAAGATATCTCAGTCGATCAACAAGCAGTGGGTGCAGTTTGATGCCTCGGTGTTTGAACTTGAGTCCTTGTTGATTACAGAGTATCATGAGTACGAGCACTCGGATACCGGCAAGACCACCGTGGCTTGCGACAAGTATACGACCACTGCTTTTTCAAATGATCAGTACTAACAAGATGCCAGGTACCATGTTCCGTCTCACATCCAGGAACATGTTGACTACATCACTCCTGGTACCAAGCTCTTCAGCTCTCATCGTCGACCCGATCCGAACACGGATATTGAGAAACGTACCTTTGGAGTCACTAGCGGGAAAGGAAACAGTGGTATCCTTCCTCCCCTCCTTAAGGAGCTAGGAATGAGTATCGAAGCTTTACTTGCCATCCCCGCGTTGCAAGCCTGTGGCACGGCAATAACACCTGCCTGCATTCAAACACTTTACAATGTCACCAAGCCCACTAAGGCTGCTTCTGGAAATCAACTGGGAATCTTTGAAGATCTTGGAGATGTTTATAGTCAGACTGATTTGAACCTTTTCTTCTTGAATCTTGCCCCGTAAGTTGGACTATCAGGCAATGTGGAATTCACCTGACATACCACAGCAACATTCCACAAGGAACTCATCCCACACTCAAAGCAATTGATGGAGCTGTTGCTCCTGTCAATGTTCAGTCTGCTGGTCCCGAGTCGGATTTGTGAGTCTCGCTTCATCTGATGTCTCAACTCTGCACCACAACGCATGATACACGCTATCGGCGACTATCACAATTCATTTACTAACCTTACACTCCCACAGGGACTTTCAAGTTGCTTATCCTCTCATCTATCCTCAAAATACAGTTCTTTTCCAGACAGACGACCCAGTTTATGAGGCCAACTACACATTCAGCGGATTTCTCAACAACTTCCTGGACGCTATTGACGGGTCATACTGTTCTTACGTCGACCCTCTAGATCCACCGTATCCAGATCCATCGAATGCACCAGGAGCCTACAAGGGCAAATTGCAATGTGGTGTTTACAAGCCTGTAAGTACCACAGTTGCCCTTTTGTTATGCACCCGCTGACTTGTGGCAAGACCAATGTCATCTCGATATCATATGGCGGAGGCGAAGCAGATCTTCCTCCTGCGTACCAGAAGCGGCAATGCAACGAGTTCATGAAGCTTGGCTTGCAAGGCGTGTCTGTTGTTCTTGCATCTGGAGACAGTGGTGTTGCAGGATCTGCGGGAGAGGGAGGAAATGCCGATGGATGTCTTGGCACAGGCCAGATCTTTGCTCCAGATTTTCCAGCAACGTGGGATTACCTTTCAATCCCTTCTCTTACTTCCATGCTGACTGGTGTTGGTAGTTGCCCATATATCACCACCGTTGGTGGAACTACACTTCCCCCCAGAGGTAACGTGAAATCCGATGACGAGACCGCTGTAACCAGATTCGGTAGTGGTGGGGGCTTCTCGAATATCTACCCAAGACCCTCTTATCAGCAAGCAGCCGTGTCAGCGTATTTGACTAACACTCCTCCGCCCTACAAATCCTACTCTGGCGTCAACAACATGAACATCGGAGCTGGTGGTGGAGTCTACAACAAGGGCGGTCGAGGATACCCCGATGTTAGTGCTGTTGGAGACAATATCGTTATCTTCAACAAAGGTGCTCCAACTCTGATTGGGGGTACCTCTGCCTCAGCTCCTATCTTTGCCTCAATCCTCAACCGCATCAACGAAGAGAGAATTGCTGCTGGAAAGTCCACTATCGGCTTCGTCAACCCCACTCTTGTAAGCTTAATGTTTAACATATGATTATTGTGTACTAACTGGATCTAGTACGCTCACCCAGAGGTGCTTCATGATATTACTACTGGAAACAATCCCGGATGTAATACAAATGGCTTTACGGCAGCTAAAGGATGGGACCCAGTCACCGGACTAGGCACTCCTAATTATCCAGCTATGCTGAAGCTTTTTATGAGTCTCTAAGCGTTTGTTAACAAGTAGTTTAGTAATCACTTGATATTAGGAGATCTTGTGATAACAATTCAAATATATTAGCATTGTAAAATCGAACGAGGCGGCTGTTGTAAATAATCTAATGAAACAAATTGTAACTTTTTGTCTTAGAACGGTATTAGATACTTGTAATAGAATACAAAACATTCTATCAATAAAGATATTACTTCTCAATTATTTTAATCGGTTATTAGAATACCCTCCCTTAAGCAACAGAGCCGCTTGAAAAGAGAAAAAAACAGTGGTTCAATCAAACTCTCTTACTTCGCTACTCTTAGGAATCGAGAGAACTTACTCTTATGAGTACTGTTAGCACCACTACACCGTTGGTCTTTCTATCCTTTCTCTCTGTGTAATTTATTTCTATTTTTTTTATTTTCTTACTGTTTGTTTTGATTACTTGCTGTACTCTGACTGCGAATTGCCGCGCTTTGCAAACTTTTCACTTGGACCGATGTCACTGCTCACGTTCCAATAGTTGATCTTCTTTGAAGATGCAACCATTTCGCTGTCGAGAATAGGTATCCAATCAATTGCTCGATTTTATAAGACAAAGATGCCAGCAATCAGCTGTATCAAAGTCAAGTTCACGTAGCTCCTGATCAATGTTAGTTTTATGCTGATTGAGTTAAGGTTCTAGTGATGAAGATAAGAGAGTTTGTTTGAATCTGAAAGTGTACAAAATGTGCTTTTTCACATCATATTATAGCTACCTAAACTAGGATTGTGCCGAGCCAAGCCTCGGGAAGCGAGTAAATAAACAAAAGATCAAAAAGTGCTTTATTAGGTTCCTCGGTAGTATCAGCCAAGATCTGGGATATGAACTCACCAATTGGATGTCTTTTGATTAATCTATTCTCCTCAAAGTATATTATTTTAATGGCACCATCCGAATTTCTTCATCCAGATCAGCTCCTCGGATGCGACGCCGCGAAGTAGATCTCCTGAGAGCCGACTTGTATTTATCAGGTTGATGTTCAAAGATGTTCTCCTATATATGCCAAGGTGAATTTCACATTGATCACAAATGAATGAGATTTCAAGCTAGTGCCGAAAACCTGACAGTGCTTTACCTTACCTAGGTAGGTATCAATGATCTGGGAGAGAAGCGTTCACGTGACCATGCTGCTTAATCGCCTTAGCGTCTGGCAATCGCGACTTTCCTCCCCGCCATCCTCGCTACAACCAACACAGTTCTCCAACAACCACCAATAAAGCTATCACAAAGTCGACCGGAAGTTCAGTCTTCTGTGGCAAATCTGGTGAGCCATGACTACCACGCCCCTGAAAGCTGACGATGATATCGACGAACTTGAAGCTCTAGCCTCTGAAGAGAAAGAGTACCTGAAAGTGTGACCCCCACCATCTCTTTGATCTACACCTACTGACACAGATCCGTTCGACAGGATGCAGAAATTGATAGAATCTTGAAAGCTTTCCGTCTAGATGCGTATGTATTGCCTTTGCTTGGGCGCCTGCCACCTTGCTAACCAGTTCACAGCTATGCAGTTCTTGACCTCCAACCCGGTGTGCCCGAATCCGACATCAAGAAATGCTACCGTGTTAAATCCCTTCTGATCCATCCGGATAAGACCAAAAACCCGCAAGCACCCGATGCCTTCGACCGACTGAAGAAAGCCCAGACAGAGCTCATGGACGAGAAGCACCGCGAGCGCCTCGATGAAGCCATCGCAGATGCCCGCATGCTCCTGATCCGCGAGAACAAGTGGACTGTGGATAGTCCTGAACTGAAGACGGACGCATTTGCTAGGGATTGGAGGGAGAAGACTAAGATGGTGCTGATTGATAATGAGCACAGAAGACGAAGGCAGGTGAAGGCTCAGATGCAAGAGGAGGGAAGAGAGCAAAAGAAGGCCGATGAGGAGCTGGAGGCTAGGAAGAGGAAGAGAGAACATGAACAAGACTGGGAGAGTACAAGGGATCAGCGGATTGGAAGTTGGCGCGATTTTCAAAAGGGTGGTGAGAAGAAGAAAAAGAAGAAGGCAAAGCCATTGGGCTAGATGGATCTTACTACGGAGTTCTTAGAGGTCAGTGGCGTTTGCGGCTTATTTTATATGGTTTACTGGAAGTGCTCAGTCTGCGTTGCTCCTCAAGCTACTTTACTTCACATAGGTCACTCTCACAATGATGACATTTGTATCCGAGACACACTTCCAAAAAAGAGTGTCATGTCAAAAATGTGCTAAGTCATATCGTGTACTCAGAATTACTTGATTGAGAAACTGACCAAAGACTTCAAACATCCAACAACAGAATATTATAGCGTATTCCGCATTCATTTCGCCGTCTTCGATTGCCCCGAAATCAAACACAACCAACCTCAAGAGCATGACATTCAAACCATCTCAGATCAAATCCCTCCCATAGCAGCATCGCCATCATCTGCCTTCTTCTTTGCCTCGTCACTCAGCCTCTGAATTTTTTGCTTTGCAGCCTCTATTCTCTCATCACTTGCGACAAGGTCATCGATCGTCTTCTGTCGCTCCTTCGTCGTTCCCGTCGGAATGAGAGCATCTAAATTGATAGCGACCTGGTATCTCTCGAGGAGTCTCTTCAAATCCAGAACTTTCTTCAACTCCTCTCGCCATTCAGTGGCAAGCTTGTCCGCGAGTTCCTGAGCTGCGGTTGCTCGCTCGGCGTCCATGATTTCCAGTTTCTCAATTCTTGCTGCAGCGGCCTCGTCATTCTTCTGCTTCTTCTCTTGCTGCTCCTGGTAGAATTGGGCTCTTTCTTCATCAAGCTTATTACGTATCTCGTCGATTTCTGTCCATTCTCTAGCATTGCTGTCAAGGACCTCCTTCAATCTAGCTCGCTCAGTGTCTAGTTCCTCCCTGTCCGCTTGCAGTTTCTCGGACGCTTCCAAAAGCTGAGCTGTGTGGACGTGCGGCTCGGTTATCAAGGCAGTCTCAAGAAATGCGTTTCTCTTCTTCAGCTGGTCATGAATCCCGTCCATAACCGTGACACGGTGCCTCGCTTGCTCGACTTCTGATTGAGACGCCCTGAACTGGTTTCGGAGCACCTTGAGCTCTTCCAACTCGGCTCTATGTTTCTTTTCCCACTCGCTAATTCGCTCCGGCCAGACGGGCTTCACGACCGCCACGACGGTAGGCTCGTTCTCCATTTTACGAGTGACTTTCGTGCCAGGGTGCTCGCTATGAGCGGGAATGACGAAGATGGTCTTAAGTGGATCACCTCGGAGTCGATAGTACCTGGTGGTTATATCAATGGCCGTGATGCCCCTCGACATCTCTTTCCCTCCTCGCTGCTCCCAGATTGCTTCGCCTGCAAGGCCGTGCTTCTTGTAATTGGCTGCAACACGCCCATCTATTTCCTCCCGGTACTCAAACTCACTGTTGAGGTACTCCCAGACGCTGTCCCCAGCGTTGACGAGCACGAAGCGATCTTGCGGATAAACTATCTCTCTTGGCTTTCTGCCATCTGGGCCAAGCGCACTGAGTGCTTGGTGAGGAACTACAGACTCTGTGGCAAGACAGTCCAAAGCGTTGGCGTACAGTCGTTCGAGATCGTGGATTCGCTGCACAAGTCGTGTCACATAAAGGATGAGCTGTCCGAGAAGCGTACTTTCGGCTTTGGCACGCTGCTCTTTCTGTTCGACCTTGGGTAAGATGCCCAACAAGCCACCGACAGCAGAGTACTCATGATCGATCATCTCTAGGACCTCGTTTGCGTGGGCGATCAATGCTTGATGAGTAGCGTACGGCTGTCCGTACGTCGTATTGTCCACAGAATCCTCGACATGATGTAGCGGGCATACATCTTGGATGATGACCGTATTCGCAGGTGGTGAAATATTACCATACTGATCTTTGTGCTCTGGCATCGGCTGCCATCCCGATGTAATGACATTCGCCAGACTGGTGAGCTGTTTCTGATGCGCTGCCATCAGAGCAGGATTCTTGGGTCCAGCATACGGCTCTCTGAGATTATTCAGAAAGTCGAAAGTTAATCCGTCAGAGAAAGGATGCGCGCCCATGATTCCCGAATTCTCGTTGTCGATCAAGCCGCCCTGTTCAGCCATGGTGATGCTCTTGATGAGTATAACCAGCGACTGCGCATGTTGCTTGAGCTCCAACAGCGTTGGGATCTTGCTCGTCGTGGAGAGATAGCTGCAGTTGACATAGGGGACGATATCTTTCACTTTTTCGCTCTCAGGCTTCTGGATGAAGATCGATTTGTATGCTTGAGCGAAGCGAGTGGGTGGGATGTAAGAGCGTTGCTTTTCTGGGTGCTTCTTCTTCTCTTCCGAGACTGGATTCATACGGACGAAATCATCATAGTCTTTCAAGTCGGAGTCGAAATCGTCAAAAGCTACATGTCTTGGATTCGGTGGTCCGTTATTGCCGGTTGGTAGGAAGTCCATAGTCTCAGACATTGTCTTGAGGTTTTGCGGGAGTATCGGTAGGGGGTCTCTCGCTTGATTCGAGGTGACGTGGGTATTCAGAGACAATGTCCTTCAGCAACCGTTGCAGGATTGTGATGAGCTTAATTTCGAGAGGTCAACAATGGGTTTGAGGTAGAACAAGTGGGTTCTCGCACAACTTGCTACAAAGAGATTCCGCATTGAGATATTTGACACGTGACAGCCACGTCTGGAATGTCAACACTCAGCGATGAATGCAGCAAATTGCCAAGACTGGCATGGAAACTCAATGATAGGCAACAAAGGAACGCAGAATAACATTCGAATTACGTCTAATCCTGCAAGCGCCAAACTCGAATCTGCTTGCCGGTACAGTGCGACATCTTCACTTCCGCTTCCGCTCCTTCAACTTCACCATCAGCGGTTTCTTGTCCCATAGCAGCCACATCTTCTGATCTAGCCACCGTTCCGACTCGGTACAGAGTTCGATATCGAAATTCCAGAGTACCCTTGTGGCGATGCTGCGGATTTCTGCGTATGCGAGATTCTGTTTGTTGATTTGGTCAGTATTGACTTCAATCTGGTGTTTCGCTTCTAGGGAAGCGAGCGAGTGTAATTTGAATCTTCTTACCATGCCGATACAGTTTCGTGGACCAACAGAGAAAGGTTGCAGTGCAGCCATATTATCATCAGCATACCGCTTGTCACCGAGGAAGCGCTCGGGGTGGAACTCTAGTGGGTCCTTGAAGTTGCGTGAAGAGTGGTACGTGGCCAGGTGAGAGGTTGCAACGGATTTCTGGGTTCTTCTCGTCAGTGGTCTCGAAGGAAGAAATCTTTTTAGGAGCTACCAACATTTCCTGGCACAAAAACACCGTCAATCGTTGCACCTTCAGGTGGCGTCACGCGATTGAGCTCCATTGGTACAGGTGGGTATACTCGGAACGTCTCTTCAACACAAGCGTGTAAGTATTGCAGCTGAGCTTCTTTCATGAACGTCATTTCCGATGTATCCTTGAAAGCGGCGTCGACCTCATCTCTGACTTTCTGCATCCAGTCTGGGTTTTTGAGAAGGAGGTGAATCAATCCTGAGAGCAGAGTGGCGCTCGTTTCGCTGCCGGCGAGGATGAAGAGACTTGCATTGCTGAGAAGATCGTTGTCTGTCATGATACCGTCCCTATGCTTGAGGAAATGGCTACAACTCTCATGTTACCCACAGTCCTATCATGAGCAACCACCTAACAAGAAGAGAAGAAAGAGAAAGCACACACCTAGTGAAATCCTTTCTATCCGTCTCCAATACCAACCGCCTTGACATCTTATCTTCTGAGTCCTTCGTTAACTTCCTCGTCGCTCTCGCAACACTTGGCATCCTAAGCGCTCCTTGCAACGCTAACTTGAGTAGCGGATACCCCATTGCAATACGCATGTACACCGCGGTCTTCAAATTCTGGAACACAGCAGTCATCCAGAGACTGTTCTGGGCTGTTTCAAGACAGTGGAAAGACTCGGCGAAGGCGAGGTCGCCGATTATGTCAAAGGTGGTGAAGTTTAGCCAACGGACTAGGTCGACTTTGCCTTTGATGGAAGGGTCTGCGATTTGGGCTTTCAGGCGAGAGATAAGTAGGTTGCAGTAGGAGTGCACGGTGGACTCCTGTTCGCGGACGGCGGAGTGGGAGAAAGCGTAGGTCATGACGCGGCGGTGTTTTTTGTGAGTTGGGTTGTCGAGGTCTATGGGATGCATTTTAGTATGACGGAGGGAGAAAAGAGAAATTGACGGGATATACGTACAAACGATACTTTTCATCTCTTGGTTGACAGCATCAGTGTATTGCTCCTGATCTTTGCTTAATGGATATCCATCTCTGCCTTTGGTGGAGTAGATGTCTATTTTCTATCCATTGGCTTCAGTCACTCTCAAAGTCTAATACCTGTAACTTACCAGTAAAGGATTGAGCCGTATTGAACGACAGTCTATTTGGAGCAACTCTCACAACCTTCCCATACCGACCATGCAATTCGGTGAATCTGGCGGCCGAGTCTCCGAGGTACATGTACCAGTATCTTGGAAAGTCGAAGGCGCTGTCAAATATGGGACCGGGGAACTTGGCGAGGGGGTGCAGTGTGAGGTTGTATAGAGCTAGGAGAAGAGAATAGGTGATGCACTGATCTGGTTAGCTTATGTTTGGTATGTGAGAATGGAGGACAGGACAGGTAACCTACTGCTAAGGGTAAGCTGAGGAGGATGAGAGGGATGTCTATGGTTCCCGCCATGATGATGGAATGTGGTGTTGACATTTTATTGTCACTGACTTGTTTGTGCAAGGTCGCATTTGACCGTGTAGTAAAAGCTTAGAGAAGCGGGATTGAGAAGGGACTGAGCTGAAGACTCAACTATTTATGGCTCCTGTAAGCAGCCGTCGCCACAAGTAATGAATCAGGCTACAGCAGGTCCGAGTCTTCAATCGCCAGTTCAAGCGGTATCAGATGCTTGTTCTCGAGCTGACTGTAACTGCGTATCCATCGACTTTCTGGGATGTTCACTCATAGAGTGTCGCATTCTCAGTCCTATTAGCATAGAGCTATTACTCGCTGTCAACACTTGGCAAGACCAAGACACGCTACCAAGCGAAGCTGAGCCTGACATGACATGACTTCAACTTGAATCTCACTTTGCCTTATATCCGGGGAGAGGCAGTATCCGGTATCTAGACAGATGTTGTCTGGCTTTCCTTCTTGTTTTCGTCAATCACTTAAAAAAAATCGGAAGAATCTAAATAACGTCTTCTTTAATTGTAGCTCATCAACAAGAACATCCAAAAACACAATAACGTGTGATGACTTTCTCATAGTGAAGGTAGGCAAATATAAGAGCGGCTCCTCAGGCCGTATTGGGCAATGACTGCGGTTCTATTCTCTTAGGGTGGTAAGATGCAGTGAGAGTGGAACGACCGACCCCATGCAACTTGGCTCGTGAGCACTAAGCCATCTTTGTTCCTCTAGGAGATGTAAACAGCAACTCAGGGGAAGAGTTGTTGCATTTATGAGAAAATGCAAGTCTTCTGAAAAATAATTGCGCTCTAACACAAATTCTCTAAGAGTGACAGAAATCAAGTCACAAGTACAGATGGTTAGGTCCTCGCCGTATGGAAGATGCAAACATTTACAATCTACCAAATCATTGTGCTTACCCAAGTCATCAAAACCCATCTTCTCTCCTCTTCAAAACCCCCAGGGTACAGATTTCAGACCGAAATCCCTTATCCCTTCCATCAACACTCAACTCTTCTCCTTCAAAATTCCCACAATCCCCTCGTCCCTCCGTCGACACAACTCCCCAAACTCCTCGCCCTTAACCGCCTCCCCGGTCTGCCTCACCCACTTCTCCCTCAACTCCTCGCCAAGCAACGGCGTCTCCTCCGCACACCAACCCATCATCGGCCTCAAAATATGCTTACTGAAATGCTCCGCTCCACCCCCATTCCCCTCCGCATCACCACTCCCACCGCCCAAATGAAAGAGCGTGCTCGGTCCCATCACACCCCATCTCAATCCCGGACCATACTCCATCGCCGTCTCGATATCACTCACCGTCGCCACATCGCTCTCCACTAAATGCAGGATCTCGCGGAACAGAGCAGCCTGCAGCCTGTTGGCGATGTGGCCTGGTATCTCGCGCTTGAGATGAATTGGTTTCTTGCCGAGGGAGCTGTAGAAGGCCATGGCTGTGGCGATAGTCTCAGGTGATGTTTGGGGAGAGCCGACAACTTCGACGAGGGGGATGAGATGTGGTGGGTTGAAGGGGTGGCCCACTGCTAGGCGGGAGGGGTGTTGGAGCGCGGGGAAGAGGGAGGAACATGTTAGGCCCGATGTGCTGGTTAGGATTGGGATGTTTGGGGGGAGGAGAGCGTCTATTTGGGTCAGGAGGGTAGATTTGATGGAGAGATTTTCGGGGCCGTTCTCTTGGACGAAGTCGGCGTTGAGGAGGGCGGTGGGTAAGGAGGTTGTGAATGTTATTGTTGAGGAGGAGCACGTGATGGTGGGTTTGTTGCTGGTGGTTTCAAGGGAGGCGAAGACTTTGGAGGCTTCGGCTTCGATGGAACGGAGTGTTTTCTCGGCTAGGGGGTTGGGGTCGTAGACTGTGGTTTGGAGGCCGTGGTAGGCGAACAGAGCTGCCCAAGATGCGCCTATTGATCCACAGCCTATGACGGCAACAATCTTGATTTTGGATCGGTCAGACATTACTGAGAGTTGTGATCGGTAGAAACGGAAAAGCGATCAGGGTAGAGCGTCTTGGTCTCTGTCTTGGTGTTCTAGCCGATCTCCAAGCTATCGATGCTCACTGTGTCTGAGTGATGTGACACAGGTGCTCGAGAGGCTCGTTAGTGGGGTAACGGCGGGGAAGCGTCTGCACAATGCCATCATCTTACTATGTGACAGCGGAGTGTTTTAAGCTCAGCAACCATACCTCATGATATCTCCAAGCAGCTCGCAAAGACTAAATTGAACGACAAGCGATTCAGACAGGTCAATAGGTACAGCTGGGCAGGCCAGTGTCACTACCTACCCCAGGTAAGTTACCTAGGTACCTAGGTAGGTGACAAAGGTCGGAGGTATCACGTGACGACCCATAAACTCCAATGGGTTGCATTATCTGTGAAAGAAATCATTCAGAACAGTGAGGGAGAAAATCGATATGAGGTCATTGCTTCTATCAATTATTGAAACAGTACCTTGAACACACGATCTGGCAGTTTGGCGGGACGTTGTACTGAGCCGAATTACGCGTACCTAGAAATCTCGCTCTTTCATAATACGGAAATCGATGGCAAACGACAAATTTCAGAAGACTTAGCTATCGTCAAGATTCTCACTCGAGAGCTCGATGCAGTCCCGACCGAGACATCAGTCCTTGTCTCGACCCAGGGCAACTTCTGGTATCGTGGTATTGCAAAGTCATAATATATTAAGGAGTGTCTTGACCGTCAAACTCTGCTCTTCCAAGCTTTCGTGAGGATGTCTCGCCGAATATGAGCCACAGAATTACGACAAAAGTTGCAAAGTTGCAAAAGAGAGATGCAAAATGCAATGAAATGAAATGCATTATGTAAAACGGAAGGAAAGGCCGATCAGTACGTGAAAAGCCGTTTTCTATCAAACGGTACCTGGCCCAGTAGCGCTTGCCCTAGGGGCGCGCCGTTGGTTAGGGGATTATTATTGCAACTGGAATGCAACGGCGTCTCCGTTTAAACCAACCTCACTTCACTTCACTTCACTTCACTTCACTTCACTTCACTTCACTTCATCTTTCTCCGAAAGCCAAATATATTGCGCCTCCACAAACAAGCGTTTTGAGCGTGTCGAACCTTTCTCCGTGTGTCGGTTTGCGCATGCTGTTGAAGGCGCAGATGGGGTCTTGAAGTCTAGACCCTCTCTGTTCCGCGTCTGAGCAGCTTAATTTCCCCCGTTGCAGCTCCGTCACATGAAACTCGGTGGTGTGGCTTGCATCTGCTGCATTCAGCTCAGCTCTCCATGGGGCTGCAGCGGATCCGCATGCACTGCTCTGGGGCCATGGCCATGGCCATGGCCATTCAGCACCCCCTGGAGGCTGGCTATGAGTACTCGTATGCGACGAGCCTCTCGCGTATCTGATCTTTTTGTGCCGAGACTACTACAGTACAGTACTGTCTTGATAGCCTGGGGTTTGCTTTGGTTTGTGCCAGGATGGATGGACACCTGGATTCTTTGTCTGGGTGCTGCAGCTGGCGGGGTGGGATGATGCCCATCCATCCATGTCCGGCTGTCCTAACCATGAGTCGCAGCATGAAAAGACAGAGGAGATCTGTGATTTAAGTTACAGACCTCGACGATAGCGTCGTCGCTTGCTCAGCTGGTACGGTCTTTGCTTCATCAAAACAGTATGTTTATTGAGTCTAGATGTGTCGGTTCCTGCCGAGGACCGTGCTGCGCTCGATAGAATCGGGCGGCAGAGGTCAGACAAGATAATTTGCTGTTACTCTATTGTACTGTATTGTACTGTATTGTACTGTACTCGTCCCACTGCATGTACATGTACTGCTGGACTGAGTGGACTGACCATGCACGATACAGCGCAGTGCAGACGGGACTGAACAGTGCACCAAAAGCTCGCTCCAATCGTTCTTATTGCTTGATGGGTGGGTGGGTGTGTGCTTCTGAAGTCCATCTATCTGAGTTTTTAAAAGGGACGGGCATCCTCGCCTGTCAAACTTCACTTCACTTCCGCTTTTCATCTCTTTCCTCCCCCGTCGGCAGTACCTCCGTAGTGTCATTCTATTGACGAGGATCCCTCCTCCTTGAGCCGACATAACATAACTCGTCACTGCACGTCTCCCACCGCCAGACAATAGAAGATCATACCAGACAGACCACAACTTCGCATTAACCATCCCTCTCAAGCGCCTCGACTTGTCCCAGTTCCTGTCTCCAAGTCGGCTGTTGCTTGCGACTCGGCACTCAAAGTCTTGATCTGACCAGCCATCGCCCTTTACCCTTCGACCAGGGGACGTGCAGGTGGTTTGGTTAGTGACGTCGAAGCCAGGGTTTAGCGATCAATTTCCTGCTTGCGCGCCCCCCAGCGTCGCATCGCATTATTATTTACAGCCAGACAGGGACAGGTTAGCAGGCACGGACCAAGACCCTTTTTTGCTTTTACTCGAGAGATAGATAGACCAGCCCAGCCTGCCTCCACGAGCCGTTCACTTTCGACGACGTCTCTCTCTCTCTCTCTCTCCTCACTCTTTTCGAAGTTGTTGACCGACAACATTCTTCTCCTTTCCTCCCGCTCACCTCTTGCGAAGGCATCGCTCATCCATCATGTCTGACCCTGTCGACGAGAATAAGCCCAATGTCTCCTTATCAGGCTTGATTGCGACCCTAGCTCCGACAGCTTTGATCGCTGCAGTCTATTTCCTGGTCTTTCTCATATTGCGAAAATCCCAGCGCAGATTCTATGCTCCAAGAACTTACCTCGGCACATTGCGTGAACAGTACGTTGATTGTCGCGTGTCATCTCTGTTTACTCGTACTGACTGCACCCAACAGGGAACGCTCAGCACCTCTCCCATCAGGGTGGTTCAATTGGATTGGTCCTTTCTGGAAGATCCCCGATACCTACGCTCTTCAGCACCAATCCCTCGATGCCTACCTCTTCCTTAGATTTCTGCGCATGACTGTGGTCATTATGTTCGTCGGTTCTTGTATCACAATGCCAGTGTATGTACCCTCTTGGTCACAACGTGACTCGACGAAAGCAGCAGAATCGAGTATTGACGTGACACTAGCTTGTTCCCAATCAACATCACTGGAGGAAATGGTGGCGGTCAATTGGACATGCTTTCGATGAGCAATGTCAACAAGAATGCTAAGAACGGCAAATACAAGTTCTTCGCCCATTGCTTCTGTGGATGGCTCTTCTTCGGATTCGTACTCTTCTTGGTCATCCGCGAAAGCATCTTCTACATCAATCTTCGCCAGGCCTTCCTTCTTTCGCCAGTCTACGGCAATCGAATTTCTTCCCGGACCGTTCTCTTCACGTCCGTCCCCAAGCCATACCTCGACGTAGCGAAGCTTCGCAAGGTCTTTGGCGATTCGGTCAAGAATATTTGGATTACTGGAGACACCACTTTAGTCGATGAGTTGGTTGAAGAGCGTGATAAGGTCGCATACAAGTTGGAGGCTGCTGAGGTCAAGCTGATCAAGTTGGCAAATGCTGAGCGATTGAAGGCTGCCAAGAAAGGAGCAAATGTTGAGCAACCACCTATTGGAGACGGAGATGCTGAATCTGGTTCCCTGGCTGCTCGATGGATCCCCACCAAGAAGAGACCAACACACAAGTTGGGCAAGTTTGGTCTATTTGGACAAAAGGTTGACAGTATCAACTGGTGCCGCTCTCGATTGGAAGCTCTCATCCCTGAGGTCGAAGCAGCACAAGCTGCATACCGTGCTGGAGAAACCGAGAAGGTTGGAGGTGTATTCATTGAGTTTGTTCATCAGTCTGATGCTCAAGCTGCTTTCCAAACCCTGTCTCACCACCAGGCTCTTCACAGTATGCTTTTCCTTCCATAATAATTCTCATCCTACTGACTCATCTTAGTGTCCCCAAGATACATCGGCGTCAATCCCAATGAAGTTTTCTGGAAGTCTTTGAAGATTTCTTGGTCGGCACGTCTTCTCCGCAGAATCGCCGTTATGGGTTTCATTACAGCTTTGATTGTCTTCTGGGCCATCCCGGTTGCTTTTGTCGGTTTGGTTTCCAACATTCAGTACCTTACCAACTACTCTTGGCTTAAGTGGCTGAACAAGATTCCGGATACTATCATGGGTGTTGTCAGTGGTCTTCTGCCATCAGTTGCCCTTGCAATTCTGATGTCTTTGGTGCCAATCATCATGAGACGTAAGTGCCACCAGTCCATGACAAAATCTGTTATTAACATATCCTAGTCTGTGCCAAGCAAGCTGGTGAACCGACAGCAGCGCGCGTAGAACTGTTCACGCAAAACGCTTACTTCGTATTCCAAGTTGTCCAAGTCTTCTTGGTTATGACTGTTTCTTCGGCAGCTTCTACAGTGCTCAAGACTCTCATCGAGAACCCTACCGGCATCACTAGTTTGCTCGCCAACAATCTTCCAAAGGCCTCCAACTTCTACATGTCTTATTTCATCCTTCAAGGTCTGACTGTCGCTGCTGGAGTGTTGTCGCAGGTCGTTGGATTTGTCATCTTCACTCTAATGTACAAGTTCCTCGCTAGTACACCAAGAAAGATGTACAACAAGTGGGCCGGACTCAGCGCAATTTCGTGGGGAAGCACTCTTCCAGTCTTCACCAACATTGCTGTTATTGGTGAGTAATCCTTTTCGCTCTTCTCTGTCCAGACTAACGTAGTTTCAGGTATTACATACTCATGCATTGCGCCACTTGTCCTTGGTTTCGCTACCATCGGAATGTCGCTCTTTTATCTCGCCTTCAGATACAACGTCCTCTTCGTGACTGATTCCCAAATCGACACGAAAGGTCTTATATATCCTCGAGCCCTTCAACAGCTTCTTACCGGAGTTTACCTTTCGGAGATTTGTCTCATTGGTCTGTTTGCCATCAACACCACAGTTGGTCCATTGATCCTAATGATCGTCTTCCTCGTCTTCACTGTTCTCGTCCACTTCTCCATGAATGCTGCTCTCGGTCCCCTTCTTTACAACTTACCCAAGTCTTTGGAGGCTGAGGAAGAGTCCTTCCGAGGATCACTCGAGGCAGCATCCCACGAGTCTGTCATCAAGGAGAAGAATGGTAGTGGTGAAACTACCTCCACTGCCGCACCACACAAGAAGCCAAACTTCGTCACCAAGTTTCTCAAGCCCCACATTTACTCCGACTACGCCACTCTCCGCCGTCTCGTACCTCACGGTCTACTTGATGCCGATAACTTGTACGAGGAACATACTGCTCAGAACGCATACTTCCCGCCATCAGTAAACTCTCCTACTCCACTCCTCTGGATCCCAAGAGACGATGTCGGAATCTCCAGACAGGAAGTTTCGCACACCTCGAGGGTCATCCCTATTACCGATGAGGGATGTACTTTGAACGAGAAGAACAAATTGGTTTGGGATACTGAAGGCGCTCGACCACCTCTCTGGACACCAAAGGTCTACTACTGATCGACTCAGTTCGACTTTTCTAATCACACGTACCTACTGCAACAATCAACGGATGGAATATACCCAAAAGGAATGGAATGCGGAATGAATGAGTTTTAGTTCACGGCCGAAATAGAACGGGGAACGCATACTTTTTGCCTTTCTTGATTTCTCGACTTCTTTGAATGTTATTTGGTTTTAATTGGAGGATGGAATAATGGAATTGCAGCTTTCTGATTCGTTGCGATATGTAAGATGGAATCTTGGCGTATGGCTGGGATCAATGGGTCCAAGGTTGAGAGAGGGAGGGAGGGAAGTAAGGAATGAGGTACGGTTGCTTGTTGCGAGCGTGCGAAGATAGATACCCGAATCGTCAGTGTAGATCCCGAGAAATGAAAACGACATCAAAATGACCTCTTTCACATCATGAGCTTCTGAAATAAGTTGTCGAATAATAAGCTACAAGCGTATAAACACATGAGCAGGTTATGTATTTCATCTGTTATCTTACTTCGTTTCGTACATATCAGGAGCGCAGCGCTATCTCTAATCTGCAACAGTAACCTCGTGCACTTTGCCTCCTGATTATAGACCTGACTAGCACTCACTCGCTTCTCTGACCAGATAATGCCGTCAGAATGGCTTAATCGCGTCATGGTAGTATACTGGCTCATGGTTTCCGACAAGCTTTTGAGCCGTACTATTGTTCCTTCTGAGAACTAGACACGTTGCTGCCGATGCCCTCGTTGCCAGCTGTCATTTCAATTGTATCTTTCTTTCTACCACTGGTCCTTCTGTGGAACTTTCCATTGAGATCGAAAAAGGTGTCTGGTATTATGAATGGTATGTTTTGAAAGTAAGATTTCTTACACGAAACAAAAGGCTAATGTCTGGGAAAGAAGTCATGCTGAGGAGCATACTTCTGTGCTATGTAGGTATATTTGATTTACAGACGTGGCAGTTTGTGTTGGTGCGTAACTTTCATACCTGGTGGCTGACTCGTTGTAGTCAAAGCATGACGTTTGTGCTATGAAATGTTAATTGGTATTGTCAAGTGAATGGAGAAGAAAGGCCGAGGTGGTGGCGGCAAAGCGCGAGTCGTAGGTGATTAAGAAGTTCCTACATATATGTACTCCATTTGTGCGCCTGGGATACGCACCGTGGACACATTATACGAGCCGAACAGGTATCGGTCTGCCATGACGACGTGTGTCTGCTGGGAAGTGGGGGTATGATACTTTTTTGTTTCCGCTCCCGCATTCATGCTTCAAGAGAGATCGATGCTAATAGCCGCTACACTCTACTGCCACTGGTGTGCTGAACAGCGAATCTGGTGTCTACTGGTAGCAGCTGACAATTAAGATGGAGAGTGGCTGATTGTTGTCTTCTTTGGCTTTGTCATCAATACTAATGGTCCGATCCACTAATACCAGTACAAACATTTCAGAATACACAGTCTTATCGTAACCAGATCGTTCGCCTGAGGTACTCCAAGGCTTGTAACTCCAAGGGTGTGTTGTCAAACGTAATAATTTTGGTTTCAAGCCGACGCTTTGGAACCAGATATTAAGGAGCCTGTATGCGATTCGTTGTATTAATATTCATTGGTACTTGCCATGGACTGTCTATTGACGATGACTTCATGTATTTAAGATACAAAGAGTGATTGTCAGATCTGAGCCATGTCCGTTCGTGTTCCTTGTCTTCGGTATTGGCCACGGGGACTTTTCCTGGACAAAATTCTGACTAGAAAAAGGCTCTGGACTCGTGTTCAGGCTTTTAATATAATGGCGCCTGAAAATAGAACAATCCTGGAAGTCAGATTATGAAGGATATGTCTGGAACAAGTCCCATGGAGCGATGGATAGGTCTCTAAGTATTAGTGCACGATGCAAGTGGATCGTTCTGGCTTCCCAAGACCCGCTCTGCTTTCTAAAGAACAATTGACACGATGGAAAGAACTTTGAACCGCTCGCTCCTAAATCCTTCAATTTCTCACTGCCATCTTATTGCCAGCCGCTGCTTCACTTTAGCTACTCTGTAGTGCCCGCAATCTAAAACAGGCCGATGTGCATCTACTGTCCAAGTGGTGAGCTCATACATCATGGAATTGACATATGGGCTACACACTAGTACATACAGTTGGTTCAGTAATTGCTATACAAAGTTTGATAAGGGGCTGTAATCGTGGAAGACACCACAGTGGGAACGAGTGATATTAAGCGAGAGTAAACAACTCCACTTTCTGGATATTCACACTGGCCTGGTTTCCCGAAGATGCTGCTTAGAATGGTCTCGTTCGCTGAAATACTTGTAGATGAATACATACAGAGACCAATTACAATGCCTTTGACAAACTGTGACAGAAGCCTCTGGGCTCATTCAAATCTCCTATCGCGATGGAGAACATTCACTGCCGTCAACATATAAAGCATCGCTGGTCTACCTTTTGGTACAAGACAAGTGGGATAGCTAATTCACGCACCAAGTCAGAGGGTCGCTGTAGTATGTTCTATAGTTTGCCTTTGTCGATAACAAGCTCACTGTCAAAATTTGCAGCCTAAATGTATCCACAGAGATCAGATATTCGCGGAGCCGGTGAGAGTGCGGGAGGACGAATGATTATGCTGCGAGCGAAGACGCATGGTAATGACCGTAATCATCTATGATAATGGTCAAACACATATACTTACTTCAATTGAGGGCATTGAAATAAAATAAATCATTATATTTGTGTGCTATTGGACAATGATTCAGCACTCACAGCGCTGCCAGCGATAGTGAGAGCGCATGGAGCGCCTGAAGTACTGTCGGTGCTGCCGCGTCATGGACCACATTACTTTGCCAGTCGAGCTTCAATGATGAACTTTCCGTCTTCATCTCATCCCCCAGGTCTTGCTGACATGGCTTCGATGGTTCGCATTCTCAGAATGGAGCTTTCGAGGTACGACTGAGCACTGAGAATCGATCTGAATTTCGAAGTTCAAGAGACCTAATTTGTAAACAAGATACAGTCAGATGGCCCTCCTGGTATGCAAGTAGGGAGGCTACAAGACAAAGTGATTGAAGGCTCTGAAGTTTGATCTCACTAACAAAAATGGCTACGACTTACTCAGAAAGCAGACTGGGTGTTTGTCGAAACCTAATAAAAGTTTTCTGATACTTCCATTGTGGAGTATAATACAGAATATACACATATACTCCTACCCATCTCACCCCATTCATTCGTCACGGTGGTTTAGAGCCCTTCCCATCACTACTCGAGCCCCCAAATCCAAGAATCCCTCCCACCAATCCGCCAGGTTTCGGCACTGGACACTCCCTCTTCTGCTTCCTCAAGCCCACATCCTCAATATCGTCACTGCTCTCGTCCGCCGCAGAAACTCCCTTCACAGCACTGGTTCCCTCATTCTCATCGACTGGGCACTTCCGCCTCCTCCGTTTCTTGCCTGTCTGTGGTGTTCCATCATCTGCGTACGCGACTCTCGGTGCCGGACATGGAAGCGCATGCGGCAGAACAACGACAAAGAAGCTCGCAAAGAGGGTGGTTGCGAATAGGGATGATGTGAAGCGGCTTCGAGGATGCATGTGTGGTGGCATCGTGGGATGCTGCGAGCCTTCCGGGCTCAATTGAATGAGGGAAATGGTGCTGGAAGCTGCATCAGTATACATGGCAAAGACCAATTGATCGTAAAATATGTCAACATACCTATTGCTGCACTGGTGGAGGGTAGGAAGACATGGAATAGTGGTGGTTTGGAGTCGAGTTGTTGCATGATAATTTAGATGGAGCTTGAATTCTAATTAGGTTTAGCTCGGGTGAACGCGATCCCGCGGTTGGACTCCATCAAAAGTTCAAGGCTGGGGATCCACGAAATACAGCTCCTCAAGCAAGCACACGACCATCTCACCACAACCTGACATTGTACCTTCAGTTGTGGTGCACACTTTCTGGCGAGTTCGTACAATAAAAACGCTTCTTACGATACCACCCAAATACTACCATCGCCTTCTGCCCCAATTTGACGCCACACCTCCATGCGCCGGCTGCTTTCTAAGCTCTAAATCAAGATATACAACCCTGGGAAGCTGCTAGGAGCATTTGGAAACTAGAAGAGAAGGCTGCAACTGTGCAGGCTTCTGTCTAGAGGAATAGCAAGATGAGTGACCTAGACAAGTATTTCAATCTGCCTGCCTCAAGAACATCGCCTAATATATTTCAGAGCAATTGCGCAGCTGCGAGCTTGTCGACCGATTCCGGAAGCCCAAGTCCGAGAGCTATGCCACAAAGCTAGGGAGTTGTTAATTGAGGAGGGAAATGTGGTGACCGTGACTGCGCCAGTAACGGTATGCGATCTCAGGATAGGAGACAGGAACAAGACTGATGGACATTCCAGATATGCGGCGATATCCATGGGCAGTTTCACGACTTGATGGAGCTATTCCGGGTTGGCGGTGATGTACCAGATACAAACTACCTGTTCATGGGTATGTGTTATATGAAATGAGGGTCGTGTACAGCTACTGATTTACCTAGGTGATTTCGTCGACCGAGGCTTCTATTCCCTCGAATCCTTTCTCCTCCTCCTATGTCTCAAAGTACGATACCCAGACCGAATGACCTTAATCCGAGGCAATCACGAGTCCAGACAAATCACAACAGTATACGGCTTCTACGATGAATGTCTGCGGAAATATGGAAGTGCGAATGTATGGCGATATTGCTGCGAAGTCTTCGACTATCTTGCGCTTGGAGCCATTGTTCTCGGAGCTGCCAGTTCTCTTGAACCTTCTAAGCACAAGGTATCTGGCCCTAAATCGAACAGTCTCACCTCGACCCAGGAATACATCGACCCGGATACCGAAATCGAAGTATTAAACTCAGAGGGAGGAATCATAAGCAGCATACCACGGCAGAAAGGAGGAAAGTCGCCAGCAAAGACTGGTCCACCTGGTTCGGGTGCCTCAGGCTTCAGCAGAGGATCTCCAGGAAATCCGAGCGGAGCAGTATTGTGCGTTCATGGAGGATTGTCGCCACTAATCGATTCAATCGACAAGATCCGATTATTGGACAGGAAGCAAGAAGTGCCACACGAAGGAGCTATGTGCGATCTTCTTTGGTCAGATCCGGACGAGATAGACGGATGGGGATTATCCCCACGGGGAGCAGGCTTTCTGTTTGGAGCCGACATCGTGAAAGTCTTCAACCATGCCAATGATTTGTCTTTGATTGCAAGAGCACATCAACTTGTCATGGAGGGCTTCAAGGAGATGTTCGATAATACCATCGTTACCGTTTGGTCTGCGCCAAATTACTGCTACAGATGTGGTAATGTAGCCGCCATCCTCGAATTGGGCGAAGATGGAAGTGGTGATGGCATGATCGCAAGAAGCAATGGAGAAGTCAATCGGAGTGATGGTGGCGTTATGAAGGAAAAGGAGAGAGTACTCTTGAGCGGCCCCGCGAGGAGATATAGGGTATTCCAAGCAGCTCCTCAAGACTCTCGAGGTATGCCAGCAAAGAAGCCTGTCGCAGACTATTTCCTTTAGCAAATGTTCACGGTATTGGGGTTCTCAGGAAATGGATAGCTCATGGCTGCACGCAAAAGACGAGGGACGCAAGGCGTTTGGGAGTTGGTAGAACTTGCATGTATTATCTGATGAGAAATGAAATGAAAGGCTCGTCCAGTCTTGGCCGGGAAGTAAGAATGCATTGAGGCACCTGTAACATTTTCTGGGCTGCATTTGTTTTGTCAGCTGAAAGACCAAAATTCTACACGTCTCGCTTAGCATGTCAACACAGTCACTATTAGGTTTCAGCAAAAATCTGTTTAGCTGCCGTTGATGGATCATCGTTAATTGTCTAGATTGAACATCCCGACGCTATTTTTCCATGCGACCGCCGTAATCTTATCCAACGGCACCTCCTTAACTCCCGCTACTACTCTGGCAACTCTTTCTATTGTACATGGTTCATTCCTCCCTTTGACCATCTGTCCTTCGACGAATTTCCCATGCCTCTTGGACGGTGGCAGTGGACTTGCATCTACAAGATACCTCATCGCTGGACTCTTAGGGCTAATCTCACACCATGGCGCATCTGTCTCTAATTGTAGATGCGTCAACGGAATATACTTCACCATATCTAGTAATTCTTCAGACTGGAAGCTGACACCATTGACACTGATATGGAACCCTAATCCGACGAGCCTTAGCATCTCGTGTTTAGTTCCCGCGAACGAGTGGACAAGACCTGGCGTCCTCAATCTGGGCAAGTATGGCGAGATGATAGATATGAAATCATCGCATGCAGCACGCACATGGAGAAATAGCGGCAATTGAAACTCGACAGCAAGCTCTAGCTGATCTCGAAAGGCGCGCTGCTGAGACTCCTTATCCGCTCGGTGTAGGTTATCGTAATCCAATCCGATCTCTCCGAATGCGACGAATGCCCGTTCGTTCGTCGCGATGAACTCCCTGCCAAGTTGCTTGAGCTTGGTCACCTGGTCTCCTCCTTGGTAAAGCTCAGAAGCGTGGTATGGATGTACGCCCAGTGTCATGTAGCACGTCTCAGGGTATTTCTTACAGACCTCGAGGTTCTCGTGAGCGCCTTTGATTGTCATGGTCGTCAAGAGGATCTTTGAACAACCAATATCTTGAGCACGGTTGAGGACTGCGCTAAAGTCTGGCTCGTGGTATTTTCTGCCCCTGTAGATTCCTTGGAACTCATCGGCTGTGTAAGTCACAGCAACCTAGACCTAGGTCAATAACTTCTTTGTATCGTAAATCCCTGTCTATTGATGGAGGGGTGGCTCACATCTGCGTACTGAATTTCCTTCTTACCACTTTCGGTCACTATCGCCGGAGCCATGATATCTTTTGGACAAGCCGGATTTGATTAGGTGAATGCTGATAAGAACCAACGAGCTGTATATATCGTTGAATGCGAATAAAAAGAACGCAGATCTAGTTTCTGCCACTTCTACTAGGATTTCGAATAGATCAGAAAGGGAAGCCAACCTCGGATTTGGTAAGAATTGAGATTGTGATTGGCCAAGTCGCTAGCTCGCTTAACTTTCGCTAAGGTCAAAAGAAAAAGGGGCAACAACACTGGACCGTAAATCCTGATCTACTGGTCTGGGGTGGCGCAGGGTAGTTTTACTATGGAAATCAGTGCAGTTCTGGTGTCTGCAACGATCAATAACTCCATTGATATTAGACATCATTACCTCTTCCTTACCTGAAAAGGACATCTATTTGAATAATCAACAGCTGGTTGCTTATGATTTGCTTTTACGATTATTTTTCTTCCACATTTGTACCAGAGGATGTGCTCCACAAGGCTCGATGACTTGGGAACTACGCCGACTTGATTTTGGTTTTGTTTCGCTTAATTACGCAGAAAAAACATAGGCTTCTTGACGCGCTTTGACCAACTTGGAAAAAGTAGTCTAAATATTGAATGTGTATCAACTACTAATCACGCTCGACAGCATGCTTTGACTTGCTCTACGACGACGTCTCGGCCGATGATACTTCACCAAGTACATATGCTGTGTACTACTTGGGTGAGCTTAAAAGCTCAAGAAACTTGCTTTAAGTCCAAGAATTCTCTACTCGCCTTCAATTTTCGCATATGCGTTATAAAGCTTGGGTGACCGTGTCAACGATGGCAAGTCACATGAAAATACGATTTGGGTTATGGTACAAGAACAACTTCAACGCCTTCATGTATGGTCCAGCGCAAAAGAACGGGCGACTGGAAACGATTTACCGTACACTAGCTGAGTTATACAAATTAGCATTTCTCCGGCTTTTCCAGACACCTACTCGTCAATAACAGTGTTCATGAAGGCAGGTGACCAGAAAGAGTGAAATAATTGCAATGTCACATAGTGTGCTGACTACTCCTTGTTTGGCTAATGAGGAGTCTCTACGACCACGAAGAACGCGCACACTGTAATTGGCCAGGTTTTGATCTTCATCTTGCTAGCATCCCCTATACTGACTATCGATGAGTATATGTGACCATTAAGGGTATGAGAGTTTAGGTAACTCGGACCTTTCATGTTCAATATAAAGTGAAACATAGACCTTCTACCTACTTTCGGAACACTCGGAGAAGGGAAAGGGGAGAGGGAGACCTACCTTGGAGGGAGACCTACCTTGGAGGGAGACCTACCTTGGAGAGAGACGGAGGAGGGAGATAAAGGAGGGAGATAGAAGAGGGAGACAGAAGAGGGAGACGGAGGGAAGGAAATAAGAGGGAAAATTAACTTTATTAGTCAGAAAATTTATTAAAATACAGACAGTAACTTTATTTTCCCTCAAATTACAGGTAATGTCTGCATTTTCACTCTGTATCCTCAAAAATCGATCAGAATCAGAGAATCCAGCTGAGAAAAATGCAGACAATTGACTAAAATGCAGACAGAAAATCCGTCCAAAATGCCTGTTTACAGACAGTGTCTGTAGGAAGTGCAGATAGTGTCTGTATTAAAACCCCCGTAGGGCTAATTAATAACATCAAAAAGGACGAGCCTAAGCGGCGCAAATAACAGGAGGCTTGCTCATATCGATTCTCGGGAGAAATATGAAAGAGTCACCTAGAAAAATATTGACAGTCCCCAGACGGTGACTTAACTGTCGACTGCGCAACAACTGTAGGTATAATAGTGTACTCAGTCCCGCGCTCCCCTCTATGGTATGTCACAGCAAGCGCGAGTCACATGATCTTGCAAGGATCGCCAAAAATCGCCGACTTCGAAGCTCCTGTCCAGACAGCGACGATGACAACCAGCAACACAATGACTGTCACAATGCTCCGCAGATTCCTGATGCCATCGGTACGGATGCCATTATCTGCATCGACACCGAAATCAAACCCATCACCCTCCCTCGTTCGCCACTTCTCCGCTACTCCTTCCCCATTCGCAACTTACAACCAAGTCGTAAAGGTACAGTCCAATTGAATAGAACCTTGAAATTTCGACCATTGCAATGAGCTGATCAAGAACCAGGGCTGCCGCGTCGCCCAGCGAGCACGAAAAGCTGTCTCTCCAGCTCTCCGCGACGTCAAGGCTCCCGAACTCAAAGGTGTCTGCATCAAAGTCGGCATCACCAAGCCCAAGAAACCCAATTCCGCAGAACGAAAGACGGCAAGAGTAAGGCTTAGCACAGGCAGGGTTGTGACGTGTTATATTCCTGGGGAGGGTCATAATGTGCAGCAGCATTCGGTGGTATTGGTTAGAGGGGGCAGAAGTCAGGATTGTCCTGGTGTGAGGTATCATTTGGTTAGAGGGGCTATGGATTTGGTACGTTATTTTCTCGAATGGTGTCTAAATGGGACAATATTAGTACCTGGAAGCTAAATAGGGCTAATAATTGTGCTTAGGGTGGTGTTGGGAATAGAGTGACAAGTCGATCAAAGTATGGGACGAAGAAGCCGAAAACGACAACATAGAACTGCATAAAAATTGATTCTGGGAGGGGTATATGGCACGTTCTTAGATTCGGAGATGCATTGATGGCGTTGGGAATTGGTCGACTAGCTCTGTATATCTATGCACTGTACAAAAGGAAGAAATGACTAGAACGAAGAGCAGAAGCCATCGTTCGGGTGTCTAATGATGACAGCTGGACTCTTCTATCCTTGTACCATGCCTGTTCGCCTCATCTTCTCTGCTCTGTAACTTCTCATGATCTCACGAACACGTCCAGCCAAAGTGAACATCTATACCTGGAGCTCGGTTGCAGAAATTCCGGCCCTCAGATCAGAAGAAATATTAAAATGACAGTGAAAAGTGAGTAAATAGAAACTTCACAATCTGACAGTTAATCAAAGTGTCTATTCGTGCCGTTCCCAATCCAGCGTTTCCCAGTCCCTGAGCTGTCCAAACCGAGAACTATGTACACGCGATCTTAGGGACTTAATTCGTACACAGTACACAGTAACGCCGCCTTTCCTAACCATGCCTGGTAGATCAAATTTTTTTTGTCATCACTGGATATCATACATTGATGCTGCACTAATCTTGTTGGTTCTCATATCCTTCCGGCTTCTCCATACCATTGATGTCGAAAAATCGAGAAGTACCTGCGAGCATTCGTTAGTTGAATCCACGTGCGAGGGCTAGAAAACTTACAAGAATATCCTTTCCAGTCAAAGTTGTCCTTGGGATTGCAGTGACACTTTAAGTCAAGTCTCACCTTCTCCCCAGTAGGACAGTGAGTAAATGGAACATGGTAGTACGCAATGTCGTTGAAGAAGTGGATCTCATCCTTGTTCAATAGAAGACCAGCAGCAATCGAATGAACTGGCGCATCACCCCAGCGTTCGTAAAAGAATCCACCATCTTGGTCAAGAGTCTCGAAGTAATCTATGTAAGCCTGGGAGCGGAGCCAGTTGAGGTTCCCAACTTCAAAATTGGACCACTAATCTCGAGTTAGTCCCAAACGATGAAACATAATCAGATTGCACCTACCATGTGACAGTGGTTGTATGAGTCTCCGCCATCGTCACTCAAGAATCCCATAGAGTTATCCTGGGAGATGTGCTCAGGATGAGCCTTCATGAACTTCTTGGTACTATCCCATAAGGTAGGGATAGTCTCGACGTATTCGTACAAACTCAGAACGAAGCTGTACTTCTTCTTGTTGGTCTCCATGAACTTGAAAACATCATAGTTAATGTCACAGTATAGCTCAATGCTTGGCTCAACTCTCCAGTAGTATTCGTAGTTAAGCATCAGTGGTTGACGGAAGAAGAAGCCAGACTCGAATCTGCACATATGACGATAACTGATGGAATCTCCATAAATTATCTTCTTTGCAGCCATGTCTTCTCGAACCTTTCGAGCTTTTTCCTGATCGATATGCTCTGGGAATGACCAATGTTCCCTTGGAATCTCCCCGTAATGGGTTTTGCCTGAAACAAGGGAGGAGGTAACTTTCTTGAAAGTAGCGTCAAACGGTTTATCGTTGAGGAAGACCCAGTCGTAGTGGTACTTGCGGTTGAACCTGTCTTCAACTTGGCGGATAGATCGTGCAATTTCCCATATGTCAGAGTTTCGTGCCAATGTGACGAATGTCGCATTTGCCCTTGGTCCATTTGCGGTAGCTTCTGGAAGACCTTCCGGAACATTGGGCGTTATTCCAGTTGCAGCGGGGGCTGCAGCAGCAGCACTTCCCGAGACTCCGGCTTTCGTTGGAACGTTGTTCCATCCTTTCCCGGCACCATTAAGAATCTCGTTCGTAGACGGTAATCGTTGAGTCGAAGAAGAAGATATGAAGTAGATGACAGCAAGCCCCTAGGAGTAGGTTAGCATTTCATTTCAAACATAGGGACGATGACAAAAGTAGTGGCAGAAAGCATACAAAGAAGGCGAAGAGAATATATCTCAAGTATCTGGCGGACCCTGTGGCCATAGTGGTAGAAGATCAAAGTCCGGATGAAGAGGAAACCGTAATCCTCGTTTCGTAACCAAGAAAGAGCCAGAAGTTTGACCCCAATTCTGGCTGTGAACAATTAAATATCCCAAAGCGGAGTAGAGAAGGAACGACAATGGGCCCCCAGATGTGCAGAAGGAAGAAGAGGGTCAGATGCGCGAAAAAGGATCGAGGACGCGCAAGCAAAAAGGAGGTAGAAATTCACCCTTGATAGATTCGAGGTGAGGCCAGCAAGCACAAGCAGAGCAGAGCAGGGCTGGCCTCGTATTCAGCCTAGTTGCAATTACTGCAGGGGGGCGATGGTCGTCCAGCGTCTAACCTGATCGAGTAGAGCCTCAAATCTGCTTGACCTTGACCTTGACCCTCGCTTCCCCACCAAGACAGTGCAGAGTGCATCACCACCTCAGTTGAACCTCCACAACATCTCTTCAATCAATTTTTTGACACCAATAAGCTCCAACATCTCTCCCCTTTCGGGACAGCTCACTCGAGCTAAGCCTCTCTGCCCAGCGTGGCAGCTGCTCTTGGGTTATACCAAACTATATTTTCAAGTCAACACCAGTTCACTTCCAGACAGAAACGAACACCCGACTACTGCCTACCTGCCAATCCTCCCCCCTTCAAGTTTGTTTCACCAAACACTTCCAAACTAATTTTCACCAAGCTGACTTCTGGTATGACATGCAGGCCTTCCACTTCTTTATGCGCTGACTTTGCTTCCTTGATGGGCGCCATTCAAATCTAATCCAACTTCCACAAAAAAAAGACAAAAGCAGTCATGTCGTTCTTCGGATTCGACACTGCACTCCCCCGCGATCGCGGTCACAATCCTTCTGCGCCTGGCTTCTCTCAAGCTGCAGATCCCTTCGCTGGCTTGTCGCGAAAAGAAGACGATGATGACGCGTGAGTTGGAAAACAGCCCTCCCCCCGCCACCTTTAGCATACTCATCACACGCATCTGCAGACTCGACTTCGAGGATACCTACGATGGTCTAGGCGATCAATTGGATGAGACGGACGATGCATTCAACGACGATACCTTTGGTGGTGGATCAGCGGCAGCTACCAAGAAGCCGGTGGGCAAGGACTTCGACTTCTTCGGCCAGACTGCAAAGGTCTCAGATGCTATCAGTGAGGAACAAGCCCGATTCAGTAGGCAACAGCCAATATCGAAGGTTACTCAAAGCACTTCAACCTATGCACAAGCTCAAGCTAGACCTGCCAGAACTGGCTACGAGCGCTACAATGAGCCTGACTATATTCCAGACATGCAGGTTGATGCAAACTTGTGGGGTGTTGCACCGAAGCGGTCGGCTCCTGCACCAGCTCAAGAGATGCCTGCAACTCCAGGCTTTCCCACTAGTGGCCGAAAGATGATGAGCTTGGAGGAAGTAGAGGCAGCTATGAGAGCCCAAGCCAAGAAGCCAGCACAAGCCCAAGTCCCTGTACAGCAACAACCTCAACAATATCAACCAACTCCTCCTCCGCATCAGCAGCATCAATATGCCCAGCCACCTCACCAATATCAGCACTATCCTCCTCAACAGCAACCTCAGTTCCCTGTTCAGGCTGGTCCACAACAATCTGAGACTGGCCCAGCTCCATCTGGTCAACCAGTTCATATTTTGCAGAGATCACAACAGCCTGGCCAACCACCAGCGCAGCAACGCCCACCACAACAGCCCACACAGATCTTGCAAAATCCAAACAGATACTCAGCCGAGCAACAAAGACCTGCCCCTGTTGGTCAACATCCTGGTCACCAGTCACGCCCCTCGGGTTCGCGCCACATCATCACCCATCCTCAGCAGATTGCCCACCTTTCAGAGGAGGAGAAGTCTGCTTTCCTTATGGAAGAGGCAAAGAGAGCAAAGCGTAATCACAAGATCTTCATGCTATCCAAGGATAATGGCTTGATGACCCCACAGGACAAGAACTTCATTACCCGCATTCAGTTGCAACAGCTTGTGACCGCTACCGGCAATCCAAATGAGCACGGAACTGATACTGGTCTGTCAGAGGATTTCTACTACCAGGTTCATAATCAAATTCGAGGAGGACCGCGTCAACACCCGGGCCAACCACTCAGCAACTTTGCACAGACCTACTTGTTCCAAACAGGTGGTCGTCATGGTGGCATGCGACGACAGGCTCGAGGAGGTGACAATCACATGCAGCGAATGGAGCAACAAGTTCAACGTGCTGTGGAGGCTGCGAAGAATAAGCCAAAGAACAAGCAGTTGGTTATTGAGGGTAGTTTGGGCAAGATCTCTTTTAGCAACGCAAAGACGCCAAAGCCTTTGCTCAACATCAAGCGCAATGACAGCGGAGCTGATGTCAACAGACCTGGCAGCGCCGCTCGTGATCGCAAGGCTCATCTCGCAGGAGTCAGTGGAAGCGACAGGAAGACTGTTTTAACTGATATCGAGAATGTTTACAATACTCTGATGAAGATGGAGGACCATGATCGCCACATACCTCCCGCTCTCAACGAGGATATCAACCCAGAGCTCGTCGGACTCCACATGGACTGGCGGGAGAAGGCGCAAAAGCTCAATCAGCAACTTTGGCATCAGTTGAAAGTCCACGAACCTATCGGTGCTACGACTACTCATCCTTTCATTGCTTTCTTGTCTTTCGCCAAGGGCCAAAAGGCCATTCCTAGAGTATTCCGCCACATTTCTCAGGAGCAGCGGACGACTATACTCACCATGATTGTAATCCATCTCGATCAACTCGATGTTATTCGAAACGCATTGCTTCTCCCCGGAGAGACACAATTGAATGCTACGGTTCGTGAGAGCGTCGAAGTTTTTTCGCTGGCTGTCATGCCATCTCTTTTCGGGTATCTCAATGAAGCGGGATTGGATATCGTCACTGGTGTCTTGGGACTTATTCTCAACATTAACATTGACATGGTTGCTCGGACTAGAATTGGAGTCAGCATGCTGACCATGATTTTGAGTCGAGCTGAGCTTATTAAGCAAGGCGCAAGTGTTGATGAGCAGGAGTGGCAGGAATGGTAAGCTGCTCCAACGAACGAACTCGTGCTATTATGCTGACTTTCTGCAGGGTGAACAAGTACAATGGATTCTTCGACGCTCTTGAGCCAACCTTGCCAAACATCTTCCCCGGAACTGTCAATACTGGTGAAGATGTTTATGTCTGGCAGTTCCTGGCCGCCATTGGCATTGGGGCGAGCCCTGAGCAGCAACAGCGTCTTGTCATGGCTGTTAAAGATCGTGTCATGGAAACTGTCAGCCTTGCTAAGACTCTTCCGCCCGCAATGTCGAGCCAGCGATTGGCCAACGTCAACCTCTTCATGCGTTCGATTGGATTGGATGTTGAGCTACTGGCATGATAGGAACGATACGACGTGTTTATTTACATTTACCAACAACAAATCTTCTTTTTTAGACGACATTTGAAAGATCGAAAGGAAAGCGCAGCCCTGTGGTATTTGATTAAGATGCCATTTGCTTTCTGCATCAGCGTTGCCCTGTTTCTACGTAGCGATTACTGCATACGGTCCGGATGAGACTGAAGCTTATGAATGGGATGGAGTGGAATGAAGCAAGAATGAGCGAGCTTATGGTTTGAGAAATGCAAACATATTTATGGTCTGGTTCGTCCCGGGGGTCGGTTGGTCGGGCTTTACATGCTGTCGTCCGGTTGGATGGCACCGTCTTGATATCTGACAAGATGGAAGCGAATAGGAAATGTCCTAAAATAGAATACGAAAGTTGATGAATTCAAGGAGCCCATTTGGAGAGGTGTCGCGAAACTCTTCTACCCACGCGCCTTGTGCGGGAGTCACCATTCGGCTAGGCTTGATTACTTCAAAAAAGGGCGAGTACAGGCCAGTCTTTACTGGCGGTACTGATGCCCAACGCCGAGTTGGGTGACCATGAGCCCGTGCAAATACTTCATTGTGTACTGAAACATTTCGCTAGGAATGTACCCATGGTAGAGTTCCATACTTTGTCAAATCGGAAGGGCATTTTAAGGCATAAAATGATGCCTGAAACCCTTGTGGCAACAGAATCTGTGAACTCTCCATCGCAAGCCAGGGTTGATTTCTTCGTCCCCGCAGATTAAAGCTTGTCTTTTCATATCCTCATATCCTCATTTCATCGTACTCATCAAGCTATATTGTTGTTATTCTCACTTTCTAACAAGTATTCAACATGCTAGTCAATGCTGCCTTTTCCGCAGTGGTCACCGTCAGCTTGTAGACGGACTTGACTTTGGTGTACATCTTAGCGTATGTGCAGTAATAGGAAGCTACATCGCAATTAGCTCTTGTATGAGGGCTCGCTCATCCGGAAAAAGGCTTTGGGCACTTACTCAACGGGGGCTTCCAGTCCTCGGGTCCAGAGTCACTCTTGGCTTGATTGACGTTATCAGTCACAGCGAGGAGTTGAGGGTTGGTGAGATCGTTGGCGAATGCTTGTCTCTGAGCTGTGGTCCATGCAGCTGCACCGCTTTTCCAGGCATTGCTCAGAGGTACCATGTGGTCAATATCGACGTCTGATGCAGCAGTCCACTACAAAAGCAGCCAATTAGTCACTACTTCATTTGCCGTGAAGTTTTGGCTTACCGTTGCCCCGTCATATGGTGAGTACCATGAGCCAGAAGTAGAAGCACATGCACTGTCTGTAACAACATTGGTACCATCACGCTTGAGGACAGTCTCCCTGGTGTTGCAGGTTCCGGAAACGGTGATCCAAGTAGGAAAGAGATCGCGTGAATACCCAGTCTTGCCAACAATTAGCTTGAAATCTAACACGAACGGCACAACAGATTCGGGTAACGCCAGCAATCAGGGAGTATTGAATATCATTCGGGAAGAAAAGCTTACTTGTGGACCCTGGGCAGCCACAGTGAGTCCTGCCAAAGCAGACTTTGCCTCAGCGGTAGAAGGGATCCCTGGCGGAGTTCGCTTCTCAATGGGAGCGGCAAGAGCACAGGTAGAAAGCAGTAATGCGCTAAGGAGCGAGACTGAAAGCATCTTGGGCGGCGGGTCCAATGGGACTGAGTTGAGCTGGAGGTCCTTAAGGTACTGAGAGACGAAGGTATATACTTGTGGAAGGCAGCAACCGTCTTATATCTCATTGCGTCTACCTCTCTATCCAGAGCTCTAGTTACCACACTTCAGACCACCTCCCCACCTCTCAGTACCGTCCACAGCTTTCGATAAGGAAAGATCGCCCTTGCCTATCTCCCTAAGCTTCTGATGGCCAACAATCGATCTTCCCCTTTGCACGCCTATCCTGCTACCCTAGATATTCAGTTTCAACCTTCCACATCCAGCGCGTCTCCGACGAATAGACTTTCCCACTGACCTTCTCCGGCTCCTCATGGGATTTAGGCTTACACTGTACCCGTGGGCAAAACCAGGGCTCTCAGGGCAGACACCAGCGATATCGAATCGCGTAGGCACATGGAAAGCCACAACTCGAACTTGCATCCTTGGCTCGTTCTTACCTTCTTCTTTTGGGAAGAAGCAAGGTGTGGAGGCCAGGACGGCGGCGGGGCCCGAAGTATACATGGCATGGGATGTCTTTCAGTAAGATAGTTGGAGGCTGGGCGATGGGATATCGCCCAATTGATTGCCCACATGCGGATAGCCTACATTGGGGAAATCGTCCTGTTTGCGGTAGTTGAGGAGTACCGAGACCCCTGAAATTTAGCGACGGCCAATCAGATGCGGCGTTACGGATTGGTGGGACTGCTTGAAGAGATCCATATCCGTGGACTGATTCTTTTGAATGGGATCCGACTTTTGCTAAACCTTAAATCATCCTCTCCTCTCCTGTCATCGGAAATCTGGTAATATCAAAACAAATGTCTGGGCAGGGAGGAGACGCTATTCAACATCATGGTTGGACGGGAATCAGTGATTGGAGGGAAGTGACTCCCGGCACACGGTCTAGGACTGCTGGTACGCTCAGAAGCAGATCGCCCTTCGCTCAGATGCATGGTGTCAAGTCGATGGCTTCGCCCATGGATTGATTGGGAAGTGATTCCGTTCCTCGACACTTGCACAAACCACAACCAGTTTGACAAACCACGCCAGGCGAGCTGTGTGTCGGGAAACATCCCAACGAGGCATCTCGTTATCGATGTCTCGAGAAGTCTTCGCAAGTCGGTGTTGACTTACGAGAAGCTACTAGTCCACACTTCATTCTATGCCTCCGTTTATCGCAGTTGCAATCTTGACACCCCAGCTATCGTCGGGCATGGACGGGGGAGTTTCGGCGTTTTGACATTTGTTTGCAAGTCCCGAGACTGCCGCTGACCGCTATCGACTGCTGGCGATGATAGCGTAGACTCTTGTTGACTCTGCCGAGCTTTGTACATGTGCTCAACTTGCTTTCTTATTTGTCATTACGTCCATCTTGGAAGATTGCTGGTATCTTTGCACTTGAGATATGTTTAAAACTTTCCTTCTAACCCCTACCTGCGCCTTACGTATTCATTTAGAGTGCAATATATATCTTGAACGAACAGCACCGCTCCTCGGCAACCTTCAAATGCAAAGCGTGCAATACGGCGTCATGTTGTTGTTGTTTTCTGAAACAGGACATAAGGAAATTGAGCGGGTAGTTCCTGCAGCTTCATCTCTTGCTTGCAACATTCCCTTGTACAGAAATCAATTCTTCTTCTGTATGTAATCATAGCATTTTCAAGTCGCATGAGCAAAAAGTCTCACCTGCCTGGAATCTCTTGATCGAAAGTCTTACATCAAGAGCTGTTGAAAAGACCGATAATATCCCTCGCCAGCAAGTCATTCAATCTCTGTACTATCCTTCCATAAGAGTGAAGATTTTGTCGCCATTCTTCACATACAAGTAGTTTGCCAGTATCTATTTCTACGAGGTTTCTTTGTTGAGGTTGGAAAATGGAGCCTCCTGGCCTCGCACCATGGCGGGCGTAACGTCGGAATTTTGGATTTGGCAACTGGGAAGGTCTGCTTGAACATGTGTCTACATCGACGAGTTGATTGACCAGCATATACTAAATTCAAGTGATCACTGGTTGCTGGCTGGTTTTTTTACTCAAAGTGACTTTATGCTTACCATGTGGCTTGTAGCCGTAGGGCTGAGCGATGCGATGCATTAGCCTGTATGTACATTGAGGAGTCTCGCTCAGACTTCAGCTCCTTAGAATCACAGCGGCGTCCGTTGGGGATGCTTGGCTGTCTGATATACTTCGTGCGACAATTGCAAGCCTGAATTAGTGGCCTATAACCTGCCGAAAACTTTCATGTCAAGGAATTCAAGGGCTGGCTGAGTAACATGCGCCAGCCAAGTTTATGGCTGATGTGAGGGCATCAACAACATCCGCGTTTTGTGTTTGCTTAGCCTTACAGCAGCCTCACGACTTTCGGTACGTGGGGTTTCTCCGTTACCCCTCACTGAATGCAGCCAAGATTTAGACGACGAAAACATGTAGCACATTGACCAATTCCTGAGGGCATCAGCAGTTTGCACGCACCAGTACTTCTGAGGGAGGCTGATGCTCGTCCCATATTGGCATGGACAACCACTAGGAAACATTTCCTTTCCGACACTGCAGACGCCATTCGGCGCACTGCCTGGAGCTGAAACCTTTGAGCTTGGAAGCCTTCAATGATAATGGATTCCTCAACTCGGTCAGACATCCTTATTTCTCGGCAAGCTTATGGCGTATGGCAGGGGGTTCAGCTTACTTCTTACATGCATTTGTGTCACCCAAGTACCATATATATATCGCAAGGCTCTGAGAGCTTTCAATCTCTCTCAAATTCCCTCACCACGCATAACGGTTCTTGACATACAAGTGGTACAAGGATGACATACCCCATCACCGGCATCAAGAAAGGCCTCGGGCCAGGGGATAAAGTACCCGTGCGTCGAGAAATCGACGAGTGGTGGGCATCCAAAGAGAAGATTGATGTCTTCCAGAAATCATTGTTCATCTATGCCTTGAACGAATTCCAACAGATGGACCCAGATGACCAGCTATCTTATTTCGCAGTTGCAGGTTTGTCAGAGAAGTTCCTCATCTGGTCCAAAATCTAACGCTGCCTGTCAGGTATTCACGGCCAACCTTTGGTGTCCTGGGATACCAAATCTCCCAAGAACTCATGGTATTGTACTCATGGTAGTCCTCTATTCCCACCATGGCACCGGCCATATTTGGCGCTGTATGAGCAGAGACTGTATGAAATCATGCTCAAGTTGATTCCTACAACATTCGCCCTGGAGGATCAACCAGCCATGATTCAAGCAGCAGAAACATGGAGACTTCCTTTCGTAAGTATAGTTCCGCTCTTCACTGCTTTGGTCACTTGAAGACTGTAAGGCCAGGTCCTACATCCTTTGTATTGCTAAAACTTCGCGAATTATAATGCTGACTCTCATGAAGTGGGACTGGGCGATGCGAAAGCCTGATTGGCACTTTCCCAACGATCGCCGTCGTGATGGCCCAAATGTTCCTTTCATCATCACCGTTCCTACAGTTGAGGTCATGACGAAAACTGGTGTTGCGACTGTCAGCAACCCCATGTGGAGGTATAAACTTCCCAACGAAGCGACGTTTGGTGATTTCGGCATCACGAGAGACCAAACCCTTCCGGTAGGGTTTCTATCCTGGTATCGCAGAAGCTCCCACTGACAGCCAAGTTTAATGTTTGTAAAGCCACAAGTAGACATCCCACAACCTTCAATTCACGAAGTCCCGATTTTATCTCAGCTTGGGTCAACGGTGAGAAGCAGAACTGGGACAGAATCACAGGAGAACTTCGGGGTTCCCGCTCTGTTGTTAGTAATACTCTGCCAGAAGCTGTGTACAGATTGTTCCTTGAGGAATATCTACCAACTTATAACGCATTCTCGACGGAGGGATTTGTCAAGGGTCAGCCTCCTACCCAGTACTCATCTCTGTAAGTAATAACGTCTTGGATTTCTCCACAAATCTCAATCGGTGGGCAAAACTTAAACAAAGCTACTTGGTACTGACTTACACTAGCGAGGATATTCATGGACAGCTCCATGTCTTCTCTGGCGGATCTGGCCAAATGGGCCGTGTCCCAGTTGCAGCTTTCGATCCGATCTTCTGGTGAGTGAACCCGCGAAGTGAGTGTCCCCGCTGACCAAATTAAGGATGCATCACAACAACGTCGATCGGCTATTCGCAATGTGGCAGGACTTGTACCCAAACAAATACGTTCAGCCATTCCGCACCTCAGCGGGGCGATTGATTGACCCTAACATCCCACTCGCTCCATTCAGTAGGGATAGTCAAGGAACTCCATGGACTGCTGGTAGATGCAGGAACCTTCAGGACTTGGGGTACACATATCCCGAGTTGCAGAAGTGGCTCGACATCTACAAGACTAACGGCCAATTCGATACCGTGAAATATCAGAAGGCGCTCCGAACCACCATAGAGCTTAAGTATAGTACCACTGGTAAATCTACTCTCCAACTGTCTGAGAATGAGGGGGTCGCGATCATGCATTTGTCCACCATTGCTGCTACCAATCTCATAGTTGAGAACTTCCCTCCAGCACTTGTTGAGAAGGCCCAGGAGCTCCAGCCAAATGAACCGAAAGTGCAATCTATTCTGGGCAAAGACACCACCAGCACTGCAGCAGTCCCAGCCCCCGAAGTCAAGCCCCAGACCGGGACTCCCAAGATTGAACCGGTGGCACCCGAAGCACAAGCACAAGTCGCTTCGAGCTCTTCTTCTCGAGAAACGGTACTTGTCGTGCCCGCTGCTGCTGCAAACCAAGCACCGATTGCTGCAGAATCTCATAAACACGCAGCTACAAGCGCCAGCACAATCACAGAGTCCGTCATTGCTCCACATCCTCATTCTCATCCCGATGAGAAGTGGACTGAGAATGACTATATCGTGAATGTCCTCTACGATAGGTAATTTCTTCAGCACACAATTACTCAATGGACTACTCACTCACCAAACACAGATTTGCACTCGACGGCTATCCATACATCATACGTATCTTTCTTGGAGATGTTCCAGAAGGTCCAACGTTCTACTTCGCAGATACACCCACTCAAGTCGGTTGCGTGTACAACTTCAGCGCCCCAGCCGAGTTCCGTGGTGATGGCCCGGAAGGCTGTGCCAATTGCCACCGCCAAAGGCAAGACCATGAGTTATCCACCGGGCAGGTGATCTTAACAGATTACTTGGTCGAGCACATCACGAAGAATATCCAAGAGCGAGGTCTCACCTTGCAGAGCTTGTCACGGGAAGACGTGGTGGGATACCTGAGACAGAATTTGCACTGGCGCATTTCCGACGTAAGTTCTCTTTGACAGTCTTTTAATTCCTCGCTATTTGTACTATCTGATACTGATCTTGTTCCCAGATTGACGACAATGTGATATTGAAGGAGAACATGCCATCCTTGAAGATCTCGGTCGCCATGGGTAGAGCAACTCATTTCCTTGCGGCGTCTGTCCCGTCCAGGTACGGCGACTATGAAGTCTTGTGGGAGATCACTGAGAACCGCCTTGCAGGTGCTTCTCCTGGAGATTTGAATTAGGTTTGCGCCTTTGACAATTGATTCTTGCGGGTAATGACTTGACATCAGTCTGTTTAGCAAATGAATTCCTCAGCGAAACTGATTGCAGATGTGTAAGAGTTGAGTGATGATGTTTCCCATTCCTGAAATTCTGCAATGTCCTTAAAAGTTTGTGTTTTGTGCAGGCCCAGCTGCCTCTGCTCGCATCATTTGTTTGAAGTAGGTAGATCCCGCAGCAGCCACAAACCAACCTCGCTTAGAATTCAGGGGCCGATCAAGCGAATTGTGGCGGTTTCACTGTCGTAATGTCTCACCAAAAGCTGAAATATGAAATTTTCAGGCTCCACAAAGAGTTAACATACGTAATGCGATGTTTCGTGGCACGAAAGCAAACCGCGCGTAGCACAATATCCTCTTGCCTTGCGGGCTATGTGGTCCAGCTGAAAGTGCAAGAGTGCAAGCTGACTAATACAAAAGCGAAGATGCAATTATGTAATGTAAACACAAAAGTGGTCTGACGTGCCAAGATAGAAAACAAAGCAATGAAGTGTCCAGTAGAGGTTTGAACCAGAATAGAAAGTGTAGATCATGATGCGCCTTCGCTCCAGTTGATCAGTGTCAGTCTATAGCTCCAAGAAAATCTCCAGCATGTAAGACCCAGAATCCATCGAGCCAAAGCCATACATAACACCTCGAAATACAGCAACCTTTATGGCATCTATCGAAACATGACATCTATTTGATGAGCCTGTAGTCCCAACCAATTTTCTGCGCATATGTCGCGGCGGTCAGGCTCATCCAGAAAGTTTTTCCTGGCAGTGTATTCACAATTGAACGTATGAGCTGGCAGACTATGTCCCACAATATTGCCCGCGTAATCGTATTATTCTCAACCTCGACGCTGGAACTTGGACATTATAGCAATATCTGCCGACTTGAGATGATGCCGACATGGATATTATGTTGCGGTTGGTGGTGCAATGTTGACAAATCTGTTGCAAGGCCTACACCAAAGAGCGGTCCACGAAGGTCGAGAAGATGGAAGACGAGGCGTTTCTGATCTTGAAAGAGAGCCATTTGTGATCCTATCAACTCGTACTTTTTCTGCAAAGAAGTAGCACTGGGGGTGGACTTCGGATTCTTGATTGCGAAATCATTGGACGATACTTCAATTTAGCAAGGCGTTATTGATGCGGTCTCAATGACAAGCGGCGTTGGTCATTTAGCATTCAATAGAATATGACTCTCAAAAGAAGCTCGTTCGAAAGCTGCTAGAAAAGACGAAACAATGTCGCCAATCACATATTCTGGTTCAGGTCGATTGAGGAAAGATCGTCCGCAAGATTGCTTGGATAGCATTCCGGACTCGGAGTGCGGTAGGTCACGTTCTCTGGGGTGTCTATTCGAGTCAGAATTAATTGTTTTGGGCTGTATAGCTGTATTTCTCTTACCTGCTCTTGACGATACGATATACTTCCCGCTTGCGGTCTTCCGCTTCTTGAAGTTCTCGATCCTCTCTGGCCGAATTTGAGTCGAGCCATAAAAGAAAACGGTATCTTTACTTTCGTCCCTAGCACGTTTGCGGGCTTTCGCAACTATGATCTCCATGTCATGCTTGGAGAGGTTTTTCTCAAACCTCCACTCCTTGAGCTTCATCTTCCACTTTCGGGGGCTACACAAATCCAAGGTTAGTAAGCAATGGCGTCGCTATCGGTCTAAAAGAATAAAGAGCTGACCTTGCCTTGAAGCCACTTGTCGCTTCAATCATTTGGATAGTCGCATCAAGAGTGTTGTCCTCCTCAATGTATAATCGGTAAATCTCGTTCTTTTGTGCGTCCCATTTCTGGTCATTTTTGGCTCGAGTCGATGGCCGAGATGAAGTGTGAGATGCAGTAGCAGATTCCGGGGACTGGAAATCGGCATAGGCTGTGCTTCGAGGCATCTTCCTTAATCGTGTTGTGCGAGGCGAGAAGTGAGAAGTGGAGATCGATACAGAGAATGCTGTTCGGAACCCTTGACGAGAAAATACGAGTTCCAAGAACCTTTTACGGCCTTAGAAGTGACATTCAAGCATTATCATGGCCAGCCTTTGGAGTAGAAAGGTATGTTACTGTTTCACGCCATCCCGTACCTGTGGCAGCATCAGCCGCGGGCCAGAAAGTGCAAAAGACTTAGCACCCCTGCCAATCACAGGAACCCGCCCAGTGGAACACTGCGACTAGTCATCTAGCCACTGACCCATCAAAAGTGCACCTTGCAAGCCTACCGCAAAGAAATCAGCTAAACGATAGTTTTGGTGCATGAGTTGGTAATTGATTGCCGAGACTTAAGATACGCAACTAAAATAGGGCGCATGAATATGAGGCGAACCAAAGGGCATATTTCGAATAATCGTTGTCAAACTCCATACAAAAAGCCCAAAGAAGCACCCGAGCCTTGCAGTGTTACTAGAAACTGTAAATGTATCAACTAAAGTCCAATTGAAGACGACAATTTGTCTGAAATCTTCCTCGACAGATTTAGAAGTGTGGATGTGCAAATATAGGTCACGTGTTTGAGTACTCCAAATCGTCCAGTGCAGAAAGCCATGTGACCATAGTAAAGCCACATAAGCTTCAAAAGAAACAATAGAAGGTTGATAGTGCATATGACAAGTGGCAAATGGCTGCTTCGGTGACGCAAAGGGCGGTGAGTATGTGTAATCAGGTGACTCTACTTGAAGTTCCATAACTGGGTAATATATTTGTTTTGGCATGCAACTTTGGGTACTAGCATCTGAAGTAAGCAGAGGGAAGGACAATCTTTTCTATTATGGGCAGATGTGAGATGTCTCCGGGGCAATGTATGCAGATATAAGGAACATGCTGTCCGTCCCTAACAGTAGCTCGGAGAAGGCATGCGCGGCAAGATAGGAAACAATGGCGCAAAGCATCGTAAGAACGCCACTTGGCTCGCAAGTCTTTGTCATCCTGCAAGACCCAATTGCTGAGGCCGACTTCACGACCACCTTGAAAACGCTCAAGGTCGCTTGGAATCCAGAAGCCCCAACTTTGGGGGACGGTTTCGACATCCGGATGAAAGGCAGCATAAATGCCATGGCTGAGCCAGCTCCAAATCGCTTAGTCCCAACAATCAAGCCAGGCAATTATCCTTACAGATGTAGCCTTCTACTTGCTTGATGAAAACAAACATGTCGCCCAAAGTACTACGAGAGAACACAACACCGGCGAGATAGAAAAGGGGTCCTCGTTTGAAGATGGTCCCATATGAAGCTTAGCGTTATAACCTTAATTCTCGTCCAGATTGTGGGGAAATAAGCTAGAGCTTTCTAGCTCGTGTGCTCCCCTCACCCAGAGCTTCATGCTCCTCAACAAATCCTGAACCGCCACTCGAGCCCATCAACTCAGCTTTGCGACTCCATCTCGAGCTCCAGAAACAGCTTCTCGAATATAGGCATACATTTTACAAGGCAGAGAAAGTACAGGGCACTTAAGAGTGCAAAATGGCGCCACCTCGTTCGGTGTTCTCGTACGTAGAAGCTGTGGCTTCGGAGGCACCACAGTCTCCAAGTCTATGCGCGAGAAACAATGCTAATTATGTTTTGCGTATCTAGGCGTCAGCGGACTCCTCTACTGATTGCTACATTCTTCGGAGGAAGTGCTATTTTCGTGGCTTTGAAATGGCGGGCTGTATTTTCCAGGAGTGAAGCAGCGAAGAGAGCTACAACGAAAACGAAAGATATAAATTATTCGGTGGCGCCTGGCAGAAGTGGTAAGACTAAGTTCTCTTTGCGAGGTACATGGAATTCTGACCGCATCTGTAGGAGGTGGAGTTTGAGCAGTAGCACGGATTGAGGAGCGATGACGATAACACGACACTTATGCAATTCGGTTGCTATTTGGAGATGAGATATATGTTACACTAGATTGGAATACTCCATACGGTTGGTGGAAGTATACTTTGTTTAGGCGCAGGCGTTGGCGGCGGACTGTACAGCCTTCGAGCTGATGCAATATTACCGTGTGGATTTTCCTGTCATTCGATACGGGGATGTGAAAATAACTGAATAAACACCATTCCATACAAAGTGGATGGTCAGTTATCAGCCGCTGGATTACTATCAGGTAGGAGGTTTTCACGTCTGCAATGAAACCAACGGAACATTATCATTATGAACCGGCCCCTATCATCAATCTGCTCAACATCGGAACTACAACATGACGGCTTCCAAAAGCAAGAAATTTTCATCGTCAGAAATTTATAATGGAACGGCTTGCAAGACCAATATGAATTCAAACGTATCCAGCACTGTTCGATCTCCTAGATCCAATTCTACCCAGCATCCATATACAAGCACAGCAACCGAACAGTATTACCGAATCTGCCATAAAAGGAAACCTCGATAACAGATACCCCTTTCCAAGCACCTTTGCAAAGATCCCGCTCCAAGCGGCTGTAGCAATCATGGCGCCCAGCGTCTCGACCATTCCAATACCCAGATACAACTGTTGCACATCATCCTTGTTCTCCAACAATCCCGTCACATAACTCCGTAGCGCATCCATCAATCCATGGCCGAGCCTCCAAATCGTAACTCCCAGGATGTACGAAGCTCTCGTAGGGGCAAATCCAATGCACAATATGCCCAGCACATGTGCCACGGCAGAGAACTTCGTGACGAAGAGGTCCGCTTCTAAGACAGAGCCCCCAAGACGCGGCTTGAGTATTTTGTGGGATATGGTAGGCAGCGTGAGGAAGAGGATTGCTGAGATCACAGCCTCGTATGAGATTATAGCGTGCACTTCGGCCAGGATCCATCCATAGGTTATGGATGGCCATTGGATGAACACAACTCGGATGTTGGCACCACAGGTGAGTAAGAAGAATGTGAACATGGTAATGCGAGATAGCGAAGGCGCGGCGAGGAGTTCTCGACAAGTGGCCATGGAGTGCCTCGCTTTTGAGCGGACTGTCGTCATAATCGTCCAGAACATTGGCCCTTCTTCTATGTCTATGGGAAGCGTTGTTATTGGCGGAGTGGTGGAAAGGAGAGATGAAGTTTCTGAACTTTGTTGGGATGATTCGTTGCTGCAATTGGAGACTTGAGAATCGGGGCTGCGTTTGCGTTTTGAGTTCGGCAATAAGCAGCAGATTGGAATACTTGCGCTTATGGAAATGAATCCCAGTAGGCATTGTAGATAGACGTGCTTCCGTAGTAGGAGAGAGCTAAGATAAAGACCCAGAAACGAGACTAGCTAAGTGAAGGGATCGAAGTCAGTATGGTGTTTTGGCCTCTCGACCAATCCGAATTATCGTGGAGAACAGTGAATGTATTGGATAGGATGCCAAAGGCAACTTACCATCTCCCCGGCACTTAGTTTATAGAGAAATCCGCTCCTAGCCAAATCAGCACCGGAATCGAGAAAGGATAGATGTCCCTACAATCGGTCTTGATCAACACTTTCCGACATGTATGTGTATGTAAACGAGGAAAATATTACATAGCCCCCACCAAGGCTGTCGAACAAAGGCGTCAAATAAATGAACCTAATGTCGAATATCTCATGGTGATAACCTGTGATATAGCAGTCAACTAAACAGCACGAATAGGAAGATCGTTGAACTTGCAAACTATTGCAAAATATGCCCCAGCTAGACTGTAGCTTATCAGGTTCATGAGCATCACAGGCTTCTTGCCGATTTTCCCTGCCACCATTCCGTATGGACCGGCCATAAAGAGAGCTTCCTGGTAAGCTTATGCTCGTAGGCCATCTGCGAGAATGCGAGACTTACCAGGGAGATAGGTCAACACTTTATACACCCCAAGGATTTCCGCTACCCGAGACTGGATCTGCGGTATCTTGCAAATAGCTTCATTCACGAGTCCATTTCTGCCTATGAGACCAGGCTCGTGAAGCCTGTAGTATTCTCTGCAGACTGTGGGATTTTGACAAGTCAACAATTGCGGACGTCTTTGAATTTGCATTATCAGGATACGGCCATACCAGACTGTTCCACTAGATACACATGCGTAGAGGCGTTGAGCATGAACCCAAATGAGCCAAGTACTACTGTAAGGAAATTAGCTCTACCATAGAAGTCGATGCCCTGGACATGTGATTTGTATACATACCAATCGAAATCACAGGCAACAAGGCCGAGTTTTCATCTGTAGTATCAGACATTCGTCGCTTAAGCTCCGACAACATGGCGGTAAACTCTCACTGCGATGTAAAACTGGCTGAAAATGAAGACAGCACAAACTTCGAGGAGGAGCGAAGCAAAACATCCATGAGTGCATGAAGGGCAACATATGAGCAGGATATTTAGGAGTAGTCCGAAGCTCGAGGTTGAGACAGCAAGCAGAACAAAAACCCGAGAGAGGAAGTGTAGGACAAGATAAGGCCTCCGTTGTAGTGTTACAGAGGGCTACGCGAACAGGAGAAGCGTGCCTTTGACACGTCGATGGTCCTACCCGACAAGAGCATCGAGAGATAATACTTTCCCGGTCGGGCTGGGAAACTGAAGCACGTCCGATGAATGGCGCTGATCCCATGACTGAATTATCGTCCGCTTAGACTGACATTTTCGTTGAAAGTAATGCTTTTTATCCACCACTTTGAGAAAGGAATGTTGAGTGTAGACATCTCAGAAGCTTTCATTTAGTATTGTCCTCTAGCGGAAAGCGACATGATGAGAGTATCTCTGAATCTGAAATGTCTCTTCAAAACTGGCCAAGTGACTTCATGCATCCGGCTCACGACGTTGACGCGAGGTGAAAATTGCGGCTTCATGCATGCAATGCCGGCTTGTGCAAGGCCAAAGAGAGAAAGCCCAATCAAACCCATGAAAGTGAGCAATAGACCCGATGTCGCTCTCATCAATAGGGGAATAGGGAAAATCAGAATCGATGTGATACGGCTACAGAACCAACAAATTGCCGCATGCCATTGCTGTTGCTCGGAAGAAAAGACTGTAATTGAATCTTGACAATGGCGTTATATGAGCAACTGCGTCCATTTTCCCTGACCAGGGGCAGAACCTTGAGCTTTCTGGTGAAGGCCGACAAAAACTCATCTGAAAAATCAAGCGCGGACAGGAAAGACAAGCCGAGGCTGTGATACAGCCCTCTTAACGTAATTGGCTTTCATTAGACTCTTCGTCATTGAATACGGACAACATAGCTCTAAAGTATAGCGCCATACACCCCTACCAGAAACCATGGTATCCATTCCGACCCACCACCGCATTAGTCATACTTTGCGTGATCCATACATGTAATTCCTCATATCTCACATTCAGTACTCCTCAACCGCACAGTTCGGATGGAGGACGTAGACGATCTGCTCTGCAGTGCTTGAGCTGCCCTCCTCGTCCTCACCAACCAATCCTTGGCCCCGGATAGCCATCAGAATATTTTCCTATGAGGTGTTAGTATTGTGTCATCGTTGGAGCCAGAGTAAACATACCTTGACCATTCTCTTGATAATCTTTTTTGTCAATGCCATCTCTGCATGGTAATCATCCTCACCCGATAGCTCATCCTCTTTCTGTTCCAAGTACCATTGGACCAAAGTGTCACCATCAACGCCTTCCCCTTGTGCTTTCTCATCCTCGTTGACTCTCTGGACCAAGAGATTAACCACACTGATGTACTTGTCGTATGTGATCTTTGTCTTTGGTCTCTCCCCAATGACTGGAGCTGGAGTTGCGCCATTGGCTCCTGCACCACTATTTGGTGCATCGGCTCCATCCTCATCCTCATCATTGCCGTCGGCCATCGGCGAGTCTCCATCGGTGTCTCTGCGGCGGCCATTGGTACCGTTCGGACCCAGAGCTTCCTCGTCATCTTCATCAACCTCCACATCGTCTTTTTCAACGGAGATGATACTCTGTCGGAGTAGATTGAAAGCTTCAATAACCATACTTGGGACAATTTCTTCGACGCAATTGGCCTTCGCGATAGCTTCAGAAAGACGGATCATAGACTCGAGTTGGCGGACAGTAATTCTGTAGCTGTTTCGTCCAATACCTCCTTGTGCATCGTCACTTCTGAGCTCCTTGTACTTCTGAACAAGAACTTCTTTAGCCTCGGGAGTGAACTCTGGCTTGAAGGTTTTTGCAAATCGTATGTATCGTTGGAGTTGTTCGGTGGTAAACTCTGGCTGAACAGCTTCGTCACGTAGTTGGTGAATGCCGACAATATGCTCAGCAAGATGTCTGTCAACACTCTCGTTACACTCATCTAAGATGACGAAGAACAGATCGAAACGAGACATGATAGGAGCAGACATGTTAATGTTAGCTCGGAGGGTAGTCTTTCGGTTGTATCGACCCCCGACTGGGTTTGCTGCTGCCAGAATGGAAGTCCTCGCATTCAAAGTGGCTTGAATACCAGCCTTTGCGATGGAAATGGTTTGCTGTTCCATAGCTTCGTGGATTGCAACTTGATCGCTTATATCCATTTTATCGAACTCGTCAATAGCACAAATGCCATTGTCTGCCAGCATCAACGCTCCGGCCTCGATTGTGAACTCTCCAGTCTCCTCATCCTTAACAACCGCGGCTGTAAGACCGGCTGCCGAAGAAGCCTTTCCAGATGTGTACACAGCACGAGGCAAGAAGGAGCAAATATACTTCAAAAATTGAGACTTCGAAGTTGAAGGATCGCCGACAATGCAAATGTTGATATCGCCACGGAGAGACATTCCTTCAGGGGTTGTTTTACTTAGACCTCCCATCAACTGGAGTAGCAAGCCTTTCTTGACGATCTCGTGGCCATAAACCATGGGTGCGAGAGAGTTGACGAGTCGAGAGTAAATGTGATCGCTGTGAACCATCTTTCTGAGATCCTCGATTTCGGCATGGGTCATGGATGCTAGAACAGCTTCTTGAGCATGGTCTCCGGGCTCGTTGGGGTCGATGGGAGCTGTTTGATTAAGGGAGGCGAGAATATTGTTCGACTGGCGATTCAATTGCTGGCTCACAGATGATCCTTTGGTAGAAGTATCGGGTGTGACCATACAGGCCAAGAAAGCGAGCCTGTAAGTAAGATCTCGAACACCGAGAGCTTTGAGACCTGTTACTCCGCTTGCATCGCCAGATCTATTCTGGTTTTCGCGCACAGCTGTCGGTCGAACCCCAGGCAGCCCAAGTTGGCTGACATCGGGAACCACAATCAAAGCACCAGTGAAAATACACTTCTCTCCAGCCTTGGCTCGGTCCACAATTTCTCCTCTAAGAATAATATCCATGGTTCGTGGCATGCTTCCTGTTGGGATTTCAGAGCTGTTCTCCTGAACTCGAACTTTCTGCCAATCGACGAAAGTGCTCTGTCTAATATCCAATCTCCATGCCAAACGATTCCCGCAGTTCTCGTTCGGACATTGTGTAGGTTCTGTGTATCGAAAGGTCTGTTCAATATTGGGAATGGTGCTTCTGCAAGCTTCGCAAATGAACGTCGCAAGGGACAGTTCAGGTCGAACTTCTGACGTTCTGGTGACTGTGCCAGAAATGGAAAGAAGCTGTCCAATGTTGGCAGTGCGCAAGTGACGAACGCGAGACACAAGAGGCAGATTGTAAAAGGCCAGCGCGAAAAGCTTGTCTGTCTGTTGGTTTGTCGTTTTTTCTCCTTGGTAGTCAGATTGACTTGCCGATGCAGCGTTACTGGCTCCGGAAGATGTCTGGTTGCTTGACGCTGTGGGTTGACGATGGTCACGGAAATATCTTGGTTCGTATTTTGCAATCATGTTATGCAAGCCTTTTGTCAAAAAAGGCAGGAATCTGTAATACTCCTCCACAACTCCCTCCGCCAGTACACCGCCCTTGTATTGAGAGAGATGCGTATAGTCAACATAGAGGGTGGAAAGTTGATACGTTCTTAAGCCGTGAATCTGAGCAATGTAATATTTGTCTGTTGTCACAGCGCTGGAAGGAGGCGCTCCTGACGCTGATGGCTCTTCGACGAAACTAGGGACTGTCAGATTTGTTGCGTATTCAGGGGCTACTTTTCTTACCTTTCCAGAAACTCCTCGAAGTTGATCTGGACATATTGGCCGATCGCATCTTCAACACGAGGGACCGCGCGGTCCTTCCGCTTTGGCCGTCCATTTCCCTGTGGTACCTGATCATCTGCGAATCCCTCATCATCACTCAGAGGCGCAACACTCTCAGAAGGTGGGCCCCTTGGTCTGGCAGAGGAACCCCTTTGAATAGGACGACGTGGAGTCGCATTTCTGCTAGACATTCCTCCCATATCGGACATTGCATCGGACATCATGACTGAAGCCATTGTGGGCGATTGCGAGTATTGGGAGTGGTTTTGCTTGAAGTTGTGTTATTGATTTGGCGGGGAGGTTTTCAGGAGTTGATGGCGGGCGTTAAAATTGAGACAGTCGCGGTCTGACGCGCAAAAAGACGCGACTTTTGCCTCTTGGGCGTGAACAGGTCGCCGTAATAGAGTGGTTTTTGGGGGGGATAGGTGAAGCCTGACTTGATTGGACTAATAGTACCTTGGTATTTCATAGCTCTGCTTTACTGATTCTCACTGGGGTTAACTAGATGGATACCTGGTGTTGTTGCTCCCAAAACTGCAATTCACCTTGTCGAGTTTTCCCAACCTATCGTCGTTCTAGCAGTATCCAAAGCTTTCACTCGCCTAGCATTCGACCTCAACATCCAAGTCTACGCTAGACAGTGAAGCTTCAGAAGTTTATGTACATCTCATGCTTAAGTTTTCGAATACTTTTACACTTTGATGTGTTATTATGATACAAAAGAGTGAGGATATCTGAGCAAATTTCACTTCCACTCATGTCTCAAGTGTATGTTTTCTTTCGACTCGCAGCCGAGAGCTAGTTTCATCAACGTCATCACTTCACTCGAGTGAAATATGTCACATTCTCGAACCCCCAAATCTTCCGGTCACATTTCCAGTCATATATTTCAACACTGCGAAAAGGCTGTTTACAACGATGGATGACTTCAAAAGGCCCTCCAAGTCTCATCTCATGACCTACCACATCGGCCGCGGCGAACAAGGCGTCCTAACCTACGAACCCTACAAATCCTACCTCCTCCCTCACTGGCGCTTCCGCACTATTCCCATCGCGCAGAAATCCTCAAAGATCCTCTGGGAGAAATTCCTCCAGTTCTACGACAACGATGATTTCGTAGGGATGGACATGGCCCGCAAGTTCATTCAGATGGGTATGACAAGGTCGAAGAGATATGCGAATTACAAAGGTGGAAGGAAATATGTCGATGGGAAAGAGAAAGGGGTTCAAAATGAGAGGAGTCAGGGGCATGAGGGGAAGGAAGAGAAAGAGGAGGCTAGTATGGTTTTCAGGGTGGTTTGGGAGAGGTGTAAGGAGCATGAGGGGTACCTGGAAATGAAGAAGGAGTTTCAGAAAGAACAGAAGGAGTGGGTTAAGAGCGAGAGGAAGGATGATGACTAGTACTCGTACCCAATGACTTCAACGGCAGTTTCATCTACAACACTGTCAGCCGAGGGAACTGGTCAGCGGTACGAGCAAGGACTCTCGGCCAATCTTCCACACATCAATTACTCGATCTCACGACAATTTACAAAGAAGTATGACAGCAAGAATCCACACCACACAATCCAGTTTCATGGTCACCTTCTCGATCTCCTTATATATCCGTCAACAACAAAAGTCACTCGTAGACACGCTCCTTCATTCTCGTCTCAACGCGTCCCCTTTCCTCCTCTAGCACCTTCGTCGAATCGGTCCACTGCTGACGTTGAAGTTGTCGGCCAGCCGTGAAAAGAACTTGCTGGTCTTCTTCCCAACAACAGGAGCGGATGAGACGGGTGGCTGTGGTTGAGGTGGCGATCATGTCGAGGTCGGAGTCGGGACGGCTGGAGGTGGGAGTGGTGGGAAAAGATGGGAGAGTGGTGAGAGAGGCGAGAGAGGCGAGAGATGGGAGGAACGAGAGGTTTGGAAGAGCTGGGAGGATTGGTGGTGGTGCTACTGCTACTGGTACCAGAATTGGTGCTGCTGGTGGAGTGGCGACGAAGCCAACTCCACGACCAGGGATCTGGACCGGTGCATATGCTGGCTCGAAGAACGAGTATCCGTACTTCTCCATTCCTGGTCGGACTATCTGCTGCCAGGCCCTTGGGAGGATGAAAAGAGAGATGTGGTGTTTGTGTTTGTGTTGGAAGATTGTGCTGCGGTTGCTGCTGGTATGCTTGAGCTTGGGGATGAGATAATTCGAATCGACGAGGAAGGAGGAAAGAGAGGAAGGATCGCAGAAGAGGAGAGGTTTAACTATACCCCAAGCTTACACTTGGGGGTGAGTGAACTGTCTAAACACAATGGCATCGTGGAAGTCCTCGAAGTGGTGGTTGACAATAAGGAAAATACGGTCCTCGCTTTGCTACAGTATTGTGTTTGGTGACAACACTAGATCATATACAGAACAACACTAGATCTTAAAGGTCCAATCGTCGGATTGGAGATCAAAAACAATTGCACGAAATTAGACGCTTACTCGCATAAGTTAGTCTCAATTACCTGGAGAGTCGGAGGAAAATAGCTATGGAATTGGTCCGTGAGTGAGATATGTCTTAGACGGAGAGCACGTCTCAGGACGAAGTGAACATGACCTCAACCAAATTCTCAATTACCATAAGAATTCAGGAATCATAGTAGATGAAACCCTCGTATATCTTCCGGGAATCTGGAAGAAGAAGAACGCGTGCTTCATTTAAAGTTGATGCATGCACACCGAAGGAAGGTGATGGTGAAACTTTAGATGACAGCTTGAGACGTATCAAATTGTGAATGCCTATCATTGATGGTGAAAATCATCAGGTATATTAAGTGGATGTAGCAGTGTATTGGAATATGTAATGAAAGCCCGTTGATAGATTGATCCGGTATAAGCAGGTTCCTAATAACGATATGATCAATCGAAAACCCCTTGGAAAGGTTGTGTGGACTACCATGATAATGAGTTCAATAGGATCTGGAGAGAAAGGTAGTATTATCTGCGCAGATCGGCGCCCAGAGATTCACGGTGTGGTCATTGGACATCGTGTGATTCATGTTTTGGCATGACTTTCGCACGTACTCCCGAACCAATCCCTTGTAAAGCAAGCTCAAAAGCCCGTAACCATTTCTATACTCACACGCAATGAGTCATCATGCCCTTTACCATCCAACGCCCTCCATGCCCTAAACGCCAAGATCCAAATACAACCAACCTCTCAAGCCTTCTTCGTTTCCACCAGGTCGAACGAATGTATCTGTAATCAGTTAGGATTTCCCCTTTTGCCTCAAGTCTCTTGCTCCATTCAAAGGAAAAACTCACACTCTCGGCAAAAGCAATCCAGTCCTCTAACCCTCTCACATACGGATCCGCCATCCCATCCGGTATCATCTCATGGCCCCAAACCACAATCTCCTCAAAGCCCGCTTGTTCCTCCATAACCTTCACCTCAGGCTCTTCATCTTCTTCCTCTTCCTCCTCTCCTTCCACCTGGTCATTCTGTGTCTGAACTGGCGCTCTCGGCAAAACCCTCTCCGTCTTCTCGACTACTACACCACGGTATTTGGAGGGGACTTTTAAGACTTTGCCGTGGAGTTTGCGGCCGCGGAAATAAGCTATGGTTTTGCCATCTAAATTGTACTAGTTTAACAACTCGATGATTACACACTCCAATGTGAATGTGGCAAAAGTGCAAGGCATACCTGGCTGCGCAGTTGGATTCCAATATCGTCTCGAAGTGTTGACAGCGCCATTGTGGTTTATTCTGCAAGGCAGCACATTGGGCGTACATTTGCCGCGATACGTTTTACTTCTCTCGAGGGCGAGCATGCTGGACTGGGGTTTGTGAGGTTTTCGAACAGGTCTGGAATCGGAAGTTGCAGAGGATGTTGAGTTAGACTGGACCTGTATTGAAGTGCTTGTCGCGAAAGTCAAGCGAGAGACGCGCCGACGCGATGAGCCAAGGCGAGGCCCAAGCTTTCGCCAAATCTACAGTATAGTACAGGGTTCTTAACTTAATTCCGAGTTGCAGCCATCAACTGAACGCCGGGTTTTGAGGGTTTTGGGGCTTTTGATATAACCCTTTCATCCTTTCGTATCAATTTTGAGGTGGCGGTCATGAAAGGTCGCGTGTCCATACTGTTATGTACCAGCCCATATCTGCTTGATCCTCGAGTTGATTGTTTGCTCTCGGCCCAGACTTCGTCAGACCTGCCTGCCATAAGGTATCTCACCATAGCTTGCTTCAGCGCTTCACCTATCGATCGAAACACTTAAAGTCCAGTCACGTTTCAATCCCATCCCCAAGCTCCTGTCCTTCCCAGAGCACGGAAGAAAATGAACCGGATAGATGTGTGTTGAGCATGGTGGGCTTCTTGTCTGAAGCTTGAGAGTCTGCAAGTCAATGCGGTTGGTGGTGATTGCCAAGGGTCGAAGGTGTGGAGGGGTAAGTTACAGTAGAGGGTAGGAATGCCGCCAGGGGCCGGGGGCTGCAGCAAGATCCCGGTACATTACATACACATTTCACAGGGAAGCAAAGTGCGTTTTCCATATGGAGAGCGAGCGTCAAGAATGTGGTAAATCACAGTACGAAGGAAGACCCTGAATATCTTTCATGAGTCGCTCTCTGAAAGTCGGTCAAGAAGAAGAAGAAGAAGAAGAAGAAGAGTACGTGGCCAGACCAGGCCAGATTTCGAGCGCAAGTCGGGCTTCTACAATGTCCGGAAAGTGATAATGGGAGCTGGAATGGGAATGGTGATGTCAAGACTCGCTCGCTACCATCCAGATGATCAGATCTCACGTCCGCAAGACAGGCGAGACAGGCTCTTGGATTTTCCTGGACTGCGTTGCACTGGGAAACGCCGCGGAGTGTTGGGCCCCTGCAATCGTTCCAAAGACACCTCATAATCTGGACTTGTACAGTACATGGATTATTGCGAGCCCTCATGCAGGGTACCAGGCACTGCATCGACCCCATTGGCAGCTCAGGGGCAAAGAGTTCTGCCTCAACCTTCTTCTTGCTCACATCACAACGACTCCGAGCATGTCAGCTTCTAGAAACGCTACCTTCGCATTCGCCTACTATGAACTATCCAATTGGATACCTATATTGGAACTTCAAGCTAAAGTCAATTACTGGAGAGGGAAATGCTCAGTCCGGTCATTGCGATGCCTGCGATGCAATCCTCCACATGCACAGACATGCGCTGGGCTTTGCTTTACTTTGCTTTGCTTTGCTTTGCTTTGGCCAAAATGCACTAGAGGTGGGGCAGCAAAGTGGTCGATGTATTGGGTTTACCTCCCCCTCCCTTGCCCCATTTGAGGAAGGCTGGAACACCGCCTTTCGTCATGAGGGGCACTGTTCCTGGGAGTGCTGCTGCTGCTGCTGCTGCTGCACAGGAAGGCCGATTCACTGAACATCATTGTCCAGCCCATGGATGTACGTCCGAGGCCGGGCCATTTATTTTGCGTCCATCCTCTTCTCTTTTCTTTTCTTTTCTTTTCCTTTCCTCTCCCCTCCTCTCTCTCCTTTTTCCTATCTACATTACTCAGAACCTTTTACCTCTTTACCTCTCCTCAGCCCCGTCCCCTGTGTCTCATTGAATACGGCGATTTTGCGCCGGGAATTCGTTCTTGTGCTTCGCGCCCTCTAGTTCCTCAACAAGTTTTGCCCCGAATCTCTCCCCCTCGAGAGTAGTACACGCAACTCTCACGATGACTTCCTACCTTCCCACAGCTGTTACGCAGCCGTTGGCGCGCGGCGTCGACTTGCTTCGGGGGACCCTTGGAGGCATGTCCTGGGGCCCAGCTTTGTCTGTTTCCAAAGCAGCTGTCACGTCTCTCCTAAGTAAAATAGAAGTCGGACAGCTGGTTATTGTCGATGAAACGAATGGGCAAACGACTACTTACGGGCAAAAGATCGCAAAGGAACATTCCAGAAAATCCAATGGCGTCAATGGTGTTCATGGCGCATCGAAGAGGGCGGGAGTGATCCGTAAAGCCGAATTGGTAGTCAAGAGGGAGGCGTTCTGGGTGCGATTGTTTCTGTTTGCCGATATGGGATTCGCGGAGGCATACATGTTGGGGGACTTTGAATGTGAAGATTTGACGAGCTTTTTCGAGGTAGGCTGAATGCCCCCAGAATGTCCCAGACCATGACTAACCTTGCAGATCTTCATCCTGAACCGTAGCCAGCTTGCCAATGCAACGACACTGACTTCCTCGATTGCCGCGACCATAACTGGACTTGCGAGGAGCACCAACACACTTTCCAATTCCTTGTTAAATGTGTCAGCCCACTACGACATCAGCAATGAGATGTTCGCCGCTTTCCTGTCCGAAGACATGACCTATTCTTGCCCGATCTGGAAACCTGTTTCCAGTGCTGATGAGACAGAAGAAACCCTAGAAGCTGCTCAAATGACGAAATTGAACCGATTCATAGACGGCGCGCATATTAAACCTACAGACCATGTTCTGGAGATCGGTACTGGCTGGGGATCTTTCGCGATAGAAGCAGTGAAGAAGACTGGATGCAGAGTCACTACTCTAACACTGTCAATTGAGCAGAAGGCACTGGCCGAGAAGAGGATTGCGGCAGCTGGATTCACGGATAAGATCGAAGTGTTGCTCATGGACTACAGAGCACTGCCAACTCCCAAAGTGCTATATGACAAAGTCATTTCCATCGAAATGTTGGAAGCAGTAGGAGCGGAATACCTTGAAACCTATTTCTCTTGCATACATCGGCTTTTGAAGAAAGACGGCATTGCGGTCTTCCAATGTATCACGATGCCAGAAGGACGATACGAAGCATATGCAAAAGGAGAGGATTTCATTCGGAAATATATCTTCCCCGGCGGTCATCTGCCATCTATCAGCCAGCTCGTGGAGAATATTAGCAAGGGATCGGAAGGAACGCTTGTTGTGGAAAAGATCGAGAATATTGGAGGCCACTATGCAAAGACGTTGCGGTTGTGGCGCGAGGAGTTCGTCAAAAACTTTGAGTCACGGATCCGGCCGGCCTTGATGAACGAGCACGATAATATGGGTGAGAAGGAGGTGGAAGTGTTCCGTAGAAAGTGGATCTACTATTTCGTCTATTGTGAGGCTGGTTTTGCTACCAAGACCCTGGGGGATGCCATTATTACCGTAGGCAGAGAAGGCGCCATGGAGTTGATGGAGGGGATCCCATTATGATTTATGCCACCTAGCGTGCATTCGATTCAAGCGCTGGAGTCCGGAAGACACGATATTTGATTTCTTGGCAGCGTAGAGGGTTCGTGGAGCGGTAGATGCGCTATTGTCCTGCCGTTTGTGGTAGATTCGAGATATAATTCCCCATTCCGACCGTAGCTTTGACTTATGAGATCGAATTTATTACTTCCTTTCCTCAGGTATCTCAACGTTTGCCTTTCTTCTTCTTTTGTCCTTTAGGTTTCTTTGGTCCAGGTGTTGCTGTTGGATACCGTTGAGCATGCTCGACATCGAAGCCTGACTTGTGTCTTCTGAACAGCAACATTGTAGCTCGAGCATCCTCGATACTTGAATGTTCTCCTCCCTGGATGTCCACCCCCAATAACTCCTTAGCCAGCTTCCTCAGACTCGGCGTCCTTCCTCCATTGTACTTCCTGAACCCTGAATACCGCGACGTATCTCTAATGTCTTTCCTTGGATGGCCCAACATCATGGCTGCCAAATCATTCTTGATCGCATGTCCAATCAAAACTCTCCCCTCCAATATTTCCGCAATCTCCTTCTGAACGACTTCGAAATCCCTCGCGGTCGTCATATTTTTCGGCGAGACACCACTGACATACGTCCTCCAGTCCGTAACAAACTCCTTCGGCTTCACAAACGAATCGTACACCTGCGTGCCGTGAAAGTTGACAATACTGACTCGGGCTAAGACAGACTGTGCTCCTCCTTCCCCCACTCCCACCATTTCGCAATCGATTCCTACGTATTTGCCAATGTCGACGCCCTCAATCAAGCCTCCATTGATTATATCTGCCTTTGTGCCTTTGATCGTGGTATCCTTCAGACCTCCTCCATATGCCTCGGCGAGATCTTTCGGTGAGATATCATTGTCTTCTGCCCAGAGAGCCAGCGAAGCAGAAGGTGCCTTCGCATCTTCAGGTGCTTCTAACTGCTCTGGTGATGGCACGGCTGCCTCGACACTTCCGCCGCTACCCATTTTTCTCTTCTTTGCGACCCTTGAAGGATTGGGTACGACTTTGAACGGTTTGACCGGGTTGCCTTCTAACCTCCTACGCTTTGCGATGGAGTTTTGTTGTCGCTCAGTAGGAATCGCTTTCCGTTTCCGCTCCGTACTAGCTTTCGATTCTGCTTTCAACGTCGCCTGGAGCTTCTTCCAATTACTCGAAAATTCCGGTGCCATTTCGTGATAGCCTTCGTCACCGATTCATTTCCTTTCTGATGCTGGAGTGAAAAGTTGAGTACAGAATAGAATGTGGTTAAAATGAAAGTTCAAGATGAAGCTTCTCGGTCAGTCTGGAAATTTCTCCAGCCAATTTTTAGGCGAGGCTCAGAAGCATCCCGCCGCTAAAACACCCCCCAGCCTCGTCTCTTGCCCCTCCAAGAACATCAACGAGCAACGAGGAAATCATCGATGTCACTCGCGCAACAATTAATTTTCATCGATTAAATCGCGGTTTCCATCATGGCGGGGGGCGCACAGGCTCAAGATAGTAATGTGGGGTCGCCGGCGCCGAAGCAGAAGGGTCGGGCGACGGTGGATACATTGAAGTGAGTCTTGATTTCGCTGGTCGCGAGGCCGAGTGGACTTGTTTTTACTGACGCTGGTACAGGATCGGTTGTATTGCTATGGTAGTCAAAGTGAGTACTACTCAACCCAGTCTCATGTCAAAGCAACCTCAGAGAACACATTCTTGTTTAGACTTTTAATCTTTCATGTGATTACTGAAGTCGAGAATAATGCTAAACGATATATAGGATGGCAAACCACGCAAAGCAGAGATTCTGAGTATCAAAGAGACTAAGAGTGGTCGGCAATTCTACTGCAATTTCGATAACTTTAACAAACGTCTTGATGAATGGGTACCGACTGCCCGCATTGACTTCACTCAAGAGGTAGAATGGCCAAGTCCAGAGAAACCCAAAGAGACGAAAAAGGCTTCTGCCCCTGTGGCAAGAAAGACAGTTGCTCAAAAGAAAGGTCAGAAACGACCTGCAAGGACGAGAGAGGCATCAATAGCTTCAGAAGCAAGCACGCCACGGCCTTGGCCAGAATTCTCGGAATCTCAGAAGGCTACCCCAGATCCAGAAGGCGAGGAGAAACTTACTCTTGCCCTGGATCTTGATGCTACCCCAGGAGCCGAGGAAGATGATCCCATGGATGTGGATGAAGTTGTTCAGAGCGCTGTAGCGGCGAAAGCAGAGCCTCCTGAGCAGTACAACCGGGAGGAAGAGATTGAGAAACTTCGAGTTGGAGGGTCTATGACCCAAAACCAAGCCGAAATCTCCCGTATCAGGAATATCTCGAAAGTACAGTTCGGTAAATACGAACTCTACCCGTGGTACTTTTCACCGTATCCAGAAGCCTTCACGCAAGAAGATCTGATGTACATTTGCGAGTTCTGCCTGAGTTACTTTGCCGACAGTAAATCATTTACACGGCATCGACATAAGTGTACCTTGCAGCATCCTCCTGGAAATGAGATCTACAGAGATGACTATGTTTCATTCTTTGAGATCGACGGCCGTCGTCAACGGACCTGGTGCCGGAATCTCTGTTTGTTGTCCAAGATGTTTTTGGATCATAAGACACTTTACTACGACGTCGACCCGTTCTTGTTCTACGTCATGACAGCTAGAGACGAGAAAGGTTTCCACCTAGTCGGATACTTCTCCAAAGAGAAAGAAAGTGTGGACGGGTACAACGTCGCTTGTATCCTCACACTCCCACAATTTCAAAGGAAAGGCTACGGTCGCCTCCTCATTCAATTCTCGTACGAGCTCTCCAGCATCGAAGGCAAGCTCGGCTCTCCAGAAAAGCCTCTTTCCGATCTAGGACTCCTCTCCTACCGACAATACTGGACCGAGAACCTCGTCGAAGCTCTCATCGAAGCCAATGAGACAGACTCCAAAGTCAGCATTGACATGCTGGCGAATAATCTGTCTATGACGTCTCAGGATGTGGAGAGTACGCTGCAGGCGTTACAGATGCAAGTTTATCACAAGGGCGAGCATAAGATTATCCTGCCCACGCATCTCATCAAGAAGCATGAGACGATGAAGGAGAAGCAGAAGACGAAGCCGAAGAGGGTTATTGATCCAACGCTGATACAGTGGAAACCACCTGTTTTTACGGCGAGCTCGAGGACTTGGGGCTGGTAGATGGAATTGGGTGGATCGGTTTGGGTTGGATATACTTATGGCGTCAGGGATACGGCAAATAAAGGCGTAGTGATAGGTTGTAGAGTAGATTGATATCACAAAATTGTGAGGATTCATGGCAGGATGAATTGATGCCTTTCGCTATAGCGTTGCGTATGTCTACTTTCAAGGGTGCCTGCCTCCTGAATCCTATTATTACATTATTAACTCACCTTCAGCCACCCTTCTATTCTCAGCAGACATATTCGACCCTTCTTTCTAAGCCTGCATCTACGTCCTTTCTGATTTCACTTGCCACGTCCTTCGAAAAGTACGCAATGCCGAGCTCTTGACTAGTATACCAACTGCAAAGGCTTCGAGTTAGCATGATCTGAATCAAAACATACACTCCCGTGTTTCCGTCATGTCAAATAACATCATGGCTCGAGAACGTACCTCGCACGGTCCATATTCCCACTCCCCAGCACCGTCACCTCTTCATCAACAATGACTAATTTCAGGTGACTCTTTACCGGCTCCTCGTCCCTCTGCACGCCATCACTGGGGTGATAATACCCAATCTTTAGCCCTCCCATCCTGCCCTCACCCCTCTCAATGTCCACATTCTCATCTAGACCTCGCTTCGTACGTTTCCCACAGACCTTTCTATACCACCTCCTCAATTTCCACATCTCAAACTCCGTAACCGTACCAGCGGTAACTAGTTGCTCCAATATCATCAATCGGCTGCTCGTCACGAGATGCACGTCGACGCCGCGGTTGAGGGCGGAGCGTAGAGCAGCGATAACCGGGAAACAGGTAATGTTGGGGGTTTGGATATAGATGGTGGAAGTTGCAAGGGAGAAGGCTTGTAATAGGAAGAGGTTGAGAGGAGTTGGTGGAGATGGTGGTGTGGAGACGATGAGAAAGCGGGGGTTCAAGTGGTGGGGGGAAGGGAGAAGGATGGTTTGGGGAGGGAGTAATGTTGGTGGGAAGGCTCTTTGGGTGATTAGTGAGGTTGTTGGAGCTGCTGTTGCGGTTTGAGGTGTTGCTGAATTTGCATTTGTTACCAATCCTGGTAATTGGGCATTTGTCTCCTCAGACTCGTTGTCTTGAGGTAGAGAAGCAGGCAAGCTCGTCTTTCCTTGCGCCCAAAATGCGACCCAGAAATCAAAAAGCTTCGCCGCAATACCACCTCTCATCTCAATACACCCCTCAAACCAATTCTCCCAGCTCACATTACATGATGGCATGAATGCGAGCTTGCGATCCACGAGAATGAATTTAGGATGCATGACGCTAAACGGTCGTACAAACACACTCTTCACATCCATATCTAGCCCCGTGAGATCTTCAGGTGCGGGCAGTCCTATATCAGCCCATGTTGACGCTGAGTAGACTTTCCCATTTAGCGAGGATGTTTGGAAAAGTTTCTGGGCGATAGATCGCGAGGAGAAGCATAATCGGACATTGATCTTGCGATTCTGGGATAGGCCTTTGCTTGAGAGTTTTAAGAGGAGAGAAGAGATTTGTTCTTGGGAGATGGATTTCGCCCAGAAACAGGTTACAATGATGAGCTCATGGCTTGTGGACTCGCATTTTTGGAGAGTGCTGGTGAGGATCTCAGCACCCGTGCCGAGGTTGAAGGAGAGTGGTCGGGAGGTGGTGATTAGATTTGAGGCATCAGAAGACCAGTAATTTGGCGACTCAGTTGTGGTGGATTGGGCGGCCTTCTTGACATTATAGAGCCAGCCTTCTGTGAGGGCTTTGGTGAGGGTCGCCATGATAAAGGAATCAGATGCTGGTGTGTGGGCATCGTGTCATGAGGCGGTATAAAGGGAAGCCATACTTGCGCGAATTTAATGGAGTTTAAAATAACGAGTTTGGTAAAGTATTGGGAATGGTACCTGACATTGCTGAGGTTGGAGGAGGAAAGAAAGTTGGCAGAGCATGACCAAGCTGATGTTGACAGTCACGTGAGGCATCTCGCCAAGAGGACGCCCTTGGCAATTAAGTCTGAGAAGTAATTATCTATATCAATAATGGAAGAGGAATCGACTGCTTGTTTCGCCAAAGAGTGAATGGGCTCGCAATTTTTGATATGTAGAGTTGTACAGCTATAAATGAGAAGGCACATTTGTCCACAAGCTGGGAGGGGCAGTTTGCTAAAATGGCAACCTCGCAACAATCAAGAAGTTCGTCCCCGATCAGTATCAAAAGTCAACAGACAACAGTCGAGCTCAAGAAGGATGATTGCAGAGTTCTCGGGGTTGCCTCGGAATTGCGAATCCTCGAGGCTGGCCTTGGCGCCAACTCCTCCACAGTTCCTTGAAGGCAAAGGCTGGTCTCTAGGAATCGCTACAGGCTCACTTAAAGTATTGCGCTGCCAATGGACAATCAGCCAGGTAATAAGTAGTTCGTAGGATCATTAATTCAGCCACGTACGGTGCCTTGGGGCTTCAGCTTCTCTGCTCTGCTCTTCAGCCTCGTGTGTTCAGTTGTTGCAGGGATCTAAACCTCGGCATCTCGAACGGGCGGATGACGGCTGCGTTGACGATTGCCACAGCTTCCTCCGCATTCTCTCCCCACACCAGCTATTCTACCCCATTCTATCTGCGAACTACTTCTATTACACCTCCTTTCCTTTTTCAAACTTCGAGAACTCATTATTTCTGTGGCTTATTGACCACCATGGCCCCCAATAGACAAGTTATACTCCCTGTTATCCCTTTAGCCAAAGATACTGTCCTCCTCCCCGGAATCGTCCTGAGGATCCCAGTTGCTAGCAACCGCGCTGATATCCCCGCCTTACTATCCAATGTTTACAGTCGAGCTGCATCGAAAACCCACAGTCAGAGGCTCGATAATGTCAACATCGCATGCGTGCCGCTGGGCTCGCCTTACCTTACGAGCCATGGCCAGAAGATGATAACGGGGGACGAACGGAATCTATCAGCGAAGCAACGTCAGGACGTGAATCCTGGCAGTGCCACAAAGGATGACATATTTGGTTATGGAGTGGCTGCGAAGATAACTGGAGTCGAGGGACGAGGTACCGGCGAGTTTGCTTTATTAGTGGAGGGGATTGCTCGGATTCGGATCGAAAAGGTCACCCAAGAACGCCCATTCTTTGAAGCAGAAGTCACATACGAATATGACGATGGTAGGCCCAAATAAATATATGGTAAAAATAAGGCTAACACCCACAAGCAATATCAGCGGAGGATGTCGCAATGCAAGGACTGTTCGCACATCTCAAGCAGCTCTCTCGCGAACTGCTGACACTCCTTCGTTTGTCCTCGCTTCTTCCCAGGACTTCCGGATCTGTTGGGCTATCTCCAGTTCTTGCTCGGCGACTCGAATTATATATTGCACGGAAAGGTTTACAAGATGCAGGCGTCTTGGCGGATTTCATGGCAAACATAGTTGAGGCTTCATTTGAGGAGAAGCTGGAGGTTCTCGCTGCTCTCGATGTGAAGGACCGCCTCGAGAAAGCTATTGAGCTACTTCAACGCCAAGTCGGAAACATCAAGAACAACGTTAGCATTACAACCTTTACAAGCACAAGTCTTCCTGCAAACATCGACCTGGATCAGGTGAATCGAATTAATAATCAGAGGACACGAAGACATGGCAATGCAGGAATGACGCTACCGAATGGCCTGGGGGTGGGAGCGCCTGGGGAAGAAGACCAAGAACCGAATGAAATGGAGGAGTTAAAGAAGAAAATTGAAGCTGCCAAAATGACACCAGAAGCTGCAAAGGTTGCCGACAGAGAACTCAAGCGGTTAAAGAAGATGTCACCTGCTCAAGCGGAATACCAAGTTACTCGAAACTACCTGGAAAATTTGACTGAGATCCCTTGGACTACAACCACCGAAGATCAACTTGGTGTGGAGACATTGACCAGAGCAAGAAAGCAATTAGACGATGACCACTATGGACTCGACAAAGTGAAGAAGCGTCTCCTCGAGTACTTGGCTGTGCTCAAGCTCAAACAGTCCATCAATGAAGATGTCAATGCGCAGATTTCAAAGGCAGAAGAAGAGAAATCGGAAGCGAAATTGGAGATCTTGAAGAGCAAGAAGATGATCGACAAATCGCCTATTCTGCTCCTAGTTGGACCCCCTGGTGTTGGAAAGACGAGTCTAGCAAAGTCAGTTGCCACAGCCTTGGGACGTAAGTTCCATCGAATATCTCTTGGAGGTGTGAGAGATGAAGCGGAAATCAGAGGACATCGAAGAACATACGTTGCAGCCATGCCGGGTTTGATTGTCCAAGGCCTGAAAAAGGTCGGGGTCTCAAATCCTGTCTTTCTTCTTGATGAAATTGACAAAGTTGGGTGAGTACCATTCATTATGTATTGGAAGCTTGTCTTGGACATACAGTTATCGACATGCTGTAGCCTGACTTGGGGCGTTGACTTTACCCGAATCTTTCTTCCTAGTCTTTGCATGCGTCTCTGACGGCCGTGAACACAATGCTGAATGTTTATGCAGGACATCGAATTTTCATGGTGACCCTTCTGCGGCCATGCTCGAAGTTCTAGATCCCGAGCAGAATCATACATTCACAGATCATTACGTCAATATTCCAATTGATCTAAGCAAGGTTCTTTTCATTGCAACTGCTAATAGCCTTGACACTATTCCTCCTCCTCTGCTAGATCGTATGGAAACCATCGGTCTATCAGGATACACCACTCTCGAAAAGCGCCACATCGCTCTCCAGCATCTGATCCCAAAGCAGATACGGACAAGTAAGCATCATTCACACTTAACGACCTGCCAAAGACTAACCCTTCGCAGATGGTCTCGGGGATGGACAGGTCGAGTTCAACAACGATGTAGTGTCCAAAATCATCGAGTCATACACTCGGGAGTCTGGTGTGAGAAATCTTGAAAGAGAGATTGGCTCAGTCTGTCGTGCGAAGGCTGTGGAGTACGCTGAAGCAAAAGACGCTGGCCATTCGGGTAAGTCGTTCCTAACCCTAGCAGGATATCACGAACTGAACTGTGTCGCAGAGAAGTACAAGCCCCAGCTGTCCGTAGAAGATATCGAGGAGATCCTTGGTATCGAGAAGTACGATGAAGAAATTGCCGAGAAAACAAGGTAATCCATCCCGATTATCCCTGACATTTGTTCCCGATGTCGTGTTCCCAATGCCATGGGCAATTGCGTGAAATGCAGGACAGGAGATACAAAATCTCCGCATTTATATTGTGGCTAAGCAAATGCTGACGAGAAATGACCAGTCGACCTGGGATCGTGACCGGTCTCGTGGCTTACAGCTCAGGTGGGAACGGGAGTATACTTTTCATTGAAGTCGCCGACATGCCTGGAAGCGGGAGTGTGCAGCTTACAGGAAAGCTGGGAGATGTCCTGAAGGAGAGTGTTGAGGTAGCACTAAGCTGGGTAAAAGCCCATGCTTACGAGCTGGGATTGACAGCTGATCCCTCGGAAAATATCATGAAGAATCGCAGCATCCACGTCCATTGCCCATCAGGGGCAATCCCAAAGGTATGTCTAATTTTGCACCATTCTAACTCTTTCTGACGGGTTCCAGGATGGACCGTCAGCTGGGATGGCGCATACGATCGCCCTCATCTCCTTGTTCTCCGGCAAAGCCGTCCCTCCAACAATGGCTATGACTGTAAGTTGTACTTGACCAATCCTCTGGGACTCAATTGACACAAAGTAGGGAGAAATTTCTCTTCGCGGCCGAGTCACTGCAGTTGGAGGTATCAAGGAGAAGCTCATTGGTGCTCTCCGTGCTGGCGTCAAGACCGTTCTCCTACCTGCCCAGAATAAGAAAGAGTAAGCATGCAATCCACCCGTTGATCTGCCCGAAGCTTAACGTTACCTAGTGCAAAGGATCTGCCACAAGAAGTCAAGGATGGACTGGAAATTATCCACATCAGGTATGTATCGCAATGTCTCTCTTCATCATCTAATGCTGATCAATTGTGCAGGCACATCTGGGAGGCAATGCAGCATGTCTGGCCCGGAGTACACTGGCCTGGAGAGCAGAACTTTGCTGGCATCGAGAGCCGATTGTAGCTCATCTTTCGAGCGATTTTTGACACGGCCTCCCGCTGCATTGTACAACGTATTCCCCCCTTTTCCCACTGGTTTCTTGTATCTGCCCTATTTCTGTCCAAGAGTTGCAGCACAGTGCAGGGAATTGGGAGGCAGGAAGGTGGTTTGATTGGCCCCATTCTCGGATCTCGAGGCCGAGAAATGGTGTCACGGCGTCAGACTATCTCGCACTGCATGTATGTAATGTAACTACCGCCATCAATCACCTGAAGATTCTTTTGATGCAACTTGAACACATGCTACCCCTTTTGCCCTAGCACAAGCCTGTATGATCTGCCTTGAACCCTGTATCGTCGTCCCAAGCATTCCAAATTCTTTCCAAATGAAACAAGGCGGACTCTGAGCCCATACCACTTCTGTTTACTTCTCGCTTCTTTTCTTGCATCATATCCCCCGCAGCTTACCCGGCCTCCTACCCTCGCTGCAAGATTAGCCAATCCTTTATTGTCATCCACATCTCTCTACCCCTCCTGTTCACGCACGTATCCCCGTACAGACATATGCAAGCCGCTCAACACAGGCGCAACACAACATATGCATGCAAGTCGCCGCTCCGAATACTTCGGAACCAAGGCTAGGAAAGCGGCGATCTGTTCGCTTGATTCCGAGGTGGGTGGGAAAGGCAAGGCGAGGTAAGGATGTGCCTACGGTGTAGATGTTATGTAGTGGAATGGTTTAGTGTATGGACATGGATAGACATGACTGGCAAAGCTGTGTTCTGCAGGAGATTGAACGTATGAAAAGCACGAGGATGCAGCTGAAATATGAGCTTGCCATTGATCTGCATGGTACTTGCCAGCTTGCTTGCACTGATATCGGATTTGCGATGGAGGCAGAATCCACTAAATAAACTTGAAAACGCCAGCCAAAGAAGCTGAGTATCACAACGCAACACACAAACTTCTGGGCCTTGTTCGTGGGAATCCCCTGGGTATGCTTGCATATCTGCATCGGTGCTCTTCATGCATGCAAGTATACGGATTAGAAGTGTTCGTGAGCCACAAGGACATCGAGCAACTTGAAGGAAGGACACATCAGAAAAGGTGAAGGTGGACATCGGTGTAAGCTACGCAAGCAGTTCATGCACAGTCCCGGAGATGTATTACCATCTGGTGTAATCGCACATGTACGAAAAATCGATGCCTGTGTTGGGATTTGTTTCGCAGGATCAGGAACCTCTATTGGTAAGGTCAAAATCCACATGTAAGAGTAGCGAATCGAGTAAATCAGACACAGCAACTACAATGAATCGAATCTCGACACATAACATAGGATGAGCTGAGAAAAAAGCGAGTTCATGCCGCACAGCACGTGTCACAATATCTCTTGTTTACTTTGGTTCGAAGGCGATCACTATGAACCAAGAATGTGACCAGTATTAGGGTGCTTTACTGTAGGGAAAAAACTCTTCATCATGAAATTACCAACAGCTTGAACTTCTCGCTGTCTATCTCTCGGGTCGACCAGATTAAGATGTACAATATCTCCTTAATTATTTCTCACTTCACCTGAGAGGAACTTGAGACGTCCATATTCGTTGCTTCTGTTCCTATGTACTCCACCAAGCTCTAGTACATGACTCCCGGACATGAAAACATGTGAAGCAAAGATATGCACAAGGACTCTGCCCACATGGGTATCAATGTCAACAAAGTTATCGTCCCCTCTCAACTAAGCGAAATTCAAATCACTCAGAAAAGAAAGAAAGACATTCCATTCCTCAAGCTTCTCCGGAAATATTGACCGAAGTCCCCGAGTCCCGAGTCCCGAGTCCCTGATCCCGTCATCGGTAGATCGTCGCAGAACAGAAAAATTCTCCATTCTTCAATCCCCTTCCGGACTTCGGAAAGATCTGATCTGATTGTTCGACCCGATCCCATTGGTTTCGATTTCTCGGGTCAAGTCACTGTCTCACCCACACATGAACACATACACACAGACGCAAAGATTCAGATCAGATTCAGATCACTGTCTCAGCCGCCTTTTACCGTGCGATTCCTTCCCACCCTCCCTTGCTTTTTGGTAGTTTGCATTAACACTCCGAAAATATGCATGAGCCGCTATAGTCTGACGAACTATAACAACATGCTTTGATGCATAACAGAGCGGATATAATAGCATGGCGTTTGTTGCGTGGCTAGCGTCTTTAGACATGCACTCCTGCGTTTGGTTTCTTATGCGGAGGATGCATTTTCTCAGCGCAACGCTCGCTTGGACTGTTTGGTTTGGTGCGTTCATGCGAGCACCTCTGCATTGTTGCTTTTCCAAGAGGCGTTTCGATCGATCATGATATGCTGCTTTTCTCCGTAGGGTGTATGATGATGCCATTTGAATCGTTCTTGAGATTGAGTCTGACCTTGGTTCAGATTGTGCTTTTTATTTTTCAGAGCTCTGTAGCCGACATTTGAAACATTTTGACAGCTGGGAATTGAGGCCGCAGATACTTGTCTTAGACACAGAATAACATGCTTAGGGAGCCGTGGCTCGATTTTTACATTCTTTATCGAGACACATGTGGGAAGACACGCTTGTGCCGTGATGACGATGGATCTTCGTTCTTTGCAAGTGCGTGGTCAAAGTAGCATCAAACTCACACAAGATTACATTTCGCCTATTCACAGGCACGATGTATTGTAGGACATGGCATGGCGAAGAGAAGACACTGCACAAACATAAGTTCAAGAGCATTGCATTGGGAAGTTGTGTCGCACACAGAGTGGGCTCGATCTTTGCGGCAGTATGGTAGACGTGGACAGTCTTTGCTAGAGGAGATTCTAGAAAGCAAAATGAGCTAACCGACTCTTCTCATCGTGGATATATGAGTCGATTGGTGCATCTTGGGGCCTAGACACGGATCTGCTCGGATGCTGAGCCGTAATGCCAATGTTAGCTTCAGCTAAATTACGAGACACCATACCGTATTGTGTAGTCTCTGCATGCCCCGATATTGTATAATTTATGCCGATCAAGATATACTCTTGGACTCGTTTCTCGAACCGGTATGATCAAACGAATCAACCATAGAAACTGTCATCAACAAGAGGGTGTCTCTTTAGAAAAGTGATGTATTGTTCTGGTCCCGCTGTCTTCCAAGGGTAAGGCGACAACAGCCAACGTGCAGGAGCCGTTGTATTGGTCCCATATTGCCGTAATCAAACGTGCAGTAGTTGTGCGATCGCCAACTAGACAGTCCCGCTATTGTGAAAAGCTGGAACGGAAAGGCATTCCGGAGGAGGGGGATATGCGAATCTCACGTACTCCACTGCCGGTCGTGCTTACAATCTCCTGGCACCAATTTACGGCTTGCACACCACTGGTGAAGTCAGCGAGGTGATCATTTGTTACATTTGCGGAGGACTGATGTGAAGAGGCCAGAAGTAAAGTTATGTCGGCGAGGATTTGCGCTTTGAGATATAAGCAGGTCGAAGGGACCATCACAGTCATTCAAGTTTAGCAAGGATTGCTCAAATGCCGACATCAAGGCCTAAACTAAGCCTTCTAGCTAAAGCTCCACGAATCGGCCTATGGGGAAGCGTACCAATCTATAAGGCTTCCATTTTTATCATTGGCTTGAGTTAGAGATATGCAAAAAGAAAGTAATCCCAAGAAAGACGGCGCAGTCACGATAATATGTGGTGGGTGGATCTCATTATTGGACTGGTTAATACTGTAGATTTGAAATTTTCAAACTCTCTCGGAGTTGCTTCCGAACAGGGGTTTAGTGGCGATGATCCTGCTTCCTGATAGAATTAGCTAGACAATTAAGGGCGCTGGTGGGTTGGACTTATTAAGATTCGGCAATTGGAGAATAGGAGAAAATGGAGAATAGGGAAGATCATGTGCACGCCGGGATCGGGGCGTCGGTCGGATCTTTAAGCACATGGGAGAAAGCCGTCTTGGAGGCACCGCTATCGAAATTTGGCTGGTGAGGTTATCGATAAAACTATACGATAATGACATGTTTATGACAAGGCTATGCCATTCCAATAAGGCTGGGAAATTGCAATATACTGCATGGGGCCTCTTGTACCCGTAGCGCGGTAGTCTATTGAACTGAGTGTTGTGTGGCAGGTGTCACAACCCAAGGCGTAAATCCTTCGGGCTAGTCAGCCACACCTTATGGTGCCGGTCTGGCGGGTGAGGCCAGTGCACTCACACTTTGTTCGATGGCAGATGCACATCATCGAGACGAAGGAATTAAGGCGACATTGGCGTTGGTGCTACGCTGGGTCTGCGAACCGAGAGTATCTCGCTGTTGACTTGCTCGATTAGGTCTAAAGGTGGCTTGCACCTTAGGCCAGCTCCCAAATATACTCGAGTAGGTATAGGATTGACAGGTTTTGAGCAGTTTCTGAACTTCGAGACTAGCATACAGACGGCAGCATTAAGTCTGGCTGTTGAAGGTTGGCTTGCTCGTCAGAAGACCTGTTGGCTCGGGAGTGTGCCGAGTCTCACGGTCTACTAACTCCTGAGTAACGAGGAGGTACAAAAGAGACTCCCGTGATGTGGGGAAATGCAGACTTATACCAAAAGTTGCTTAAAGCTGTACGAGCTTTGGGAACAGAGGCCCAGGTCTAAACTCGCCTCAGCGAATAGTGAAAGAAGCTTTAGCACTGGGTCGGGCTCCACCCAGACTCTAGGGGAATATCTGCCATACGAAATGCTTTGATCTTGGGCTTTACGTGCGACCGTGCGGATCCACGGTCGTAGGATATTTTGAACCAAAAGGAGATTTTGATCGTGGGCTTGTGGAAGACGGGCATTCGGCTCGTCAAACACATTAAACAATTATCCGTTTCTGAGCTGGCTTTCGAGCGGCCGCCCTGATGCCTCCTCTTGAGTGGCCGAAATACGAAGACTGAACTCTATGGAGCAGATCTGAGAGTAGAGATGGGCAGATCTTGAGCCTCGCAGTCTGGGCATTGAACTCTAACAGCGGAGATGGATTTTAATGCTGACCAGCGGAAGAAAAAGTACCAACGTAGATGCACTTCAAGTAACAATGAGAAAGTACCGACTGCTTAGTACGGCATATTCAAGAAGAAATAACAAGCACGGTAAAGTAGTATTTGTAAACAGCGAAAAGAACCCGCCGTACTAAACATAGCTTCCATGCCGATGAGATTTGAGCGGGGGTATGAAATCAATGGGTTTGCGTAATATATTTATTTGGCGACGAAGCCTGACGAGGCTGGGAACATGCTGTCAGCCTTGATCCCCACAACATGGGTACACACAGTACCACCCACTGATCATATCCATACAAGGCTGACGAACTCTTAGAGCGGAGGGGGCACCGGTTTCGCCACGGCTAGCGGCGGTGAGGAACAATGTTGACGGGAGGACGTTGGCCCCAGCCCGTGAATTAAGGTGTGAGAGGCTGATTTCGGGGCCAATAGTGTCGCTGCTATCGACTCGCAATCGATAGAGTAGGTGACCAAGCGGTTGTGATAAATCCCTCCAACCTTCCCACCTCTGGATGGATGTTCAGGAAATGAGGAATACATAAGGCGCGGTCGGTGCTGGTGCAGCAAGGTGTCCTTTGGCATGGACACCTAACCTGAAGCACAAAACACGAGATTAAATGTCCTTTTGCGTGCGCTTTGATGATGGCCATGTTCGGATCTGCTCTGGTCTGGTCTGGTCTGCTCTGCTCCAATAGTAATATCGGCCAGGGCGGTGGCTATAAGCCGGGAACGCTCATCAGACAAGGCAAGGAGGGTACCGCCAAGCTCTGGAGTTGCATCAGGCTTTTCTGATGATCGCCAACCGCTGACAAGGAGTTTGCTTCGCTACCACAGTGCTGCAAGATCGACGCCGCCGCTCCAGGCTTACGCTTTGTGCGAACCACAGCGTCGGTGAGCGTGCATGGCTGCCTCGAAGCGAATTTTCCTGGATTTTAAGCTGGAGAGCGCAGGGGGACGTGAGCAACGCAACACACCATCGCGCCGGATGTGGCATCTTGTGAAGCTGTGAAGCTTCGAACCTTCGAACCTTCAAACCTCTGGAGTGACATTGAGATAGAGTTTGATTGCCTCCACGGCTGTGGCAAGATCGGACGGACAAGACAGGACAGTCTCAGTCTCAGTCTCAGTCTCAGTCTCCATCACATCATTACGCACAGAGGCTCGGACCCGATCGGAATA